GTTGCTTCAAAAAAGCGCGCCCGACCAAAAACGACTTCCGCGCTCGGTTATCGTAATACATTGAGGAAAAGCTGAAGCCGTAACGCTACCGCGACGCTTTGAACCATTCCAAGTGCGGTCAAAGCTTCAAAAGCACGCCCGAATAAAAACGAGTTTCGCGCTCGGTTATCGTAATGCATTGAGGAGAATCTAAAGCCGCAGCGCTCCCGCGACGCTTGGGACCATTCCAAGTGCGGTCAACGTCTTTTATTGATTATACAAAATCGGAATTTTCCAAAAAAAATCCTAACACTAAAGTGAAAAGACTATCAGTTTCAGCTCTTTGAGAAGAAGTTGAAAGTCACAATTTCAATGGTTTGGCGTTTAGGTGAAGCTTAGAGCTCCGAAAACGTAACTGGCTGAAAAAATGAGATTACACCTACCCCCCGTAGTAGAGGGGGGATAATCTACTTTCAAATATCGACAAAATCATGTTCCTACGAGATTATTAGACCTTTTTCCAACGTCACAACTAGTTTTTAAGCATTTTTTTTGAAAAGTATATATTTTATCTCTGCAACGTACGTCAGAGCCCATGATTGAGCTGATTTTTTTTCCCGGAAAAAAGGCTTTTTTTTCTGTTTCCGATGAGCTTTGCCGCCTTCTCAGTAGGTGTTCCGAAAAAAGTTTTATTCAAATAAAAAGTTTGTGTGGGGATGGATTTAGGACGTGCGTACTAACACTATAATTCTTCACAACTCGAGTATACTTTTTGAGCTTTAAAGCTTGAAAATATGTTTGAAAGTACGAAAATCAGAGTTTTTGATATATTTTTAAACTGTGTTGGTTTAAAGAAGATTTGAAAGCTTTTATGGAAAGTTGAAAAACAGAAAATTGAGAAAATGAGTTGAGATAAGGAAATTATCGTTTTTTAATCGATTCTTGTAGGTCTCATGGCGAAAAAAATTTGCAAAAATCAATTTTCAAAACAGCAAAAACGTCGTTGGGAACCAAACCTGACGCCTTTCGATCATAAACCTAACCGTTTACCGACTGAGCTATCCTTGCAAAAAAGACCCGAAGTCGTATAATCAATAAAAAGTGTTGACCGCACTTGGAATGGTTCGCGGTAGCAATACGGCTTTCATCAATGCAATAAAATAACTGAGCGCGGAACTCGTTTCTGGTCGGGCACGGTTTTTTGAAGCAATCGGTTGACTTTGAGCCATTCTACGTGCAACTTTGTGCTTTAAACTTATCTTGAGGAGCTTCTTGATTAAAGCAATTTTTTTCAGTTCTGTTTTGAATTTTCTAACCCATGTCGCTAATTTTTGATACTATCAATCATTTCCTCAAACTCTGCAAAAAACGATTTGATCAACAAAATGTCGGAAGTCATTCGAGAAACAAAACAAAAGATCATATTTAATGGGAAATGGCGACGCCCCGTGTGAGAAACAATGAAAACAAACGGAATATTTTGGTTTTATTTGAGAATTCAGGGGCTAAAAAATACTTGGATAGTTGTAAATTTTTCAGCTTTTTGAACCAGAAAAATCGTTTCACTGTTACCTCTTCAAAATTCAAATCTGAGCTGTATTTTCATTAAAACTCGAGCAAAATAAATTTTTAAATTGTCATACTTCCCAGAAAAACTCAAAGAAGATCATAACCCCTCCTAGCAACATAAAACTACAGAGTAGTCCCAAAAGCATTGGATTTTAGTGGAGATTAACCCCTTCTGACGGTTGTAAGTGTCGTCTCCACATTCGGATATTGTAAGAAAAGTTAAAAAAGTAAATTTCAACCTTTAAAAAAAAATATATCCCAACGATTACTTCATGATCAACTTCAAAAGTCAGCTGTTTACCATTTTCCCACATCAAGTTCCGTTTTCCAATTTTGGGAACCTGTAAATAGCTGTGTAAAGTCTGGTTTTTGAAATCTCGGGAGTTCTAAACAGTCTAGACGTCTATAAATAGGTATGGGAAGAAAATTTCGAGGGGTATTCCCTGAATTTCACACGAAAAATTCCCTTACAAGGGTGGTCATTTCAATTTGCTCGGAATTTCCTGGAAATCGGCCAGAACACTCCTTGGTGTACCAGAAGAAGATCCAGAATGTTTCAACCTGAATAACTCTCTAGTTTTTGAGAAATGAGGGCTCAAAGTCAAAGATAACACTAAAAATCCGTTAAAATAGGCCAGTTTGAAACTTTGGGCGCATATTTCTCGAAAACTAGGGAGTTGTGCAGGTTGAGACTTTCAGATTCTTCTTCTGGTACATCAAAGAATGTTCAGGCCAATTTTCAGAAATGTCCCAACCGCAAAAGAAAATGACCTTCCTTGTTAGGAGCAAAAAAAGGCAAAAAAAAATTTTATTTTTCCAACCAAAGAGTCTTCGAAAAGAAGAAACGCCGGGATCGGCTGTATACGTCGCGGCTGCGGAGCGGTTCCGTCATTTTTAGTGCACCAGACTGATAAACGACTTACGCCGGCGTTATCCTTTTTAAAACTCGTCCGAATGCTTTGTTTTTCTGCGCGACGCGTTGAGCCATTCCAAATGCCGTCCTTAGGCACTTTAGAGTGAACCCTAGAGGGGCAGAGGGCTTGACCCCTTAGCCCCTAAAGCTTAAGTGGCCCCTTTAGGGGTCTTTCAATTTTATCCGAAAAAGCGCTCATTTATTTTTGGCATGGAAATTCTTTTTCATATAGAGTTCATAAAAATTATCGGCTAGTATGTCCTCTATAGGTAGGGACCGCAGACGAATTTTCAAAAAAATTTTTTCAGCATTGAGTTTTGTATGGTTTGATAGCTGTTTCGATTCAAAACTCAGAACCGTTTAGTTTTTCAAAAAAGATTGAGGATGAAAAAAGTTATGACGGAAAATGTGGCGCGCCGCGCACCATTTTTTTAGTACTGAAATTTTGGTATTATCCATTTTTTTGACATTTTTTTCTCGATTTTTTTCTTCTAGAACAAGTTTTTGATACTGGTCTATTATGATGTAAAAAATCATAATAGAGTGCTAAAATGATGCTCATCAGCTAGTTTGCCGAAAAAGTCGGTATTTTCCAGAAAACAAAAAAACTGACGCTTGCGGGCATCGAACTCGCGGCCTCAAAATGAAAGTTCGCAGCGCACGCGCTGCGCCAAGCTGTCAGGTCTACCGAGGGGAGCCTCCATCCGCCATACCCTTGAGCCGTTTGAATAGCACAGATTGCCTATTTCAAAAAGAAAAACTTGAAGTAATTAAGCTATTTTTATCAGAATATGTTCGGAAATCTCTACTCAAACTTTTCGTAGAAATTTACTTCGGAAAAACTGTTTTTTTAGTGCCTTTTGCCTCGTTTAACGATCGCAGCAATAAAACGGCCCCGTAAATTTTTGGCAAAGACGAATTTTTTATTTTATTTTTTTAATTGAAAGATTTTTCAATAATAAATGTATATAATCGTTTAAAAAAACCTGCGTTCGACCGCTTTTTTTGTGTGATAAACGCCGCTAATTTTATTCTCTATTTTTCAAGAGCATTTTTTTGTGTATTAAACAACTTTTTTTCAAGCGCAGATGCTGTGGAGAAAAAAAATTTAAGTAAGCCCATGGTCTAAATTTTTGAAAAAAACAAAAAAACTCGATTATATTCGCTTATTAACGATATTTTTGAATTATGACTTTCGGCACTCCCTAAAATGTTTGGCAAAGACGAATTTTTTTATTTTATTGTTTTAAAATTACCGTTACTTCAATCAAATTCATTATATAAAAAAAGAAAAGAGTGCGTTCGACCTGAAAAACACATAAAAAAAGCAAAAAAAGACAAAAATTTTTTTAGTTCCATTCACGTTTTTGTACGACATTCCGCGAGAACGCATCAAAAAAGCGTGAAATATTTTTTAAATGAAAGAGGAAGCTTTTCTGTACATGTGTGTCAAATTTTATTAGCCAGTTCCACATATTTTGCAACTACAACAAAATGAAAGTTGAAAACCAAAAAAAAAGCCACTTTTTCTATCGCGAAAAGGGGCGTGGCTTTGCGGTCCCTATCTATAGGGACCACTTTTGCAATCTTATGTGGCCATTTAACGATCAGTAAAGTTGTCCTTAGAGAGGACCCGCCAAGGCCCCTATAGGGACCACTCTGAAGATCCTAAGCCTGTCTCAAAAGATCCTATCCAAAAAAATTCTTACATCACTCCGACAAATTCGATCCAATCGGTCAAATCACTCCTGATAAATCATTCCTCAAGGCAAAGAATGAAGATCAGTTACACCATCAGAAAATGGGAAAATTGTAGCCAAATTAGTCGATTTGCAATGAAGCGAGAAATGAACGGACTATTCGACAAACGTCGAAAAATCAAGACACAAAATTCGATTGCTAATTTGGGCTGGAGGCCAGAAAAAAAGGACGCATTCTTTGAAAATTTTCGCTGGGGAGAAATGAATCATGGCGGTTAGGTCAAAGGTACAAAACTTTTTTGGAGGCTATGACTCGACTTTTAATGGGGATTGGTTGGACTTGAAAGACTTGAATAGACTTTTTGGTCAAATTTCGTTCTTTTCAGTGCCTCCGACAGTTCGGTCTGCCCATGTATGGTTCGAGGATCCTTTTGCATCTTTAGGAACCCTACAGTGGTCCCTAAAGGGGGAACCTGAAGAACCCTTGAATGAGAACCTTCGAGGGACGACTTTACCAACCCCTATAGGGACCTTTAGCGCTTGAAAAAGGGGTACCTATAGGGGAAATACTAATCGATAATTTTCTATGCGGAAAAACCAAATAAACAAGCGTTTTTTGAATAAAATTGAGAGACCCCTATAGGGACCACTTAAGCTTTAGGGGCCAAGGGGTCAGACCCTAAACCCCTGTAGGGACCACCTTGATTTTACCCCTATAGAGACCAATTTTTCGGCCCCTATAAGGGCTGCTCATCCCCCTAACATCTAAAGGGTCTGAAATTCCTATGAGAAAAAAACGATTTATTAAAAATTACAATAGTAGTAAATAAAAGACATTTTCAAACACGTTTCCCCTCGTTTGGCAATGAAATTGTCGAAATCGATGCCGTATAGCTGCACCGATGGTCGGGGTGATATGTTACCTGCAATTTAAAAATGCTACCGTAACTAAAAAATGAATTGAAAACTCTTCTTACATCGCTCATAGTGGTGGAAGTGGTCTTGTTAACGGAAATCGTCTCGAAAATAGCTTCCAGGCTTTCGAGTTGCTTCTGCAGAAATTGGATATTGGAATGGATTAGGACGCGGGGCGGTCGCGTCGCGGTTTATTCATTATAATGTTACTTATCCGCCAGTTTCATAGACTAATTTTTCTGTAAATATGACTTTTTTAAGGATTTTTCGACTAGTTTATAGAAAAAAAATGAGATAAAGTTATTGGAATGGATTCGGGCGCAAAGCGGTCGCATCGCGTGTTTTTTTAAATAATGACGTGCGTCAGAGCAATCGGGACGTCATTATCAGGTTTCTTAGTAGGACTGAGGAAAGCTTTGACTGTTTCTGTGAGAATAAATAACGGCTTTCTGAATGGATTGGAACTTTTAGCGGTCGCGTTGCGGCTTGTGGAGTTAATATGACGTCACCAGAGTCAACTATGACGTCATTACTCAGTTTTCATAACTTAGTGAAACTTAGGAAGACTTGAGTATTTTCCAGTGAAAAAAATTAGTTTCGAAATAGATTGGATCGTAGAGCAGTCGCGTTGCGGCTTATGGAAATAATATGACGTCAGAAGGGTAAATATGACGTCATTTGTCAGGTTTAATGACTTAATATCGGAACGCCTTAAAGTCTTTTTTTATCTAAAAGAAAAAACTGTTTTTTTGAAAAATTATTGGAGCGTGGAGTGGTCCCTTAGCGGCTTGTAAAATAAATATGACATCACCAGGTTTAACTATGACGTCATTTATCAGGATTCATATCTTAGGGCACCCTAGGAAGGCTCTTGAGTATTTTCCGGTGGAAAAAAAGTCATCTTCGAAATAGATTGGATCGTAGAGCGGTCCCTTTACGGCTTGAGAAATAAGTATGACGTCACCAGGGTTGACTATGACGTAATCTATCAGTTTTCATAACTGAGTGGAGCTTAGGAAGGCTTTTAATTATATTCTTCTGAAAAAAACTGTTCTCGGAATTTTTTGGAACGCAGAGTGGTCCTTTACGACTTGTGAAATAAAAATGACGTCACCAGGGTTAACTATGACGTCATCTATCAGTTTTCATAACTGAGTGGAGCTTAGGAAGGCTTTTAATTATATTCCTGTGAAATAAAAAAACTGTTTTCGAAATGGATTGGAACGCGGATGGTCCTTTACAACTTGTGAAATAAAAATGACGTCACCAAGGTTAACTATGACGTCATTTCTCAAGTCGAAAAATCATACTCACCTTCTCCTCGTTGTCCCTGTCCATCAGCTCATCGAGCCGCTCTATGAGATGCTGCTTCTGTTTCTGAAGACAAGTCACGGCGGCAGTCAGTTCGTCGGCGCTTTTATCGAACGAGACCATGTTCTCTTCGTGCTGCTTGATGTGCTTCTTGAGCTCCCGGAGTTGTTGCTGAACAGTTTTTTTTCATTTTCTAACGTCTTATTGCACTCTTATCTTCTCGTGGCCGCAAGAGATTCACCAAGAAAACTTATGTTTTGGTGCGCCCGACTTGAAACTACTTGCGAGTTGTATTATCCAGTATCGTGGGGAAGCTTGAGGCCAGTTGTACCGTGTCATGGCATGTAAAGTCATGATGAAACGACTATGATTGCAATTATCAAAGTTCGCTGGTTTATTGGACTCCTAGTCCGGTAGCTGGCAAACAAGGTCGTTAACTTTGACAGCTTTACGATCAGCCAATTTTTCTATAAGAATGATAAGTTCACCTTGTGCATGGCTCGGCGAGCATCGAGCTCTTCGCGGAGCTTCGCTACCGACTCTTTCTTCAACTTAAGTTTCTCCATCTGCGCCGTCATCTCTTCGGACAGCCCGTTTGAGATCGTCACTGTCTTCTGAAGTCGGTGCTCCCTCGCTGACGCCTATCAAGATTCATCTTGATCCTTTTTTGAATCGATAGTTACTTCTCTCATTAGATTGGTCAGTATATGAGCCCAGCCAAGGACTCTTTGAGCCAAGTCGGCTTCTTTGCGACGAGCCTTGTCCAGTCGGTCCCAAAGCTCCGTGATTTGACCGGAGAACTGGAAATAACATTTTGAAGAACTGAAAGTTGAAGATTTCGGTTTCCAAGTCATAATGTCCCTCATAGGACTTGAACTTCGTGTTTGTACGACGGCAGGAATTGAACTTGAAACCCTTTGGATTACTTATAGAGCCCCTTACCACTGAGCTATGATCGCCCATTTTTCAATCGGAAAATTGAGAGAAAAATTCTCAACTTCCAATTTTTACGTCGACAGGAATCGAACCAGGGACCTTTTGAACCATATACTGGGTCACTAACCGCTGAGCTATAATCGTCTTTTCTTGAGCTCTACATTTCCCAGTTAAAAAGCCAAAAGAAAATCTGGCAGCTCTCAATTTTTGTTCACAGGAGCCGAACCTGGGACCCTCTTAGCTTTAGACGAAACCAATACCACTGAGCCAAAAAACGCACAACTCCCAATTGATTGATATTCCGTCTGCGGTTCTCCTTCTCGCGAACTATTTCCTCCTCGAGAAAAGCGATACAGTCGTCAGCTTCGCGGTTGAATTCTCCGCTTGTGTCCGCCTAAGTAATCGTCATATTAAGGGAATATTGCTCAGATTAGGCCGTATAGTGAACTGATTTGATAATCAAAAAGTGAATCGAGAGGCGATTTTTTTAAAGTTTTTCTCATCTTTTAATTTATTGGTAAGCTTTATGATCTACAGTAATCCTCCAAAGCTCACCGTAACCGTCGACGATAAATTTTTGACGTTTTGCATTTTCGCGTCCATCGAGATGGTCATTTTGGTAAAATGAGCTCATTTCTACGTTTTTTCTTTTTTTTTTCGATCGGTTGTTTTCTATTTCGAATGAAGCTGAATCGTTTGAGGGTTTACTTAAGAGATAAAATTCGGGAACGTGGTTGAGCAATACGATTTTTTGAATTGAATCCCTGACCTGATTCTGGAGCCTTTCAAAAACAAATCGAACCCATGACCATTATTTGAAAGGCTTGGGCGGCTTCTTTCAAGTAGCATCCGACCAAAAACGGTTTGCGCCTGGTGGCATCGGGAAGCCTTGGTGGACAGCGACACGCTCAGCCATTCCAAATGCGACCAATTTGCTTTTAGTAACGTGATAGTGACATGTTTAGCCATTCCAAATGCGACCACTGCTTTTATAGTTGAATCAAAGTTTTCTTGAAATCCAATAGTGAAGTGAAGGCTCTTCGTTGAAACGCCATGTTTTGGCCGAGAAAAATGTGCTGGAAAGGCAATAAGCTCATCAGAGAGGGGCACCCGACCAAAAACGGTTTACGCTTGGTGGCATTGAAATGTAGACTCTTCGTTGAAACGCCGTGTTTTGGCCGAGAAAAATGTGCAGGAAAGGCAATAACCTCATCAGAAAGGGGCATCCGACCAAAAACGGTTTACGCTTGGTGGCATTTGAATGTAGACTCTTCGTTGAAACGCCATGTTTTCACCGGAAAATGTGCTGGAAAGGCAATAACCTTATCAGAGAGGTCAGCGCTTCTCCTTATCAGTCCCCACTGTTTTGCCCCTCGAAAGTCTCGCCTCTTGGTTCTTTGGCTCTATCAGCTGACCTCTTTTTGGCTCATTTCGTAACTCAATTTGAGTTTTTGCTTTTTATTATTTTTAGTCATGGTTTACAATAATTTGTGGTTTAAAGGAGCATAGTCGAAGGTCTTAAGACGAAGAGCCGTCTGCAGTAGTTTCTTGTTGAATTTTTCCGCTTTCGTAACCTTCTATAAACCAACTTTTCCCTTTGAGACCTGATCTTTATTTTGTTAAGCTTACTTGATTTTGACCTTTTTTTGAGCATTTTTCTTTCAGCTATGAAATTCCTACTATTCCTATCACTGATAACTGCTCTACATGGCTTCGAATACCTACCAGTGAATCGAATACCCTATTGGAAGGCTTTGAAAGACAGAAACCGGGGTCCGGCCTATGCCCAGCCTGAACAAGTTCATCTCGCTTATGGAGGTAATTATTTTTTTAAGCCTTATGAGCCTGAAACTCTACCGGTAAGACATATGAAATGAAACTACCGAGAATTGCCCAATAAATCAGAAAAAAAAAAACTTGAAAGGACTCGAACCAGGAACCTCTGCTTCGATGTCAAGGTCTCTACCGACGGAGCCATTACTCTCTTTTTTTGAAAATAGAAATCTAGAACACACTCTTCCGTATGATCAATGCAAAATGAAGCTTCGAACAAAAATCAATGAACCTTAAAAGGACTCGAACCAGGAACCGCTGCTTCGATGTCAAGGTCACTACCGACTGAGCCATGCTGGCTTTTTAAACCACACAGTAATATGCCTCATTCTTTCAATTATTCTTGAAAGATAGGCTCCCAAAAAGTAGTTTTCAAGAAACTTCCAGTCAAAATGTCGAAAGTTCAACTCCTCTCCACGTTTTTGCCATTTTCCAGGTGATCCAACGAAAATGTCCGTCACTTGGCTGACCTTCGACGACACAGCGGAAGCTATTGTGGAATATGGAGAAGATTTGAGTCTTGGAAAGGTGATTTTCATTGATTAGGATAGTTTTGAAGATGGCAAAATTATTGACAGATGTGAGAATCAAGAAAACCCTTGGAAGAATGAGTAGGATTGAAAAAAGGACGGTTGGTTTTTGAGTTAGGAAAAAATGATTTTTATATTTTGTAAAATCAAATTTTTTTGATTAACGATTTTTTTGACTAAACAGCTAGGTAAAAAAATTGTCGCTTCTTGGAATCTTGTTGTTGCGAATGGAATGGCCCGACCCGAAACGACTTGCGCTTATTGACATTGAAAAGTTCATGAGCGTGTCGCAGCGCTTTGAGCCATTCCAAATGCGACCTTTTTGGGTTTTTTCAAAACTGAGATATCTGAAAAACGAAATTGAACTGAAAGTTTCAGTTTTCTTGGTTTTTGAGCTATTTATATAAATAAAAATTTTTTTAAACTCAAGTATTTCAGTGACTTTTTTCCATGTCTTTTGAAGGCGAATTTCGTTGATTTTTATGATTTTTTTGAACCTTTTTTCAGATATTTACATTAATGAGATGATTGAGAAGCTCCTGAACAAAGAAAATGACTTACTTTTCAAAAAATTCAGCAAGTAAAAGGCCGAAGCGCCGTTTTTTTGGACGGCCAAAAATCGAATCGTTGGCGCTATATCCATAGAGCGAACTTGACCGATTTGGTTCCAGGGACAAGATATTGTAAGTTTAAAAATTTTTATAAATACTTAAAAAAAATAAAAAAATGATTCAGATTACCACGTTGGATGTGAATACGGCTGGAGCGCCATTTATTTTTTTACAGTGAGAATTTTTTTGATTTTTTGATTTTTTTCATGTACATTTGCATTGTAAGATTGCTGAATTCTTCCATCTGAATTTTTTTCAGGCCCTAAAACCCCGGTCAGATGGAGGGTACGAGTACGCTGTCTATGGGGATTTGGGCAGTGAAAATGGTCGATCGATCGGAAAATTACAGAAGTTCGCTCAGAGTGGCGGGGTCGATGTGGTTCTGCATGTTGGTTAGTTGACAGAAGCTGGTTTTTTCCCGTAAACTTTAAAAACTTACGTTGAGGTTGTTTAGTATGTTGTGAAGGGGGGGCGACTCTGGATTGACGGGGGGGTTGGATTCTGAAATGTAGGGTGCCGATTCGGACAAGGCTTGAAATGCTTGTTTTTAAGGGTAAAGTGGTTCTAGAATTGCCCCCACTCCCCCTTCCCCCGCGCCTTAGCACCGTGGGGGGCGATTGTAGAATAAGTTGTTGTTCGGACGTGGGAGCTGTATCTCGGTGAGAGGGGAGTGGGGGGCGATTCTGGAATGTAGGGTGCCGTTCCGGACAAACGAGGCTTGAAATGCTTATTCCAAAGTTGGGTAGGGGGAGGGGCGAATCTTGATCTACCCCCCAAGCACCATGGAAGGCGATTCTAGAGTCAAAAATTTGCCTTAGGGGGAGGGAGAGGGGGGGGTTGTACGCCCTTGTTGCTCATGTTACCTTTGAATGGCTCATTTTAAAAAAATAAAGAATGAGAAAAATCTGTTCAGAATTGGTAGAGGATCGCTGAGAAACCAAAAAAAGTATTTTGAAAAAAAAATGCTCATATGACTGTATTGCTCATGTTAAACCTGTCTTCCTCATTTTAGCACTCATTTTTTAAGGAGATTTTGCCTACGATATGAATGAGAACAATGGAGGGACTGGAGATGAATTTTTCCGACAAATCGAGCCGATCGCTGCGTATGTCCCTTATATGGCCACCGTTGGGAATCATGAGGTTTTTCGAAGATTTTCTTATTTTTCTTGTAATTTTTTCTTTTTTTCAGAACTATAACAACTTCACGCATTATGTCAATCGTTTCACGATGCCGAATTCGGATCACAACTTGTTCTACAGGTAAATATCTCAAGAAAAAGATAAAATTCAAAAAAAAATTAACATGCTGTCTCTGTAATTTTCGAAATTTTCTCAAAGACAGCGGGTACAGAAAAAAAAAAATTTTTTTGATTTCAATGAAATTTCAACCAGTGTTATCATATGACGTCAGAATTGCGGACACGATTTTTTGAGCCATTTCCTCCAACCGTAACCGGGTTACGGTAGGGAGGTGGTCACCTGCGTATCTAAGAATTGACAAGTTTTCTCTAGGCAAGTTGTATATCAATCGATAGGTAATGCAATTTTAGGAATTTTTTCAATACATACCATCTTGGGCTACTGTAGAAATTTTTGAGATACGGTACTTTTTGTGTTCGCAACTTTGGTTTTTTGGTCTAGCTTCAAAAAAATACCACATTGAAAAAATTTCGAGATACCCATCATGTCGAAAAATCGCGCCGAACGCGCGCAACTCGGGGTACTAGCGCTTAGACTCGCCTTGGATGATGGCCTCTAACCTTCTTTTATTGTCTGAACTTTTGTTGAAAACTGTTTTTCTTGAAACTACAGTTCATAAACTTCTGGTAAAATTAAATATTTAAAAAAATATTTAAAAAAATAGCTTGTGCGCTCTATTGCTAATTGGAACCTCTCCCTTAGAAAACAGCCTCAATTTCTTTATACGCGTTTAGTTTTCCAGTAACAGAGCAAAATAGCCCTTAAAAGTGGAAATTGCATGTGCGCTCCATTGCTAATTGGATGTTTTGCCTTAGAAAACCGCCTCAATTTCTTTATACGCGCTTAATTTTCCAAGGACAGGAAAAAAATAGCCTCGAAAATTAAATAGCTTGTGCGCTCTATTGCTAATTGGAGCTTCTGCTTTAGGAAATCGCCTCAATTTCTTTATAAGCGCCTAATTTTTCAGTAACAGGCGTGTGCGCTCTATTGATAGTTGCATTAAAATACTTCAAACTGAAACTACTACACTAAAATGATGCACAGAGATTATTTTGGGACTGGAAAAAATAGCCTTGATAGTAGAAATAGCATGTGCGCTCCATTAATAATTGAACTATGATACTTCAAAATGTAACTGCTATAATAGAAATTCATACTAAAAATGATGCGCAAGGATTATTTTGGGACTGGAAAAAATAGCCTTGTTAGTAGAATTGCATGTGCGCTCCATTGATAATCGGATGAGAGTAGATCATATTTGAAATGTTGCGGTAGAAAATCAACGAAGCTTCATGATACGCAATGAATATTTCGAGAAAGGGACAAAATAGCCTTAAAAGTGCAAATAGCATGTGCGCTCCATTGATAATCGGATGAGAATAACTTAATTTAGAGCTACTGCACTAGAAAGTTACTTTGAATTGAACGCGGAAGTTGTTTTAGGTCGTTGCATGATCTCCCCCGAGGGGGATTTTTTTAAGGACTGGACAAAAATAGCTTGGTAAATAACGGGTTTTCTGCGCTCCATTGCAATCTGGGATTGAAGATTTTACGATTAAAAAAAATCACATCGAGATGCGCTCTATTGATAAGTACTTGAAAAGCGGCAGGCCAATTTCCAGCCTTCACGCGACCCTTTGAGCCATTCCCAATGCGACCAAGAAGGTTCAAGAAGAATTTCAGCTTCGACCTCGACAAGGCTCATTTCATCGGCTTCTCGACGGAATTCTACTTTTTCACCCAATATGGGTACGCTCAAATCGGCCGGCAGTTTGAGTGGCTCAAAAATGACTTGAGGGTGAGGCGAAATCAACGACTGGCTTTATTGAGAATTTCTTGAAGAAAGCCAATGAGAATCGGAAAAACGTGCCTTGGATCATCACGATGGGTCATCGGCCAATGTATTGTTCCGACTTTGACGGGGATGATTGCACTAAATATGAATCGATCGTGGGTTCATTTATATTTATGTACCTGAAAGAGGAAAAAAATTCTCAAAAAAATCTAATTATTTCGTTTTTTGAAAGTACTGTCGCCTTCTAGGGCTACGTGACTTGATGTTAACGCTCTTGGGAACGCCAGAGACGACCCTATAGGGATTAGGGGGAAAAAATCCTCTAGAGGGAACGAAAAAGTGATCCCTATAGGGATTTGGGAGAAAAAAGCCTCTAGAGGGGACAAAAAAGGGCTCCCTATAGGGATTAGGGGAAAAAAGCCCCTAGAGGGAACAAAAAAGTGCTCCCTATAGAGATCTAGGATCGGGTCTCTGAACCCCTAAAGCTTAAGTGGTCCCTATAGTGTTATTTCATTTTGTAGTCTATGAGGGCGGTTGAATGAAACCCCTATAGGGGCCACTTTTGCAAGATTTAGTGTCCCTATAGGGGTTTTTGTTCTGATTCAAAAATTAAGAAGATGTATAGAGGTCACTAGCATTTTACCTTATAAGGGTCGCTAGATAAAACACTATAGGGGCCACTTTTGCAAGCTTTAGCGAACGCTATAGGGTTTTTCGTTCCGAATAAAAAGTTAAGAAGATGTATAAAGGCTACTGGCATGTTACCCTATGAGGGCCCCTAGATAAAACCCTGTGAGGGCCATTTTTACAAGCTTTAGTGCCTCTGTAGTGGGAGGTGAAGGGGTTCCTAAAGAAGAGCCTCCAAGGGCACCTAAGGTTGCTTCTATAGGGACCACTCTGGCGTTTTTAAATAGACGTTTTTCAAAAAAAGTTGATCAACAAGAATCTGTACTGATCTTGAAGAGTCTGAATACAAAGTCAGAAAGCTGTCAAGAAGCTCTCAAGAACTTCACTGAAAAGGCAACTAGGTTCAAACTTGCTTCAGAAGATCTAGATAAAATTGGTTCACTCTAGAAATCCGATTGGTCTTTGAAAAACGGAGCAATTGAAATATCTAGGTTCGACCTGGCTTCAGAGAACTTAACTACCATGATGGGCTTTTTGAATTTAGAAAGGTGCTTCCAGACCAGAATAATTGTTAAAAACCTACCAAACTCACTGATTGAAGTCCGTCCGCCGAGACTTGACAGTTTTCGCATGTCTGCGTCTCTCTGTTCCCTAACCGGCGAGTTCAGAGAAAAATGGAAATAGCACGTCAGCATGAGAGGGTCGACGAGAGATAAGGAGGGCGCAGGAAAACGGACTATAACAAAACTAACTCTATTCAGTAGTTTATTCAACTTTCCAAGAGAATCCTGTAGATCCGAACCGGCCTCCCCCTAACCCACGCCTACGCCTTGGAGCGGCTCTTCTACGAACAGGGCGTAGATCTCGAACTTTGGGCTCATGAGCACACTTATGAACGGATGTGGCCGGTCTACAACAGAACGGTTGGTTTGAATTTGAGAAAGAGGATTTTCGAGTGATAAAAATGATGCCAGGTTTTCAACGGCACCGATCAACCTTACTTGGATCCACCAGCACCAGTTCACATTGTCACCGGATCTGCGGTGAGTGGATTCGAACCTGGAACCCTTCTCGCCTCTCCCAAGCCTCTGACCGACTGAGCCAAGACCTCCGAAGTTTCAGGGCTGCCGAGAGAACACTGACATCTTCGTCGAGCATCCAGGTCCATGGAGCGCGGTTAGATCGACCGATTATGGCTTTGGAATGTTGAGGGTATATAACGAGACCCATCTGAGGTTCAGACAAGTCGCAGCGTTTACGGTAGGAGGTTACTGTAGGGCTTACTGTAACGGGAGGTTTCTAGGACGTGACGCAGGACGATTTCTACGTTATCAAGACGAAACATCGACCGTACCGGCATAAGGACTTTAAAAAGTGGGTGGAAATTTGGAAGACTTAATCGAAAAAAAAATCGATGTATCACAAATTTTATCCGTGAAGCGCATTTGCTATTTCATTTTTAGCCGTGGGGCACATCTTCAGCGGCCATGTGCTTTTTTTTGAACAAAACGACATGAAGAAAATAACTAAATACTAAAAATTAAGAAGAAATTTAATTTGACAAGCTTGAAACTTTTTTAGCTCCATCGATGTCAATTTTTCGCATTGGAGCGCATTTTCTTGTTATTTTTAGCCGTGGAGCTTTTTGTCCACATAATTACACACTAAGAATAATAAGAACCAAAAAATAAGAACGAAACTCAGTGTGAATAGCTTCTGGAATAACGATCACAGCTTTTCTCAGTGGAGCGCATCTTCTTTTCATTTTTAGCCGTGGAGCTTTTTGTCAACATAATGACGCACAAAAAAAAACTAGAACCCAAAAACAAGAACGAAATTCAGTTTGAATAGCTTTTGGAATAACGATCACAGCTTTTCTCAGTGGAGCGCATTTTCTTGTTATTTTCAGCCGTGGGGCGCGATTGTCATCTCAGAAGCTATTTTCAATATTTTTCAATAAAATAAAATGTTGTATATCGAATTTTCAGACTTCAAACTTTCGGAACCTACATCCACCACAAAACTTGCGCTCATCCGTCGCACTGCAATCGAAAAACCTTCGATGACGATGTAAATATTGCCGACCTTTGATTTCAAAAAAGAACTGGTCCGAATAAAAGAATTCATTCACAAAAAATCGTATTGATTGTTCTCATCCATTTGAACTTGGCCCCTGTTATTTTGAGAAACGACGGACGCCACTTCCGACTTGGACTTCATTCCTTAAAATACATTTTTTTTTTTTGTGAATCAGCTTGAAACGCCGTGGTCGCATGAGGAATGGCTCAAAGCGACGCGGTAAAAACTAAGCTTCCACCCGACCCGAAACGGTTTCCGCATTTATGCATCTTGGAAAGTTGAAGTCGCAGCTCCAGCTCATCCCAGGCAAGAACTCAATGAAGCGTGCGCCCGACCTCGAAACGACTTGCGCTTGAATGTATCTCGAAGCGTTGAAGAAGAGCATTGAGCCATTCTTCGTGCGGCCAAGAGAGAAAAATCCCAGGTCGCACGGGGAATGGTTCAACGCAGAAATTTGTCAAGATTGCGCCCGACCTTGAAACGGCTTTCGCTTAGGGGAATCTTGAAAGCATTAGAAAGACGTCTTGAGCCATTCTTCGTGCGGCCAAGAGAGGAAAATCCCAGGTCGCACGGGGAATGGTTCAATGCAGAAATTTGTATAGGTTGCGCCCGACCTTGAAACGACTTTCGCATGGAGACAAATAATTGGCAGTGAGCCATTCTAAGTGCGACCAAGGCCTGTCAAAAATATGAAAATCCAGGTCGCACGGAGAACGGTAGGAGTTCATCAAGACTGCGCCCGACATATAACGACTTTTGCATAGGGGCACCTTTAGGCATTTGAAAGACGTCTTGAATAATTATCCGTGCGATCGGAAGCTTCAATAAAATTCCAAGCCATGCTCGCGCGAAAAATGGCTCGACGGAACGAATAAATAGAGTCTGCACCCGACCAGAAACGACTTGCGCTTGAATGCATCTCGAAGCTCTGAGCCATTATTCGTGCAATCAGGCGCTCCATTGAGATCGAACGCCAAGGTTGCGCGAAGAATGGTCCAAGGATGCGAATTATTCGAGCCTGCACCCGACCAGAAACGACTTGCGCTTGAAGGCACCTTGTAGCGCTGAGCCATTCTTCTTGCGATCAGGTGCTCCATTGAGATTAAAAGCCTAGGTTGCGCGAAGAATGGTTCAAGGGTACGAATGATTTGAGCCTGCACCCGACCAGAAACGACTTGCGCATAGGGGCACCTTTAAGCATTTGAAAGACGGCTTGAGCCATTTTACGTGCGATCAGAGCTTCAATACAATTCCAAGCCATGCTCGCGCAAAAAGTGGCTCGACGGTACGAATAAATAGAGTCTGCACCCGACCAGGAACGACTTGCGCTTGAAGGCATTTTAAAGCTCTGAGCTATTCTTCGTGCGACTGGGCGCTCCATTGAGATTAAAAGCCAAGGTTAAGCGAAGAAAGGCTCAAGGGTGCGAATTATTCGAGCCTGCACCCGACCAGAAACGACTTGCGCTTGAAGGCACCTTGTAGCGCTGAGCCATTCTTCGTACGAGCAGAAGCTTCAATACAATTCCAAGCCATGCTCGCGCGCAGAATGGTCCAAGGGTACGAAAACTGCGCCCGACCAGAAACGACTTGCGCTTAAAGGCATCTTGAAGCGTTGAAGGCAAGCCATTCTCCGTGCGACCAAGCCAAAAAAAAAATACAGACTTTTTCTTGTAGATTCTTGGTCATAAACGACTCCGCTAGATTCCTCCTCATCCCTTAGCTCGCCGCCGCCGCCTCCATTATTCTTTTCTTTTCTCGTCTTATCCGTTTTGACTTTCTTCCTCGTCTGACTTCGTCTATCATCCACAGGCCTTCTTTTCATGACTGTAAAAAAATTTTGTTGAAATGATTTTAGAAATAAAACGGGGGGAGGGGGTCATCCAGGATTGACCTCAGGGCCTTTCAGGCGACAGAAAACATAGAAAAATCGGAAGGACCTTTTACGGGCCCTTGAGGGACCATTATGGTTGCAAAAGGGGTCCTTTAATTGATCCTAAATGAGTGGGAAAGGTTTCCTTTTTACTGCCTTTTTCCGCCCTTTCATCAGCCTTTATCCACCCTTTTTGGACCCCTTTGGAGACAAAATTTATTTTTTGGAATTGAGAATTATCTTCACCAGTGACTGTGTATGAACCAAAATGTGCTATAGTAATAAAATCGGAAATAGAGCCTTTCAGCACCCTTTTTGCACCCTTTTTTGAGCCTTTTTTGAACGCACGAAGGAAAAAAGGCTCAATAAAGGTCGCAAAACGGGACCCTTTCAGCACTCTTTTTTCACCCCCTTTTTAAGGTTTTTTATCTCTCATAGAAAGGCTCAATAAAGGCCGCAAAATGGAACCCTTTCAGCACCCTTTTTGCACCCTTTTTTCACCCTTTTTTCAGCACACTAAGGAAAAAAGGCTCAATAAAGGCCGCAAAACGGAACCCTTTTAGCGCCCATTTTGCACCCTTTTTTCAGCCCACTAAGGAAAAAAGGCTCAAAAAAGGCCGCAAAACGGAACCCTTTTAGCAGCCATTTTGCACCCATTCTTCTCACTTTCGACTTTGGCAGCTACCCGCTGCTCTCCCAGCCTATTCTCCCAAAAACCGTACCCAAACTGGAAACGAGCATCTCGCGGCTCTCCAACTGCGTCGGCTGCTCGAAAACCAAGGAAGCGGCGTCCGGTGGAGCGTTGTTCAACGTCGGCGTCGCCTTGTTCGCGAGATCCTCGATCGAATCCGTCTTCTTTGGCAACAAATGACAGTTGGGCGTGCATTTCGTCGATTTGTTCTGTCCTTTGAGGTTTGAGTGCGCCGGACACAGCCCGTGCACACTTTTCAAGGCGTTCTTTTTCTTCTGAAATAGCTATTTTGGTTGGAAAGCGACTACTATCAGAAAAATTATGATCTTGAGTTTTTCGAACCAATTTTAGTTATAGTTGTTTCACGACTGGCTTGAGCCATCGAAAAAAGGGTCCTGACACGAAAAGAAAAGAGACAGTGCCTCGTTGATGGAGAACGCCTCCCTAGCGTCCCAAGCTGGCCGAGAATCAGCTCTATAGTCCATTCACAGTTGCTTGAGGACGTCTAACTGTCTGCACTCTCCTTTTCCCTCTCAGCTCTCCCGAGGGAACAAGAGAGTGCAGAAAGTCAGACTGATCAAAATAGCGTTGTTTTTGCGTTTTTTTGAGTCTTCTATGGTTAGATCTGATGAATGGACTATTCTAGAGCTTTTTATTTCTATACTTTCAAAAAACCGAGAAAAGACGGATTTTTGAACTCGGAATGTTTTTCTGGTACCCGAGCCCCTCCAGAGCTTCTCATTAAGGGAAAAAGAGAGTCCAGACAGTTAGACGGCTCAAAATAACGGAGAATGCAGTTTGAAACTTGTGCGTTCTGGATATGTAGTTGCTCGCGACTTGGAACTGCTGTTTTTCTCTGCGCTCTCCTTATCTCTCGACGCCTCTCTCATGTTTACGTGCTATTTCCATGTTTCTCTGACCTCGCCGATGAGGGAACAGAGAGACGCAGACACGTGAAAACTGACTATAGCGCAGAGAATATAAAAAAATCGTTGCAAAACCCGAAGACTTCCACTTCGCGTTAAATCGCAAACCGCTACTCCCTGACATGACGTCATTTTGACTTGGCGATTCGCACACGAAGTCATATTCTTTGATTTATTTTTCACGTTTCAAATTTATAAAATTAGATTCGACGTGAAAATTTTTCCAGTCACATGAGAAACAGAAAATTATCACATCTAAAAATCCCCTTTTGGTTGAAAACTTTGCAGGAGCCGTTTTTCGGAGTCAAATTGAACTTTTTCCTGTTGTATTTCGAAATAACATTATTTTTCATTTTTTCTTTCTTCCAAATCGAATGATAATAATTTTTCTGATTAGAAAAAAAGAAAAAAATAAGCTAAAAATTCCTTCTGACCTTCTTTCTAAGTAGTTTTTTGATATTTTATCAAAAATTCTCATGATAGTTATACAAAAGATTCATACCAAAACGTTAAGCTCAATTCTGACAACCTCTCAGAACAAAAAACCGATTTGAAAACGGTTCAGAAATGCGCGAAATCATTTAAAAAGAAAGCGTGCGGCAGCGGGTAAACCGTGAGATTTTGCCTCCAGTTGTACGCCGCGCGCGCTCGTTTTTTGGCCATAACTTTTTTCTTAGCAGACCTTTTTTCAAAAACTAAACGGATTATGAAAATGGACAGTTTCCTCTATCGAACAGTGTGAAAAACATATTTTTTGAATCGTTCTGATGCCGTGTTCAAAGTGATTCCGCGAAATTCAAAATAGCCGTCAGAGAAAGAGAAAGATAACTAAATTTTGGAGGGTCAGAGACAATTTCGCATTTCGCGGAAATTACTTTGAACACGGCATGAAGAAATGGTTTGCGGACCCTACACAAAAGTCAAAACGTTGACAAACGCAATCCGGGCGCAGTTTTTATGCAAAGGCGCATTTTAGGCTCTTCCTATTCTTCAATTTTTTCACGTGAATGAAATAAATATATAGCCAAATATTTGGATTACGCTTATTTCTTGTGATCCGAATGATGTCATTAAGTGACGTCAGGGAGTAGCGGTTTGCGATTTAACGAAAACTAAGACTTCCTAGACTCCGCCCTGCGCCTTTAAAAAGAACCCGAAGACTTCCTAGGCTCCGCCCTGCGCCTTTAAAAAGAACCCGAAGATTTCCTAGACTCCGCCCCTGCGCCTTTAAAAAGAACCCGAAGACTTCCTAGACTCCCCCTGCGCCTTTATAAAAAAACCCGAAGAGTTCCTAGACTCCGCCCTGCGCCTTTAAAAAGAACCCGAAGACTTCCTAGGCTCCGCCCTGCGCCTTTAAAAAGAACCCGAAGACTTCCTAGGCTCCACCCTGCGCCTTTAAAAAGAACCCGAAGACTTCCTAAGCTCCACCCTGCGCCTTTAAAAAGAACCCGAAGACTTCCTAAGCTCCACCCTGCGCCTTTAAAAAAAGATCCCACCGACCTTTTCCTGATGAGACTGAGTCGATTTATCCTTGTTATCCTTCTTATTATTGTGAGCCTCTTCACTTTTCGTCTCATTCGAAAACATGGGCGGCGATTTCGGGTGCGGCCGCTTTTTCTTGCAAAAAACCGAAGCCGAGGCAAATATGACCGTTATCAAGCAAAAATTGATCAATACAGTTAACAATCTGCCGAAAAATGATCATTAAGGGGTGTGAAATGAGAAAAAAGGATACCTGATATGGACGGCGTGGAGCATCCTTGTTGAAATGAAGCTCGAACTTTTAGATTTGGAAGATTGATAAGTTTTTTTTTATTTTAATCCAATTAAAGACGTGGCATAACAATTTTTCTATACTGTTAGGGATACATGGCCAGGAAGCTCGAAAAAAGTAAGTTTTTATTTTTTAAATGGGTCCTGGAACGATTTATCGCTGGACGATTTTTTTAAAGGCGCAGGGCGGAGCTTTGAGGAAAAAAATATAGTCAATGCGCCTTCAAAAATTTTTTTCAAGCCAACCACTTGACAATTTTTCCAGTTGAAAATTTCCAGTTGAATAAAAAAATTTTTCTAGAGTATGCGCCTTTAAATTTTTTTCAAAGCTCTTTTCTAGACTTTTCAGAAAAAAATTCCAATTGAATAAGCTTTAAAAAAACTAGAAAACCCAGAAATTTAACAATTCCTGTGAATTTTTGATGTTTCAAAATGACTCCCTTTGTTTTGAAACACAAAAAAATATTTTTTTCAAACGTCATTTTCAAAACAAAACTTTGATTTTTTTCATCGATTTTTCCTCCCCAATAACCCAAGCAAATACCTTTTTATTAAATATTTGCCAAGACTACTGCAAAATGAGGCTTCCCTGCCACTTGAGGAACTCGAAAGCTATCAATTTCCACTTATTTTTTTGTCCCTGACCGCGCCTATCACCCAGAGTATCGTATTTCAAGTTCCTCGCTCTTTTTCAGTTTAAAACGCACTTTTTTCGACTTCAAAAGCAGAAATCGGTATCAAATAAATCAAATTGGCAAATGACATCGGTTTCCGCTGGCAGAAAATGTGTACATATCCGATTGCTTTCTTCTTTTTTCCTTTTTCTCTCTGAGAAAATGCCGCTGCCATCATTCGTTTTGGTCCGAAATGGGAGTGAATTAGCCGCTTCTCTCTTTCTTTTGGCATCTCTTCTCCAGATTTTTTTGTTCCGTGATCCGTTTCTCTGTTTTTTCCCCTTCTCTTCATAATTCGTGCCAATATTAGTGTACACAGCAGCGTTCAGCACAGCGGGCGTTTTTTTTTCGTCTTGTTTAACAAGGAAGAAAAAACAACGTTGGCGGTGTTTGCAGACGGCTTGACACCGTGCACAAACGGCGCCGAACCGTACGCGCATTTTAATGTTGCCCTTTTTTTCAATGTTTTTATTATTTTTTCCTTTTTCAAGGTGTTTAAAACTCTTTTAGTAAGGTTGAGGAACATTATGTAGCTTGGAAAATGCTAAATTTTTCACGAAACTGTTCGATTTTTCGTTTTATTTTTTTCTCGTTTTGTGGCATTTTTTTCGTTTTTTATCATTTTTTATTGGACAGAACCTGGGACATGAGCTCCGATGTGATCAAACGGAGCAATCCCGCCGATGATTACGAGCTCCTGCAGCGTGTCGGCTCCGGCACCTACGGAGAAGTTTACAAAGCCAGGCATATCAGGTAAAATATCTTTTCTATAAGAAAAAAAAACAAATTCAAGCTTGAAAAATGGGAAATTTTGCAGAAGTGGCGATTATTCAGCAGTGAAGGTAGTGAAACTGGAGGCGGGCGATAATTTCGCCGTAATTCAACAGGAAATTCTGTTGATTCGCGAATGTTCCCACGCCAATATTATCGCCTACCATGGAAGTTACTTGAGGAGGTTGGTTTCAGAAAAATAGGAATACTTATTAGTTGAAGAAATAGTCATTTTTTTTAAGTATTTTATGAGGAAATGGACCAATTTTTGTGTTTTTTCGGAAAACGAAGCACTAAAAATTTGAATCATGATGTTTTTCTGTATTCATTTTATGAATCTTCATCAATTTATATTTATTTTTCAAGGGACCGCCTTTGGATCGTCATGGAGTACTGCGGCGGAGGCAGTTTACAAGACATTTATCATCGTGAGTTTCTAAAAACAAAAAAACACAATTTGCTAGATTGCTGTTCAAATTTTTGTACTTGATAAGCTCGAAATTCGATTATTTGTAAAAATTTTTCGAGGATAATCCCTTATTTTATGATCGATTTTCAACGAAAAAAACGCTTTTTTTCAAATTTATGCTCAAATTTTTGTTCTAAATAAGCTCAAAAATTCAGTTATTTGTAATATTTTTCCTGATCATTTCTTTCTTTTTATGTCCAGTTATCAATGGAAAAACCAATTTTTTTCCGCTTTCTGTTCAAATTTAGTACTGAATAAGCTCAAAAATTTAGTTATTTGTAAATTTTTTTGGGCTAAATCTTTTGTTTTGTTCGATTTTCAACGAAAAAAACCAGCTTTTTTTCTGATTGATGTTCAAATTTTTACACGATTTTTTTCTCATTTCTGTTCAAATTTAGCATTTACGAGAGCTCAAAATTCTCTTTATTTGTAAATTTTTTTGGCATAATCTTTTTTTAATTTTTCTCCAATTTTTCAACGAAAAAAAACCTATTTTTTTCCGATTCCTGATCAAGTTTTGCACTAAAAAAAGCTCAAAATTTATTTATTCGTAATATTTTTTTGGCATAATCTCTCCTTCTTACTTCAGAGTCATCATTAAAAAAAGCTTACAGCTTCCTTTTTTTCTCTAGTTTAATTTTTAACCTTTGGGGCCTTTTTTTCACGTTATAATAACCTTCTTTCTTTGTAAATTATTTTTTTCTAAGGCTTGAATAGATTTTTTTCCGATCTTTCTTTTTTTGTCATTCTCTTCCAATTTTTTTACACTATAATGACCTTTTTTTCTTCAAATATTAATTTTATAAGGATTTACTATTTTTTTTTCAGCTTTTTTGTTGCATTTTCTTAAGTTTTCACATTATAATGGCCTTCTTTTCTTCATATGTTATTTTTCCGAGCTTCCTTTATGTCATTTTCTACCAATTTACTCATTATAATGATCTTCTTCCCTTCAAATATTTTTTTCTAAGGCTTGAATTTTTTTTTTTCAGCGTTCTTGTTGCAATTTTCTCAAGTTCTCACATTATAATGACCTTCTTCCCTTGTAAATTATTTTTTCTAAGGCTTGAATAATTTTTTTCCAGTAACCGGACCCCTTTCCGAGCTTCAAATCGCCTTCGTTTGCAGGGAAACCCTGAAAGGACTCGATTATCTTCATAAAATGGCCAAGGTTTTTCAATTTTTGTATTTTATGAAGCTTTTTTCATGATTTTTTTAGGTCCATCGTGACATTAAAGGCGCAAATATTCTGCTCACCAATAGTGGCGACGTGAAATTAGGTAATTCAATACAAAAAAATGTTGTTTTGAAATGAGAAAATTGTGATTTTTCAGCCGATTTTTGGTGTGGCGGCTCAAATTACGGCCACGATTGGCAAGAGGAAATCGTTTATTGGAACGCCTTATTGGTAATTTTTGGGGTTTTTTTAAAATATAGACCATACAGAAAATGATAATTTTTAGCATTTTGACTGAATTTCAATGATATTCTGAAGGCAAAAAAATATAATTTTTTTCAAAAAAATATAACTTTTTTTCAACGGAAAAAAAATTATTTTTTTAGTAATTTTAGGATTTTTCCAGGCTTCTAGAGTTTGAAAATTGCCTAAAAATGAATTTAAAAATTTTTTTAGGCGATTATTTTTGAGGAAATGTAAAATTAAATAGGTGAAGTTCTAAAAAAAGAAAATATAATTTTTTTAAAAAAATTTAATTTATTTTTTTCAACGAAGGAAAATGGATTTTTTTCAGGCTTTTAGGCTCCGAAAAAAATGCTCATAAATTGAAATTAAGGATTTTTTTGTGCGGTTTTTTTGTGACGAAATGTAAATTTTTTTCCAAAGCCTTGACCATTTGGAAAATGAAATAAATAAATTTTTCAGGTTTGTATCGTTCAAAAAAACTGCTCAAAAAAATGAGATTAATATTTTTTTATTTTTGTTATTTTTTTGAACGAGTTGAAATTGCTGACATTCTAAGGACAAAAAAATATAATTTTTTTAGAAAAATTGAAATATTTTTTTGAACAGAGGAAAGCGGATTTTTCCAAAGCCTTGCCCATTACGAAAATAAAATTATGAAATTTTGAGGCTTCTAGGGCTCAAAAACTGATTGAAAAACGAAATTGAGATTTTTTTTAAGCCGTTCTGGGGCAATTTTTGAGGAATGGATGCTTTCTTTTCCTGCTGAAAATTTTAACGCTTTGATTGATTTTTTAAATTCAATTCTGGCAATTCTATCGACTTTTCCCCCTCAGGATGGCCCCTGAAGTAGCCTGTGTGGATCGTCGTGGCGGTTACGGTATGCAATGCGACGTTTGGGCCACGGGAATCACGGCGATCGAGTTGGGCGAGTGCCAACCGCCGCTCTTCGATCTCCATCCCATGCAGGTGATTTTTGGGCTTTTCCAATGTTTGTAGTGATTTTTCGAGGTTCGAAATGAAAGTTAGAGAATGAAAGAAACTACTGAAACATTAGAGAGTCAGAGACTCAAAATGAAAGTTGGAGAAAATGAAATATAACTGAAGTTTGAGAGAGTCAAAATTACAGTCAGAAAATAGGAAAGATAATGGGGATTGGAGAGAGTTAGAGATAATTTTTCGCGAGATCCAAAAAAACGGTCAGATAATAAGAAAGATAACTGAATTTTGAGAGAGTTGGAGATCATTTTGAACATTCGAATTCATATTAGTTAGAGAAGAAAAAAGATAACGGAAGTTTGAGAGAGTTAGAGATAATTTTTGCGAATCTCGGAAGAAAAAGTCAGAGGATAGGAAAAACAACTAAAACTTGAGAGAGTTAGAGACATTTTGAACATTCGAGTTCAAAATAGTTAGAGAAGGGAAAAGATAATGCAATCTTTAGAGAGTCAGAGATAATTTCGATTTTTGTAAGATTCAAAATGAAAGTTAGAGAATGGGAAACATAACGAAAAATATGGAGATTCAGAGAAAATCCTGAATTTCGCGATATTTCAAATAACAGTCAGAGAAGTTTGAGAGGGTTAGAGATTATTTTCAACTTCGCCCAAAAAAAAAACGTTCAGAGAAAGGAAAAGATAACTGATTTTTGAGAGAGTTAGAGATAATTTTGAACTCTACGATATTCAAAAGAACAATCAGAGAAGGGAGAAAGCGCAAACTTTGGGGAGACAGAGAATGGAAAATAGAACGGAAACTTGAGAGAATCAGAGATTTTTCTGAATTTTGTGAAGTTAAAAATGGTTAGAATCTGGGAAAGATAATTGAAATTTGAGAGAGTCAGAGATTATTTCGCGGGGAATGAGAAGAACAGTCAGAGAAAGGAACAGATAACGGAGTTTTGAGAGAGTTGGAGATTATTCCGAATTTTTTGGGGTTCAAAGAAACTGTCAGAGATGTGAAGAGATAACTAAATATTGAGAGAGTTAGAGATAATTTTTTTTTTTCGCAAAAGTCGAAAGAACAGTTAGATATTGGGAATGATAACGGAAACTTTGAAGAGTCAGAGAAAAGAAAAGATAACTGAATATTTAGAGAGTTAGAAATAATTTTGGAGTCTGCGATATCCAATAGAACAATCAGAGAAGGGAGAAGACAGCGCAAACTTTCGAGAGTCAGAAAATGGAAAATAGAACGAAAATTTGAGAGAGTTAAAGATAAATTTGAACGTCAAACGATGAATCAATTTAAAAAAGAAATCCGAATTTTAAAAACACCTAAACCAGACAATTTCCAGGTGCTCTACCTCATGACGAAAAGCGGCTACAAGCCGCCCCATTTAAAGGACAAACATCGATGGTTTTCCTCAGAAAGTTTCCACAATAAAAATGTCATTTTCAGGTCCCCATTGTTCCACGATTTCGTCAAGCAATGCCTGACAAAAAACCCAAAAAAACGGCCCTCGCCGGAAAAATTACTAGCCTCCCATCCGTTCATTCTGGGCTCCTTGTCGTCGAGGATGACCAGGGATTTGCTAGACAAGGTCGGGAATTTTATGAGAGAAAATAGTCCATTTAAGGTACCTTTTACTGGAAAAATTCTACCTTGAGTTTTGAAAAATTGAAATTTACTGTTCAAAAATCCTTGTTAAGATGGTGAAAAAGCGAAAAATTGTTGGATTTGATGGTTTTTGAAGCTTTTTGGAATGCATTTTCGAGAATTTTGAGGGAAATAAAAATAATTCTTGGGTTTTTTTGTACCTTATGATTTTTTAAAAAAACTTAATTCTCATAAAAAAATAATGTGGGAATCTTCATTTTTTTGTAAAGAAAGAGCGAAAAAAATGGATATTCCTTGAAAAAAATAAGGGTTTTTTTCAATTTTTTAAAAAAATGAATTTTTGATTTTTTTGAAGTTTTTTTGTAATGGATTTTGAAGGATTTTTGAGGGTAGTGATTCTTGATTTTTTTGTACCTTAAGATTTTTTTAGAGCCCAATTTTCACTAAAATCTTGAGAGTTTTTCATTTTTTTGTGGATGAGACGCGAAAAAAAAGTGGGATTTCATTGAAAATTAATGGTTTTTTTGAAGCTTTTTGGAAGAGATTTTTGAAGAATTTTGAGGGGAATAAAAATAATTCTTGGGTTTTTTTCGTACCTTATGATTTTTTTAAGAACCTTATTTTTCACTAGAATCACAGGGAAACCTCATTTTTTTCTGTAAAAAAACGAGCGAAAAAAAGTTGAATTTGATAGAAAAAAAAAGTGGTTTTTGAAGCTTTTTGGAATGGATTTTCGAGAATTTTGAGAGAAAGAACAGTTATTTTTCGATTTTTTTACTGTACCGAAATTTTTTTAAGAACCTGATTTTCACTAAAATTGCAAGGAAACCTCATATTTCTGTAAAGAACGACCGGAAAAAGTGAAAAAAAAATTTTTTTGAAGCTTTTTGAAGGTATTTTTGAAGAGTGTTAAGGGTAGGGACAGTGATTTTTTTGGGTTTTTTTCTGCACCTTATAGTTTTTTTAAAAAAATCTAATTTCCATCAAAAACCTCATCAAAACTTTAATTTTTCTTTTTAAAAACGACCGAAAAAAAGTTGAATGAAAAAAATATGGTTTTTTTGAAGATTTTTAGAGTCGATTTGAAGAATTTAGAGGGAAATAAAAAAATAATTCTTGGTTTTTTTGTACCTTGTGATTTTTTTAAAAATCATAACTTCCACTAAAAATAACATTGTAACATTTATTTTTTTGTACAGATTCGAAAAATTTCAGGTCAACGGGACATCGAAAAATTTCGCCGAGGAGATGAAGCAGGTGGAGGATTTGACGGAGGAGAGCGATTTCGACGAAGTCGGGATATTCTGAAAGTCTTCTGGAAGAGAATATTCTCTTTTTAGGACCCCAGGACTCCAGAAGCCGTACCGATTCGGATAGGTCTTCCTTCCCAACTGAACGGCCTTCGAATCGACTCGAAAGCTTTGAATTTCGAATCGCCGCCAACTCCGAAAGCGGGGAATGGGAAAGGAGCCCCTTCGAGGGGATACCATTCCGAAAGGACCCTGCCTGCAAGGGTTTGTCTTTTGGGGACTACCTGACGAGCCTTTAAAAATTTATTGATTTTTTTTTGGCCGTAAAAATCACATGTTTCAAAGACGCCTTTCTGACTGAAGTTTGAAAAGCTTAGGGACTTTTGGAGTTTCCCCTATAGGGACCACTTAACCTTCTCCTAAAGGGAACACTCTATCTTTCTCTGTAAGGACCACTGAAGCTTGTAAAAGTGGTCCTTCTAGGGGGTTTAGTTAGTGACCACTGAAGCTCGCAAAAACCCCCTAGAAGGACCACTTCTACAAGCTTCAGTGGTCTCTATAGCCCATATGGGTGACGTGCTAGGGGTTCCTGAACGACTTTTCAATACGTATTTTCATCTTTCTAAACCCCTATAGAGGCCACTTGAGCTTGAAGACCCTGTAGGGGCCACTTTCAACCTAGGGGTCAGCTTTCTGAAGTTTGAAAAAATGAGAAAGTCCAGAGTGGTCGCTATAGGGGCGAAATTCGGGGCCTTGGAAGCTCCTCTCTAGGGACCACTTTACCCCCTCTATAGGGCCCACTCAAGCTTTGGGGGCTTAAGGGTCAGGCCGTAATCTCCTGTAGGACCCACTTAAATTTTAGCCTTTTAAGGGACCTTTTTTGTCCCCTAAAGAGGTTTTTTTTTTCTTCTAACCCCTGTAGGGACCACTTCAGATTCTGGGGCTTAGGGATCAATACCTAAATCTCTATAGGGACTAGCTAAAATTTTGCCTTATAAGAAGATCTTTTGTCCCCTATAGGGACCACCTGAGCTGATATCTTGGAAAGTTCAGCCCTAAAGGCTCAAAATACCTAAGAAACGCCCTTATCTTCACGTCACGCTCTAAGGAAAACTCCTTATCGAGTCCCAAACCTCGAAAATAAAGATAAGAGAAGCCTTCAGGACATGCCGCCACTTCCCGACGTCGTCGGCGGCGATGCTCTTCTCCAAGGCGGCGATGGCGTCCTTCATGAGGAGGATGGAACTTTGAAAGGTTCCACCTCGAAGCTTTTCTCCTTGAGCCGGACTTTTTCAGGACCCCGAGCCCCGCCCCGAACTCTCAGAGCGGCCCAGAGAGCTCTCCTGGAACAAAGACCGTCGTCAGTCGTTCTCAGGCCTTCCTCGGCTTCCGCCTCCTCGGTAGATGAGCCAAGGCCTCACACCTTCTTTGGGCTTCCCGTCACGCCAGAGGTTCTTGTTGGGAAAATAGAAGGAGGGGGATTGTCGTTTTTTGTGAAAATCGGAAATTTCTCGCCTCATTTTGAATTTTTCCTTTTACAGTACTGGCCATAAAGGTATTTCAAAGTGGTTATTCGAGCATAACTTCTCTGAAAGTGGCTCAAATGACTTGAAACTTTGCAAAAATTTCAAATAGCTACGCAGTAACTTTTTCCCGAAAAAAAACTTGTTTGCTCAAGTCAGACCGGATTTGAGAGCAAAAAAACCAAAAAAATCGTGAAAATCAAGATTTTTTTCTCTTGAGATTCGAAAAAAATCATATCTTCAAAGAAACTTCGTTTTCGAACCAGAAACATTTTTTTCCCCAGTAAAACAAGTCTTTGGCTTTCCAAAAAAACCTAATCAGCCCCTCACCAACCCGATAGTAAGAGCGTAGTGACTTTTTCTTCGAAAGGCCCTTGCGTTTTGAAGCCTCCTCATTCAAATGGACTATACGAGGTCATTTTTTGTTTGTGAACACCCTGTATCATGTTGAAAAAAACTTTGAAACACCCTCAAAAAAAAGTTTCACACTGATTTCTTCAGTTTTCTCACTTTATCTGCTCTCCAGAACTCACTAACTTCACCAGGACCGATTTTGAAACCTCTGATTTGAACAGTTTTTCTGGACTTTCGGGCGTTCAAAGTAGTTTGTATCTGGTCAATCGCTTTTAAATCGTGAATTTGAAAATAATTAATGGCTAAATTTCAGGCTCCTACATCCTGAAGACTGCTAAATTTTTTGCTGAAGCATTAGTTTCACAAGATCAAAAACTTATTTTCCCATAAAGTTTAAAGAAACTTTTTACAGTGCCTATCTTTGATCTGAGAGCTAGAAAAAAAGGAGTTAAAAAAATTTATCTCATGATCTAAAACATTTAAAAAAATATGAAAAAAAGGGGTTTTTTTATCATCTTCCACAAGATTTGGAGCCCTCTAAGCAACACTTGCTGAAACGAAGTTTTGAGAACTTTAAGAAACTCATTATAACTCACTATATCTTGCGAATAAGTAAGCAAAAACACAGTGGGTCTTCTTTTTTTTTTATTCATCAAGGTTCTAAAGAAGCTCTGAAATCTGAAATGAGAAATCGAGAATGTTCTGATTTTGAAAAAGGAGCATAACCGCTTCAAATCAGAGGTTTCAAAATCGGTCCTAGTAATGTTAGTGAGTTCTGGAGAGCAGATAAAAGTGAGAAAGCTGAAGAAATCAGTGTAAAACTATTTTTGAGGGTGTTTCAAAGTTTTTCAACATGATACAGGGTGTTCTCAAACCAAAATGACCTCGTATAGTCCATTTGAATGACGAAGCGTCAAAACGCAAAGGCTTTCCGAAGGAAAAGTCACTACGCTCTTACTATCGGGTTGGTGAGGGGCTGATTAGGTTTTTTGGAAAGCCGAAGACTTGTTTTACTGGGGAAATAAGTTTCTGGTTCGAAAACGAAGTTTCTTTGAAGATATGATTTTTCGAATCTCAAGAGAAAAATCTTGATTTTCACGATTTTTGGTTTTTTGCTCTCAAATCCGGTCTGACTTGAGCAAACAAGTTTTTTTTCGGGAAAAAGTTACTGCGTAGCTATTTGAAATTTTTGCAAAGTTTCAAGTCATTTGAGCCACTTTCAGAGAAGTTATGCTCGAATAACCACTTTGAAATACCTTTATGGCCAGTACTGTAATAGATGTACCTCAATCACCTCAAATCAATCTTTTTTTTTTTTGAAGGAGGGCGGGGCGGGGAATTTTTAGTTTTTAGTAAAATGCGAAATCCCCCCGTATACTTTGAGTTATTCGTTAGATTGAGTTTGCCTAAATCACTTTGAATCAGTTGTCCTTTTTTTAGAGGGGAATCTTTTTGTTTTTGTGGGAATCAAAATCTCCCCCTTAAAAGTGGCAATTTTTTTCCTTGCCATCATACCGTTAAAATCTCAGTTAAACGCTTAAAAAGCGGAATTTTCTGAAGCTCAGTTCTCACAGCATCGAAGCTTTTCGACGTCTTCTGGATTTCAGGTGGCCATGGGTGCCTGCTTCACCAAGCTGATCGATGAGTGCGAACTTCGCGTCAATTGCGCGGCTTCTTGGGTCCATCCGATGACCAACGCTCAGATGTTGCTCCTCGGAACCGAACAGGGCATTTACTCCCTGGACACGACCGCTTTCCCGGACGCTTGCTTGACTCAGGTGAGATATTCGGAACGAGGAAAACTGGTGAAGTTAGCTTGAGAGGCATATTCGATCAATGAAAACAGGGATTTAATTCACATTTTCGGATAGCCCGGAAGCACGTTGCGATTGAAATAGTCCCATTGTCGGATAGTCCGGGGTCTGCCCGCGATTTGAAGTAGTCGGGTCGCCCCGGGCCGAATACTTCAAAAAAGAAGTCGTGACATTTTCGGGCAGTACCGGGTTGTCCCGGGATTTGAAGCAGTCAACCCGGGCGACCCGATCCACGAAGGGGTCACATTTTCGGGTAGTCCCAGGACGGCCCGTGTTTTGAAGGAGTCGCATGGGGCGACCCGGCCAACGAAGTGGTCACATTGTCGGGTACCGGGTCGGCCCGCGTTTTGAAGGAGTCGCCACGGATCGACGCGAGGAGTTTTCACATTGTCGGGTATTCCCAGGTCAGCCCGTGTTTTGAAGGAGTCGCATGGGGCGACCCGACCAACGAAGTGGTCACATTGTCGGGTAGTCCCGGGTTGCCCCGCTATTTGAATCAGTCTCAAGGGGTGACACGACCCGCGAAGTGTTCACATTCTCGGGTAGTCCCGGGTTGCTTCGCGATTTGAATCAGTCGCCCCCGGGCACGTTGCGGTTGCCCTGGGATGACCCGCGTCATCAGCATCTCTGAGTACTTTTGAATTTTCGGGCATCTCAAGGGTGGCTGCTAACTTTTCATCAATTTTTTTTTTGATAGTTTTTATCGAAGCTAGAACGTTAGATTGAACTAAATTAAAATGATTTCCATTTTTCTTCCAGATCCATCATCGCCGGTGTTCCTGGATGTTCGTGCATTCGGATCGGTTAGTAGCCATCCAAGGGAAAACTCCATATTTGTACAGGTCTTTATTGGGAGTCACTCAAAATCATCCCGAATTTTGTGACTTCAGACACGATCTTCTCGCCTTGACGCAAAAGAACCTGACCCTGAAGATGAGCAAACCGATGAACAAAGTCCCAGAAAAATACATTCCGAAAAGGCTGGCGATTACCGTTCGAATGCCGGAAACTAGGTGAGTTTCGGGGAAATGATGGTTAGTTAAAAAAACCCTTGAAAATCCAAGATCGTAAGAAAATAGTCGCTAAAGTAGTCCCTAGAGTGATAAAGTTAGGGGCTTTTGTAGGCTCCCCTCAAGGGACCACCTTACTTCTTCGTGAAGGGGCCAATAAAGCTAGCAAAAGAGGCCACTCTAGGGGTGCATGCTAGTCGTCTCTATACGTCTTTATAACTTTAAAATCAGAACAGAAAAATGAAGGACCTCTCTAGGGACCACTTAAGGGTCATACCCCAGCTTCCTATAAGGACCGCCTAAATTTTAGCCCTCTAGGGAACACTATTTTGCCTACGGAGCTTCTTTTTCACTAATCCCTTTAATTATCACTACGGCGTTCCTGAATAACTTGAAAGTTTCCACGCTCTAATGATAATTTGGGAAGGGCAACGAAAACCGGACGTTTCTGAAAGTTTCTAGTGGCCACTTTAGCGGCCAGTAGTTGATGAAAATATAGACTAAAGTGATCACTTGAACTTGAGAGTGGCTACGCCGCTAAAGTGATCACTAGAAAAGAAGAGTTCTAACTCCGCGGAAGTGACCACTAGAGCTTGAGAGTTCCGACGCCGCTAAAGAGTGCTCTAGGACGTGAGAGTGCTAACGACGCTAAAGTGGTCACTAGGACATGAGAGTGCCAGTCCCCCCCTTTTAAGTGGTCACTAGAACCTGAGATTGCCGACGCCACTTAAGTGATCACTAAAAAGGCTCAAAAACGTACCTCCACTATACGTTACCGAGGTTCAAGAAACCATGAAAAACATTTTTGACGGAAATTTTGCGCTTCAATGGTATTTTTTGTTTGTATAATTATACTCTGAACGAATTCACATGGATGAGGTATACTATAAAGATGTTAGTTTGAACTTTTGTCTACAAGAATCGCGGATGATAAAATAATTAGAAAACTGAAGAATATTCTGCAGAGGCGTCATGCAATGCACTGTAAAGAAGGGCGACGGCGCCCATTCGAACTCCCTATTTTTATGCTGTTGTGTCCCGAACGCCGTTCATTTGTTCCAATGGTGAGACGCTTCGAAATGAATTCAACTCAAAAAAATTATTCTTAGGTACGACCCAATGCAACAATTCTTGCTGGTCAGAACGTCAGGCCTTCGAACCAACACCAAGTTCCCCTTGAAACCTTTCAGCGTTCGTTTCCGTCTTTCATAAGCTATATCTCTGACCTTCCTGCGCCCTCTTTCCTCTCACGGGAATGATTGGAAAAGCACGAGAGGGCCCAGACAAGTCAGAGTGTGGAATCATTCCATTTTCAGCTGGTCAACACGAGATCCTCCGATTTTCCGATCCTCTGTGTTGGCGTTCGAAAAATGGCCACCCAAAAAGAGTACCATTTCGAGTGGATCCGATTCGAAGCCAATTCTAAGGTTTTCCTCGAAAATCCAAAAAGGTAATTAAAAAATGGCTTCAGATTCCCGACGAAGATCCATCTGGAGTATTTTCCGAGGATGAAACTTTCGATGTCTGTAGTTTGCACCAAATCGACCGGGATACGCTTTGTTTCGCGTTTCGAAATAAGGTGATTCATGTCAAAAAAAAATGGATATTTTCCAGGTTACGGTAGCTGCTTTCGTGTATGCACTAGAAGCATTAGACCTTACGAGCAAAATAAAAGTATTGACAATTGAATTCGGTTTTGAGACTACGGTTGTTCTATTTCGGTGTATGCACTATAAGCATAAGATCTCACGAGCAAATTGACAAAATACTGAAAAATTAAATTTTTAATTTGTGAGTTTACGGTAATTTTTTTGATGATTGCACTAGACACATTAGATCTCACGAGCAAAAACCAAAATATTGTTGAAAATTATGTTTGTGTTTTTCGAGACTACGGTAGTAGTAGTCCTAATTAGGTGTATGCACTAGAAACATTAGATCTGACGAGCAAATTGAAAACAAAATCATATTAAGGTGGTACTAACCGACTTCTACGGCGTCGAAAAGCCCAAGCCCTCAATATTCACCTTCAACTTCCATGTAGAGTACCTTCACGTCCTGAACGATTCAGTCCTCGCTTTCCACGCCAACGGAGTGCAGGTACTTCCCGGCAAAAACCCCGACGGGACTCGAACCTGAGAGTGTTTCAGGGCCGCTGCCTGAAGACCAATCTCAACACTCAGGAACTATGTGACGTCTCGCGGCTCTACAGAGTCATCGGCGATGATAGGTGAGGCTTACGGTGGGACGTACTGTAGTGGGATCTAGGTTTTCCGGTTACTGTAGCTTCTTTAAAGGTTTCTTCGTGGGAAAAGATTAAAGTTCAGGTGTTTCTAGTGAATATTACGGTGGGTTACTGTAGTTTTTATGAGGCAAGACATAAGAGTACTGTATCTTTCAATAACCTGTGTATTTTCGTCCCAAGAACTTCTTTCAGAGCCATCGTCCTGAAATCCCAGCAGTTGACGAACGGAAACACGTGCGACATCAGCTTGCTCACCGGACACACCGATTTGCTCTCTACTATATAACCCCCTATTTGTCTTGAAATTGCCATTTTATGTATATTTCGCCGCTTGTTCTTCTAAATGCCAAAAATCCGTGTCACGAAAATGTCGTTCAAAGTCATTGTAGTATGTATTTGCTTGAAACTTGTATATCCCAGGGATCTGATAAAATAGCCGCTTTTCTAGTCAAGTTTCCCATGCAAGTGCGCTCTATCGAACTAGGCTTGAAAAGCTTTTGATTTATTTTAGAATTGTCTTTTTTGAACTCGCAATGCCTCCTCGGATCTCGGTAAAGCAAACTGAACGTTTTTGAGCTTTCCTAGTGACCCCTTTAGGGGCTTCGATACTCTTAAGTGGTCCCTAGAAATGCTCAAAAGAGTGCGGTTTACCAAGGCCCAACCTTTTGCTCGAAAACTCAATTGTTCGCTAGAGCGCACTTGACCCGATCATCCCAGAACTTCTTTCTCTATTATTAACTCCTTTTTTGCTAACCCCCTCATTTTTCGCTTCTAATTTATTCGATTAATCCGATACTCATATCCTAGTTCTTACCCTAATTTCTTCCTTTCATATCCCCCACACTGCATAAATGCGAAAAAAACGATTGTCATGCCCTAGAAAAAATGAAAAAAGCTCTTTCAAAATAGTGTGTAGAGATCTCCCTCGTACATAGTTTTTTTTATTATTTATTTTTTTTGAATTGCTTCGTTTTTTTCACTTATCTGCACCTTTCTTTCTTTCTTTTTGGTTAAAACCAGGATTTACTACGCTTTTTTTTGGTTGAACTTTGTGCACGCCATATAAATGAATTATTTTTTTCTAATCCAGTTAATCATCTGAAACGTGTTACTTGTACCCTTGTAATGTTTATCTTTCGCAGGGTTCAAAGTAATTTCTGCGTTATAACGCAGAATCGAAAAATTTTTCGAAATTAAGTATACTGTATCCACGATATCCGTGAACACTGATATCAAAATCTTGCGGTAAATGCGCCAAATTCAAAAAAATTGGGTTTTTCTCTTTTTTTGCTTTTTTTCTGTAATTTTTTTAGAGCTTATTTACAGTTAAATTAAGAAAAAAATGTATTACTAATTTGAAAAATAATCACTTTCTTTCATACAAAAAGCCACTTTCTTTCGTGTTTATTACAAGAAATTTGAAACCGTTTTTCGTTATTTTTGATTTTTAAACAGAGCGGATTCAGAATCACATTTATTTCTAATTATTAATCGAATTAGTTTTTAAGCGAAAATTCGTCTGAATTTAGTGAATTTGACGCGTCTGATGTGAAACAATCTCGGCGCTTTGACCTCCGAGGTCAAAATTTTTGAACCTTCTCAAAAAAGACTTGCCATTCCCGAAAAAAATTTACATGAGACGCTTCTTCAAATAATAGGAATTCAGAATCGCCAAGACTAGTTTTATTCGGTCTTAAATAATTTAGGAACTCTTGAATGATGGTGCGAATGCTTTTGAATTTTCTATTGAAGAAGAAGCTTTTTTAAGAAGAAACCTGTAAAGATAACCTTTTCAACATTTTTCAAAAGTTCACAGAACTATTCAAATACCATTCATCTATTATTCTATTGCGTCCATAGAAATCACATCAAAAATTGTGATAAGTCACAAAAAAGAAACAACATTCAAATCTTTTGAAAATTTTTTAATTCTGACGGACCACTTTTCTACTTCGAGAGTCACTAACGGTCAAAAAAAGACAAGTAAATAATCCTAAAATGCAATAAAAAAACAATAATAATATGGGAAATAAAACAATTCAAAAAAATAAAGGGAAGAAAGAACTCAGGCACTGGTGGCGCACGCGGGGGTACTGATTCTTTTTTTCGCCTTTTACACTAAAAATAAGGTTTTTGAAATATTTTTTTATATTTTTTTGTGATATTACCCAGTGCCCCTGCTCACGTTTTTAAAGTTGTTCCGAGCACTTTAGAACAAATTTATGAAAAAAAGTTGCCAAGTGAAACTTTGATATTTCACATTTTTTTGCAATCTAATTGTTATAAACTGGTGCAGAGCAATGTTAAGAGATAAACAGACATGAAAAATATTAAATTTATAACTTTTCAATTAGTTAAAAAGCTAAAAAACAAAAGAGACACCCCGCGCGAGCGCGCAGCAGGCGGCGCGCATGCGCACTTTTGGCAACAAACACGCGCCGTCAGTGCCTGAGAACGTTACAAGAGCCGCGTAAATCAACGAGAAGTGCGCGTAAAATGAGATACGCCTTCTGCAATGACGCGGTGTTCACGGTTGAGCGAACTACAGTAACCGCCAAAAACCGAAAACCTAATTCTTCTTTCTTTTTTTCTCATTTCGGACGCATGTAAACCAAATATTTCAAAGAAGTCATCCCTAAGAAAGCTGAAATCAAGACAAATCCATTGGTAAAATGAGAAAATAGGTTACAATCGAAAGAGGAGATCACAACGGATAAAAAAAAAACTGGGCTTCGAAGTCCCTAACTTTAAAAAAAAACGAGTTAGAACTTTCCAAAGTCTGGAAGTTTTCAATTTGTTTTCTAGATAATTTTGAGGTGGATTTTCTTTTCAGAATTTATTCCTGCTTCAATACTTTGAAATTTTAACTGAACTTCAGGTTCATCCAGCATTTTTTTCAACAATTACTTCATTTTTCACATATGAAGTCCTCCAGTGATTTCCAAAGTCGTGCCGGTGATGTAGGAGGAAAGATCGGAGGCAAAGAAAACGACGCCGTCGGCGATTTCCTTCGCTTCGCCCATCCTTCCCATCGGGATACCTGTGCAAATTTTTGCCAGTACCTGAAAATTCCCAAAAAAGTGCTTGTTTATAACGCTTTGGTCGCACTTTGAATGGCTCGAAGCGTTTTAACCGGATTCGAGCTCAGAACCGATTTAAAAGGAGCTTCTCCTTATAGCTTCCTATAGCCCTTCTACGCAACCCTGTCACGTCTTTCCGCCAAAAAGACCGTATACCCAATTGTAACCAAATTGAACATTTTCGCTTCAAGACCTTCTTTTTTTTTGTTGTGTTTCTCAGCAGTTTTGTAGAGCAAAGGTTTCTGTTTTCGGTGGTTTTTTTCTGTTCTTTTAAAACGTGACCGTCTCGCGCGGAGTGTATTATATGAGCACAGGCGCGAACTTTTTCAAGTCGGGCGCGTTTCAAAACTGCCATTCCTCAGCCGCGACGCTCCGAGCCATTCTACGTGCGACCACGAGTTCATCAACCATAATTTGAAAACCAGCGTCAAAACGATGCTTTCTAATAATCAAAAAAGCAAAAAAAAATCGTTTCTGAGCTTCTCCAAGTTTCATGAATTTCTTCAAAAAGTAGTACTTTCAATCGATAGACCGGAAAATATCTAGAAATCTTGGTTACCATTTTTTAAGAGCTGAAATCTCCCTCCAGTCTGTTTTCTTCAAGCACGTCTACAAATTAAACTTGCATCTCTTGCATTTTTTTTTGAATTTACCTACCTTCAAATAATAGATCATACAATAAATTTTTTTATTTTGAAAAAGCTATCGATTCAATTTCGAAACCGACTTGCTCAGGCATAGCGGCAGTCATGGGCGTCTGAATGAACCCGGGAAGAATGGCGTTTACTCGGATTCCCTGGAAAAAAATCATTCATTTTGAAACTCTGTAAAATAAACTCTAAAAAAAAGTCCTAAATTACATATTGCAGAATAAAAAAAATTACCGAGCGTAACAGGGTACTGAGAATAAGCCGGTCAAAAAAATCTACAAAATACTCTTGAAAACTGTTTTTTTCTCATATTTTTCTAAGTCAAATGTTCTTCAAGACCCTCATATGATTAGAACGAGAAAAAAAGTATCTTTCTTTTGAAAAAAAAACTTTTTCAATGCTATTTCAGGTTAAGCAAGATTTCGTACCATAAAAAATCTCTAAAGAAAAGTAATTTTTTTCAATCCATACAGAAGTTGTTTCTGAAAATTCGGCCCAAGTTCGACTTTGAGCATTTTAATCTAGTATATTTCAAAGCCAAATTTCAAAAAGAGCCAAATAAAAGTATTATCTGTTTCACGAGAATATTTAATTAGTGAGTCCAAAAATACTTTGAAGTTCGAACGAACCAAAAATTTTCTATCATTCTTGCAATTCAATCAATCGACGTCCCAACACGCCTTACAAAAACAAAAGCTGAGGCTCGCGAGTTGCAAAAAGAGAAATCTCCTCTTTCTGCCCACTATTTTCTCCTGGGCGGAAGACCGTTCGCCCTTTTCACGCTTCTTCTCCTTTTTTTTGAGGTCTTGACTCACTCGTCATCTTATTTTATTTGCCTTTTTTCGTGCTTATTTTTTATTTTCTCTCCATAATTATTCGGTTATTACAAGTGGAAGTAAATTTAAAACAGTAAAAAAATAACTAGCGAAACTTTTTTTAATTCTACTAGAAAATAATAGAGAAAATCCTATTTGATAACGTTTTTACAGCTTATAAAGGCGATTCCGCGCCAGCTTGTCACACTTTTTATTTTTCCTAAGCTACAGAACCCTTCCGGGAAGATTCCCTTCAATGCACACGGCACATTTCTGTGCATGCGCCTTTTAATCTTACTGTAACTTCAAGGCTAAAATTTATCTTACTGTAACTTCAAGGCTAAATTAAAGGCGCATGCACAACGACAGCCCGCGCACATCAAAGGGAAGGGTTCTGTCGTTCGGAGAAAAAAAATCGTGACAAGCTGGCGCGGGATTGGCTATTAACAGAAAAATCCTGTTTTATCATAAAAAAAAATTACGCAGCCAAAAAAAAATTCATTTAGTGAAGCGTTATAAGTTTATCGTTAAAAAACGTCAAAAAATGTTCCTCAATAATAAAACACAGTTAAACTCAAGTCACAGTATTTTTAAAACCAACCTTTTGAGCCAATTCCTTCGCCGCGGATTTAGTGAATCCAATCACGCCGGCCTTTGTAGCGGCATAATTCGTTTGGCCAAAATTTCCGACCTACAACTAATATTTATTTCACAAATCAAACCTAAAATTGAAGACATACCTTTCCAACAATAGAAGAAACATTTACAACGCTCAAAGGTTTCTCTGACTCAACTGATGCCCTGGCGAAGGCTTGGGTTATCTGAAAATAACCAACTTAATTTTTAAAAAACCGAAAAATTACCTACTAAATAAATTCCAGTCAAATTGACGCCGATCACCGCGTCCCAGCTAGCTTTCGGCATTTTCAACAGTGTTGAATCCTTGAAAACGGTATTTTTCATGGACACTTTCAAACTTTTGTGATTCCAGCGCAGTTGACGAGTATTGAGGGCGAAGATCCTAGTTTGGTAATGGCAAAGTCCTTGAGGCTTTTGACGCTCTCTTCCTGTTGAATCATAAAAAGTTCCAAGAGAAAAAAAAAAAACAAGAAGAAACCTTGGAAACATCACAGGCAAAAGCTGCATTTCCTTCGGCTCCAATCTCTTTCAAAGTCTCTTCGGCGGATTTAACTTGTAAATCAGCTATAATGACACGGGCACCTTGCGAAGCCAACGCATGGCAAACCGCTTTTCCTATTCCGGAGCCACCGCCTGAAAAATTGATAAAATTTCTTTAAAATTCAAAGACTTTTACCAGTAACGACAGCTAGCTTTGACGTTAACAAACTCGACGTCATTGTATTCAATATATCAAAACAGAAATACCCGTGAAATTGAATAAATAAAAAGAAACAAAAAGAAAAATCTTTCGTAAATTAACAAGAATGATGCGCCTTTAATAGTGTTCGCGTCAGAGCTCGTTTCGTAAATTCATTTCAATTCTTTTTTTATTTTGATGTTGCAAGTTGTTTTTTTTCGCTTTTTATTGTTTTTCCACGAATAAATGATAAAGATGAAGAGGCTGATCAAAAGAAGGCAAATGAGGTAGTTTTTCTAACAAATTTTGGTGAAAACTTGCGGTCAGAATGTTTTTTTGATGAGCGAATTTTTTTCATCGTAATTTTTTTTTTCAAATGTGTCATTTACAGATATTCAAATGAATTCGACTATTATTGATCTAACGGACGAGGATGAAAATAAGGTGGGAAGCTATTGAGTTCTTGGACTGACCATTTTTTTCGTTTCAGAACATCATAATAGAAAATCGAAAAAGAGTTCGTTTGGATGGCCGTGTTTGCCTGGACAATGTGCCGAGACTTTTTGATGATCATGGCTTTCCCCTGAAGCTTAACGACGATGTGATCAATTTCTTCTTGGGCCAATACTTGCCAAAGTATGGTTTCGCAGAGCAATCGTGAGTTTTTTGAATATTTGCTTTGAAAAGCCTCAGTTTTGGTTTTTACTTCTGTCATAGATAATCCCAACTGTTTTAAAAAGTGAAGATTTTCAGGAAAAAAGAAATCGCGGTTTTCGACACGTATTTCATGTCCAAATTGAGAAGATATGAAACGGATTTGATGAATGACGAAAACGTTCTTTATTCATTTTATGTGGTGAATTTAGTTGTAATTGTTTTCAGTACGACACTTTGTACAAGGAAATCCATCGAAACGGCGAAACGAGGCCTTTGGAAAAGAACGTTCTCGTGATTCCATGTCACTACGAGATTCATTGGTAAGTTTTTGAATTTTGAATCGGAAAAGAAGGCTTTTTACGAGGTATAGTCAATGTTTCCCGACTTGAAAGGCGAGGGAGGCGGGGCAGGGGGCGGGACGCGTAGCGTGTGCGTTCGCGGTTCCTGGCACGAGTTCAATTCAACCGCCAGCGACTGTTTGGAGAGCTAGTTTATCGCTTTTTTCATATATTTTTCAATTATTTATTTATTATGTTCATGTGTGCATCAAAAAATAGTAGAAAACATTTAAAAAGAGCGGTTGCCGAGCTCTCAAAAGAGTCGCTGGCGGTTGAATTGAACTTGTGCCAAGGACCGCGAACGCACACGCTACGCGTCCCGCCCCCTGCCCCGCCTCCCTCGCCTTTCAAGTCGGGAAACATTGACTATATTTCAAGAAAATTTTGATTGTTTTTCTTCACAACTGTTGAAGGTTTATTAAAAAAATCTAAGTATTTGAATTTTGAGCTTTATAACTACTTGTTTTTGCATGGAATTTTCGAGAGGTTTGAAGTCGAAATTCGATATCGATTTTTTCTTTTCTATTGCCTGAAAACGAAAATCGGCGAGCTTGTTGAAGGTTCGGGACAAGAATTCAGCCACTACTTATCAAAAAATGGTTCCCAAAAAAATCCATTTTTGAGCTTTTAAACATAAAACTGACCAAGATAATGTGAAAAAAAAATGGAGAATGAAATTGAAATTTTCAGGTTCCTGATCGTAATCCACAACCCCCTCGGTTTGGTTCTCAGCAAGGATGAGAAAATAATCGACCAAGAACTGAAAAACGAGGACGAGGATTTGTTTTGTCGAATCATGTTCATGGACAGTCTGATGAAGGACCCGAAAAATCAGTGGGTCTTTGGAAAATTTAACGTTTTCGATAACTTTTTGGACCGTACACCTTAAAAAATGACTTTAACGTTTTTCAGAATGTATCAAAAAGCACTTAATTATATTTGAATTAATTTAGCTACGAAATTAGCTTTCGAAATTCAATATTTCAGTTTGAAAAGCTCCCTTTTTGGGAAAATAATTATCTCAGCTTAAAATTTTTTTCCATTTTTCTAATCTCAAGGTACAAATAATGCTACCCGTACGTTTCTGAGCCTTTCTAGTGACCACTTTAGTGGCTTGAGCACTCTTAAGTTACCCCTAGGAATTTTCAGAAGAGACGCTACAGACTTGTAAATCGGTAACGAAAACCAGACGCTTCAGAGCATTTTTAGGGATTTTTTAGTGACTTTAAAACCCTTAAGTGATCACTAGAAGTTCTCAAAAGCGTCTGATTTCCTCTGTAACGCTGACCGGACGTTTCTGAGGCTTCCTAGTGGCCACTTTGGCGGCTTGAGCACTCTTAAGTGATCCCTAGGAATTCTCAGAAGTAGCAGATCCTACAGACTTGGAACTCGGCAACGGAAAGCAGACGCTTCTGAGCCTTTCCAGTGACCTTTTTAGTGACGTTAAAACTCTTAAGTGATCACTAGAAGTTCTCAAAAGCGTCTGGCTCCCGTGGCAACGCAAACCGGACAATTTTGAGCCTTTCTAGTGACTACTTTAGTGTCTTGAGCACTCTTAAGTGATCCCTAGGAATTCTCAGAAGTAGTAGCTACAGACTTGGAACTCGGCAACGGAAAGCAGACGCTTCTGAGCCTTTCCAGTGACCTTTTTAGTGACGTTAAAACCCTTAAGTGATCACTAGAAGTTCTCAAAAGCGTCTGATTTCCTCTGTAACGCTGACCGGACGTTTCTGAGGCTTGCTAGTGGCCACTTTAGCGGCTTGAGCACTCTTAAGTGAGCCCTAGGAATTCTCAGAAGTAGTAGCTACAGACTTGAAACTCGGTAACGCAAACCAGACTCTTCTGAGCATTTCTAGGGATCTTTTTAGTGACCTTAAAACCCTTGAGTGATCACTAGAACTGCTCAGAAGCGTCTGGCTCCCTTGGTAACGCAAACCGGACGCTCCTGAGCAATGCTAGGGATCTTTTTAGTGGCGTTAAAACTCTTAAGTGGTTACTAGGAAAGCTCAGAAGCTTCTAGTTCCCTCGGTAATGCAAACCGGAGGCTTTTGAAAATTTCTAGAGATCTTTTTTGTATCCTTAAAACTCTTAAGTGATCCCTAGAATTGCTGAAAAGAGTCCAAAATTTGAAAAACAATTTTCCAGAGCTGTGCTAACAAGAATCCACGAAAGGACGTTCGATTTGTTGAGAAATTGGCTCATCATGATCTTCAGCGCGCACAAGTGCGTTATCCTGAGAAGCCGCATCAGGTCCGCCTTTTTCCATGAAACTAAATTCGCTCTATCGATAAGATTACAGTATGATACGGTGCTCCTCGCTGCCGCAGCAGAAGAACAACGTCGACTGCGGACTTTTCGTCCTCGCTTACGCCGAAGTCTTCCTCATGCACAAATACGAACTTTGGACGGTCCGTGAAGCAGCTTTCAAGCCTAAAGTTTGACTAGGAGGGCAAAAATGGAACTTTAGAGTGATCCCTATAGGGCTGAAAAACAGTTCCTATAGGGGTCGAAAAAGCGGTCCTTGAAGGGGTAAAATCAAAATGGTCTCTATAGGGGTTTAAAGTCTGACCCTTAAAGCTCAAGTGGCCCTTATATGGGTCTTTCAATTTCATTCAAAAACGCTTATTTATTCAGTTTTTTGCATGGAAATGCTTTTTCGCATAGAAGTCATGAAAACTATCGCCTACTATGTTCCCTATAGGGACCACTTTTGCAAGCTCTAGTGACCCATATAGGAGTTGGTAAATTGCTCCTTATAGAGCACTCTCCAAGGGCCCCTAAGGTTGCCCCTATAGGGACCCCTCTAGTGTTCGCGAGGACGTAAGGCATTTTTGAGGATAGTTATGTTTATTTTCCCCAGTTTTCTATCGTAATTGGCCTCAAATTTCTACTCAGAGACGCTAAATTGATAGGAAAGTTTGGTTAGTGAACAAAAAAAAAATTGAAAAAACCCCTATAGGGGCCACTTCAGTTTTAGGGACTTCACCCCTATAGAGGACACTTTTTGTTGCCTATATGGGTTGTTTTCTCCCCTATAGGGGCCTCTCAGGCCTTTTTAAGCCCGCCAAAAAGAGTTTTGACCTTCCAGAAGTTTTTAAGATTTTTTAAACAGATTTTTTTCTTTTTCTCTCCCAAGTTGAATACTAAAATTCAGCTTCAGTGCTAGTTTTTTTCAAGAAAGGAAATTTCAGTGAAATTTTTAACCATGATAAAGAGACCACAAAAAAAATCTTCAAATCAATATAAATCATGTCCAGAAGATGCAAACGTCGCAACTGAAGCGATTCAAGTTTGGCGACGAGTTCACGAGGGACCTACATAACGGCGAGATCCGCAAATCGTTGAGCCAAATCTTCCAACTCCTCTCAAAGTTCTAATCCGTCAATCTACCTTCTAAAAGAATCTTTCTCATTTTCCCATTTTGTACTGCCAGTTTTCCTCACTCCATTCGAGTCAAAATAAGCATTTTGTCAGTATCCATTCCAAAATTGAAACTTCTAAAAAATTTGGTTCTCCGAAAATTTACAATGTTTTGTTTTTTAATTCCAAGCACAAAGCCCCGATCTCCTACTGTGAAATTATCCCGGTTTTCCACCTTAAAATATGATTCAATGAACGATGCTCCAAATTACGGCATGAATAGTTTTTTTTTTACAATACTGTTTTACGTACTACCTGACTGATATTCCTACCTGTAATATCTCCTTTTTTCTCATGTCTGCTTTGATTTTTATTATACTTTTTTTTTACCAACTCATACATGTTATTTTTTTTGAAAAATCAATGTTTATTTATCGGGTGCTCTCTTCGTGCTTTTTCCCCCAAAATGTCCCGGTTTCGGGACAATTTCGGGCGGGGTTTTGCAAATGAAGAAACGTGTTTCAATTAAAGAACGCCTAGTGCAGAAGAAGAAAAAAAGAGAGGTGAACAAAAACCGGAAACAATAGTAACATAATCTATATTCTTATATGTATATCATTGGGCTTTACAGTTCTATTTACAAATGAGAAAACTGTAAACGAGAGAAAAAAAGAAGTGCGAAAGGAGGTCAAATATTTTTGATTTCTTTTTCTTTTTTTGATTTTTTTCTAAAATGCCACTTGAATAAGTAAAAGCTTTTTCTTGGGAAGGGATGGCTCTGGAAAAAAATGCAAATATTTAGGAAATCGAGATTGTAGAAGCACTACGGACTGAAGAAAAAAACATAATTTAAAGCTGGAAATTTGCGCTGAACGCTTTTTGGAAGTTCAAAAAAATCAAAAAAAGGCCATTTTTCGACATCTCAACCGCGCTCCAAGGATAAAAAAATTTTTTTATGATTCTTTTCGGTATTTGAATTGAGCTCTAAGGCTATAAAAAACATTTCAAGATTATTTCTGAGGCTAGAAAAATCAAATTTGAAATTATTTCCTCGTATTCCGAAGCTTAAGAATCAGTAGAACGCTATCTTTTAGTGTTAAATCGCGCTCCAAAGCTAAAAACGCTCTTTGAAGCTCATTTCGACTTCTAAATTGAGCTACAGGGCTAAAAACTCAGTTTTAAGCCGTTTTCAATCTCTAAACTGCGCTCAAATCCAGCTTCTCATCCACCCAAATAAAATAATAAATATGAAATACTAACAATAATTGGAGGCCTCTATCGGGATTTCAAAACAAAACAAAAAAAAGTTTGGTCGGTAGAAAATTAAAGAGATCTTTGAATACAAAAAATGAACAGGCTTGATAAATAAGAAGAAAAAAACTTCCCGTGGTATTTGGAAAAATTAAAAAGGAACAACTGATTTTCAAGGGGATAAGACAAAAAAAAACGAAGCTGGACCCATTGTCAAGCGTATAGTATTGCTCATGATAGCACAGAAGAAATCAAAAACGGGGCGGGGTTCTGACAAAAATGACAAAAAAAATGTGGGCACGAAGGCTTCTCAATATGTACAAAACGAGAAAAATGTGAAGATTTTTTTTTCCGATTTTTTAAATATGAAAATCCCTGATTCGTTTTCACAACAGTTGCCAGGGAATAGAAGATCACTGAGGAGGGGAAAAAAAACAAGAGAAATCAGCCGGGTGATCGTGGAAGTGCGCTCCAAGGCTAAAAATGGGAAAAAAAGTGTTTAATGGGCTATATAAGTTTGAAAAATGCGCTCTAAGGATAACAAGGCTTTCGGAAAATCGCTCTCTAAGGCTGAAAATTCATGTAAAAGGCATAAGAAGGTCCTCAAGGCTATTATTACAGTTCAAATGTGCTCTAGGGCTAAAAAGCGTTTCAAGGGTTTTTTTCGTTCAAAAATCGCGCTCCAATGATAAAAAAGCTCTTTAAAGCTTAAAAAATGTACATTTCCGCCGAAAAATTTTGCGTTTTAGGTACAAAAATCCCTGAGATGCGATAAAAGGTCCCCTAATGTTCAAGGACCAACCCAAATTTCGAAAAAGAAGTAGAAAAGAATCAAGTCTATTACAGCGCAAGGGGCTCGGGGAAAGAAGAAGAAGACGTCGGGGTTTCAGAAGACGTCAGGTTCGTGGCGACGTCATAGTAGGTCGAGATGGTGTCTTCCGAAGAGGTGGAGACGTCAGCCGACTTGGTGTCGAAGTAGGTCGAGATGGTCTCCTCCAACGAAGGCGTCGCGATGCCGGGAGACGTGATCATCTTCGGACAAGAAGACGTCGGCGTCGCGGATCCAGAAGACGTCGGTCGGGCTCGTCTTTTTCGGTCCAAGGTGCTCCGGAGCTGCTCTTTCTCCATTTGGAGGACGTCGCGGATGAGGCCTCGTACCACTGAAGAAACGACCATTTCGTCGGGCTCTTCGGCAAGTTCTTCGGCTACGATCAGCATTCTGAAGTTGATCATTAGAACGACGTTCAGGAAAAACATTCAATAAAAAACCACGACTTTTTCCTTACCTCGACGGTGTCGTCGGCGTTCTATATACAGTCGCCTGGACGCTGACGTCGCCAATGACGTCATCAGAAGCGGTTCTTGGCGGCGACAGCGGCTGGAAGGTCGTCTGAAGCAGCAACGAAGCCTTCCGCTCGGCTGCCGACGTTTCCTCGTAGACCTTGAAGACGTTGGATCATCTCCATCTTGAGATAAAACAGCACTACCACATAGTTGACAAGGTCCGTGACGACAGATCTGACGGCATCTACTATCTGAACGTCGTTCTCAACGAGTTGCGGGGTCATTTCTTCGGATATTTTCCGCATCAGGGGCTCTAGACATCCATGGGGCGGCGTCGGTGGCGGCGTTTCGGCTTCTGGAAATTCTGAGCTTCTTCTGGAGATTCTGAAGGCGCAACTCACTGATAAACGTCATCAGGGATACGTTATCAGGTAGGGAGGTCGAGCACATTGGAGCTGAGGAAGGTCCGGCTGGTACAGCTCCAAGGATCGGTATTCCGATGGCTAGAGACGACGGTCGAACCGGCTAAAGTTATCAAGAAAAATGTAGGATTTCAAAACGCTAACGTTTTTAGGTTCAATTTTTCTCAAAATTCTCATTTAGAGCATTTTTTTTCTCGAAGTAATCCTCTCAAGACCCTATAAAATGACTAACCGATCTCAAGACCCTATATTTTTGAAGTAATCCTCTCAAGACCTTCTCAAAAAATCAAATAAAGGGCTAGTTACGAAACCAACCGCCCACAAGGCTCTACCCACCGCCAAAACATAAAATGGCCCAAATTTTCCAATTTGTAGTCCGAATGACGCTGCTATAGAAAAGACTACAAATTCTTCGAAACAAAGACGTAAAAAATTGTACTTTTTCGAGAATACCGCCTACATGTGAGCTCATAGGAAACATAGAAAAATCTATCAAAAAAAGAAATGTGTAAATTTTCCCAGACTTTTTTCTTGGTTATTCTTGAAGAGGCTTTAGAAATGTTCCATGGAAACTTGAAGAAATATTTTATCCATGGAGCGCGATTTCGAGAGAAATTCAAGCCAAAGAGCTTCAGAGATCTTGTAAAGCTTCGACTTTCTGAATTTTCTAGAAAACGCTATTTTTAGAGACTCAGTACTTTCTTTTTTTTTCAGACGAAATATATTCCACGGAAACTCAAAGCCGTATATTCTCCATAGAGCGCAATTTCTAGAGAAACTCAAGCCAAAAAGGGTCAGATTTTCTAAAGCTCTCATTTTTCGATAATTTTCTAGAAAGCTTAATTTTTCTGAAGCTCAATTTTAAACTGCCTCTCACCTCATTGAATACAGTACCGTCCAAAAAAGTGAAAAAAAGTTTTTTATCTCAAAACTTCCTTGAATGGAACTAAATCTGTTTGAAATTCTATAAAGCTGCATTTTTTAAGCGAGCTGAAATTCCCCCAAAACGACCTCAGAAGGTTTCAGAAAGATCAAACTACATACAAGAGAGTTCTGACCAAAAAAAAACGTTTATCCGCATATTTTCTGACGGAACTATGTATGGATCTGAACCTTCATAGCTCAAACTCTTTCAGCATCTCCCCAGAAAACCCACCGAAGCCTCCGCCGACGCAGAAGAGCCTAACAAGGGCGCAATGTGCAGAGATGACGTGATCGTGGCGGGCGGAATCGAGGCCGAAGACGTCGTGGAGACGTCGAATATCGACGAGGACGGCGAGACGGAGAATCGTCGCATTTTTCGGACGGCCGGCTGAGTTGTCGGGCTGGCCTGCGGGAGGGCGGGCAGAGATCCCCACTCGGCTGGAAAAACCAGGCTTTTTTGGGGATTACGATAATTAGATTTGTTATATAGCCATTCCAAATGCGGCACTTTTAATCAAGTTTATGAAGTATTGAAAATTGGAAAGTAGAAAATTCAAGTTTTCTCTGACCGCGTTTGGAATGGCTCTTACTTCCTACGTCATAATGACAGGAAAGACAAAAATCCATTCCAAATGCGGCCCAACTACTGTACCATATTTAAACCTTTTCTTCAAACTTCTGACCGCATTTGGAAAGGCTAATTACTTCCTAAATCTTCTTTTTCCGCCCCATATAAGTCAAAAATCCATTTTGAATGCGGTCCATTCACTGTATCATTTATCCCCATTGCTTCAAACTTTTGGCCGCATTTGGAATGGCTCATTACTTCCTAAATCCTCTTTTTCCGCCCCATATAAGTTAAAAATCCATTCCAAACGCGGTCCAATTACTGTACCATCTCTCACCTTTTCTTCAAACTTCTGGCCGCATTTGGAATGGCTCATTACTTCCTACATCATCTTTTTTACGTCACAAAAAAACCATTCCGTCCTTCTACTGTATCATTTTTCACTTGGCCGCATTTGGAATGGCTCTCTTTTTCTCTACGTCTCTCATTTCCAACTTATCCACCCAGCATGGGTTGAGCCAAGGTGCTGGGCGGTTTTTTGAGGTACTTCCTACATCATCATGACAGGAAAGACAAACAGCCATTCCAAATGCGGTCCCTCTACTGTATAATTTTTCCCTTTGTCGCATTTGGAATGGCTTTTTTCTTACTTTTTTTCAAAACGTGGCATTATCAAACTTTTTTCTTTCTTTCTCTGCGTCTCTCATTTTCAACTTCTCTTTCTCTACTAACCTAGCATCGGATGAGCCAAGGTGCTGGGCGGTTTTTTGATGGTCCTCATCGAGTCCAAGTTGCTCGCTGAATCCAGGGGCGCCGGTTGGTCTAGAGAATGCGTTGAGCCGCTCATTTCGCGTAACCGGTCCTGAAAAACTTATTTTCTCCCTTTTTTTCTAGAAGCTTACATGGAGGTCCGGAACGGTTTCTGTGCAGGTCAAGGAAGAGCTTCTGGCGAATCTCGGATGTTTTTTCTTGACCAGAGGCTTGTCTCTGGGCGGTAATGTCACTACGATGCTCGTGGTCGCTTCTGAATTTAGGAATTTTGAGAAAAATTCTTGATTTTTGGATATAGCTTCACGGCTGGCTTGAGCTATCGAAAAATGGGTCCTGACGCGATAAGAAAAGTGAGAGAGAGTGCCTAGTTGGTGGAGAGCGCAGACAGGCCTTTTTGAGTCCCAAGCTAGCCGTGAACGGGCTATAGTCTGTTCAGATTTTGGAGTTCACGACTTCGCCCAAGCTCCGCCCCTAATGGCGCGATAAACCAATCATAAACACTTTCAAAATCTTAACAGACTATAGTGTATTCACGGCTAGCTTGGGACGCAAAAAGGCGTGGCCTGTCTGCACTCTCCACCAGCCAGGGCACTGTCTCGTCTCTTTTCGTGGCAGGACCCTTTTCTCGATGGCTCAAGCCAGCCGTGAATCAGCTATATGATCTCTCACTATTGAAAAGCCGTGACCGCATTTGGAATGGCTCAAAGCGGTTAGAAGCTCTATGATGCCTCTCAGCGCAAGCCGTATTTGGTCTGGCGCATTTCAAATGCGACCCAGAAAATCGCTTCTCTCCTACACACCTTCACACTTGCAGTCGCCATTCGCGTCTTTCTCTGCGCACTCCTCGGCCTTGCACGTCGTAGCCGTCGTCGGGTTCGCCGTCGCCGGCGTCAGGACGTCGTCGTCCTCGGCGCAGCATTCTGGCGATGTCGCGTCCTCGTTGGGCGATGTCGCCGACGCTTCGGCGGCTTCAGCGGCGGCGACGGCGTCATCGATGGTGACGCGCATGTTGGCCAGGGCTTCCTCCTTGTTCCGGTCGCAGAATCGCTGGATCTCGTCGTAGCACTTGCGGAACTCGTCCTGATATGGTCGGACCTGTATTCAGGGTACCAGACAGTTCAACACGCACAATATCAAGACGAATCGGAATATTTAGTGGCAAGAAAAAAATTGCAAAAGTGTATCCAAAGGGCGTTGGCGGTGAGTATTGAAAAAAAAAATGGAAACTGATGAAATTTTGAATCTTATCCCTTTACTTGAAAAGGATATGAAACAAGAAAAATCTGATAAAAATTTCCCTTAATTCCTCTAAAAGTGAAGTTTGTAAGCATTTGGCCGCATTTGGAATGGCTCAACGGTCAGAAACTGGTCGAAAAACTAATATTTTGTCCTAATACTTCACCATGACTCAGAGCGCAAGTCGTTTCAGGTCGGCCGCTTTCGGAAAAAAAAACAGTCATAAAAAAAGACGAGCCATTCCAAATGCGACCAACAGACCAACAAAAATAATATTTTGGCTCAACGATAAAGTCCTAATACTAATGGAAATATTTGTTTTCTTGTAGATTTAAAGGTTGTTTGAAACATGAAAAATCATACTAAATTCCGAATTTTTGAGGTCAAATTTTGAAAAATTGACCCAATTAAAAAAAAGCCATTCGCATCCTCTTTCTAATTCGGAGATAAGTCGAGAAAAAAAGTCTCCATTTTCAAAAAAAAAGAGAAAAATGTTTTTTTCAAGCTTTTGAAATGATCCTCTGCTATTACAGATATCTATTGAAAAAGTCAAAAGAAAAAAATCATCGGAAACATTTTTTTGATCCTCTGTAGTAAGCCTCTAATATTGCAGATACCATTAGAAAAAAACTGGGAAAAAATTTCACTAAAAATTTTTTGAGCCTTTAAAATAATCCTATGATATTAAAGATACTATTAGAAAAAAAATCGAAAAAAATTCACTATAAAATTTCGAGTTTTCCTACCACCAACGCCTCCAAAACCCCTACCGAAAATTTCAATCTACAAAAAAAATAATACAACTACAAAAAAGGTGCATCGAAAAGGCATTCAATCATTCTCATTCCATCAAAAACAAGACATTTATTTGTAAATCAATCGAAACCAACCTTTTCGCTGTTGACTTTCACACAGTTCGGATCGATATTCATCAAAGTTATCGATCGGTTCATTTTCATCGCCGTGTGGAGGGCCAAAAGTCCGGCCAGTTCTTGAAAATTGAATTTTTTAATGGTTTTACAATGATAATACGTATTTTTAGATGAAAATTTGGATTTTTGACCTTCTTAATTTTTTTTCCTTGTGAAAAAAATCATGTATAACTGCTTTATGTTCTCTATTATTTTCTATTATTCCAAACAAATCTTTGAAAATTCACCCCTTCACGAAAAAAAATTCCCATTTTCCCATCAAATCATTCATTTTCCGCCATTACACTCCAATATTTTTTTTCCAAACCCTAAAATCCCTTTCTTACAACTCCTATCAACCCTAAAATCAGACAGGAAAACGGCCCCAGAGCCATAAAATTTGTCACGAAAAAAAAATTATTACCTTCCCTAGGTAATAAAATTCTTCAAGATAAGAGGGACAATAAAAACAGTTCATCAAAAATCGCTGCAGATGGTGTTTGATATTTTCTCCAAAAATTCGAAAAGTTACCTATAGGATTGTCGCGAATATCGACCCGAACCATCGCCGTATTGTCCGCCAAACATTCCGCAAGAATGATTGCACCTGGAAATGAATCAAATTGAGAAACGAGAAAAAAACGCTTGAAAAAATATATAATCGCGCGTTTATCCACCTTACGCGCTCCAGCGTACACTCTAGCCGTCTGCACTCTCTCGCGATCGATAATCTCTCAAAGAGGCCGCGCATTTCAAATTTCACCATTTTTCGTCGTTTTTCTTCGCTTTTTCGAACCTTCACAGTCGATATGAGTCTTCTGGAGGCCCAATCGATGCAAATGCGTGTTTGAGACGAGAGCCGGCTTGAGATGTGAGACGCCCAACACGCCAATGTGATTGTTGCCAATGTTCAGCGTTTCGATCTTGGTATTTTCTTTCTGAAATCCAGTTTTGTAAAGCTTTTTTTTCAATATATTTTTGTTTTTTGAGTTGGTTCACGATCATTGCGATGAGATTGGCCAAGAATTTCGGCTTGAAAAAGCAGTAATCTTTTCGAAAATCTTTTTCCGTGAGATTAAAGTTGAAAATTATGCGAAAAACTATTTTCAGTTCATTCAAAGCTTTTTCAAACACCACTTTCGAACATATTATTGATCTCTAAACTTCTCATATTTTTAAAAAATCTTCATACACTTCAAAAATAGCCATTGAAAAAAATAGAGATTCAAAATTTAAGACAAAAAAAATGAAATTCGTTTCAAAGTATGCTTTTTTCCATTTTTCTCGAGGATAAATTATTGCAGATATTATTTTCAGTTCGAAACTCATACGAGGTCTAAAAAATGACGATTTTCCTAGGTTGATTGACATTTTTAAAATAAAACCTAAAATTCGTAAGCAACTTCAATTTTCAACTTTTCTAGGTTTTTTTTTCTTTTTTTTTTTAGTTCATTTCCAATAATATTTTATCAGTAAGGCTTGAACTTTTTTTTGGAAAGCTTCTTTCACAAAATATTACATCAGAGAATAATTTTTTCGTCGTTTTCAACCTTTTTGGTCATTTTCTAACTTTTCTTCATTTTCAACCCTCACCAAGGCTTCAGCGAGACAATTCATCGAACTTCCGGTTACTTGGTTGTTCCAGAGGACCAGGGCCGAGAGGGAGCTTTTTTCCAGGGCTTCGCGATTTCTGAGGCCGTCGCTGATGTGTCGAACTCCGCCGTCCTTAAATTTGGAAATTTTGAAAAATCATTTTTCCACTCAATAAGTACACAATGAGAAGCACAGCTAGTAGAATAAAATGTTATTTTCTTGAAAATTCCTTTTAAAAAAATCCCTGTAAATCCTACCCCGAGTTGATTGTTCCTTAAGTCCAGCAACTGAATACTCGTATTCGAGACGATCAGTTGGAACAAGTGCGCTCCATCGGTACACTGAAGGCCGTTGTCGCCGAGGTAGAGCTCCTTGAATTCAAAAAATTGATGAATCATGAATTTACTAAAGAAAAATGGACCAAAATACCGAAAAATTGATTTTTAAGCCTCTCAATAACTACCCATTCAGTTTTTCAAGCCTACTCATTAGGCACACGAAAACTTGGACCCCAGTAACGCAAAACGGCATCATGAACACTTTTAGTGGCCGCTTAAGAGTGCTGAAGGCCCTAGAAGGACCACTAGAAATGGTCCGTCCGGTTTGCGCTACCGAAAAGTTGAAAATCCACTAACGACAAAGAAAAATCTGATTTCTACGATACACAAGGCCACACCTTCAGACCGGTGTTGCTCTTCAAGGCGCAGATCAAGATCAACAAGTTCTTTCCGGTGATGTTGGTGTTCTCCAGGTGGAGGCAGGTCAGCGAGGGACACGGCGTGACCCTCAGGGTTCTGCACAAGGATGGCAACGCCTTCTCCGACATGGTCGTGTACCGGAGGTTCAGGACTTGCAGCGATGAACACTGCAAAATTTATTCATTAACGGAAATTATTCGATTTTTGTGGTGTATTCATCGGATTAACAGGGAATACTTCAGAACGTGAGATTTTGTTCCTTGGGGCTACAAAATTTCTTCGAAACCGCACTTGGATCTCGGTAACGCAAGCCGGAAGCGCTGGGGAAGCCGGAAGCGCTGTTAAGCGGTTTTAGTGATCACTTGAGGGTTGTGACGCCCCTAAAATATCCCAAAAATGTTCAGAAGCGTCCGGTTTGCATTACCAAGGGAACCAGACGCTTCTGAGCAGTTCTAGGAATCACTTAAGGGTTTTAACGTCACTGAAAAGTACCCTAGAAATGCTCTGAAGCGTCCGAGGCGCGTCCGGTTTGCATTACCAAGGGAACCAGACGCTTCTGAGGATTTCTAGTGATCTCTTAAGGGTTTTAACGTCACTGAAAAGTACCCTAGAAATGCTCTGAAGCGTCTGGTTTGCGTTACCGAGTTTCAAGTCTGTAGCTACTACTTCTGAGAATTTCTAGGGATCGCTTAAGAGTGCTCAAACCGCTAAAGTGGCCACTAGGAAGCCTCAGAAACGTCCGGTCAGTGTTACAGAGGAAATCAGACGCTTCTGAGCAGTTCTAGGAATCACTTAAGGGTTTTAAAATCACTGAAAAGATCCTTAGAAATAATCAGAAACGTCCGGTTTCCGAGGTACGATTTTCTTTTGATTCTCTCGATCTAAAATTGAAGTCATTTCAAGACAAAGTCCATACAGCGCGATTTGAAAAGCTCTGACGTGTCTGCTCTCTCTTCCCCCTAGCCGAAAAGATCATAGAAACTTAAAAATAACAGCTTAACGGGAGCATCGCAGAAAAATTTTGAAGCTTTTTTTTCGGAGGAAACGGAAACAAGGAGGAAGATCACGAACATTGCGAACAGCCCGAAAAATCGCGTTCCATCCCCGGACGCCAATCAGCTTGTTGAACGAGAGATTGAGCCGGACACACGAATCGTAGAACTCGAGCATCTCGCCGAGGGCCAGGGCGCACTGAAAAATGAATAATACGGTTTAGAAAATGTACCAGGAAGCGGAAAAAACAGTGAAAATGATTGAAAACCCAAATCTCGGGCAAAAAAGAAAAAGCTTTCTAAAGATCAACAATGGATTTTTATTTCTTTATTTAACTTTTGGTTTTTTTTTCACTTCCCTTGATAGAAATATTCCACATGATACAAAATGGATTCCCTAGGGCTATGAAAAAAACCTTATAAGGAGCTTTAGGAGAACCTTCCCAGCTCCTTTCTCAGGGGCCCCAAAGAAAATTTTCCGTTTTTTTTTATGAACTTAATATTTTCTCTTAAAATTTTTAACGTTTTTCTTAACTATGCGATGAGTCTAAAGGCGCAGTCAATTGCCAAACTTAAAATAACACTAAAAAAAAGGCTCTTCGCCTCGAGACCTTCATGAAACTTCCCTATGCGCCTTTAAAAATTCAGTGAAGAGCCTTATTCAGAAGCCATTTCAAACATACTGTAACTTTCCTTGCAAAAAAATCTTAAAGGAACAGTGAATTATCAAGAAATGGTCCTAGGAAGGCTACGGTCAGTGGAATTAGAGGCTACAGTAAATCGAAAATTTTTCAAATGAAGAACAATGTTATAATCTTGATCATGCTATACCATTTTCACAGAAAAAATCATTTCGAAAACCCTTTCAAAAAAAAAAAATCCCTGACTACCGTAGACCTTCTCGTTTTTACCGTTTTCCTGATCGTTTCAGGACCATTTTCTTGGTTATCCAATGATCCTTTAAACCTCCGATCAATAACCAAGCTTCTGAAGCAGGGAACTTCTTTAAAACCCTCCAAAAATTTTTTTCTAAAAATTTCTCTACACTTCAGAAAAAAAGCTATAATTAAAAAAACTTTTAAAAAAATTCAAAATCCCTGTAAATTTTTCTTCTTTTTTTCGCTAATCGTTTCAGGACCATTTTTCCTGATTATCTACCGATCCTTCCATTTCTCATGAAGTCCCAATTAATCAATAAGGAAGCTCCTGAAACAGTGAACATTTTTAAAACCCTCCATTTTTTTTCTTCTAGAAGCTTCTCCACGCTTCAAAAAGTCTATTTCAAGATCAAAAATCTGGAAATCTCTTATTTTCATCAAAGTCCACCTCTAATCTGGAAGGTTCCATAATCTTCGAGATTTCCTTTTTTGGAAATATTTATAGGCACTCTGTTTGATTATTCTTTCACTTTCATCTTTTTTTTTTTTCAAATTTCTGAGACTTTAAGAAAAATCGCTTGGAATGGCTCAAGAAGCGTCGCGGTTCCTAAAAAATTCGAATTTCAACTTTTTTTTTTTGTCAAAGTTTGCCCCCGACCTTGAGCGACTTTCCTTCTTCCTATTCTTCGAGATGTCGCTGCGCGCAAGTAGTTTTTGGTTGGGAGCACAGACTCTGTTTTTTTCGGGTTATTTAAGCTTCCACATACAACTGCTCAACTAAAGACCTTCCGAAATGACATTTTTTCAAATTTTTATTTCAAAACATACGACGGCTCAACTAAAAACGTTCTAAAATGAAATTTTGTCACATTTTTCTTTCAAAACATACGTCAGCTAAATCCCAGGGTTTTCAAATTTTTTTTCGCGCGCAAAAAGCTGTGCTATATTCCAGCCGATGTATGTCCCAAAAACCCCTCAATCTGCTCTCAAACTCACATCATCATCCAGAAAGGTGTACTCAAAGTCGATGGTGTTGAACTGGACCCGTTTGAAGACTTCTTCGAGGGCTTCCATTTGGGAGTGACTTACACGTTCGCCTTTCAGACTCAGGCATTCCTGTCGGAGTTCCGAGCTCTTGTGGAAGTACTGAAATCTGATCATTCTTAAAAACTCTCACGAGGGAAGTTTCTGAGGTGAAAATTGGAGATCTGGTCAAAACTAATCTTCTTGACGAAAAGGTACATTTGATTCAACCCCCGCCCCCCCCAAAAACTTCTTTGATTCAGCCCCCCACCAAAAGTTCTCTGATTCAGCCCCCATCAAAAGTCCTTTGATTCAGCCCCCATCACCAAAAAGTTCTCTGATTCAGCCCCCCAACCAAAAAGTCCTTTGATTCAGCCCCCCCTCTCAAAAAGTTCTCTGATTTCCCCCACACAAAAGTCCTTTGATTCAGCCCCCCCTCAAAAAGTTCTCTGATTTCCTCCCCCAACCAAAAGTTCTTTGATTCAGCCCCCCAATAGTTCTCTTATTCCCCTGGGGGCGAATCTGAAATTTCCCGACATTGGAAAAAGATGACAAATCTTCCAAAAAGAACTAATATAACTTCCTGTAAACGCATGATTTTACTGTACGTTTTCAAACAAAACTAGTTTTTTTTTCGATTTTTATTGATTTTCTTCATTCCGAAGGCTACGGACCCCAATTTGGCGCTCGACAAACGCGCTCGGCGGACATTGAAGTCGTTGGCAGGCGTTTTTGTAGGCGTCGATGACATCTGTCACGTCGACGTTTGGTGCTGAAATCCGAAGATTTTGAGCGTATATAAGCGAATGACAGAAATCAGAAGGAAGGTCATTTTCTCTTGGAAACTCTCCGTGATGTAGCCAAGAAAATGTTCTGAAAGTCTCAACTTGCACAAATTTCTAACTTTCTATAAATAAGGGCTCAAAATGGCCTATTTTCCATGAATTTTGAGGGTTTCCGGGCTGTTTTCTGAAAAACTAGAAAGTTGTATAGATTGAGACTTTTGGGATCTTCATTTAGTACTTGTATGAGAGTTCGGGCCAAATTTCAAGAAAATCCCAATCACAAAGTTGAAGGACCTTTTTTGTGAGGAGAAGGAGCTAGATTACGAAAATTCAAACAAAAAGGGCCAAAATTGAGCTTCCAACCTCAGAAGGTAGGTTTCTCTTTAAATTTTTCCTTCATAGTTTGAAAAATGAATTTCATGGAGCTCAAAGGACCAAAAGCTTTAAAATATAGCTGAAAAACGCTTTTTTAACTACGAAAACTAACAAAATGAGGCTCAACCCTTCCTAAATTTCATTGAAAATAATATTATGCTTAATTTTTTTCTTCAGAAAAATTTTTCAGAAAGTTCCGAAATATTTTTCGAAAAGCCTTTTTTGAACTAGGGGAACCAAAAATACGATGTTCAGAGTTTCAAAATTTCTTCAAAACAACCTTCTCCTCATTTTTTGCTCCATAAAAAATCTTTTTATTCATTTTTCCTCCATTTTTTGGAACTCACCAACAGAACCGGAATGGAAATCGGAGATGGGGGCTTCAGAAAATCCCGTGATAAGTTGTCCGTCGTCGGGGAAAGAGACGCTGCGATTGTGAGAACAGTGACGGATTCTTTCGGTACTGCTCGATTCTGAAACCTTTTTTATCCTCAAAAAATCCAGAAATCCGTGAAAATATAAGGATCTGTCAGGGATCCAAATCGGGAATTTCAATCGATTTCTTTCCTTTTTCATCCCTTAGCCCTTTTGAATCCACTTCTTTCTTTTTCATATAATTTTTCTTCAGAAATCTCCCAAATAATTCCACCTTCCATAAAAAAAATCTTTATTTGAAAATATTCGGTTTTCAGCCTTCAAATATCGAATTTAAATGAATCTTACTTTTTTTTTCCCTTTTTCAATACTTCTGGATCTATTTCATTATTTCTGATTCCAATAATTTTCCTTGAAATTTTCCTGATTGCCTACATCTTTTTTATTTCCAAAAATAATAATACTGTGAAAATGTAATATTAGGCAATCAAAATTTAAAATTTTCAACGATTTCATTTTTTTTTCCTTTCCTCAGTACTTTTAAATCCGTTTTTCTATATTATTTCAACAAATTTTTCATTGGAACCTCCCAAATCTTTTTCCTTTTTGTATTAGAAAATCTTGATTCTGTAAAAATATATTTTTTTAGCTATTCAAAATAAAAATTCCCTTTTTTTTCCATTCCGTGACCCCTCTGAATTTTTTTCTTTTTGAACTCCAATTGTTTTTTTAAACCTCCCGTTTCTCTACATATTTTATTTACGTACAGTTCAATATAATTTTTTTGATACTTACCAAAAAAACTATCCGTATAATCAAAAGAATTTTTATCAAGTTAAAAACTTTTAAAAAACGGACGTTTAATAGGCAAAGATTCACACGTAGTGATCGACAGTGACATATGCGTGAAATGGCTTCAAAATCCAAGAAATGAGCGTAAATTTATAATGAATCGAGGGAAATGAAATTAGAAATCCCGTGGAACTAACAACTGTTCGGAAAAAAACTTGAAAAAAACGAAAAACTGATGATTTTGAAGAAAAAAATCTCAATAAAATTCTTCAAAATTGTGATTTTTCTAAAAGTTAAAAAAATTTCTGATAGTAAAATCTTTTTCTTCAATTTTTTTAATGAAATTTCTTTTTTTCATCCGCTAATTTTTTTCAGAAAAAAACCCCTTTAAAATGCATAAAACGATTCAAAAAAAACGTGTTCTTCGATGAAAAAAAGGGTCCTTAATTGACTTTTGACAGTAGTGGAAAACTTGGAAAACAAATTATCAGCCAAAAAACGGGAAAAATGGCTTTTCTCATGGCCAATTTATCATAATTTTTGGAAAAATATATGATTTTTTAGGTTTCTGGATGCTTTAGAATGAGAAAAAAGGTTCAAAAACCCTCAAAAAACGAAAAATTTTGGTCTTTGACCTTTATTTTCCTTGTTAAAATTTAAAAAAAAAAAATCAAAAATCACAAAAATTTCAAAACAATTCTTCCATTTAATGGATTGTGCCATGAAACTAGTTTAAACCTTTTATCAAAAAATCCAAGGCTATGGTATCCTTCAAAAACACAGAGAAAAGAGCTTTGAAACCTGATATTTGGAGAAATTTAAAGCTGTTTAGATCTTGGAAAACCTTTTTTTTTCGAATCTTTGGCCAAGGAAATTCTTTAAAAACAGTGGAAAATGATGAAAAATCGTTTTTTCGGCCTTATAAGTAGAAATTTCCCTTAAAATACTTACAAATATAAGAAAAATCTTTTAAGGAAGACTGAGAAAAATTTCAGAGTGATCCCTTAAGTGTAATAACTCAGAAAATACTTCAAGTGATCCCTCAAGCACCTGGAAGCATGGCGACGTGAATCAGAATTTCGTAAAAAGCTTAAAAAACATCTCTGATCTTCATTCACCTACTGAAACTCCTTCAGTCATCCCTAAAGTGTGTTAACGACAGAAAAAAAATTCTAAGTGGCCCCTTAAGTCTAGAAATCATGGAAAATACTTCAAGTGGCCCCTTAAGTACCTGGAAGCAGAGCTACTTAGACCAAAAACTCTTTTAAAAAGTCCCTTAATCTTCAACTGACAACTCAATCCCTCCAGTGATCCCTTAGGCACAGAAACCATGAAAAAACTCTGAGTGATCCCTTAAGCACCTAGAAGCACAAGAACTTGAAAGGAAACCTCGAAAAAGATTCTTTTTTCCGAAGATTCATGATCTTCGTCTGATAACCCAAACATTTGAAGTGACCCCTTAAGTGTAGGAACCTCAGAAAATACTTCAAGTGGTCCCTTAAGTGCCTGGAAGGAGCTACATAGGTCTAAGTCTCATTAAAAGCTTTAAAAAGGTCCCAGATTTTCATTCAACTACTGAAATACTTCTAGTGGTCCCTTAAGTATAGTAACCTCGGAAAATTCTTCAAGTGGTCCCTTAAGAGTAGGAACCTCAGAAAATACTTCAAGTGACCCCTTAAGCATCACCTGATTTTTAATTATTAACTGTAACACTTCCAGTGATTCCTTAAGTGAAAAAACAAGGGAAAAAAAATTCAAGTGTTCCCTTAAGCATATCTAAACTTCTAGTAACCCCTCAAGTGTAGTAACCACGGAAAAACTTCAAGTAGTCCCTTAAGCATTTTTAAACTTTCAGAGACCCCCTTAAGTTTAAAAACCACAGAAAAAATCTTCAAATGATCCCTTAAGCACCTGGAAGCATGGCGTTGGCCTCGGTTGGAGTTTTCTTCCGGACAGAGTTCGCGGAGGAGTGTGCTTGCGGCGGCGGGAAAACGGAGGTCGTCGGCGGAATCGCCGGCGACGTCGCCGTCACCGACGAGCCCGGCTCGTACAGTCCCAGAAGGTCCTGCAACGAAAATCAGCTGAGGTTACGGTATTTTGAGCTTTTCTCTTCTTTCCATTCTGGTTTTCTCAGTTTCTTGAACTTTCAATGTATAGAAAAAGACTCGAATTGGGTTAAAGTGTTTTACGAGCCAATTTTTAAAAATACAAGGTCCTGCAACGAAAATACGGTGAGGTTACGGTCTCCTGAACTTTTCCTTTTTAAATTGAGTTTTTTGCGACTACCTGAGCATGTAAATCACTCAAATCCCGTGTTTCACGAGCAAAATTTAAAAAAAATAGCCCCAAAAGGTCCTGCAACGAAAATCAGCTGATGTTACGGTGTTTCGAGCTTTTCTCATTATTTATTAGTACTTCTAACAACTTTCCGAGCAAATTATATACTCTTATTCATTGCTGAAGTTTTTTCGGGCCAAATTGAAAAATAAAGGCCTAAAAGGTCCCGCAACGAAAAGCAACTAGGGTTACTGTATTTTTAGCTTTTCTGTCTTTCAAATCAGATTTTCAATGATTTTTGAAGTACATAATTCTGCTAGAGTGTTCTGAAAACGCAAAAATTATTTCCTGACAAAAAAACACTGAAAAAAATCGTTCCACCCCCTCCCTAAATCTTCGAAATTATAAATTATCTCACAAAATAATTTTTCAAGAAGATTATAGGTTCGATTCTCCTTGAAATAAATAACTGTACGAATCACATAAAAAAATAAAATTACACGGAAAACTTTAATTTATTTCCTGAAAAAAAGCCATTTTTTTATATCTTGGCGAACGCGCTTATTATGACAATTGTACACAAATTATGCCAAGAGTAATTATTTTTTTTTTTTTTTGAATTAATCTTTTTTCAATGTTTTCCAGTCGCAATTATATATTTTATAAGTGCTTTTTAGAATTATGAGCACAGGGAAAAATTTTTGAAATTCGTTTATTTAACAAAAACTACATGTTCTCGTTCTGAAATCAGCCGAGAACCGTTTCAAAAATCAAATCTTGACCTCTTTTTTTCTTTCAAAATAACAAAAAAAAGTGTTCTGAAAGTGCAAATTTAGTGTATCCGAATGATGAAAATTGTTGAAAACATTGCAAAAAACTTCAAAAACTCCTTTTTTTCGCCTTAAAACTTCATTTTTCCTCACTATTCGCTTATTTAACAGGATTTTACACGTGGTTCCGGACAAATAATGTTTTTAAAATTCGCCAAAATGACACCAAATTTATGCCAAGAGAAATGATTCTTTAAAAATCGAGAAAAAAACTGTATCGAAAACTGGTTTTCGGCCCATTTTTCAGTGTTTCTTTGTTTTCATGTAATTTTTGAGTTCAGAAACAAAATTCAGTTCATTTCCAAAGAGAAACTGTCCTGGAAGTACAAATTGCGTGTATCCGAATGATGAAAATCGTCGAAAACATTCAAAGATTACTCGAAGAAATCGTTTTTTCGCCTTAAAACTTCTTTTTTTTTCATTATTTGCCTTATTTAACAAGGTTTTACACGTGGACTCGTGTAAATAAACTTGTGAAAAGTCGCTAAAATGACCAAAAAATGTACGCCAAGAGAAAATGTTTTTTTTGGATTTTTTTAAAGGTTTTATAGTCGAATTTATTCCTTGTCAAATCAAATCAAACAAGAAGCTCTTCAAAACTTAATTTTTGACCCCTTTCCTTTTCAAAACCAGCAGAAAACTGTTCTGAAAGTGCAAACTTCAGTGTATCCGAATGATGAAAATTGTCGAAAACATTGCAAAAAACTTTAAAAACTCGTTTTTTCGCCTTTAAACTTCTTTTTTCTCACTATTTGCCTTATTTAACAAGGTTTTACACGTGGTCTCCGTGTAAATAAACTTGTGAAAAGTCGCCAGAAGGTCTGTACTCAACAGCGGCGAACAGTTTGTTTTAGTTGCGACGCGTGCGCGGGGCCGTGACGTCAATGGTCTTTGGTGGAGGGCCGGGGAAGAAAAAGGAACGGAAAACACTTTTTTTGGAGAAAGTTCAGTTCGAAAAGTTGCTCGAAAACAAGTTTTCAAAAGTCTTGTGAAAAGGGCGACGGAACCTTTTAGTGTAACTTTTAAAATGGGGAAAACCATCGGAAAATCTTTCTTTTTTTAAAATTTCCTCCGAAAAAGTACAAGTTTAGTTTCGAAACAAGTTTCCTTTCAAAAAAAAATACAAATTTCACAAATTACAAAAAAAGAATACCTGTAGACCGGAGAAAAACTTCATAGACATTTCAAAATGTAAACCGTCAGGACCGCATGAATGACAACACTGAAAATTGCAAGAATTGAAAAAAAGAAAAAAACAGAAAATTCAAAAACGAACACATTTTTAAAAAAATAAGAGCTTTCGTGATAATAGAACGAATTTTGAAGAAAAAAACGATATTATTTTGATGAAAAATTACTCGGAACCGAAAAATGATACAATATAAAAAAAGAAAAAACAGAAACAAGCTCAAAAACAAATAAAAAGAGGTAAAAATGGGAAATCTCAAAAATTTCCATTTTTTTTTCCAGTTTGGCGTAGGTTCTGGTGTATTGTGTAGTCACGAAGGCGCAACTACAGTATTTCGAGTTTTTTACCGAGAAATTCATCCTTTTTCTTTTTTCAAAGTTCTTCTGTACAAAAATGATGGCGTGTTGATCAAAAATCATAAAAAAATTGTTCCAAAAAGCAAAAAAAAACTGCTCCAAGAAGAAAAATTTGTAGAAATTTCGTTAAGTCGATGGAAATTTTTTGAAAAATGAACTGGTCATAATTTTCTCAAGTTTTCCGGCACAAAAATGAGAGCGCGGCAAATTTATTTCAAAAACCCATTTTTGCTGATAAGACACGTATTTCTGTGTCATGTTCAAACATTGGGAGGGTGTGGAAACGGGGTGGGAAATCGAAAAAAGAAAAGAAGCAAAAAACGATTTGGACAAAAACACTTGGCCGAGTCAAAACAAAAGCCATCCTCCGGGGCCTAAAAATAGGACCATCAAGGAAGGATATTTATCGCTAAAAGTTATATTTATCGGCTTCGTGGAATGATTTCGAGGAAGCCTGTCGCGAAAGAGCCGCCAAATCGACTGATAATGGTTCAAAGTAACGAAAAAACGTTGGAAACAACTGGTCAGCCGTTTGGAAAATCAAAAATCGTCGGGCTTTTTCGTTGGGGACAGTAAAATTTATTTTTTGGTTGTAAATAGTCGAAAAAAATGACAGAAAAATGAGGTTACCTTGAGATTAACACTAATTGGATCACTGATAATTAAATCAATGAAGGCTAGAAATTTCTAATTTGATGATTAATTAGAGAAAATATTATGATTAAAAGTTTCTAATGAGAAAAAAACGATAAAAAAATTAAAAATTTTTTTCTAATTGCTAGTACACTAAAAAAATGGAGTTTTGGGATCTGTTCAAAAAAATTATCGGTAAAAAAAATTTTTTTGTCAGAAAAAGTCAAAATAAGTCGAAATTTAGGCCACGAAAACCCGATTTTTCGCAAAAAAATTAGAAAAAAAATTTTTTTGATTATTCCAAAAAAACTTGAAAAGAAAATGATCAAAAAAGGTAAAAAGCTGGAAAAAAGCCAAATTGAGACCCAAAAATCAAATGAAATCTAAAAAAAACGGACAAGTAGAAAATTAGCGAAAATCTTGATTGCCCCTAAAATTCAAACTTATCAAAATCTTCAAAAAGCTGAATATTTAGGCAAAAAGGACCATAAATTATATTAGGACAAGTAATACGAAGATCAAAAAAATAGATAAATTTCGAAAAAAAAAGCTTCAAAAAAACCGAGAAAAAAAGTCGCCTCGTTTCAAAGGCTGAAAACCTGAAAAGGTGAAGGAAAACTGGTCGGAGAAGCCGAAAATCGATAATACCAAAAGAAAAAGGTTAAAAATAAATTGAAAATAAACAAATAAGACGCGTGAAAATCCGACATACGGCCGGTGTGTGGTCCGGTCCGGAAAAAGTTGAGTAAGGGAGAGAGAGAGAGAGAAGGCAGAGAAACAAAGAGATAGGAAGGTGGAGGGAGAGAGAGGAGACAGCCGGCTGGACGGTCAGAGAAGGGGGTGAGAGATTGAGAGGGACGGAGAGTGGGGGTCGCGACGCGACGTCGCGGCCGCTTCTGCGACGACCACGACGACGGCGACGTCGACGACTGACGGCTCTTCTGGAGGGAGAGGAGCTTCTCTTAAGAGAGAGGCGATCAATTCCGAGGAGCCACCACTCTGCGCGCGTGATCCCTCGTCGGGGCGCCTCGACGTCTGCCGCCACTGCCATCGCCGCTGGCGGCGGCGGCTCTCCTCCTCAGGCTCGTGCCTATTGCGGCTCGAGCCTGAGGAGGAGAGTGCTCCAAGGCGCCGTGCTCAGCGGCCGCCAAATGGATTAGTACTGTTCTTTTTGAGTGGCCACTTTAGGTCTATGACGTCATCATTTTGTAAACTATCTGTATCTTTTTTCATTGGAAGTTTTGTTCCATGGAAGATGCTCGGCTGCCGCCAAACGGACTAGTACTGTTTCTTTCAAGTGGCTACTTTAGGTCAATGACGTCATGATCTCACTAATTTTCTGATTTTTTCTTCATTTGAATTTATATTCTATGATGCTCCGAGGCGTCGTGCTCACCTTTTCCCAAAAATTAGTACTGTTTTTCTCAAGTGGCCACTTTAGGGCTGTGACGTCATCATTTCATGAATTTTCTGATTTTTTGTTCATTGAAACTCTTATTCTTTGACAGATCCTCCAAGGCCATTTTCCAACTTTCGTCAAACGGATTAGTACTGTTTTTCTCAAGGGGCCACTTAAGGTCTTTGACGTCATCATTTCCCGAATTTTCCGATTTTCTGTTCATTGCAACTTCATCCTATGGTGCTCCAAGACGACGTGCTCAAACGGATTAATACGGTTTTTCTTGAGTGGCCACTTTAGGTCTATGACGCCATAAGCTCTTGAACTATCTGTATATGTGTTCCTTGTAATTTTATCTTAAGATGCTCCAATACTCTTTCCACACTTTCTTGAAACGGATTAGTACTGTTTTTCGTGAGTAGCCACTTAAGTTCTGTGACGTCATCATCTCGGGAATTTTCCTAATTTTTTTTTTGCAACTTCATTCTATGATTTTCCGTGCTCAGCTACCGCCAAAGGCTTGGAGTACTGTTACTCTTAAGTGGCCACTTGAGGTCTATGACGTCATCATACCATGAATTTTCTGATTTTTTGTTGGTTGTCAATTTTTATTCCATGTCAGATTCTCCAAGGCACCGTGCTCACCTTCCCCCAAACGGATTAGTACTGTTCTTCTTAAGTGCCCACTTAAGGTCTGTGACGTCATCAATTCATGAATTTTCCGATTTTTTGTTCGTTGAAAGTTGTGTTCCATGGAAGATGCTCGGCTGCTGCCAAACGGATTAGGATTTTTTTTGTTCAAGTGGCCACTTTAGGTCTATGACATCATCATTTCATGAATTTCCTGATTTTTTTCTTTATTTCAGTTTGTCTCCTATGAAAGATGCTCCAAGGCCCTTTCTCAGCGGCCGCCAAAATAACTAGGCACTCTTTTTTCTTAAGTGGCCACTTCCGAGTGACGTCACGCTTTTCCATATTCTGTTCAATTGAAGCTTCCTTATCCAAGAATTTAAAACGGTTTTTTTTTTCCAAATACTCCGATATTTGCCGATTTTGCAGCACCTTTCCACTTAAGCGATAACTCAGGAATATATCCTTCGAAATTTTCTCTTTTTGAAAATGATCATTCCCTGATTTAGGCTTTTCTACCCGTCGATTAGGTTAATAATAATAATCTTTATTTTAAATTTTTCTAGTGGTCACTCTAGGGGCTCCACTTCATAATTCGAAGATCTTTTCGATTATTAGCTATTCGATGTGCGGAATTTACATTAATTTGTCATTCTCAGCTATCCCTAAAGTGACCACTTGAGAGTATTTACTCAGTTCATCACTATCAGTGGTCACTTTCAGATGACGTCATAATCCTCTTTGATTTATCGATTTTCTCCGATTAGCTTTTAAGAAAAGCTTCAAATTCCCACTTGATTAAGCTTTTTCGATTTATTTCTCACGTCACTAATTTTTCTGATTAAATAAATCTTAATAATAAATATTGAGAAGTTTTACTGTCTCTGGCGCCCCCAAGTGGTCCCTTTAGGGTCGTGACGTCATAAAATTTATTTAATTCTTAAAAAATGCTAGCTTAAACATTCCTTTTTTTCGAGTGATTTGCGAACTGTCAAATTTTTCTCGCCGCTTTAGGGACCACTTGGAAGTTTGCATTGCTTCCTAGTGATCACTATAGGGTCTTAATACTCTTTATCCGTTTAAATAGCCATTGAAAACAGTAAATCAGCCTTCTAACCATATAAACTGGTAAAAAAACCTATTATTCCATTATTTTTTTTCCTTTCTTTTCATTTTTCATCAACTTTTATCATCAATTCATCATTCCATTTTCAGATATTTCCTTATCGCAGTAATAACTATGACCGAAATTTCTTATCAGCCAAAATCTTCTTTGATTTGCGATCACAAATCAGTGATTTCGAGCCAAAATTCTTTTGACCTCGTTGATTTCCCAATCGACTATAAAAAAAAGACTACATTCTCGCAAATTCTGAAACAAACAGTTAGCAAATCGAGTGAAGCATTCAATTATCGGCTACGTCAAGAACTAACAACTTCCGCCTTCTTTTTCGTAGGAAACCCAACTCTGAAAGCTTGAATTATAAACTAATAATGACACGGGTCAAACCTCCAATTTCCTGCACTTTTAGCAGAAAATTCAAGGAAAAACATGCGAACAGTGTAAATAGGTGATTAAAATGGAAGAAAAAACGAAAATAGAAAAATGAGCATGTTGCCTTTTTCTTCGAAATTGTGAGGAAAAATTTTAAAAAATCGGAGTTCAAACTGTTTGAATACATAATTGGAACACTCTTATTAAATTCTTCAAGAAAAATATAGGGAAACTATATGAGAAATAAGAAAAAAATCAAGTTTAGTGACAATAAATATGAAAATTGGAAATTTCTTTGAAATCTCTGTGGGATAATCCAAGCAAAACTGATTCAAAAAATTCGAAGTAGTTTTTCAAAACCCTGGATCAATTCATTCCGAAACGAAATATATAAAAAAACGAAAAGAAAATATAATAAAAAAGGAGAAAATAAAATTGAAAAAAATTTTTTTTCATCATTGGCTTTTGCGCGGCAGTGCTTGCGGCTTTTTGCCTACAGTAACTTCTCTTCTAAATTTTCGCTGTTTTTTTTGATAATTGCTTGCGGAAGTCTGCCACATTCTAGTTCTAATGTCAAAACTTTAGAAAATCAACTTTTTGCTTCTAATTAATTAATCAAGATAGTGGGTGATATTTTCACATGATTACTTTTTTTAAGTGAGTTTTTGTGTGGTGTAACTCATCTTTTTGACATTTTTCAAAGGTGATCTGGCTAATTAGTTTTTGGTTATAAAATATGAGGATATGGTGTACGGTTTGTGCAAAATGATGGAAATATGCAAAATCTTGACTTTTTAAAACCAAAAAACGCGCTAAACGTAGAAAAATCAACAAATTTGGACAATCCTTGATAAATTTTTCTGTTATTGGATTTTGAAAGTCTTTAATATCTCGCTAATATTTAGAAAGACAGAAGAAATATTTTTTTATAAGCAAAAAAAAATTTTTTTCGCACTTCGTAACGAAACGCGCCCCGGACGTTTCTGAGCATTTCTAGGGATCACTTTAGCGGCGTCGGAACCCTTAAGTGCTCACTACAAAAGCGCGTTATCGACACGGACATTGGTAAAAAAAAAACCGGACGCTCTCCGGACATTTCTGAACCATTCTAGGGGTCACTTAAGAGTCCTGACGCCACTAAAGTGGTCCCTTGAAATTCCCTTACGCTTCCGGCTCACGTTACCAAGGTCCAAGGGGTCCGAAATTTTAGGTAATTAGCATTGGAGCGAATTTTCTTTATTTTTCAAGATTTTTCTCATTTCTTCTTAAGAAAAAATGTTTTAAAACCAGATAATTTTCAAAAAAAGGTCTACCATAACCCATCGAAACGACCTTTATTTCCAAGCCCTTTGTTTGAAATTTTTTTTGAAAAATCTCGAAAAATATTCGTATCCGATCGCGGCGTCCTTTGCGTGATACTTTTGTAGTTTTATTACTTTCTTTCGTTTTTTTTTTTGATGAAAAGACGGGGAGAGAAAATCCCCGTCTCTTCGGCCATTACTCATGGCAATTATACATTGCGAAATAAGATAATTGACGGTTTCCTATCTGTTTTTTCCTTCTTGCCTTTCTTCTCATAAGCCTTTTCGCCTCAAGAAAATGTGCATTTTTATTGGTTTTCTTCAATTTTCCATCTCTTCTCTTTGTCGGGATCTTTCGGAATCGGGGATTTTCTGGTTGGATTGAAAAAAAAAAAACATCAAGATTCCAGCTGACGATTGAGTTGTTTGGGATTGCAATAGATGTATAATCTGAGCAATAAATGGAAGTTTTGTACATTTTTCCCAGAAATACTTGAAGCCAAATGGCTTCTACCCTAACATGAGCAATTCTGAGCAATTCAGCAACAAAGCTATAAAAAAGGAAATAGGGATTCAAGACTGGACCGAATCTAAAGTATTACCCGTTTAAGATGTGCAATAGATGTGTAATCTGAGCAATGCGGGCGTTTTTTGTTAATTTTTCAAAAGAATGTTCGAATTTTTGCAATTTTTGTAGCCTAATTGTTTTCTAAGCTAACATGAGCAATTCTGAGCATTTTCTCTGTGAAAAACAGTTTTGAAACTATAGGAAAGGTCATTTCGGTGGCGAATAGGTTAATTGATTAGTTTAAGATGCGCAATAGTTGAGTAGTCTGAGCAATAGGGGAAGTTTTTCGAGAGAAAATTCCGCTTTTTGCAGTTTTGAAGCAAAAATGAAATCTAGAACCTTTTTCTGACTCAGTATTCAACGTATAGCACTTCTTTAAGATGAGCAATGGATATGTAGTAAGAGCAATACGGACTCTTTGTAGCTACCTTTTCCGACGGAATACTTACCTTTTGTAGTTTTAAAGCGAAAAAGCTCTTTTGATAAATTTTTGACTGAGTATTCAACGTTCACTATACTTTTCGCAGCAGGCAATTCGAGTGTAGAACTTCTTTAGAATGAGCAATGGTTATGTAGTCTGAGCAATACATATAGCTTTTTTGAAGCTGCTTTCAGGGAACACCCCCATTTTCCTAATTTAAAAACTCTTCCAGTGTAGAACAATTCTTGACTGAGTATTCAACGTTCACTATACTTTTTGTGCCTGGACCGAAATCCACCCTAAATCTCAGCAGAATGTGAAGCACCATAATTTATTTCTCCCAGAAACGAAATATTTCATCTACCGTAAAAATTCGCACATTCACCGGGAGGCCCATTAACATGAGCAATGCGAGTGTCTGGTCGGAAGAAGGACAGTTGCCCCGGGTGATGGGTGGACGGACAAAAAAACCCACAAAAAATTGGAGGCGGAGCCAATCGAAAGAGAAGAAGAAGAAGAAGAAGAGGAGAAGGAGGAGAGGCGTTTGTAATTGCCTTGTATGGGAGGGTGCGCGGAGCTCCCCGTTCTTTCCGCCGTCTTCTTCATTCTCCAGCATTTTTTGGTCTGGAGGAGTGGATTTTCTGCTGGATTTACTATAAATTTCATCCGTTAGACTTCTTCTGGATAGGAATCAATTCAAAGACCTTTTAGAGGCCCAAATATTCATTTTATCAGTGGAGCAACTTTGCTTCTTGGAAACGGCTCCTCCAAAAAGCTTGGAAGGGCCGATTTCTGTTGGTTTTTCCGCTGGATTTACTATGAATTACATCCTATAAGCTTATTCTGGAAAGAAGTCGATTCAAAGACCTTTTAGAGGCCCAAATATTCATTTTATCCGTGGAGCAACATTGCTTAAAAGTTGCAGATTTTCAATGATTTAATGAGTCTAGGCAAAAGTATACTAGACGTTGAATACTCAGTCAAAGAATAATTTTAGATTTTATCGAAACAACTTCTTCGCCCCAAAAGATGGGAACACTCACTCGAAAAAGCAGGTTCAAAAAGGAAAATTTCCGTATTGCTCAGACTACACACACATTGCTCATTTTAAAGAAGTGATCTGCTCGAGTAGTCGCTGTATCTGAATCCCTTCAAACAGAAATTCTAGACGCCCAAATTTCCATTTTATCAGTGGAGCAACTTTGCTTCTTGGAAACGGCTGCAAAACGCTTGAAAAGACAAAATCTATGAATTGTCATTAGAGCAACTTAGCTTCTCAAAAACGGCTTGGAGAAGTTTGAGAAAGCGAATTTTTGTCAATGAGACTCTTGACTATCCAAAAATGTGAAAATTGAAGAAAATCTTAAAAAATATTTCTGGCTTTTTCTTTCCCAGCATTATTTGGTCTTGAACAGCAGATTTTTTATTGATTTTTCCGCCGGATTTTCCATAAATTTCATCTTCTAGGCTTATTCTGGAAAAGAATCGATTCAAAGACCTTCTAGATGCCCAAAACTACAATTTATCAGTGGAGCAACTTAGCTTCTTGGAAACGGCTGTCAGCATTTTTTCGAAAATCTCTGAATCGACGCTCTACTCGGACCTTGTAAACGCCAATTAGACGTGACTGAGCATTTTTAGTGATCACTTCAGGGGCTTCAGAACTTTTAAGTGATCCCTTGGAATGCTCAGAAACTTCCAGACCTGGGAATTTATGAATAAATTTGGGTTTTTTGAAAAATTTATTTTTTGATGAGCCAGTTAGCCTTCTAAAAAGTGAACAATTACTGAGAAGCGAGCAATTCTACGATTTATCAGCCGAGCAACTTTTCCTTATCAAAAAAAGCCTTCAAAAAAAAATTCAAAAATCACAGAAATGTATAATCCGCTGGAAAAACGATGCAAAAAAGTTCTTTCTCCAAAATTTTTTTGAAAAAACTTGCAGGGAAGTTCCCCGTCACATCACTTTTTCATGCCCTTGAAGCTTTCCCTCCCCCCCTATTTTTTCGGCTCATTCTTCTTTAACGAGCGAAATTTGCACTGATCTTTTTTTGACCGCTCAGTTTGGTCAGTTTTTTTTAAGTGGATTAGTATTCCGCTTGGCAATTAATGAATCAAGAGCATTTGTTCGTTTTTTTGAGACAGTATTCAAGCTTATATGCTATTTATGGCATTTTCCAAGTTTCAGACAAGCTCTGGATTTTTTTTTTGTAAGATCGGTCTGTGATCAGGTTTGAATGTCCCTTTCATCTTTAGGAACATTTTATTTTCAAAAAAATTTTTTTTGGGCTCCGATCGTTTGCGCAATGATTCAAGGCTTGAAAAGGCTCCTCCAAGGCGCGCCAGACCAAAAACGACTTCCCAGAGCCATTCCAAATGCGTCCATGGCTTTTCGGCTTTCTCTGAACTTGAAACTAATTCAAATACGGTTTTACAAGTCGACAGATCCTACTTCATCCGCGCCGCCTTGAGTCATTCCAAATGCGGCCATTTTTTTCGAATTGATACTCGAACCAGGCGTCCTCTGCTGCTCGATTTCTTATTGTATTTCTCAATGAACTGAAACTTCTGAACTGCTTCTAGCCGCAACGCGACCGCGACGCCTTGAGCCATTCCAAATGCGGTCCTGGCTCGTTATTTTCTCGGATTTCAAATTCAAATAAGGCGTCCTATGACGCTGGATTCTCTTTCCTAACTCACAATAAACTTGAAAATCTGGACACGACGCTTCGAGCCATTCAAAATGCGTTCTCCATACTTGAAGCTTGTTCGAGCCGTCTGATAAAGTTCGATTTTCCTGCTCTCTCCTAGATGAACTTTAAAATCCCTATAAGCCTCCAGCTTAATAAATTGGGTAGAAATGCTCCAATCGTGACGGCGGCGCTTCGAGTCATTCCAAATGCGGTCATGAGCTCAAGCGGTATATTCCTGCTGTTCATATGCCTCCATTCTTTCACGATAAAGTTTAAAATCACAATTGACCTGCAGCTTCTCAACTCGTCTCTGAATGCTCCAAAACGCGGCCGTTACGCTTTGAGCCATTCCAAATGCGGTATTTGAGCTCAAACAGAACGTCCCTGCTGCTCATAATCCTTCCTTTCAAGATCCGAATTTACCGTCAGCTTCTTAAATCAGCTGGAAATGCAAAAAACGCGACCGCGACGCTTCGAGCCATTCCAAATGCGGTCATGAGCTCAAACAGGATGCTGCTCATATTCCTTTACCCTTCCACGATAAAGTTTAAAATCACGATTGACCTCCAGAAATCGGCTTGAGATCTTGAAATGCTCCAAAACGCGACGGCGACACTTCGAGCCATTCCAAATGCGGCCTTGCTTTCAAACAGTATATCCCTGCTGCTCATATTTCTTCATCCTTCCAAGATAAATTTGAAAATCACGGTCGACCTCTAGCATTACAAATCGGTTGCATAAGTTCCAAACGCGACCGCGACGCGTCGAGCCATTCCAAATGCGGCCTTGCTTTCAAACAGGACATCCCAGCAGCTCAAATCCCCCATCCTTCCAAGATAAACTCGAAAATCACGCCAAAAACACTGCAAAATAGAAAAAAAAAAGGAGATTGGCCGAGGAGGGCCGAGCTCTTTTTTTTCCCCTTCTTCTTCTTCTTCCCTCGCGTCCCTTTCCTTTCCATCGTCGTTGCCGAAAAAATATTCCGCTCTCTTTTCAGTGGCGGCTCTGCTTCCTCTCCTTCAAAGCGGCCGAAATATCGACTTTTTCGCCCCGTCGCACACACTCCTCCCTCTACTATCGGCCTCCCCCCTACTGAAAATACGCGTTCGCTTTTTTTTTTCTGCTGCCTTGTTTTTCCAACTTCATATTTTTCTTTAATAATTTTCTTTTAGATTTTTGAAAACACTGAGGGACCTCTTAAGGACTTTTCGGCTTCATAACACTCAATTCTTCATTAAAACCTGTGTTTTTTATTTTATAATTCACTCGATTTTTGCGATTTTTTCTCTTTTCTATACTTTTTTTCGTATTTCTTACGTACAAACCGACTATAAATTGGAAAACCTGCACCAAAAAACTCGTATAACCATTTTAATTCGTTTTCGCTGTCTTACTGTAGGTAACTGTCTGCAGGGGACGGTGTATGCAGACTGGCAACATTTAAATTTTTTTTTTTTTCAAACGTTTTTTTCCTGTTTTTTTAATTGTTTTTTTCGATTTATTAGCTTTCTCATGCCTCAATTATCATCCAAATTCGAAAGAATTTTCAATTTTCACTTTTATAACAACAAAAAAATTCCAAAAAGTAGTTTTTATCTATTGAAATTTTTCGATACATGATACCAACAATGATTGTTTTTCATTCCATCTTTTTTTAAGTTAAATCGGAAACCGGAAGGTAATAAATTTACTATTTCACGCAATTAAGAAAAGAACTAGTTTTTCTCACGTTATACGCCATTTTTCCCTGTTTTTCTCATGTCAAACCTTGGGAAATTATTTTTTATCCTTCAATTCTTTTCATTTGACGGCAGTTCCTTATTTTTCTGGGCAATATTATTCAATTTTTCATGCATTTTGAATGATTTTTTTAGGCCTTATTTATTGAGAAATAAATTAAAAAAAGTAACACTTTTTCCGCTTTTTTTGAATCATTTCTTTGAAAAAAATCATATTTTTCTCTTCTTTTTACAGCTAAAAAAATGGCCGTTTTTTTCTATGAAATTTGATTTTTTTCAATTCGATTTGTTTCTCATTATATCCGGGAAAACCGTGTTTTTTTATGTTTTTTTAAAAAGATCGAAAAAAATATAAATTTATATTTTTTTGCAGACGACCGAAGAAGTGATGAATGACTAGCCGACGAGAGAACCGACGCGATGGCCCTACCGAGGTTGAGGTAAACTTTCCCGTTTCACAACTTCTTTTTAAACCTTTGTTTAACTTATTTCGTGATTTCAAAGTTTTTTGGAGAGGGTTTATTATGTTTTAAAGGTTTTTTTATCAAATATTTCGGTTTTTATTTCGATTTTTAGGCTTTTTTGAAACATTATTTGCTAATTTTTATGATTTTTTGACTTTTTTGAAAAAATGGCCTTTTTTGAAATTAATTTTGCGCATTTTATTGTCATTTTTTGAGCTCAAAATATTTCCGGTGGCTAAAAAATAGCCTCAATTTTGCTTTAATTTGATCTTTCTAGATTTATGACTTTCATTTCGCTCGAAAAAATTTTTAATTTCGAAAAAAAAGCCGGGAAAAGGAACGCAATAAGCTCTCTGATATTTCTCAAGCCGGGGCTAATTTCCTGCCGACGAGAGGCTAATTTTTCTCTCTTTGAAGCTAATTTTTCGGACAGAGCCTTTTCCCCTGCTTTTTCGCTCTATTGGACATTTGCTCTTTCGAACCTGGAAAAAAGGCAAAAATCGAGTTCCCTTGATGGGGATTGAACCCTGGACCTTTTTACTGTTGATTTTTTGGCTTCCAGTTGATTTAAACATTGGAAAATTATCAGGATTTCTAAAAATGACCTTTCCTTGAAGCCGACTTTTTTAAAAAGCCGAGGCTATTTTTTCCAAACTTTTTCGCTCCACCGCTCAGTGTCTGTTTTTCAAAATCCCTTACTCTACCAAAAAAAAGCCGAAAGATGCGTTAAATACGTTTCGGACACTACTAGACGAACTTGGAAAAATGGCAAAAATCGAATTTCCTTGATGGGAGTCGAACCCTTGACCTGTTTACTGTTGATTTTTTGATTTTCAATTGATTTTAACATCGTAGAAAGTATCAAATTTTTTGAAAATATATGAACAATGCTTTTTCTTGAAGTCAGAGAGCCTAGGCCATTTTTTCCAACCTTCTTCGCTCCACCGCACTCGAAAAATGGCAAAATTGAAACCCCCTGAATGGAGGTTGAACCCTTGACCTTTTGACTGTTGATTTTTTGGTTTCCAGTTTATTTAAACGATAAAAAGCCGAGGCTATTTTTTCGAACCTTCTTCGCTCCACCGCACAGTGGCTATTTTTCGTTTTTTATCCAAAATCCCTTCGCCACCAGCCAAAAAAGGCCGACAAATACGTTAGAATCGGCCGCAAAAAAGGCTGGGAATTTGGAATTTTTCGGCCAAATGAGCCCCTCGAGAGAGCTTTTCTGGGCGCAGTCCCTCTCTATGTGTGTGGAAATCGATATGGAGAGCCTCCCAAGTTTTTTTTCTCCCTTTTTTTGTGGCCGCCACTCTTCTCCATGCTGACGTCATTCACTCTTTGAAATTTCGCGTATTTTTTTTTTCGGTCGGGGAAAAAAAAGGAGGCCTTTTTTGGGGTTAATTATCCCCTTTTTGGGACGAAAAATGGTTCAAAATTGATTTTTTTTTTCCTAATTCTGGAGCATGGAAAATCAGCATAGGAATTTAATGACGTCACTTTTAAATTTATGTGACGTCATAAGGATGAGAGAGGCCTTGAGAAGAGAGTCGGACGGGAATAAAAATAATTTTGATTTTTTTTTTCGGTCAAAGAAGATTTTTTTTCTGAAAATGACGTCATTTGCCTAGATTATGATGATTATGACGTCATAGACAGTCGATTTTAACAGGAATTTTTGAAAAATCTGAAAAACTGTCTGATCTGTCTGGACACTCATAATCTCTCAGCGGCTCTTTCAAGATTGTATCGGCGAGAGAAAAAGAGGGTGCAGACAGTCAGAGAAGTTGGGATGAAATTTTTGAGCAAATCAGTCTTTATTCTTGAGAGATTCTGAAAAATGACGTCATTTTTTTTAAAAAATCACTCATTGTTTACCTAATACACTCTAACTTGTCTGCGCTCTCTCAATGTCTAAACGCTGATTTTTGAAAAGAGGTAATGAGGGCACAGACAGTCAGAGTAGAAGAAAAAAAATGAAAAAAAAAATGACGTCATAATAAGGCGTTTTCCGAGTTCTTGAAATGAAAATGACGTCATAGTGGTCGATAAATGACATTTTAAAGTACTCTAACCTGTCTGCACTCTCTTGATCTCTCAACGGTTTTCTTAAGACCACTTGGAAAAGAAAAAGAGACCTCAGACGGTTAGATTTGAAAGGAGCCGGAAAAAGTGACGTCATAAGTATAATCCTCATAATGACGTCACCAATCTACCATTTGAAATAATCTAACCTGTCTGGACCCTCTTGATCTCTCTAAGGTGCTTTCAAGTCCTTCATGACCACTTGAGAGAGAAAAAGAGAGCGCAGACAGTCAGATTTGAAAAAAAAGCCAGAAAAAGTGACGTCATAAATAGCCTTCCTCTAAAAGACGTCACAAATTGACACTTTAGACTACTCTAGCTTGTCTGGACCCTCTTGATCTCTCTAAGGTGCTTTCAAAAACACATTGTAGAGAAAAAGAGAGCGCAGACAGTTAGACTACTTCAAGTGGCTGTGAACGAACTATATCACCATATTATCGATTTTTCCCTCAGGGTGAATGCAAACTCGGAGGAGCGGCTGGTGCACCCGAACCATATGGTGTACCAGAAGATGGAGGGACTCGTACAGCACATGTTGGACCCCGAAAACGGGGTACCAATTAAGACCGTCAAGAGCTTCCTGTCAAAAGTAACGTCTTTAAAGTGCGGACGTTTCATTTATTCGCACTTTTACAGGTTCCCAGCGTTTTCACCGGCCAGGATCTCATCTCCTGGATCATGAAGAACCTCGACATGTCCGATCTTTGTGAGTTTGGGAGATGATTGGCTTCCTGGAGCCCTCAGAAAAATGGCAAAAAAAGTTACGCGTGGAGGGGAGTCGAACCTGTGACCTTTTGAGTATTGATTTGACGCTTATTGAGAGCTTCTGAGCTCTGAAAATCACGAAAAAAGTATTTAGCTTTTTTAAAGTGATTTTTTAACATACCGGGAAAACTCTAGAGGTCACTTAAGAGGGTTCCTCAAGGACACTAAAGCGGCCACTGAAACCACCCCTGTAGACCTTATTTTGCGTCTTAGTGGCCACTATAGTAGTCTAGAAGTATCACTTAGACTCCTAAAGAGGCCCCTAAATTTTAGCCACTCGAGTGGCCACTACTTGGACTACTAGAGTGACGAAAAACCCTAAAGTGGTCACTGAAAAATCTTGGCATACTCAAATAAACATTTTCCGGTTTCGCAAAACTTTTTTGAATTTTGGTCGTCAATGTGATTGTAATATGCGAGCGCAAGTTGAAGAGTTTATTCGCAAAAATGATTTCCCGGAGAAGATTCGAACCCCCGACCCTTTGCCCCCTGTTCAAGACTCCAACCAACTGAGCCATCCTTGCAGCCGACGCCCTCCACCTGGCGCACCTGGTAGCCTCCCACGGCTACCTGTTCCAAATCGACGATCACGTGTTGACAGTGAAAAACGACGGGACTTTCTACCGGTTTCAGACCCCCTACTTTTGGCCTTCCAACTGCTGGGAGCCTGAGAACACCGATTACGGTAGGGGATTACTGTAGAGTCTTGTATTTCGGTTTACTGTAGGCTGTTTCCGCAGCAGTATCCGTTATAAGAGGTACCATACTGTCTTTTCAGTTTTCCTGATAGTTGACTTGACTAAGCTACAGTAACCTTTTCTTACTGTATCTTACTGTAGTTTTGTTTGTTTTTTTTCACTGGAGAACGTGTTCGAAACTGTAGTTTCATTCGCGTTGCGGCTTGCGTCGCGGCTGGTGACGTCATTATTTTGAATGACGTCATCAAAAAACCCATCAGAAACCCTTAAGAGCTCACTAGAATCTTCCATTTTTCTTCATTAAATTAATGACGTCATTTTTTTAATTTTCAAAAAATCAAAAAATTGAAAATAAATGGTCCTGCAACGACTATCTAACTTGGCCCATGAATAATACGGTATAATCATATTTTAAGCTTACTGTATTCAGCCTACAGTACCCTACCGTATTTCAGCCGTCTACCTATGTAAAAGAACGATGCAAAACAAGGCGCACCTGGAGTTGGAAGACTTCGAGGCGGAGAACTTGGCAAAACTCCAAAAAATGTTCAGCCGAAAATGGGAGTTTGTCTTCATGCAGGCCGAGGCACAGTACAAGTGAGACTACCGTAATTTGCACTACTGTAACCTTGAGCTTTTGTAGAGTCGACAAGAAGCGGGATCGGTTAGAACGGCAAATTTTGGATAGTCAAGAAAGAGCTTTTTGGGACGTCCATCGGCCGGTCCCCGGCTGTGTCAATACGACTGAGGTGAGGCCGCATTTGGAATGGCTCGCGATGTTTGATCTTTTGGGCTTTCGTTTATGGCAGCGCGCAAGTTGCTTTTAGTCGGACGCAAAAAATTTTTTTCCAAAATTTCTTTTTTGATCATCTCCTAGATTTTTTTAGTTCGGAGTTTTTAAAGGCGCAGGTCCTCCGAAACTGTCTGACATCTCTGCGTCTCTTCTCTCTCGCTGGCAAGGTCATTGAAATGAGAAAATAGCACGAAAATATGAGAGAGAGCAGAGAAGTCAGATCGCTTCAAACTATGGAAAAAAGTTTTGTCGCTTCTGGGTAGTCTACAAAATTTCCTCCGAAACTGTCTGACCTCTCTGCGTCTCTTCTCTTTCTCACTGACGAGGTGATAGAGACACTAGAGCGCAGAGAAGTCAGATCACTTCAAAATTCCTGTGTAGTTTTCAAACCGCGTGCCTGTGTTAAAACTTCCTCCGAAACTGTCTGACATCTCTGCGTCTCTTCTCTCTCAGGTGATAGAGACACTAGAGCGCAGAGAAGTCAGATAATATGAACATCATTGAAGAATGATCATTCCAGGTGGACTTCCGGAAGCTGTCAAGATCGGGCCGGCCCAAGTACAGCAGCGGGGGCCACGCGGCCCTCAACGCCGCGGCCTCCAGCGGCTGCGGTCCATTCTCGACGAGTGCCGCGGCCGCGGCCGCGCACGCACACGCGACGCAGCCGTCGACGTCGAACGGGTCAACGGCCGGCGGGGCGTCGCCGTCGACCGCCCCAGCCGCGTCCTCCTCGTCCGCGTCGCCCGGACAATCCTCGCCTTTGACCTCGTGGGTTCCAGCTGCTTTATTGACCCCAGCCTTGGTTCAGAAGTACGGGTGGAGCGTCGAGCGGGAGCGGCTCGTTCCGGAACAACTACTACGCAAGGCCGGGCCTTCGGCGGTGTACCCAAGTCCAGGACACGCTCAAACTTGAGGTTTTCAGAACGTTTTTCGAATAGTCCATTGATTACCACTTCCTCGTGTTTTAAAGGCGCATCGTCAAAAATCGTATGCTCCTTTAAAACTTACTATTTTCGAACCTACTAGATTCTCAAAGAGCATAGTCCTTATATAAAATCTCACTGACTGGTTTAAAGGCGCATGGCCCAAGTTCTGCTAGTATTTTTAAAGGCGCAGGGTCCGCGCCTCGAAAGTCGTATGCTCCTTCAAACTGGTTGCCTTTCAAAATTCTCGTAAGTCATAGTTCATCCATAAAGTCCTACTGAACTATTTAAAGGCGCATGGCCCAAGCTTAGGTTAGTGTTTTTAAAGGCGCATGGCTTGGTCGTCAAAAATCGTTTTAAAGGCGCATCGTCGAAAATCGTATGCTCCTTTAAAATTTGCTCAGTATTTTTCAAGCTTACTAGATTCTCAAAAATAATACACTGCGACCCATAATTATAGACCCACCCTAATTTCTCCGATTTTAAGAAAGATTGAAAAACTTTGAGCCACCAAACTTTTTTTGTGATAAACCTTGTTGATAAGGAACATAATCATATCATAATTATCAATCACCCAGTTGAAAAGTTTTTTTCAAGATACGAGAAAATCTGATTTTTTTGACCGACCCAGAATTATAGACCCACCCCAGAGTTTTTCCGAGTTTTTCGTTTCAGGTAACACGTTTTTTTCCTGTTTTTTTCAGTGTTATATAAGAGAAAAAAAGTCCTCGTGTATCACTATAAGCCATAATGCCTAAATCTACTCAACTTGATAATACCGAAAAAGCGGTAATCGATGCTCTACTCAACAACGGCTTGTCCCATCGGGAGATCGCTCGTCAGACGGGTCGCTCAAGACGAACTATTGACCGTTATGCGAGGAATCCGCAAGAATACGGCACAGCAATAGATTCTGGACGGCACAGGCTGCTATCGGTTCAAGCTGAACGAGACGTCTGTCGAAAAGCATCAAACTCTACGAAGTCCGCCAACCAAATCAGATCCGAATTTCCTGAAAACGTCTCGAAGAACACCATCTTACGAACAATTCATCGGTCCGGTCGACTTGTGAATACTCCAATGAAGGCAGCACCTCGTCTACAGCAACGCCATAAGAATGAACGGCTCCAGTTTGCACGCTCTAACATGGCCACGGATTGGAATAAGGTATTAATTTTTTCTATCACCTTATGATTCCCAATTTTTCTGTTCGGATCTTCTTCAGAGACGAGAAGAAATTCAACCTTGATGGGCCAGATGGGTACGCTCACTACTGGAGAGATTTGAGGAAAGATCCGAGTACGTCCAAGAGAAACTTCGGCGGCGGCAGCCTCATGGTCTGGGCGGCTTTCTGCGGCAACAGGGACGGTAGCTCTTTCTTTTTATTGGGACCAGAACGAATTCGCAAGACTACCAGCAACTGCTTGCCCAGCATCTCCTGCCCTATCTCCGTCGCCGACGACGTGCTAATATGATTTACCAACAAGACAATGCATCTGTTCACGCGAGCAACTCCACATTGGCTTGGTTTGCGGCCAAGAACGTGGTTCTTCTGGACTGGCCCGCGTGCAGTCCTGACCTCAACCCTGTAGAGAATTTATGGTCAGTCCTTGTACGAAGGGTCTACGCGAATGCCAAGCAGTATACAACGGTCAACGATCTGAAAAAGAGCGATTCGTGCCGAGTGGGATGGTTTGGACAAGTCACTGCTGCAATCACTCGTTGGCAGCACGCCGAACAGGATTTTTCGAAGTCGCTCAGAAACAAGGAGGCATCACACATTATTAATTAATCTTTTTTTGTTATACTTTGTTGACTTTGTGAAATGAATTTTTGTTGATTACTTATAGTGGGTCTATAATTCTGGGGCGGTCAAAAAAATCAGATTTTCCTCGTATCTTGAAAAAAACTTTTTCAACTGGGTGATTGATAATTATATTATGATTATGTTCCTTATCAACAAGGTTTATCACAAAAAAAGTTTGGTGGCTGAAAGTTTTTCAATCTTTCTTAAAATCGGAGAAATTAGGGTGGGTCTATAATTATGGGTCGCAGTGTAGTTTATTCATAAAGTCTTTTTGAGAGTTTTAAAGGCGCATGGTAAGCTACAATTTTTAAAGGCGCAGGGCATGTCCTTCAAAATTGTATGCTCCTTTAAATCTTGCTCACTTTTGGGGATTAGGTTCACGGAAAGATCAGCGCGAGACGAGAGGGCGCAGAGAAAGCAGACGATCTTTCAAATTACCAATTTCGTTTTCCAGATAAACTTGCTGAACAACCGGTTATCGAAAAACGTGTTGCGGACGTCGAAAGTCGTCGAAAAGTATGCCGCCATCTCATTATACCTCACCATTGCTCATCTTACAGCTACCTGTCGTACTATGAGCAACGGCGGGTCTTCGACCCATTCCTCACGCCGCCTGGCTGTGCCGCCGATCAGTTCCAGAGTCAGCCGAATCCTTGGATCAACGACACCGTCGACTTCTGGCAGCACGATAAAATGTTCGTTTTTTAAGGGAAAGTTGAGGGATTGACGACTGGAATGGTGTAGGTTTTGAAAAGAGCATGCTTCTGGGGAAATAATGTGATTTTTGATTTGGACCGCGACGCGACCGGAGCGCGCCGAAGAAAAATAAGATTGATTGAATTTCCTTTCCGAACTCCAAGCTGTAAGGTTACTTGACTAACAATATCTGGAAAAAAGTGAAAATGATGGTAAAGAATCATTTCTTATGGAACCGCGACGCGACCGCAACTGTTTTGTTTGTTTATTGCATCTTCAATGTAAGAGTACATGTGCAATCGACTTTCATTGATTTGACTGTGCTTTAAACGGCGGCAGGAGCTGTGGCTTAGGCAGAGAAGTTGTGAATTTCGCTCGTAGAACATCAGGTACAAGAGAGGTCGTAGGAAGAAATACGGTGCCGGCTTTCCAAAGGCCGATGGCAGAGATTGAGCCTTCCGCAACGCCTTGTAGTAATTTAATAAGAATTTAATTTTTTGAATTCCGACAAACCGCTGAGCCGTTAGGTCACTTAAGTAACCATATCTGGACAAAAGAAACAAAATGAATTTCATTAAATCTTTTTTTTATGAAACCGCGACGCGACCGCAACGCATTGAGTAAAATGGGGTTAAACTTTAAACTTCTTCATTTTTCAAGTTATCGAGTCTCTCGACCATCAAAATTGGGTCGAAAAAGAAAAATGAAGTTCTAAAATCAATTTTTGATAACCGCGACGCGACCGCAACGCGTTAAGTAAAATATAATTTTCTTGCATTTCTTCCGAATTTCCGAGCTTTTTTGTCAAGTGGTTACAATATTGAATGGTACCGTAGAGAAAAAAAAAGATGGAGTTGGAAAATAATTTTTTGATAGAACCACGACGCGACCGCAACGCGTTGAAGTAAATCTGGGTTATTTGATTTTTTCTCCGAAATTCCACTTCTCAGCATGATAACCGCGACGCGACCGCAACGCGTTGAAGCAACATGAGTCAGAACTAAACTTTCTAATTTTCAAGCTTTTTTGTCAGCTGGCTAACAATATTGGAACCAAAGAGAAAAAAAAAAGTTTAAAAACCATTTTTGATGAAACCGCGACGCGACCGCAACGCATTGAAATTTAACAAAGTTATTATTCCAATTGACATCCATCGATAATTGATGAGCTTTTGGACCCTTGGAGTACTGAAAACGAGTCTATAGAGAAAATGAGAAAGATAAAAATGGATTTTTCATTGAAACCGCGACGCGACCGCAGCGCGCTACCCTCCGTTGTTTGCTTCTTGAAACTGCTGTTTTCTCTGCGTTCTCGGCGTCTCTCTCATGTTTACATGTTTTTTTCATTTTTCTCTGACCTGAGGGAACAGAGACGCAGACAGGCAGAAAGTTCCAAGTCCCGGCGGATGGGCTATAAAATTTTTTTGGAACATGATTTAAAAATATAATTTTTTGTAGTGGTGTAGAAGATGTACCGTTACAACAAGAATTTTTCCGCAAATATATTTTTTTTCAGTACGGGAGACATTTCAACGCGCCGGTTAAAACTGTGGGAAGAGTGCTTTGAAGAGTTGCTGGCGGACCCGCTGGGCCGCGAGACGCTCCAAAAGTTCCTCGACAAGGAGTACTCCGGCGAGAATTTACGGTTCTGGTGGGAGGTTTGTTGAGCTCATGGCCAGATTTCACCTAAATTTTGGGATTTGTAGGTACAAAAACTCCGGAAATGCAGCAGCAGGATGGTTCCGGTGCTGGTCACGGAGATTTATAACGAATTTATCGATACCAACGCCGCGACCTCGCCGGTTAACGTCGATTGCAAGGTTTCCATCGAAAAAAATGGAAAAAATGAATAGTTCATTCACCACTCCTTTTAGACATCTTTAAAGGCGCAGGGCCTAGTTAAAAAACCTAATGATCCTTTAAATCTGAATAACAATCAGTTTCTTCATGTTGTATTTATTCAGGCCTTCATAGAGCCAATATAATTTGCAGAATTAGCCAAAATAGATATAGTCCATTCACCCCTCCCTTTAAAGATCTTTAAAGGCGCAGTGCCTAGCCAAAAAAGTCGCATGCTCCTTCAAAATCAAAGAAGCTTCGCTTTTTCATAGTTCGTTCATTCAGGCCTTCCTAGAGCCAATAAAAAGCGGGAAAATCAACCAGAATAGATATAGTTCATTCACCACTCTCTTTAGAAATCTTAAAGGCGCAGGGCCTCGCCGAAAAAATACCATGCTCCTTTAAACCTGAATAACAATCAGTTTTTTCATGGAATTCTGGTTCAGGCCTTCCCAGATCCAACAAAATTCGAGAAATTAGCCAGGATTGAAATAGTCCATTCATCCCTCCCTTAAGACATCTTTAAAGGCGCAGAGGGCCTATAAAAGCTCCATGCTCCTTTAAAATCGAAGAAGCTTCGTTTTTTCACAGTTCACCCATTCAGGCCTTCATAGAGCCATTAAAATGCGGTAAAATTAGGCAGAATGGATATAGTCCATTCACCGCCCCCTTTTGAGATCTTTAAAGGCGCATAGCCTATCCGAAAAAAAAATAATGCTCCTTTAAACGTGAATAACAATCAGTTTCTTCATGGTATACTCGTTCAGGTCTTCATAAAGCGATTAAAACTCGAAAAAAAAACCCGGATTCGATATAGTCCATTCACCACTCTCTTTAGAGATCTTTGAAGGCGCAGAGGGCCTATAAAAGTTCCATGCTTCTTCGAACCCGAGTAAACCTAGTTTCTTTATAGTTTATTCACTCAGGTCTTCCTAAAGTCAATAGAATTTAAGAAAAATATCCAGAATTGAAATAGTTCATTCACCACTTACTTGAGAGGTCTTTAAAGGCGCAGAGTCTAGCCCATAATATTCCCATGCTCCTTTAAACTGAATCGTCTGTTCTCTCTTTTCCATCTGCAGATTTATTGTCTCTTTACGTTAGATCAAAATATTTTCATCCTTTCACTTGCAAAATTTTGGTCGCACTTGGAATGGCTTAAAGTCTCACATAGAAGCTAGCTCAGGTGCTTTCTAAGGCCTAAAAGCGCAAGCCGTTTTGGATCGGGCGCATCTTATAGTGCGTTCGCGTTGATATTTAAAATTCAGCTTACCATTTGCTTCGACGAGGAAACTTACAGTAACCCTTTTTTACCTTAAAAGTTTTCCCTTCAGGACCAAATTAAAGTAACATTATCTTACTGTTGTAGGTGATTTTCAAAAAAAAAACCTGTTTACTGAATTCAAAATTTCGTTAATGAATAAAATAAACTTTCTATTCAGGTCATGGAAATCACGGAAGAAAACCTCAAGAACCCCAACCGTTGGAGTTTCGACGAGGCGGCGGTAAGAGGCCTACCGTAATCCTTGTTTGACTACAATGTTTTCCCTTCAGGACCACATCTATTGCCTGATGAAGAACGACAGTTATCAGCGATTCCTCCGATCCGATATCTACAAGGATTTGGTCGCGCAGTCCAGGAAAAAGGTACATTTTTTTCTCCATTCGAATACATGAGAAAGTGTGAGCTAACATGAGCAACACTTTGAAGTTTTAGAGAATTTTAGCGAGTCCGTTTATTTTGCATTTAGAGAAGGGCTTGATTTAGTTTTGTAGCGGTAGTGTTCACTTAAGGGAATTCATGAAAATAATTTTGAAAACGGAAAGTAAAAAAGCGGTGTGATTTAGAATAGCTCCTTCTGAAAATTTGTTGTTATTGCTCATCTTAGAGGCGTGTTGCTCATATTAGATAGGTACTCATCCCGGAGAATACAGCTTCGTTTGGAGTCTATAGTGAATACTAGACGTTTATTGCTCATGTTAGCTCATCAAAAGTTTCACAAACCGTGCTCGTGCATGTACTGTCTTGCCGTGTGTCCACGTCTCCGTTTCGACCAAAGCCACGCCCCCTCAATTTTTTTGTTGGCGATTCAATCGATATTTCTATGAAGCCACGCCCCCACCATTTTTTCTATCTCTCGGTTGTTTGGGTTTAGAGCACGTTTACCTCACTAATCGCACGCAAGGCGTCGCGTCGGATCGGCGTCGGCGCGTCGTCGTCGTCGGCGTCGTCGTCGCGGAAGGCCCAGACGCCGTCGCCGTTCTCCTCCTCGTCTTGCCTGCTGCTCGCCCCGCCGCCACCGTCGTCGTCGTCGGCCGGCCCACAGTATGTGTCTAGTCTGCTCCCTCTCCCATCCACACACACACACACATACACACTCCATCACCTCTTCCTTTCATCCTTCACACAGCTCTCACCGGAAAAAGATCTTTTTTAAAGAGTCGGAAGTCGGTCCGAGCCCCATAGAAAGATTTTCAAAGGGCGTTCAATGTCTATAGTCCATCCGCCGCGACTTGACACTTTTCGTATGTCTGCGCTCTCTGTTCCCTCACCGGAGAGGTCGGAGGAACATGAAAATAGCACGTAAACAGGAGAGGGTCGTCGAGAGACGAGGAGAGCGCAGAGAAAAACAGTCGTTTTTTAGTGAGGCTGTCTGCCTGTCTGCGCTCTCTGTTCCCTCACCGGCGAGGTCGGAGGAACATGAAAATAACAGCTCAACATGAGAGGGTCATCGAGAGACGAGGAGGGTGCAGAGAAAAACAGCAGTTCCAAGTCGCAAAAACGAACTATAACAGACTTTTGGACGTTCAAAGTGGTCAACTATAACGATAGGAAAGAGATAGTGCCTGATTAGTGGAGAGCGCAGACAGGCCACGCCCCTTAGCGTCTCAAGTCAGCCGGGGAATGAGCTATAGAACTGAGATGATAACTTGAACAGGACCAAAAAATTTCATTTTGAAGAAAGAAAAAAACGAAAAAGTACATGAAAATCGTTCTTTTTTTTCCGACTATGGTCCGTTCGAATTTTGAGGATTTTAATCTCTTTTTTCCAAGTTTTCTTTTCTTTTATAGCCCAATCTTGACACTTTTCTGCCTGTCTGCGTCTCTTTGTTCCCTCTCCGGCGAAGTGAGAAAAACACGAAAATAGCACTGAATAATGAGAGGATCGCCGAGAGCCGAGGAGGGCGCAGAGAAATCCCTTTCAAGTCGTGAAAAACGGACTATAGAATAAAATAGGATGGAAGACAAGTTTCAGAGCCGTAGTCTGTTCAGGTTTTGAATTTAAAGAACAATGACGTAATTCAAAAAAAAAAAAATGGTGCTACAGTATACCATATTTTTTGCTTTTCCAAACGTTTATTCTTTCTAATTTTTGACTGGTTTTACAAAAATGAAGCTACGAATCTCATCTCGATTTCATAAATCATTCAAAAAAATTCGCCGGACTTGGACCGACTTCCCATAAAAAAACAAAAAAATCATGAATGAAATTGGGCAAATTGCACCCTCCGCTACTTTTTTTTTTTCATTTTTTTTTTCTTCTTTTCAGTTTTGGCCGCCTTTTTGCATTCTCGCTGCTGATTTTGAGGAAAGCGCTGTGCACGAAATACATTTTTTGAGAAATTAGGGTTTTCCTGAAGTTTGACGTGGCTTTTTGTGAGTTGGATTTTTTTTTTTCGAAGCGACGGATTTTTTCAAAATATCCCATCATTGGACAAGCTCTGGATCCATGTCAAATTTTAGAAAAACCACGAAAAATGAAAAAAAAACGAGAAAAATTATCTGTTCTGTATGTTCAAAGACTCTATGTTGAGAAATCAATGTTAGATGTTCCTCGAAATCTTTGTCCATCCGTCTAGAAAGTGCGAACACTTTTTGAAAATGTTCATGGTTCGTCGGGACTTGAAACGCGATCGGCTAGGGAAAAATGAATAGACGAATTTTCTCTGGCTGATCTATGCCATCGCGCGCAAGTCGTTCTAGGTTGGGACGCTCTGAAAAACAGTGCGCCTGACCTGAACCGACTTGCGCGGACTTACAAAGAGCAGACTTTTCCAAGAGACGTTTCAAGTCAAGGCGAATCAAATATACCACGAATTCTGGATTGAACTCAAGGAAGGTTATTCTACCTTGAGTTTTCTGGAACTTGGCCAAATTATGTTTTTTGTACCAATGAAGTTCCAAGCTGCAAAATTTCCTATTTTTTGAAAAATAAGAGCTCGAAGTCTGAAAATGGCTTTTTGACTGTTCTTTCTTGAAAATTAGGCGAGTTGAGACTTCCAGGAACCTCGTCTGGTACATCTATCAAATAACTGCAACTGCCGAAAAAAAGCGATATCGCTGACGGTATATCAACGATATCGCAAAAATGTTGCTCTGTTCTCGCTTGGTTCTCGCATTTTTCTGAACGTGCATTGTTAGAATTTTTGAAATTTTTTTGAGTTCGCGATTAAAGCGAGACAAGCGCGATATCGCGCCGTAATTTGCGAGATAAGTGCGATATCGCGCCGAAATATGCGAGATAAACGCGATATCGCGCCGAAATATGCGAGATAAACGCGATATCGCGCCGTAATTTGCGAGAGAAACGCGATGTCGCGCCGGAATATGCGATAGAAACGCGATGTCGCACCCGCACGAGAACAGAGCCATATTTTTGCGAGTTCGTCAATGTACCGTCACCGATCTCGCGCCAGTAGGAGTTTTTTGGCCAGGAAACAAAGTAAAATGACCTTCAAACTTCTCTCGGAAGAGAATACGAAAAAAATTGACTCTTTAGGTGAACCAAAAAGGCCCGAAGAGTTTCCTGACGGGCAACCTGCCGTCCTTCTCGACCGCCGTCCGGACGAACCTGCACGTCGGCGGCGGCGGCGTCGCTGCCGCCGGCGGCAGTGGCAGCAGCGGATCTTCCAGCCAGCCCGGCACCTCCTACTCTCCAACCTCCAACGCGCCTTCCTAAGCTCTTCCTTCCTTTGACTTCGCTCATTCACCGACTTCCATTTTTTTTTTTCGTCCTCCATTCTCTGCACTTTGAACTGTCTGACTCGTCTGCGCTCTCTTTTCTCTCGTCAGAAAAGTCAGATTGATGAAAATTGCAGTGAATGGAGTTTTTATAGAATTGGAATTGGAGAGGTGTTGCTAGTTGGTGACGTCACTTTTTTTTTTATGATGTCATTGTGTGAAAGTATGACGTCATTGTTACTTCTATGACGTCATCGTTACTTCTATGATGTCATCGTATGAAGATATGACGTCATTTTTCGAAAAATCCAAAATGAAATTTAACGTTCTTTTTTCTATGACGTCATAGTGTAAGATATGACGTCATTTTCCAAAAACTCCAAAATGAAATCTTTTTTTTCTATGACGTCATACCAGTGATCAACCTGAATTTTGAAGATCTTATGACGTCACCTACCAACACCTGTCTAAAAATAATTTCGGGAGCTTATACGACCTTAGCTGAGAGGTTTGACCTCTATCCTAAGCCTAGGCTCCGCCCCCTTTTCGCCTTGTTTCTCGTACTTTGTATTTTGTGTTACCTGATGAGTACAATTTGGACTTTTACTTCCTGAACTTTGATTTAATGACGTCATTGATTATTTTTGAGAAAAAATCAAAAAAAAAGTAGGTCCCCACACACACACACGATTTTTGTCACCGTTACACGGTATTTTCTCAATTTTTGCTTCCTAGATGGGTTCATTTCATTTCTCTTTATATATTTTTATACTTACTCTGTCTCAACGTTTCTTCCTTTTTTCGTGTATTTTCCCTCAACTTCGCCATACGCGCAAAGCATCTCATATTTAGTTGGGTGGGGCTAGAGAGTGTGGTAAAATCGGAGAGTGACATACGCTTAATGTGTCTGGAGTCTCTGAACTTTCCATGCTCTCTAGCCATTTTTGAACCTTTCTTTGGGACTTTTTGGAATTTATAGAAGATTTGAATATTTTCACGGTTGAAGACTAAAAAAACCAAGAATCCCGAAAAATCCCCCAAAACGCGCTCGTCCCCCGCAAAATCGCGCACCCCACCCCTCGATCGATTTCGTTCCAGTGGCCACGCCCTCATCGAATTGTATCTGTTCGATTCCACTTTTTTGGGGATTGATGTGTGGGCTTCATTTTCTACTCTCATTACTCATTTTATGACGTCACAAGCTCCGCCTCCGATTGATTGATTGATACCCTACAAATGATCTTTGCTTCCACACATTCTAGTCGCATAATTCAATACATTGATGATTTCCCCCGGATCTACTACTCACATTTATAAGATTATACTACAATTATACATACCTATAAATAATTTTTCTCCTCCAAAATGATAATCAGTGAAAATCGCTTTTAAAAAAATATGTCCTTTTTTTTTTTTTTCCGTCCCACCGTTCATACATGTACCGTATCCGATTAGCGTAATTATTATTATTTTTTGACTTTCTCTTTTTTTCTCGTCTTATAAATGATCACTTTGAATGTTCATTTTTATTTCGAAGGAAAAAAAGTTGTAAATTAGACCAGTTTTGGGGAAATTCGAAGTAAAAACAAGCATAGAACAGAAGGAGAAATCTGTTACCGTCGTGATTAAATATTAAAAAAAGCGACATAAAAATGCAAACTTTCAGATAAAAGGGCACATGAGCAAACTCGAAAAAGTGACGTCGTAAGCAAAGGATTTCAAGAAGGCGAAATTAATAAGTTTTTATGGATAACTGAAAATTTACTTGAAAAACAGACGAAAATTAAAAAAATCGATAAAATGAAAAGGTTGGGAACATCACTGAAAATGATGACGTCATAAAACCGAAGGCGAATGGAAATGACGTCATCGAAAAATTCAAACTTTCGAACGCCTACATGAAAAAGAAAACGAATGACGTCATAATTGATTCTAAAACTCAATAACGTCATAAATTTGAAAAAAAAACACGAGATGCGGAAAAATTAAAAAATTACGTGACCAACACTTAAAATCAAATTATGACGTCATCAGTCAAAAACCAATAGAAAATGACGTCATTAATAACTCAAAAATTCGTGTGACGTCACAAATTCGGAACAACTTTCGACAAAATTAAAAATCACATAACCAACACATATTAAAATCAAGAAAATGACGTCATCAACGGCGAGACGAGTACCGATCCCTGTGATCTCTGCGATCTCTGTCTCGATGCCGATCCCTCGAGTGGTCACTAGAGCGGTCCCTTCGATGCTCCTTCTTCCTGTCACGACTTCTGCTCCGGCTGCGACTCCGACTCCGAGTCCGACTTCGATGACGTCGACCCTCCTTGTCGGCCTCGTCGAGCTTCTTCCGCTCCTGACGTCGTCTCTCGCGCTCCCGCTCGCAGCGCTCCTGCTCCTCGATGTGGATCAGCTCGTCGCGGACCTGCGAAAACCGGTTTAGGTCGGTACAGGGGAAGGAGTGAAACCCTCTTCTCTCGGTACGCTTCTCGACGCTTCTTCTCCTCGTCACGCTGCAGCTCCTCGCGGGTCTGCCGCAGCTTTTCGTGCATCTTCTTGCGAATTTTTCGCGCTATGGCCGCCTGGAAATCGTGGAGTTTTAATGCTAACACGGGAAGTGCAAAAGGTCGAGGTATTGGAATTTGATGAGACTTGGTATATAGGTACTTTCGGACATCCTGAATCCAAAGAAGTTGAAAAAAAGTGCGCCTTTTTGGTTCTGGTCGGGTTATGGCGCCTCAAAGTTTGCACGCAAAAAATGCATGGGAAGGGAGGAGGGAATGTGTTGCGGCGGCTAACTCTAGCTGCCAGCAGGCAGCGTGGTGTAGTGGCTAGCGGCCTAGCGCTATGGAACCTATGATGCAGGTTCGAGTCCTTTTTGGTGCAATTTATTTTTGTCATTTTTTTTCTTCGAAAAAATGAGGAATTTTTGAAGATGGAATAAAAATAAGCGCTCAAAACTTCAAAATTCACTAATTTACTTCGTTTTGAGAAAAATTCTGGACAAAGTTTTTTTTTGTTTCACATTTTTTTATATGGTCAGTATAGTCGTCATAATTAAACTTCGAGCCGTTTGGAATTTTTTTGTATAAAACGTTGATTTTGGAGAATGAATTTCTAAAATTTTGAAGCTCATCCAAAGAAGAAGTAGTTAAACGGTCGACTGTTGAGCATGTTTGAAACCAGGTCACCTGTAGAAAAAAGATTGTATGGACGTTCAATTAAACGGTTCAAATTGACGACTATAGTCAGGGGACCCTTCCTTGAAAAAAACTCAAATAAATAAAAAAAGTTAAAAAAATTAGATTCAATCCCTTTCCTCCGATGAACTTTTTAAGAATAAATTTTTACTATCTATTGAAGCCCATTGAGCTTGAACGAGAAAGACGAAAAAAAACTTTGTCCAGAATTTTTCTCAAAACGAAGTAAATTAGTGAATTTTGAAGTTTTGAGCGCTGATTTTTATTCCATCTTCAAAAATTCCTCATTTTTTCGAAGAAACAAAAAATGGCAAAAATAAATTGCACCAAAAAGGACTCGAACCTGCATCATAGGTTCCATAGCGCTAGGCCGCTAGCCACTACACCACGCTGCCTGCTGGCAGCTAGAGTTAGCCGCCGCAACACATTCCCTCCTCCCTTCCAATGCATTTTTTGCGTGCAAAATTTGAGGCGCTATAACTCGACCAGAACCAAAAAGGCGCACTTTTTTTCAACTTCTTTGGATTCAGGATGTCCGAAAGTACCTATATACCAAGTCTCATCAAATTCCAATACCTCGACCTTTTGCACTTCCCGTGTAAGGGTGATAAAATAGCTTTTTTTTCCGTTTTCAGTTACAATGACGTCATTTTTCTATTCAAAAATCTAATAGTGACGTCAATATATTTTTGGCAGTATTTTGTGACACTGCCAAAAATTAATTTTTTTTTGCAATTAAAGACGCAACTCTAAGCCAGGGGAACTTTAAAAACACCAGAATTTAAATGACGTCATTCGAAATTTCTGGAAGATCATCACGCGTTATGACGTCATCGTGAAGGTTTCACGCCTTATTATGACGTCATTTTTCAATCCCAAAAATCTATAGATGACGTCATTTTGTGACACTGCCAAAAATAATTTTTTTTTTGCAATTAAAGACGCAACTTCAAGTCAAGGAAACTGGCAAAACACCAGAATTTAAATGACGTCATTTTACACTCTTGAGGACCATCACGCCTTATGACGTCACCGAAAGAGTTCTCCACCTTATTATGACGTCATTTTTCATCCCAAAAAATCGAATAGTGACGTCATCTTACAATACTACCGAAATTTCATTTTTAGCAACTTATGACGCAACTCTAAGTCAGGAGAACTGGAAAAAACATCAAAATTTGAATGACGTCATTTTACACTTCTTGAAAATCATCACGCCTTATGATGTCACCGGAAGAGTTATTCGCCTTATTATGACGTCATTTTGATTTGATCTGATTTTATGACGCCATCTAATCTTGAAGAACCAAAAATATGCATCCGAAGTGTAAGTTCAGATATAGTCGATTCACGGCTAGCTTGGGACGCAAAGGGGCGTGGCCTGTCTGCGCTCTCTACTACTCAGGCACTATCTCGTTTTTTATCGTGCCAGGACCTACTTTTTGGCTGTTAAGGCAGCCGTGAATCGGCTATAATTTTTTGACAATCTCTTTCAATGACGTCATCTGAATCATTTTCACTGAAGAGTGACGTCACTCAAGTCATCTCCGACCGATTAATGACGTCCCTTGAATGCTATCACATCCATTCCCACCTTCTCATCTTCCGAATCGGAGCCGTCGTCCGGCGCCGTCACCTTGTTCTCCTTCACCAGCTTCTTGGTCAACTTCACCCTCCTTTTTCTGTTTTCAATCTCAATCCGCTCCTTCTCCGAGTCGGACATGCTTGATCTGAAGTTCGACTTTGAAAACAGCGATGAAGCTGATGCGCACCGAATTTCGAGCATTTTGACATCCTCGCTGGCAGACTTCTCATCACTGGAACTGCTGCTGCTGTCGCTGCTTCTGAAATTAGAAACTTCTTCAGAAATACCGTATCGATTTGCAGTAGAATGAAATAAGTTCAGCTAAGAATAACGACTTTCTAAGCATTCTAAAAAGTTCAAATCTCGTCTAAAAACTGAAAAATACTTTAATAAAGCCTTAAAGAAAGACTCTCTTGAAAAAGCTTCTATAAACTTTCTAACGATCCAACAATCATTTCGGCTCATTTGAAGACGTCGGCTAGCCCTAAAAATTGCTCTTAGAAGCCTGAGGCGCTTTTTTTTGTCTAAGAACCTTGAAAAGACTTCCAGGGAGTCGGAAAAACGTCTTAGTTAAAGAAATACTTACCTCTCCCTATAGAGGCACTAAAGTGGTCACTCTAGGGGGTTTCAATGAAGGACACTCTAGGAAGGCATCCTAGTGGCCTTTATACTTCTCTTTAAAGCGTATTCTTATTTTTCGAATCATACAAAATATAAAAACCGCTATAGGGGACCACTCAAGCCTCAAGAGAAAAGGGGCAGAGCCTAAACCCCTAAATTTTACCCCTTCAGGGAACACTTTTTGCCACCCTTAAGGGCTGTAAATACTCCTAAACCCACTAGGGAGCACTCTGACGACTTACCGAAGATTTTCAAAAAGTTATATAACTATTCCTAACATTCCTTAAGACTTCTTTGCACTAGGAACTTTTCAAGAAGCTTCAAAACTTTTTCCGCGCTTCAAATAGGTTCACCTCTTGTCGGACTTGCTCTCAGAAGCCTTAGAAGCTTTTTTTTATTCTGAGGGTGCTTTTTAAAGCTCCAAGGATCCGAAAAACTTTCTTAAATGTAAAAGTGTTAAGATTCCCTGTGAAATGCCTAACTCAGGAAAGCCAAAGTAGTCATTATAGGGGGTTATTGAAGGTTCCCCTATGGTACCAGTTCCGCTCTGGGGGACACTAAAACTTGCGAAAAAAGTTAGTTTAGCCTTAGATGCTCAGGATGGTCAAACCTTAGGCTCCTAAAGGGACCACTTAAATTTTACTCCTACAGGGACCCGTTTTGTCTCCTATGGGGGGCTGTATTTACTCCTAAACCCTCTAGGGAGCACTCTGACGACTTGCCGAAGATTTTCAAAAGTTATATAACTATTACTAACATTCCTTAAGACTTCTTTGCACTAGGAACTTTTCAAGAAGCTTCAAAACTTTTTTCCGATCTTCAAAAAGATCCACCTCTTGTCAGACTTGCTCCGCTCGCTGTCCGACCTCTTCCTCTTCCACATCGGCGCATCTCGAGACCCGGACCTCGACCTGGACGTAGACGACTTCGACCTGCTCCTCCCTCTTTTCTTCACGTCTTCCGGCTCCTTCTTCTTGGCGGCCGTCGTCGTCGAAGTCGACGGTTTCTCGCCCCATTCGACGAATTCCGGCGTCTTTTCACGCTTCGTCAGTTTGCTGGGAGGAAAAAAAACTAGGAAGGCTTAAAAGATGACGTTTAGCGGCCCGGGGGATGGATGTCCCTTGGGGAGAATTTCACCAAAATCGGAGAGAAAAAAAACTTGAAGAAAAATGAGAAACGAGATTTTTTCCGTGTACAAAAAAAGGGGTCAAAATCTTGGATTATTTTTTTCATTTTTTTAGTGATTTTTTTCGTGTAAAAAGAAGTTAAAATCTTGGTTTTTCATTTTCTTGATAATCTCAATTAAGAAATCAACCCAATTGGCGTTGCGAATAATTTTTCCGAAAAAAACTGGAAAATGAGAAACGAGATTTTTTTCGTGTACAAAAAGGGGTCAAAAATCTAAAAAAATATTTTCCATTTTTTTGTGATTTTTTTCGTGTACAAGAAGGGGTCAAAATCTCGGATTATTTTTTTCATTTTTTTAAATGATAATTTCATTCAGAAACCAACTAAACCGGTGTTTCGAATAATTTTCCGGAAAAAAACAGAAAAAAAACGAGATTTTTCCGTGTACAAAAAGGGGTCAAAATCCTTCATCTTTTTTTCTGAATACGACTTTTCGAGTTGAAAAACCAACTGGATCGGATTTTTTTCTTGTTGGTCCAAACGAGAAAGATGTGGTCCCAAGGTGAACCGATTGACCCTTTCCCGTTCTTCGTCGCTACCTAAAAATGGTCCTTTTATGGGTTCTTTATTATAAATTAACCTTAAGGGACAAGGAATTTAAGCCTAAATTTAAAATGCATTATTTCTAAAAACCTCGACTTATATCTCAAACAATAATGCCGCCGTATATGAAAAAAAAAGTTTCACGAAATTGAACATTATCTCTGATCCTTTAAAATTTAGTTATCTTTTCCACTCTCTGACGTCTATTTTAAAACTCGTTGACAAAGAAATCCAAATCAATATTTTCCTCAATTTTCACCTTTACCACCGCCAAAGGTCGTGATAAACTCCGGCTTTTTGTCGTCATCACTGTCGGACTCGCTCGACGAATTTTGTAACAGAAGTCGACCTTTATCGCTGTCTTTTTTGTTTTTCTTGGCGATGAAGCTGAAAAATAGAAGATAGAGATTGGAAAAAGATCTCGTGATTCAAAACTCTGGTTTAACAGCAAAAAGTTCGATTTTCAAAAGCGGACTGTCTTGAAAACTTCATTTTGGGTGAAAACTTTTCTCTTATTAGCTAATTAGTCTCTTTTTTCTCCAATATATGTACTTGTTAATTTTCAATACATACAAGCTCTCCAGAAACTTGCAGGAATTTGGAAAAAAACTGGTCAATGCGATTTTTACGTCCGCAAAATGCTTCTTAAATAACCGTGCCCCTTTTGCAATAAGGCATGCCGCTACTGAAATAGGCCACGCCCACTCAGGAACAAAAAAGCGGTTCGGGCAAAGTTAGAATGGTGGATAATGGCCGCTAAACGGGAGAGGCTTAGAAAAAGTCGCAAAAAACGCAAAAAGGTCGCAGAAAGGCTCAAAAAGGTCGTAGAAGGGCTCAAAAAGGTCGTAGAAGGGCTCAAAAAAGGTCGTAGAAGGGCTCAAAAAAGGTCGTAGAAGGGCTCAAAAAAGGTCGTAGAAGGGCTCAAAAAAGGTCGTAGAAAGGCAGCAAAAAGAGTCCTTTTATGAAGCCTTCCAATTTTTTTCTCAAAATTTAAAGGCTCGAGAAGTCATAGGCAAAGTCGGAAGGACCCTTTACGGGCCCCTTGGGCGTCCGTTATGGATCCATCTGTTTCTATTAATTGTTCCTAAACGGTTTCCTTTTCACTGCCTTTTTCGGTCCTTTTATCGGCCTTTATCCACCCTCCTTGGACCTTTTTGAGAAACACCAAATCTTTGAAATTGAGATGTATCTTTACCAGTGACTGTGTACGAACCAAAATGTACTACAGTTATAAAATCGGAAATCATCAATGGCCGAGCATTTCAGCACCCTTTTTTCACCCTTTGAGGCTTTTTAGGCCACCAAGAAAGAAAGGCTCAATAAAGGCCCCAAAACGGATTCCTGTTAGCGGCCATTTTGCACCCGTTTTCCACCCATTGCCTATGGGGGAGACGCGCCGGGATTCTGGCTCTTAAGAACCCTAAGGCCATGCTTTCAACTGGATCAACTAGACATTTGGACTTTTAGTTCGCCCAAGGCGGTTGTTCTTTATAGCTTTGAAAGTTCTTGTTAACCGCCTAGTGGATTCAATCCAGCAAAACAAATGATCAATCGATTGAAAATGCCTTCTACTCGGAAAAACTTCTTCAGACACCTCAACAAGGTGGTCGTGGCGCCCTGTTCTCCGTCCTGACAGCCCTTGCCAACAATCGCCGCCCGTTGTTTCCTCAACAACATTCGCTCGTGTTTCGCGTCTCGTCCCTAAATTCCATCAATTTTCTAGGAATTTTCAAAAAAATATATACAAGCTCAAAGAGTGTTTACCGACATCCAAGGAAAAACCGCATTTTTTTAAAATTTTCTCAGCAAATTGCTCATTAGAAGGGCTGGGGTTCAAAATGGCTCATTTTACAAATTTCGATCAGGAATTCAAAAATTCAGAATTTCGTAAAGGTAAGGAAAACTACTCAGGACTTGAAAAAAGCACAAAAACAAGAAAATCCCGTAAACTTTCAAGAAGAATTTGCACATTCCAATGCTTCCATTTTTATCAAGTTATCTAAAAACAAAAAATCCACTTTTTTGTTCAGTTGAAACTAAAACTGTTTTTTGAAATAAACAAAAAAGTCATTAAAAATTCTCAACTTTTAGAACTTCGATTAGCCTATGAGAAAAATTCCCTCTGCTGGAAAAATTGAATGAAAGCTAGATTGTTCCGGACTTTGTTCACTTGATTTTAAAGCTAAACTTTCAATTTTTTCGAACCCTACTGCATTTTCTCAACTTCAACCTGTTGAAGTTCTAATATTTCTAATAAATCCGGACGTTTGTAAAGTTCAGACGCTTAGCAAACTTGCTTCACGGTAAATTGGAAAGTTCGGACGTCTCTTTTCATGCTTGGACCTCGGTAACGCAAACCGGACGCGCCAAGGAGCTTTCGTAATGAACACTTGAGGGTGCTGAGGCCGCTTAAGGGATCACTAGAAATGACCTTGGACGTTTCTGAACAATTTTAGTGAACTCTTAAGGGTTCTGACGCCGCTAAAGGGGTCACTAGAGATGTCCTTGAAAATCTATGAGCTTTTCAAGTAACCACTTAAGTGTTCTGACGTTGTTCAAGTGTTTTAGAATTGCTCAGAAGCGTCCGGGGCGCGTCCAGTTTGTGTCACTGAGGATTTTAATCTAAGTTTTTTTTTTCTTCTATAGCCCAATCTTAACAATTTTCTTATGTCTGCGTCTCTCTGTTTCTTCACCGGCGAGGTCAGAGAAGCATGAAAATAGTACGTCAACATGAGAGGGTCTTCGAGAGACGAGGAGGGCGCAGAGAAGTCGCGAAAAACAGAGTATATATCCACTCCACTACTTTTCCTTCTCATAAGGACAAAATGGGATGTTTTTCCAGAACTCCCAACACTTCTAAGGAGCAAAATCGAAAGCTAAGCTCAAGTTCATCCTAGCCTCCTTGGCGGTTCGAAGAAGAAGAAGAAGAAGGTGAGGAGGAAGATGAATATACGGACAGCGAGGGCGTTTTTTTGCTTTTCGATGTTTTTGAGCGTTTGCTGGTCGTGTTGGGCCTGTGCGTCGGCCCGGAGCAGCGAGACGCACAACGACCGTCCGATACCGTAGCCCTCGCCGACGCCGTTCATCCGACGCTGCGCCGAGGCGTCCATCTCCGCCGTGTTGATGTCGACGTCTGCAACGAGTACTGATGCAATGAATGTCGTCTTCTACAGTAGGCGGGATTTCGTGTAAAGAAATAAATTCCAATTTCCGATCAAATTTTGAAAAAAATCTGTTGAAGTACAAAGAAAAGCACTACTCTGAGAATTTCAGTGTCCACTTTAGGGTAATAACGGTTTTGTTGCCGCTAAAGTCAAACAAGTGGCCACTTAAGAGCGTAAAATTTAGTGACCTCTTTAGAAGTCAACCAGCTTCAGCCGTAGAAAAATAGGTCCTGAAACGAAAAAAAGGAGATAGTGGCAGCGCAGACTGGCCACGCCCCTTTGCATTTTAAGGAAAATTCTTAGTGGCCACTTCAGGGTTTAGACGTTTTACTGGCCATTATATAAGTCGAATTAGTGGCCATTTGAGTGTCTAAAATTTAGTGGCTACTTTAGCAATCTAAGTGGTACAACTAGACAACTAAAAACTACTGTAGTGGCCACTAAGACGCAAAGTAATGGCTTTAGTGTCCTTGAGGAACCTCTTAAGGGGCCACTCGAGTTTTTCCTAGTTCGTTGACAGAAAAAGGGGAGGAGAACTCATGATTTTTAAGCCGAAAAATAAAACTATAGCTGATTCACGGCTGGCTTGAGCCATCGAAAAAAGGGTCCTGACACGATAATGCACGAGACAGCGCCTGGCTCGTGGAGAGCGCAGACAGGACACGCCCCTTAGCGTCCCAAGATAGCCGTGAATCAGCTATATCTTCAATTCAACGCGGTTAGTTCAAATGTCGAAAATTCGGACGATAACCTCTTCAAATTAAGAAAAAAAGTTTATTTAAAAAGTACCCCCAGAGAAAAAAACTTGTAACTTTTTAGTGTTCCTTGTTCCAGAAAAAAATTTCACCACTCGCAATTTGAAATTTAAAAAAATTATACTCGATAAATTATTGGTATGCTTAACGGGTCATTAGAACTAATGCCTAGTTCAAAATATTTTCGGGGATTTCAAAATTGGCGCGTGATTCGTTTTTGATGATTCCTTGAAATACGCGGAATTGAGAGACGTTAGAAAAATGGGATCATATAAAATTTCGCGATATGGTGACTTTTAAGCGCGATTTTAGAATATTCGTTGAAAAATGCTCAAATATGTTCAAAATTTGGTTTTTAGCGTGTTTTCAACCGATTTTTTTTCTAACGGGTCCCGAAATTATAAATTTGTACATTTCGCGAAAATTTGAACACGGTATGTGCAAGAGCGCCGCGGTGCATGCACACTACACACTACACTTTACGGAAAAAATATGGGCGGTCACAAAAATGTTCTTAATTTTATTAAAAGTGGCTCCGAAAAATCTTTAAAAAAACTCCCAGCTTTTCCAGATTCTAAAATGAGAAAAAAAGGTTTCCTGAATTTTTTTGAAACCCCAAACTATCCCACCAATATCCTCGGGTTCGGGCAGCTCGTCGTCGCTTTCATTCTCAAAATGCGGCTCAACTTTCCTTCCGCGAACTGTTTCCGAATTCTCGTAGGAAAATCCGATATTTGCCTTGTTTTCTGACGATTTTCTGGAAGAATTCCGATAAAGGGAAAATTGAGAAAAATCAACTTTTTCTTCTCTAGCTCGGCCTTTCGCGTTTCGTGGGCATTCGAGGCCCAGAATTCGGCGTCGGCTATTTTTTTCAGGTACGACTGGAAAAATGATTATTATTTCAGGATTTTTGAAAATGATGGACCTTTTCGGAGACTCCCTTGAACTCGTTGATGATCAAAACGCGATATCGTTCGAAATCGCAAACGAGGTCTTCTTTTTCCTTGACCCTAGAACAGTATTTTTAGGTGGTATGAAAAAAACCAGCTAAAATTCGAACGACGACTTTTCCGATTTTTCATATTGCTAGGGAACTTTTCGACGGCCACCTTTCCGCCGAATCTTTTTCCGACTTTTTTCCCTTATATTTTTCGGTTAACATTTTTTTCCTATTTCTTTGTGTTTTAATCATGAACCAACTACCTACATTATATAGGAAGATTTAAAACGAAGATTTTATCGAGAAAAAAAAGTCGGAAAAAGATTCGTCGGAAAGTTTTTCTAGCGATATGAAAAAAATCGGAAAAAGTCGCCGTTTGAATTTTTTTGCTGGTTTTTCATACCATTATTTTTTTATTCAAAAAAAACAACGTTTAATTTCTAAAATCGTCATTTTTTTAAACGTCACAGCTTTAATAGAAATTCACGTAAGGCCGCTGAAATACGTTTCGAAAAAAATTAGATAAATTTATCATGAGTTTTAACATGATTTAACGAGGGAGACTTTCCAATTTTATAAACCAGCTCGAAAATAGCAAAGGTCTAAATTATTGTCACAGCAAAACATCTCAAAAAAACCTATAAATTATGGCTTAAAAAAATTGAAAAAAAGGCTAAGAAACACTCAAAACGGTTTCAAAATATGAATTTTTACAAAACCTTAAAAAAAAAATTCTTATCACAGAAAAAAGATAAAACGCCTTAAAAAAACCAAGAGAAGGGTCAAAAAGAGTGTTACGAAGTTTTAAAACCACAAAACCTGCAAAAAAATTTTGAAAAATCCTAAAATGCTGAAAAAAAAATTATAGTTTAATTAATCACCATGACAGGAGCATAAAGAAGCACCTTAAATCGGAAAACTTCACAAAAACTGGAATTATAACTACACAACAATTTGGAGGAACACAAAAAAATCACGATCTCAAAATTGAATAAAAAAAAATGAATGAAAAAAAAAATTGAAAATAGCTTCCTAAAAAAGTTGGAACAGCACAAAAACGTTGAGAAAATGGTTAAGAAAAAAAGGATAATAAAAAAATGCTAAAATACTGAAAAATTTGTAGAAAAAATATTTTTTTTTTCACTATTCTCAGGCAAAGTTGGAATGGTGGATAATGGCTATTAAAAGAAAGAGGCTCAAAAAAGGCCGCAAAAAGGTCGGAAAAAGGCTGCAAAAAAGGAACCTTTGTCACCCTAAAAGGAAAATTTCTATGGAGCCTTCCAGCAGCCTTTAGGACCCTCGGATGGCCTTTTTGACTACGCCTATGTTTACAGATCAACATTTTTTTAAAAAGCATAAAAAAAGCTCCTTAAATCAAAAAAATGATCCAAAAAAAACTTTTAAAAAAATTAAAATGATAACTACAGAACAACTTGGAGAAACACTAAAAAAATCACAATCTCAAAATTGAAAATAGCTTCCGAAAAAAAGTTGAAACAAGACCACGGTTAAGAAATGAGCGTAACGAAGAAAACATGTTAAAATACTGAAAAAAATTGGTAGAAAAAAATATTTTTCATTTCTTTTTCACTATGCTCAGGCAAAGTTGGAATGGTGGATAATGGCTATTAAAAGAAAGAGGCTCAAAAAAGGTCGGAAAAAGGCAGCAAAAAGGCAGCAAAAAAGGAAAATTTCTATGGAGCCTTTTCCACTCTTTCCGACTTTGCCTATGAATGCTAAAATACTTGAAAAAGGTACAAAAGTAAAGTAAATTCTTTCCTTTCCACTATGAAAACTCACGGATCCGGGGAAGTACTCCGTTTAATCTCGTCTTTACTCGGAATATGGTCCAGATGAGACCGGGCATCGAATCGGTCAATCATCACATCTTTATCGCCCATCCAAGGCCTTCTAAAAATCATCAAACATGATAAAATCGATGAGAAGAAAAGTTACAAAATATTGCTGTCTTCGGCGGCTTTGGCTATACTCCTTTCCGTGTGGATGATACTCCGGCGGCCGTGGATTTGCATGAACTGATCCGGGTCTTTTCTCTTGAAACTTTCAAGTTATTTCATATAATTTTGTGCCTTTTTCAACGGAGAAAACACAAAATCCTGCTCAATAGCTTCTTCGGAACAGTTTCAAAGCAATTTTGAAGCTTATTAAAAACTTTTCCGTTGAACAATTCATCAAAATAATTCCTAAAACTAACAATATTGTCATAATATTTTTTCTTCCGCTCGTTCCTCTTCACCGTGTCGATCATCCGCGCACGGAGCTGTTTTTCTTGCCGTTTCGCTTCGTGCCACATTTCCAAGTTTTATTCTGAAGCAAGGAACAGTTCAAACAACTTTAAAAAGAAAATTAATTAGCTGGAAACTTGAATCTAACCATAGACAAGATTAAAAAACTCCGATCTCATCAGGCTCTCGAAAAAAAATCCCCTTTTCAAGGAGATTCCGCGAAAATCAAAATAGCGCCAGAGTGAAAAAAGGACAAAAATCTATAATCCTTAAAGACCTTAACATCTCATGTCCTGAAAAAAGTTTCTAAATGCATTTTTGGGCCAAGAGACTTGATATCCTGGATGAAAAACAGCTAGAAAATAAGTTAAATCATAATAAAAAAATTCAAATAAGATTTTTTTGCGCGTTGTTTTTTTGTGCATCGTGTGCACTACGTACAAAAAAATTTCATTTTTCCGCCTTTGCGGTGAAATTTCGAACCGAGTTTTTTTCGGTCAAAATGTCCAAAACGACAGGCGTATTCGATGTTTTTTTGAATTTACAGAACGAAAAAAATAATAAGAAAGAACGTGAGATTTGGGAATTTCGTTTGAAAAATGTCAAAATTATTCTTTAAGTTCAAAGCTTCGAAAAAAATACACTTCAAAAAAATTTATATTTTTTTAGAAAGAAGATTTTTGATATCTGCTTCAAAAACCTAATTTTTTTATCCAGTTATAATATTTTTTTCTAGTACGATACCCATATCCCGTTCAATTAACAAAAAAATTCCATTTGGAAGATTATTTGATGATTATTTGAAACGTCATTCGGCCGGGCAACATTGTTGGACTTTTTCACGTTTTTTTTTTAAATTAATGTAACTTTAAAATTATCATGAAAATTTTTTGTAGGAAAATCTTTCTAACGATTCTCGGAGCGCGAAAATTACGTATTTTTCGAGATGATTTTGAACAAAAAAAACGCCAATTTTTTAAAACCGAAAAAATTTAAAAATAGTCTCAGAAAGAAAAATTGAAGCGATCTCAACACTGTAAAAAAGTTATCAAAAAATAAAAAAATCATTATTTATAGACAAAAAAGTATATGAACAATGTGTAACAATTATAAGAGATCGAATCAAGTGAAGTAATATTTGCCAGCTTCGGGGAACGTTTTGAAATATTCTTCGCTTTGTTTTTCCAACGTCTCCTTGACGCGTTTGATATGCGCTTCCTGTCGTTCGATCGCCAGATCCAGGTGTTTCGATTCCTTGAAAAAATGTTGATTGATAAGAAAAAGAGAACAAGATTTTGATAATAACCATTAAAAACGTTTCAAACTGAAAAAAAAATTTTTCCCCCGTAAAAAACATGCCCCAAGGCAAGCGCGCTCCATCGCACAAAAACGGCTCTTGAAGTGTTTTTACAAACTTTTCTCGTTTTTCTTTTCTTACCGATTGTAAGCTTTCTTCCGAGCTGTCCATCTCAAATGTGGCCATTATTCTCGCGAATTCGTCACAGAGGTCCACGCAGGCGTCTCTCCACTAAAGTGTTCATTTTTTGGAAGGATTTCAATGGGAATATTTTTTACATGTTTACTGCACACTTCGGCGACTTCCTTGACATGGTCCAGGGTCGACGGAGGTTGCACCGGCGATTTCGTGGCCACATTTTTCAAGATTTGCAACCTGGAAGTGAACTTTCTTCGCCTTTATTTTACGGTCTTGATTTTTCACATTTCTTTTTCATGTAATTAGTTTCGTTTAGCTCATTTATTAAATTTCGATTAATTTAAAATCAATTTTAGTTGGAATTTAAAAAAATGAAGGACTTCCCTGAATATATTCTCAATGTAACTTTGTTCATTCAATCTGTTTGTCTTGGTTAAAAAAATCAAATTTTTTTCGATTCAAGAAAAAAACAGGAAAATCTTCTAGTGGAACTAAAAAAAGGTAGGAATTATGCAAAAAGACCATTAAAAAAGACCAAAAATCATCCAAATTATTTTTAAAAAAATGAACTTTTACTGAATTTTCGTATGAAAAATAAGAGATACGGCATAAAAAACAGACAATTTTACCTCTTTCTCAACGAAAAAGTTTTTTTTTTAAATTTTGCAAAACATTTATTACTAGTTTTAGTTCTTCTAAATACATTATTTTCCGAATATACTTCAAATTAAAATGGCATCTTAGGAAGTTCAGAGCGGTCCCTAAAGGGGTTAGGAGGAAGAACATCCCTTTCGGACCGAAAAAATGGTCCCTGTGGTTAAAATCAAGATGGTCCGTAAAGCTTAAGTGATTTCTATGGGGGTCGTTGAATTTTATTCAAAAAAGGTATATTTTTTGGTTTTTCGCATGAAAATGCTTCTTCGCCTAGAGTTCATAACAATTATCGACTAGCATATCCCTATAGGGACCACTTTTGCAAGCTTTAGTGGACCCTATAATGACCACTCTGCAGTTCATAAAATATGTTCTAAGAAACTTCGCGAATTTCGAAATATCCGTCAGAGAGTGGGAAAGACAACTGGATTCTGAAGAGTCAGAGGTAATTTCGAATCTCTTTGAACACATCCACACAAACCAAGCGATCATCAAGTTGTCGACAGCATTTCCGAGGGGCGTCCTCTCGAGAGGCGTCGTGTCTTCGTAAATGAGCTTCGACTGTCCAGAAGAGCCGGACGGCGGCTGATCTTCCGTCCCTGAAGGGGTCCCTTGTGACGCCGGCGGCATCGGAGCATCGCCACCTGAATCTTTCCTCACATAGGCAAAGTCGGAAAGGGTCGAAAAGGCTCTATAGAAATGTTCCGTTTTTGCTGCCTTTTTGGGCCATTTATTCAGCTATCATACACCATTTTTGCAGCCTTTCCCTTTTCGACCATTTCTTGAACCTTTAAATCCCAGAAAAAAGTGGAAAGCTCAATAAAGGGACTTTTTTTGCTGCCTTTTTGTGGCCTTTTTGCTGCCTTTCTGCAGCCTTTTTTGAGCCTCTCCCTTTAAGCGGCCATTATCCACCATTCCTACTTTCCCCGAGTTAGATTTTAAAAGTCCCAACCTGCCCAACTACCCAATTTCCAGAGAACTTTCTCTCAAAATGGCCCTGATTTTCCGGGTTTTGAGATTTTTTTTTCGACTTTCAAGTGTCTCTTTGAAACAAGAAATTTAAGCAAGTTGAGGCTTTTCAGGACATTTTCTTCTTTTTCGTAAAAAATTTTTCGAAAAATTTCCAACCGCAAAGTTTGATAATGACCTTTTTTGTGAAGCCGTATACAATACATTTTTTTCAAATTTTGTAGCAAAAAAATCTGAAAAAAAGGAGAAAAAAAATGGTGAAAATTTTTCTATTTTTTTACTTAAAAAAATGGTTTTAAAATTTTTCGCACAAGCTTTTTTCCTCAATGCCGCGTTCAAAGTGAACCCGCGAAATTCAAAATATCCGTCAGAGAAAGAAAAAAAGATAACTGAATTTTTGGAGAGTCAGAGATAATTTTTGAATTTCGTGGAAATGAACACGGGAAAATTGTTCTTTTTTTCAAAATTTCAAAAGTTTTATAAGAAATCCTCGAGAAAATGACCTTTTTCCAATACAAAATTTGTATTAAAATATTCAAAATCCTAAAAAAAAAATGAAAAATAAACCTTCCGGATCTGTACTCGGGGATCCCTCCGTTTTCAAATTCCCTGGTGGCTTCAATTCCATTTCTCTATTCTACAAAAAATTCCAATTTTTCTAAAAAAAATAAAAATCTTTTCAAGTACAATAATCCCGATTGAACGAGGAAACCACATAAAAGTCATAAAAATAACAAAAATAATCTTTATTCACAACCCTTTACAAAAAAAATTCCACCGTTGTTAAAATGTGAGATTTATCCGCACCATGCAAAATTATAACACCGTTTTCTAATGAAAGCCAATAAATTTACAACCAGGAAAAAAGGATTCTGCACACTATCAACACAGCAAGGAAGCGAGAAAATTGAGATTTTGCACAGAAAAGTTGGAACTGAGAAAAAATTGAGCATTTTAAGCACACGGAAAACGATAAGATTTGAACTGAAATTCGGATTTTTCTGAAAAATTAAGCTTTTTATATTGAAACTGATGATAGGCACCTATAAGAAAATAAATATCTATAGAAAAAAGAAAAAAACAAATTTAACACTAGCTCGACAAAAAATTCAAATATCAACTTATTTAATTTCAAACGGGTCCTGACACGAAAAAAATGGAATAATACAGTAATTTTCGAGTTCTGTGACGAGTTGACTGTGAAATAAGTAATCAAAAATGAACGAAAAATGAGAAAAAAAAATTGATTTTTACTTGATATTTTCATGCAATACAATAAAAAGTCAAACTTCAACTAAGTTCGAAAAAAAAATCATCCAGAAGTCGTCTTTAAAATATTAAAAATGGTCGCACGTGGAATGGCTCAAGGCTAAACTTCAAGAAGCGCCCGACTTGAAACTACTTTCGCGCGGAAACATCTATTTCATTAAAAATAGCACTTGAGCCATTCCAAGTGCGACCACAGAGTCGATTCACGGCTAGCTTGAGACTCAAAGGGGCGGGGCCTGTCTGCGCTCTCCCCAAACCAAGCACTATTTTTTTTTTCTTTTCGTGTCAGGACTCTTTTTGTGAGCCAACTGTGGATTGACATATAGTTTCATAGCAATTTTCGCGTGTCTGCGTCTCTCTGTTCCCTCACCGGCGACGTCAGAGAAACATGTAAATAGCACGTAAACATGAGAGAGACGTCGAGAGATGAGGAGGGTGCAGAGAAGTCGTGAAAAACGAACTATAGCATGAAACAGTCAGGAAGAAGTCAAAAAAACCGCAACGCCTCATCGACGCGTCGCGGTTCTGACGTCATCTCTGCTTAATCGAACCGTGAGAGGAACTTCTCGCGGTCCTTCCTCTGCTGCTCGACATTTCCCAGAATCGGGGTCTCGACGGCGTTGTTCACAGCTCCGGGATAGACGCCTTCGGCCGTCGTCGGGACGATGGCCGTCGGGGCGAAGATTTCAGAAGGCTCTGGAGACGTCGACGGCGGTCCTTGCAGGGTGAGGCTCCTCTCGATGGCCGCCTGGAGGTCGTCGTCTTCCGGTTTGGAAGACGAAGAGTTGGAGTCTTCCATTGAGAGAGCCATCGCCACGGCGAGGTCCGCGTCTTCTTTGTTGTCTGCAAATTTTGAATTTCACGAAAGTTCATATCTCAAGTACGCAGCCAAAAGTGATCGAAAAAACAAGTTATCAACGTTTGATACTCAGTGTTACTATGACGTCATTTTATCCGGAGCGCGCACTTACTTTTTTTTTTGTGAATCCAGAAAATTTGACGCCTAGCTCACCCTCCCTCATCCCATTAGGAATGCCGTTCCTTTGGCTTTCTTCAAAGAGGTCACTTGAGGGGTTTTTGGAGATGACGTCATAGACGCATTCTACAAAAAGCTACTGTATCTTTTCGTGTCGAAACACGATGATCCTTCCATAGCGCTACATTTTCTGACTTGCCAGCTTTTTCTAGACTTTTTCCAAAGCTAACGACATCTCAAGACTCAAAAAAACACTTGCCGAAAAAAATTATCCGTAGAGCGCATCTGACTAACAATAGAGTATTTTAAAATTGAGCTCCCTGAATTTTTCCTATTTTTTTAAAAACCTATATTAAGAGACTACTATGAAAAGTATAATTTTGATTTTTGAAAAAATAAATACTTGTATCAAGTCTCTGAATGGTTTTAATCAAATCCTACCACTTGGCCCAGCTCCAAGACGTCGTCCAATCGACGTCATCAGCTTTTTAACCGGGGACGGCTTTTCCCGAACGACCGCGGGCGGGACATAGGGACATAGATTGAGCAATTGATTCGCCTCACATTCGGGCAACACTCCAATGACGACAAATATTGAGTGTCCTACAAAAAATACCAAGGTCAAAACTTTTAAAATCCGTACTCAGGTAAACGTTGGGAAGCTTCTGCTTTGGTTTTCTCGGGAGGCGTTTGGAAACTTCCCAGCAATTGGTCAAGCGCCTTTCTAATAGCTTCCCAACACCTTTTACTTATCTGGTTAGAAGAAAAGCCTGCCGGAAGCCTTCCAGAAGCCTTCTGCCAGGCATTTTCTATTTTTACCACTCAAAGACCTTCTAGCTTCCATACACCTTTCAACCCTCTTCTGGTTACCTTTCCAAGATTCACCTGAGCATGAAATGACCCGATGCGTTGCGGTCGCGCTGCGTTTTTCCTTGTTACTTTTTTCTCATCTCCTTTTTTTCAGCTACGCCCGACTTCAAGCGACTTTCGCCATATGCCACGCGCAAAATAACTAAATGCGAACTTTACAAACCTACTCACCAGAGTGGTCCCTCAAGGGAAACCTCTGGGGCTTTTGAAGACTCCCCTCAAGGGACCACTTCACCTCCCCATGAGGTACCACTAAATCTTGCAAAAGTGGACCTTTTAGGGGTTTGACCCTCTGAGAGAGATACTAGTAGTTTCTAAACGACTTTCTAAACCCTATAGGGGCCTCGAAGACCCTATAGGGACCACTTGGGCTTTAGGAGCGAAGAGGTCAGGCCCTAAACTCCTTTGGGGACCACTAATATATATTCTTCGTTCCCTAAACCTTATAGGGGCCACTCTGGACTCCCTGAGTAAAGTCCCCTGAAAATCGCTCAAAATGACCGCTTCGCGACCGCTACGCGCGGTGAGCCATTCTAATTTCAACCTTCGACGGCCAACTGATGAAGATACGTTTCCAGATACGTTTCCGACAGGTATTTCGGGCCGAATTTCGTCGAATTCAGCTCGAACCACTGCTTTCCGAACTTCCGGATGACGTACCAATGTTCTTGGAAGTTGATGAAGAAGGCGTTGGCTTTTCTGGAGAAAAATCCCTCAAGTGATCCCTTCAACTTTCTTCATTTCATTGTTAAATGAGTTGAGCGGTCACTTAAGTGTATTTTTCGGAAGCCAATATTTGAAATATTACATTAGTAACCAACTCAATAAACTACTTGAATATAAGAAAGAAAAAAGAAGAGATCCCTTAAGTGACCCTCAGATTTCACTTAGTGAGTTTCGAAAAGCAAAACCTGGTCATTTTTCTGCTCTAACCTTGCTTATACTCGTAATCCATCCCCTTAAGTGGCTGCTTAGTTTTCCTAAAGAGATCACTTGAAAGAAAATGTCTAAATATATTAAAAAATGAGATTTTTTTTTCCTGAAAATGTAGTCTAATTCAACTCAATAGTTGAATTAATTATATATAAAAGTTTCGAAAATCAAATTCCCTAAGTGATCCCTCAAACTTGATACGTTTTTTTCTTCGCAAATAAACTAAAAAGCTCAGAATATTTCTTACATGGTATCTCAGTTATTAAAAAAGAAACGGAAAACTCTTAAGTGATCACTTGAACTATATTGGATGTTGCTGTGAAAATCTCCCTTCCCAAGAGATCTCCAGTGGCCACTGAAGAGGTTCCTCAAGGGCTGCTTGAAAGGACACTAAATTGACCACTAAACCCACCTCTACCACTATTTTTCGTTTTAGTGGCCACTATAGTGATTTTAGTGAACCAGTAATACCACATATACTTCGAAAAAGGCCACTATTTTCCAGCCACTTAAGTGACCACTTATTTGACTACTGTAGAGGCCACTAAGTCGTAAAAACCCTGAAGTGGCCACTAATTTCTAGCCACTTAAGTGACCACTTATTCGACTACTAAATGAGTCACTAAATCGTAAAAACCCTACAGAGGTCACTAAAGGGAGAATTGATTCGACTACTAGAAGGGCCCCTAGATCGTCAAAACTCTACAGAGGCCAGTAGAGATTTTCCCAGTTCGATTTTTCGAAGATAATTTCCATTCTAAGTGACCATTTAAGGGTTTCGCTGTTATGATGTAATGGCCACTGTAGTAGTCGAATAAGTGGTCACTTAAGTGATTAGAAGTTAGTGACCACTCCAGGGTTTTTACATTTTGATGACCCCTATAGGTTTTCACGATCTAGTGGCCACTATAATAGTCGAACAAGTGGTCACTTAAGTGGCTAGAAGTTAGTGACCACTCCAGGGTTTTGTCATTTTATTGGCCCCTATAGTCGTCGGATTGATTGTCTCTTAAGTGGCTAAAAATTAGTGACGACTATAGTAATCGAATAAGTGGTCACTTAAGTGGCTAGAAGTTAGTGCAGTGGTCACTAAAAATTTTCCCATTTACTTGATTTTTCGAAAATAATTTGCATCCAAAGTGACCATTTAAGGGTTTCACTACATGTAGAAAAAAATTACAAAGGATCAGCTTTGAACTCGGCCATCGAGGGATGATTTATATTGACCAAATCGATATTCCAGCCAGACGAAAGAGCTTCGTTCATTACCTAAACTCCTAAAATAATTATTTTTCTCTCTAAAATGCGACCTGGATCGAAAAATAGCCGCTGGCGTTCATGTTCTGGCTTCTCTCGTTTTTCGAGGCCTAGAAGATGATTTTTTTGAATTTTTCGAAAAATTTCTAGGAACCTCATCGAGGACTTGATTCTCACGGGAATCCAATCTTTCGGCAATTTGAGCCAAAACATCGGCCGTATAATAAGAACCTTGTAGTAGCATGTTCAAGGCGTGTTGGCCGCATAGGGCTGCTTCTTGCTGGAAAACTTGAAAATAAATTCAAAATCTAGACGAAAAAAGGAAAAAAATGACTAGGCTCCCTAAAAAATAATTTACAAAAATATCTGGACCGTGAAAACTTCAGTGGACCCTATAGGGATGAAAAACAGCCTTCTTAGGTCCTCTAGAGTGGTCACTACAGGGGTTAGGGGGAAAACACCCCATATAGGAGCCGAAAAAGTAGTCCCTATAGAGATAAAATCAAGGTGGTCCCTAAAGGGGTTTATGGTCTGACCCGTAGCCCCTCAAGTGGACCCTATAGGGGTCTTTCAATATTTTTCAGAAAACGCTTATTTATTCCGTTTTTCCATGGAAATGCTTCATTGCTTAGAGTGCATAACAATTATCGTCTAGCATGTCTCCTAAAGGGACCACTTTTGCGAGCTTCAGTGGCCCCTATAGGGGTTGATAAAGCCCCTAGAAGGTCTATAGGGACCACTCTGGAGTTCCTAAGAAAGAACTTCTAAATGGTCATTTAGGGAGCACTTTAGGGAATTCGCAAAAATAGAAGAATTCATACTACCTTCCCTATAGGGCCCACTGAATCTGCAAACCCCTTTAAGAGCCACTTCAGCTACCCCCAAAAAGGCGAGGGCTCGAAATTTCGCAAAAAAACTTTTTTCGGAGGAGAAATCATGAAGCTCATCTTAAAATGGATCAAAATGTCTAATCTTCCACAATTTTTTTGATTCTTAAGAAATCAATAAAATCCCTTATTTTCCAGGTTAAAAATATGGAAACCCTTATAAATTATCCTTATTAGGCTTGAAAAAATTCAAGAGATGTAAAAATGACCAGAAAAAGGTGCTGGATATTTACTTAGGAACGCCAGAGTGGTCCCTAGAGGGGCAGCCTTAGGAGACCTTCAATGTTCTCCTTTAGGGACCACTTACCTTTCCTTAAAGAGGCAATGAAGCTTGAAAAAGTGGTCCCTTTAAGGAGGACATGCTATGACTTCTATGAGAAGCATACGAAAAAAAAATTAATAAATTAGATCTTTTCAAAAAAAAAAAATTTAAAAAATGGTGAATTGATCAAATTTCTCTTTATAATTTTTTTAAATCTAAACAAAATTTAAAAAGACCCCTCTAGGGACCACTTAAGTTTTGAGGTGGTCAGAAACTTGACATCTTGAAGGAAAAGCTGAATTTAACCCCTCTAGGGGGCACCCTATGGCGGCTTTTTTCCCCTAACCCCTCTAGGGACCACTCTGGCGTCCCTAAGTTGCTTCATCATTACAATCTAAAACTTTGTCCAAAAAAAACCAACCTGTTCAAAAATAATCGAATCCATTTGGTCAATTATCACTAGCTGGAGCTCCTAAAAACCTAAAATATGCAGAATTTCGAAGTCAAAAAGAATTTTTCAAGGTACAAATCAAGCTATTTAGAAAGCTATAGAAAAACTGAACCAAGGAAAAAGTTTCAAAATCAATTTATGAAAATATGACAATTATATGACAAAAATGACGAGTTTAGTGAGACAAAATTATACAAACTTACAAGAAAAAATTAATTAATTAGTTTTTTCGTTATTTTTCTTGACGTCTTCAAGCTTCGGCTTCTTTTTTCTTTGCCTTTTTGGCTCCGAGGGATCTGAAATTCGAGAAATTGACATTTTTCTGAATCTGGAATGCTTAACTAATGAGAAATGATTGAAAATCGGAATTTTTCTGAGTTTGAGAAGAACTTGAAAAAAACGGGAAAATCATCAAAAATTGACATTTTTGTAGATTTGGGAACTTCAAAAACGGGGAAACGATCAAAAATGGAAATTTCAAATGAGTGATGACATATTGTTGTAAAATGCACGAGTTTACAAAATACCACCAGTGCGACCGCTTTTTTTGTGCTCTATTAAAAAAATTAATATAAAACAAGCATTTTTTTGAATTTTTCGTCACCCACATTTTTTTCAAAGGCCACATTTTTGGGGGGGTTAGGCCGGACTTTTTGAAAAAAACGCCCGTATTTTATTAATTTGCAGTGGAGCACAAAAAAAGCGGTCGCGCATTTCGTAAACGCCGCACTTTATGAGAAGCCAAATTATCAAAAAAATCGAATTATTTTTCTGAATCTGGGAAACTTTAAAAACGGAAAAATCATGAGAAATGGACATTTTTGTACATTTAAGAGCTTTTAAAACCGCGAAATAATTTTAAAATGGAAGGTTTTCTTAAGCTATTTTAAATGGATAATCTCATCATACCAACTAAAAAGTTGCGTTTTATTTCAATTAATAGTAATCGAGAAACGGGAAACAACTGATAAAAAAAAATTTTGAAAAATTTCAAAATTCACTGAAAACGAAACAACTAGACCTTATAAAATGTTTCAAAATCCAAAAAATCCCCCTTTCCTCTCAAAAACTCACTTTTTCTTTTCCTCGTCTCCTCCACCACGACTTTCGGCTTCCCTTCCTCCTCCAGAAAGCATCGCCACCCTTTGATGACGTCATCCAACGGCTTACGGTAGGTTTCATCGTAAGACTCTTTCAAAATCAACGGCGCCGCTTCGTTCAAACTGAGCACCCACATCAAAGAAGACTGAAATTTGATTTTTTAAAATTTTTTTGAGGGGAAAATTTGAAGCAAACCGAAAAAGGGACAGCCAGGCCGTCTTTTCTACGTTGTTCGGCGAACAAAAATTGGGTGGCCATCATTTTCAAATTTCTCAAAAACGCGTCTCGGAGCCGTTTTTTGGCATCAGCAGTGATTTCTGAATCATTTTTGGGTTGTTTGAAAATCTCGAAATTTTTTTCAAAAAAACTTTTTGAAAATTATCATTTTTAGAAGGGATAACTTTGACATGAGCTTCAAGGCATGTTGGAAAAAACTGTCGGTATAGATGATTCACGGCTGGCTTGGGACGCAAAAAGGCGTGGCCTGTCTGCACTCTCCACCAACCAGGGCACTGTCTCGTCTCTTTTCGTGGCAGGACCCTTTTCTCGATGGCTCAAGCCAGCCGTGAATGAATCAGCTATATGGTCATTTTTTGAAAGTTTCAAAGTTTTGTTTCAGTTTAAAATTATATCCGTGTCCAAAGTAAGTGAAATTCTCGATTATGGTTAAGTTTTTAGGTTTCATAAATTCGAAAAAAAAAGTTTCAAAAAAAAAAATTGACGGCTCGAAACAGGAGATTTTTTTCCATAAATTTCATGTCAACCTTTTTTTAATTTGATCTGAAATCGAAATTTGTCAAGTGCGAAATAATTTTTCATCAAGAAGAGCATTTTTTTGGCAAAATAGGAAAATTCAGAAAAAAACTTTTTTCGAAAAAAACTGACTTCGAAACTCGACATATTAAGAAGAAACAGGTACTTTTAAACCGTTAAAATCTTTATACGGCCTAAAAAACGTTTCAAATTTCGAAAACTTAAAAAATCAGGCGCCTTAAAAAAGTGACCGAACCGACCGACTTTTCCAGCATGCTTTGCTTCAAAAAATTGAGATATAATTAAAAATAGTTTTATTGAGTCAAATTGTAATGAGCAGCGCAATGATAAGTTTCCTTGAAAAGATTATTTAATGATTTTTTTGAAACGTCATCCCGCCGGGCAACTTTGTTGGACTTTTTCACGTTTTCACGTTTTTCAAATATTAAAAAAATTTTTAAATTTTTCTTCGAGGCTTTCCATAAATCTTCAGAACAAGAACAGTGAAAAATCAAGAAATGAATAAAAAAATCTGAATTCAAGCCTTTTTCCCTCCAAAAAAAGCTTTCTAGAACAAAAAAAGTAATTTTTTTGGTGAAAAAAAGCGGATAAAAAAAGTTCCGTACTTTAAAAAGGTCCCGATGTGGTTTAAAAATAACCCCAACTCTTCAGGGAGCTTTCAAAAACCTTCATTTGAACTTAAAATTACTATTTATCTTCCGAATATTCGAAAATTTTTTTCGAAAAAAATCAACTTTTGATAGAAAATATCATATTTTTTTAAACTTCTTCATTGTATTTTCACCTCCTCTGATGGATTTTTTCATTTTTTTAACTTACTTATCCTAAAAAGTTCTAAAAATCATTATCAACTAACATACGAACGAATCCGGCATGCTGAGCCAATAAATCCAAGGCCGATTCGATTTCCTCGTTTATTTCTTTTTTCCCACTGGTTCCGGGCTTTTCCTTGTCCTAAATTGGTCAAAAACACCTCTAAAAATGGAAATTTCCTTACCACTTCAATTTGGGTCAAATTCGGTGATTCCAAGTACTTCAAAACGAGATTTCTATCGAAATCTTCTCGATTTTCGGCTTTTTCGAGTTGATCGGCGAGGAAAATCCTCGATTTCAGAATCCATTCCATTGGAATGTGAGAAAAACTAGAAAACTCAGAATTTTTGACTTCTTAGGATCTCCAGAGTGGTCCCTATAGGACCCTTTGAAGGTTCCTCTTCAGGGGCCACTCTACCAGCGTCCTAGTTTTTTTTTAAAGCTGAAGTGGCTCCTAAAGGGATTTTGAAGTTAAGTGGGTCCTAAAGGGAATTTATCATGACTTTTTCTGTCCCTATAGTAGTCCCTAAAAGACCATCCAGGGGGTCTTTCTTAGGACATCCAGAGTGGTCCCTATAGGGGCAACCTGAAGGGGCCTTGGAGGGACCCATCTAGGAACCACTTTACCAAGCCCTCATAGCGCCACTAAAGCTTGCAAAAGTGATCCCTATAGGGGACATTATGATCGATAATTTTATGAACTCTATGCGAAGAAGCATGCGAAAAACGAAAAAAAAACCTTTTTTTTGAATAAAATTGAAAGACCCTATAGGGGCTACTTAAGCTTTAGGGGCTAAGGGTCAAACGCTAAACCCCTAGAGGGACCACCTAGATCTAATCCCTATAGGGATCACTTTCTCGGTCCCTGGCTGTTTTTCACCCTAACCCATATAGGGACCACTCAAAAATTCTGTAATGAAAACGTGACTTTGAAGCTTTTTAAATATTGCGGAAAAAGATTTTTTTAATATTCCAGAAGATAATAATTTAAATATACAAATATAATAATAAAAATCAACATTCCATGAAAAAAAGGAGATAAAAAAAGAGCCAAAAAAACTCATTCCACGACCAAAAAAAGCTTCTTAAACCTTTTTATTAATATAATATTAAATAATGAAAAAGTGGAAGAGATCAGAGAATATCATAGGAAATACGTAGAACCACACCAAAACTGCACAATCACAAAATTTCGGGAATAAATCGTGAAAACTGAACTAAAAAGATGCAGTCCTGCTGCTGAAAATCGACAAGTGGGAAAATTGTTCAAAATGCCGTTTTTTTCCAATCTGCACAAATTTACAAAATAATCATAAAGCCTAAAAAGTTCACACATATATGTATATTGCAGAATTTGACAGAAAACAGGGTACAGCCAGATTTTCCCATGGGGAAAATTCGAGATTTTTTGGTTCTAATTTGGTATAATAAAATTGATGATTGGATGGAATTTTCGATTTGAAAAGCTTGGGAAGTTTAAAGGGTAATCGGAGGTCATGAAAAAGATTATTGAGGCGATTTTTATTTTTTAGAAAGGTCCTGTGCCTTTAAAAATCAAGCATAGTTCAATTATTGGACTATAGTACATTCACGACTTTCCAGTAGTCCCACTTCGACTTCTAAAGAAACCGCTAGATTTTAGGCTCTTAAGTGGCCACTTTTGGGTTTTTGACGTTTTAGTTCCACTAAAACGTCAAAAACCCTAAAGTGGTCCCTAAAAGCTTCCTCAGTTATCACTAAAACCACCATTCTATAAGTGGCCTCTGCGGTGGTTTTGAGTACTCCAGTCTTAGACTTCTAAAGAAGCCGCTAAAAGTTAGTCACTTAAGTGGCCACTAAAACGTCAAAAACCTTAAAGTGGTCCCTAAAAGCTTCCTCAGAAATCACCAAAACCACTATTTTATAAGTGGCCACTATAGTAGTTTCCGATGCTCCAGCAGTAACTTCTGCAGAAGCCGCTAAAAGTTAGTCACTTAAGTGGCCACTAAAGCGTCGAGAACCCTAAAGTGACCCCTAGAAATCTCCCTAGTGACATAATAAGAAAAAGCAATATTGCCAGCTAACCGTGAATCGACTATAAACTGACTCGAATTTTAAAGGAGCATAGCCCAAAAAATCGACACCCTGCGCCTTTAAACTCCCAAGCCCGTTATGAATGGACTATCGAAAAAATCAAAAAAAGGTACACAAAAAAAACGAGAAGATTTACAAGAGATTGGATAATTTTCAAGGAGAGCACCAAGAAGGAACAACGAGCAATATTGACTAGGGTTGAAAATGGGAATTTTTTTCCGGTGGATTCTTTTTTTTTTGTTCAAATGTACAAGGATAGCAAAATGAGGGTTACAAGGTTTCCTGGAACAGGTCGGTTGCACATGGGGTCTCGATTTGGTAGACCAAATCTTCGCGTCCGCTGCTCCCCGGGGCCAGAAGTTGGGGCATTTCGGGGCCTTCTGAACATTTATTTCAATTTTGACTTTAAAAAAACGAATTTCGTACCAAAATAAACAATAAAAAAATATAATTTAATCTGCAAAATCTTTAATCTTTCCAAAAAAATCCTATGTTTTAATTTGATATTTTTGATCGTATATTCCGAGAAACTTAGGAACGCCAGAGTGGTCCCTAGAGGGATTAAGGAAAAAAACAGCTCACACTGGTGACAAGTTAGTGGCCCCTATAGAGGTTTAAGGTCAGGCCCATAAGCCTCTAAAGCTTGAGTGGTCCCTATAGGGGTCTTACATTTTTTTTTCTCAGATTCGGAAATTAAAAAGATAACCTCGATAAAATCCTCAATTGTTGATATTTTTCATTCAAAAAACGCTTATTATTTAGAACTAAAACCCTTCTAGTGACCACTAGTATGCTCCCCCTTTGAGGGCCACTAACAAAAACCCCTATGAGGACATATAAACTTGTAAAAGTGACCCCTGGATGAGAGGTATTGTGTTCACTAGAGGGGAAACTTGAAAGGCGCTATAGGGATCACTAGAAACCTCCCCACCCCCTCCCTATAGGGACTCCTAAGCAATACCTCTAATAGGACATTTAAGCTTGTAGAAGTGATCCCTAAAAGGGAGGTATTGTGTTCACTAGAGGGGAAACTTGAAGAGCCCTGTAGGTACCCCTAACTAAAACCCTTTAGTGAGCATTAAAGCTAATAAAGGGACCCCTGGAGACAGGTATTGTGGTCACTGGAGAGGAAACTTGAAGGGCCCTATAAGGGCCACTAGAAATCTCCAATCCTTTATGTACCCTTAACTAATACCCCCATGAAGACGCTGAAGCTTATAAAAGTGACCCCTGGAGGAGAGGTATTTTCGTCTCGAGAGGAATCTTCAAGGGCCCTTTAGGGACCACTAGGAACCTCCCCCTGTAGGGGTCACTAACTAGTATCTCTATGAGAACACTAATGCTTGTCTATAGGACCATAGGGACCACTAGAAACCCCCCGTTATGGGGATTACTAAACCCCCTAAAGGGACCACTAGAAACCCTCCCCTCCCCCTATGGGGATTACTAGAAGCCACCCCCCTTCTATTGGAACCGATACCCCTGAAAGGACATTTAAGTTTGTAAAAGTGACCCCTGGAGGGGAATCTTCAAGGGCCCTATAGGGACCACTCTGAAGCTTCAGGGAAGACATAACCTATTGGAAAAGAAAAGCTTGAAAAATTTCATTCTTAGGGTAAAAAACGACTTTCTTACAATATCAAAATAGAAGAATTTCCAAATTCCCACAAAAAATCCAAGAAAACCCAACCTTTTTTGGACGTTTGCTTCTGTTTCGCAGAGGTTCCGTCCCCTGACAGATCGTTTCCTTGACTCGAATCATCTTTTTTCGAGTCTTAAATTTTTCTCTTTGCGAGTATTTTCCTTATAAAGACTCCAACCATGCTCATTCCTTTTCCGCTCCTCATCCTCATCTTCCAGAATTTGGCCGGGGTCTTCACCGACGGCTGTCAGGCCATCTTCCACGGGTTTCTGGAGCATTAAAACTGTTTTCTGATGAAATTTTTGGCGAAATTTCTAGAAATAAAATCTCATATGATATTTTCTACCCTCCACTGCACAGGTGATTCGAAAAATTGAACTTGAAATAACTTTAAACCCTTCAAAATACTCGAGAAGAACTGAAATTTGTGTTCTAAAGCTTTGAAATAATGAATTTCCGAGAAAAACCGTCGAATTTCAACCATTTAAAAATAAATCTGAAGTAACGCGCCCCGGGCATTTTTGAGTCCCCCTAGGGATCCCTTAAGCGGCCTCAGAACTCTTAAATGACCACTATCATGACTCAAAAACGTCCGGTTGGCGTTACAATAATTCGAGACCCAAACTTCAGGAAAACTAATATTATCAATAGAGCGCACAAAAGTTGAGCCGCGATTTTTTCATCTATTTCTGTCCATCTTTCTCGAAGGACAAGACTTGAAGCCCATAAAAATTTGAGGAAAACTGAAAATTATCCTTAGAGCGTAAAATCTCAAAACTTCGACGCTCTTTTATCTCAAACCATTATTATCAATAGAGCGCACAAAGCTAAGCTTCAATTTTCTCTTCTTTCTACTGTAAAGGTCCACTTTCTCCCTTTAAAAAAGTCATGATAAATCAGAAAAAGCCAAAATTACACTTGGGGCGCACAAACTTCGAGGCTCATTTATCTCAAACCAGTTTTATCAACAGAGCGCACAAAAGCTCTACCCAAGACTTTTTCATCAATTTCTGTTTCAAGGATACCTTTTCTTTTAGGAATAAGCTCAAAAAACCACAAAAAATTCGGGAAAAAAAAAACAAAAATTACCCTTGGGGCGCACAATCTCAAAATTTCAAGGCTATTTCATCACAAGCCATTTTTATCAATAGAGCGCCTGAAACTCAACCCAAGGCTTTTTTTCCATTAACTTTTTATTTCAAAGGAACTTTTTTTCTTCAAGGAAAAAAACCTTCAAAACCTGTAAAAATTTTTGAAGGAAGCTGAAAAATTATTCTTAGGACGCACAATCTCAAACTATCGAGGCTTTTTAAATGTCAAACCATTTTTCTCAATAGAGCGCACATTTTTTTTCCTCTCCTCAAAAAATCACGAAAATTCGGGAAAAATAAAAAATTATCCTTAGGGCGTACAATCTTAATAGTTCAAGGCTTATTTACCTCAAATTAAAAAAATCTGAAAAAAATTAAGTTTGCGTATCGAATTTTTTTGCTGAGATTCAGGGATTTTTGTATTTTTTTCCCAGAAAAAAAACCTGATAGGCGTCTCCTCGACTTCTAACCTTATGGTCGCTGACCATAACCGCTGAAATCGGCCCACAAGAATTGCGTATATGGAGCCAATATTGTGAGGATTCGTCCTAAAAAAAAATTTTTTTTGAGATTTAGATGATTTTTTTTTTCTTACAGTCGGATTTGAGACGTCGATGAGGGTACCGGGACGGGCTTGCATGGCAAAAGTGATTTTTTCGGGGAAGGCCTCCTCGACGGACTCTCTGCTCATGTAGGCGAACATGTGATTGGTGGAGGTGTCGAAAACGTTCCGGAGGCTCTGAAATCGCACAAAATTCTGAGAAAATAGCACATTTCCGGTTATTTTTTCGTTGAAAATGAGATTTTGATGGCCCAGGCTTATGCTAGGGCAGCTTGTCGCCCCACCCGGTCGGTTTTTAAGCCCGGTCCGGCCCTAGGGAGGCCCGAGAAGCTTAAATTTCCTTCAAGGTTCATATCAAGCTTCCTTACGACAAAATTCACGTTTTTGCCTATTTTTTACTTGGAGTTCAACAGAAACAAAATTTTTAATAAAGCTTGAAATTTCTTATTAAGCCTGGGTTTTTCTCAAAAATGAGGACCAGGGCCGGGCCGCACAGCCCGCTTACGCCCGAAAATGGCTCAAGGCGGAATTTTTAGTGCAACCGACATAATACTACTTGCGCCTCGTGCTCACGAACTGAAATGCGATTTTAATCGGAACCCTTAACCCCTATAGAAGCTTTTTTTAACCCTACCCCTATAGGGACCACTTTGGAGAAACAAAAGCATGCAAGAGACCCCGCTCTAATGATTAGTAGGCGATTTAAAAAAGGTTATTTTTGTTTTATTTCAAAATAATGATGATAATTCAAAAAACGCCCGTTTTTTACAGGTCCGGTCTCATTTTACAAGTAACAGTGATTACGTGCATCATTGCATTTTTCATTTGTGAGTTTTTCAGAATGTTCGAAACAGGGAAGTTGTTCGAAAATGCGCTGAAGTTTGGAAACAATTATGAAATATGAAAAAACTTGAAAAATCACTTTCATGCGATAAAACGCAACGCAACCGCGACGCTTAGAGCTGTTTCCATGATTTTAAGAAATTGAATTTTCTTCTAGTTTACGGCCTATTTTAACTTTTTCGGGCTCAAAATCATTAAAAAAACACCAAAAAAACCTTCAAGAAACCCTAATACCAACCTGCCCCATCCACTTGCTATGATTATCGATCTCTTTTTCGTCTCTTTCCAATTTTTCAATGTCGCTTTTCAATTCGGCCACCCGTCGGACTTCCTCACTTGTCCCTTGTTTCCTACCACTCAAAAAATCGCCTCCTCTGAAAAATTCAATTTTAGTATTCAATTGAAAAAACGATACAAACTTCCACTGAATTATGTTTTTACTGCGTTTTTCGATCAGTCCGATGCCTTCCAAAACGTTTGTAATGTCGTAAATTCGACGTTTCTGGCGTACATTCAATGTTTCGGCGGCCTAAAAAAAAATCGATTTTGAAAAAAGTTTAAGTCATTCCAAACTCACCGTATTTAAATCACACCGACCATTCTGAGCATTCTGTATCATTTTAATGAACCTTTTCGCCAATAAACCCAGAGATTTATCGGCCCGCGTGCCCATTTGCGGCTGATCGATGTCGTCTTCATCATCTAACACAAAAAAAAATTATATAAAAAAAAGTGGAAAATCGACTATTATTACCGGAAAATTCAAATTCGTCCTGAAGGCTCGGCGAGTCGCTGGTGCCATTCAAAGTAGCAAAGTTGATTAGGGCACCAAAATCATTTTCGCCGTCCAAACTGTGGTCCATACCCTGCAAAAACGGCTCCTGAATCACATAGGAAAGAAGCGCGAAATTTGAAAAAAAATGACGAATTTCGAAAAACGGCTTTTTCAAGCAATTTTTGACATTTTGACGAGTTCTGTTTTTCCTCAAGCCTTCGGCAGCCCTATCCCTATCAATTTATTGATAAAAATACACATATAGCTCCAAAAATAACAAGAAAAACCGAATAGAGAAAAAGCCCACTTTTTGGCGTCGACCAATTACAGTACTCCAAAATTGTCGTTGGAGCGCAAATCCAACGCCGTTCTCTGCCCAAAAATTTCCGTTTCGAAAATGTATTATTTTTTTCTTTATTCAACTAGTTTTTTTCAATCTTCTTTATAATTCTTTACCTTCTCCATAGTTCAGAAAATGGAAGTAGATCCAGGTATGTTTCTCTGAAAAAAATTATTATCCAGAAAGAAATTTTTCAGAACCAGAAACTTTTATTTCTTCTCAACTCCATCAAAACTGGGGAAAAAAATCGTCAGCCTTTTTGAGCGAAGAAGCTCTGGAAAAAAATACTTGATAATATTTAGAAAGATGCTGTTTAACCGTCTTCCTCAGAAAGCGGCCGTAGAAATGGTAATTTGGAATTTTTTTTTAATATTTTTACATGTCTTTAGATTTCAGGCTTGCACCCGGACCTTGACGATATTCATAGTTTATTCTTCTGGCAGTTAACGGAAATTTGTGAGACGGTAATGGGAATTGAAATACTTATTTATAGAAACTTATTTTAGAAGTTCATCGACAATTTGAACAAGATTTTGGATCGGGAGTCTGCTCTCAAAATCTTTTTCCATTTGAAATCCCTTCAATATGATTTGGAATTTCCTGATTCTCAAGAGATATACGAAACAATGGAAAGCTTTATCAATGTGAGAAGATGTCAATTGGTTTTAATTATGGGATTTTTTAAGATGGCGATAAAAGATTTGATAGAAGGAGGCTTGAGAATGCATCATTTGGATCCGTATGACGTTACCAGGTATATTTAGGTTTTAAATTTATCCAAAGTGGTTTTTTAGACCGGAAAAAACGATTCTGACGAGCAGAGACCTGTTCGACTCGTTTATTGTGAGTGATTCTTTGAATTTTGCTAATTTTAAAATTTAATTTTCAGCTTAATGATCGTCCGGAACTGGAGGGCAATAACGATAGGCCTGCGATGCTTTTTAAGAAAAGGGTATGAAACTTTGTTTTTCCACTTAAAAACCTAATTTTTTCATCGTAGCTGCTCAAAAATTTGCTGAAAACCACCGATTTGAAGTCGAAAAACAAGGCTTTTCGTGAAGAATGCGAGAAAATCGCCAATTTTTCCTGAATTAAAAAAAAAGTTTTTCTTTTGTTTTTTTGAATTTTTTTTTATGGTTTTAGGCCTTCAAGGGACCTCTATTCACTTATTTTTATATATACTTGTGTCATTTTCTTGATGTTTTTGAAGTTTGGCCGTTTTTTGAAGTGCTTTACTGTCTATTAGGCTTTCCATTTTTTTAATCTTATTCATTTTATTTTTTTCTCATAAAGGTTCAATTTCCTTTGAAGTATATTTCTTGACGCTTTATCTGTCTCCAATCGATTCTTGGCACCTTCCCTTCAATAAAAAAAGTTTTTGATTGTTTTTTCTGAGTTTTAATTGATTTTAATGCTTTCAGAGACCTCTATTCACTTATTTTTATATATTAGTATGTCATTCTTCGGATATTTTTGGAGTTTGGCTCACTTTTTATGTGCTTTACTGTCTGTATTGGCGCTCTATGTTCAATAATTTTCTTATTTTTTTTATTTTTCATCATAAAAAATAATTTTCTTGAAGATTTATGCCGTGTTCAAAGTAATTTCCGCGGAATGCAAAATACCCGTTAGAGTAAGGAAAAGATCACTAAATTTTGGAGAGTCAGAGATCATTTTGCATTTCGCGGAAATTACTTTGAACACGACATTATATAATTTTCATCTATTTTGGCCCATCCCCGTCAAATTTTCCCCCGAATAAAACAAGTTTTAAACTCTGATTCATTTATTTTCCCAAGGGTTATCTACCTTTGTTACCTGTTCCTCCCACTTCCATTTTCATATCTCTCCAATTCGAATAAGAAAAATGCCGTCGACGGCTGACTTGGGCGCCGGGACAAATTCGGGCCGTGCCTCCCGATTCACCATGTCCGAGAGGAATCTCGGACTGATGATGGAAATCATCCGAAAAGATCCAGAGTCTTATAAGGAGGTTCGAGAAAGAAAAAATCGATTAATTTGAGTTTTTCCGTTAAAAAAATGTGTTAAATTTCCGCGAAATTCGAAATTTTCTCTGACTCTCCAAAAATTTAGTGGTCTTTTTCATTCTCTGACGGCTATTTTGGATTTTGCGGTTTTTTTTTGAACTCAATTTTCAGCAGAGATCGAAGAATCTCAGAAAAAAATATTATCTTATATTTATTATGAAACTTAATCTTTTTTTCATTTCTATTCCATTCGAAAAAAATGTTTTTTTCACTTTTTTCGCGTAATAATAATTTTCCGGGATCATTCCTGGATTTTTGAATAGAATTTTTTTAGATTATTAAAGCTTCAATTTCAATTTTTGAATATTCAACTTGAAAAAAATTATGAAAATGCATATTTTTTTAGGAAAATCATGTTGAAATGTCTTACAGATTCACGCGAAAAAAATTAAAAAAATTTTTCTTATTTTGTAATAAAAAAATGTGCATTTTACAGGTGCTGAAAGCTCTGTAAAAGTGTGAAAAAAATAAAATTGAGAATATATTCAGAATTTTGCGAATTAAGATCACATAGAATTTCTCAACTTGTTCGCCAAGAAAAAAATAAATTTTTTTCGTGGTTTTTTTCTGGAAAAAAATTGCCAAAAAAATCGTATTTTTTTAAAATTTTCTACAGAGCTTTACTTAAAGTCCTTCAGATTTTTTTGCGAAAAAAATCAAAAAAATTTCTTTATTTTTCCAACCCGAAATTTGAATTTTTGAAGGTTTTTGAAAGCTTTTTTTGTAAGCTTGTGTTGAAAGTTTTACATTTGTAAAAAAATCAGGAATTATTTTTCTAATTTTTTTAAAAATGAGATTCTATCAAGGTGCTCTACATGAGAATTAAGAAAAAACCCCGATTTTTCCGAGAAAAATTGACCGAAACTAAAATTTGTACTGATTTTTTTGGAGACAGTTCCACAAAGATTTTCAATATCCGGAAAATTTATATAATTTCCTCAGGAATTCCTCGAACAATTCAACCATTTCGTCCAAACCATGAAACTGCTGCACATGCAGCCCGAACAACACAGGATGGAACTTCAGCCTTTGCTGGAATCGGTCACTTTTCTGTCCGGATTGGCCAAACATTACCCCGGTGAGCTTTTTTGGGGGGTCGAAAAAGGGTGTTTGAAGAAAAAGTTTTTAAAAACCACTGAAACTTGGGAGCAAAAAAATGAAATTTTTTTCAGTCCAAACAAAAAAATTAAGGGAAGAGAAAAATTTCTCGAAAAAAATTGAACATAATTTTTAAAAAAATATTCTATTTATACACACTTAAAACTATGAGAAATTCCCATTAAACGTCGTAAATTGAAATTTTTCGTTTCCCAAACGGACGCTACCAGAAAAAGTATATATTTGTGAAAAATGTTGGATTTCTTATCATAAATTTTTCAAGGCTCAGTTTTCGAATCTCTATAGGGATTTTTTTGATTTAAAAGCTTAGATTTCTTGTTTTTTTCGAGAAAAATATCACGTATTTTTTTCCAAAGATTTTATTGAGATCAATTTTTTTAGATTTTTCCATTTTGCATAAAAATTTTTTTCCCAACTTCAAGCTTCTAAAAATAATTTTTCTCCTATATTTTTCACATTTTTTTCGAACACTTTGAACTACAAAAAAATATCTTTTTCTCCACTTTTTTTATCACTTCAAGCTACTAAATAATGTTTTTTTCCAGCTAATTCCAAGCAATTTTCGAGCAGTTTGTTCTCAATTTTACGTGAGCAGAGCGCTGGCCTCGATCCTGAGGTGATTTTATTTTTTATCAACGTCAGAGTGGTCCCTAGAGGGGTCAGGGGGAACACAGCTTCAATAAGGGGGGCATAAAAGTGGTCCCTATAGGGGTTTTTTTAATCCTTCAAAAAAATAAATAGTCGTTAGGATAGTCCCCTAGAGTTACCACAAATTGAAACCCTAGAGTGACCTCTTTTGCCAGCTTCAGTGACCCCTATAGGGTTTAGTAAATGTATGTTCTTCATTTGAACAACGGTGAATCACTTAGGAACTCAAAAGTGGTCCCTAGAGAAGAACCTTTAAGAGACCCCATAGGGGCCACTAATTGAAACCACTAAAGTGGCCTCTTTTGCTAGATTAAGTGACCCCTATAGGAGTTGGTAAATTCAATATATCCTTTATTTGAACAACGGTGAGTCACTTAAGTGGCCTTTAGAGCAGAACCTTCAAGAACCCCTATAGGGACCCCTCTAGCGTTTCTAAGAAGGAGAAAATTTCAAAAAATTCCAATTTTGAGGTGAGAATGGCCTTCTGCAAGGCGTTGGTCATGCTGAGAAACCAAAATCTGATCGATCCCATCGAATTATTGGAAACTTTCTTTGAACTCGTCAAAATCGAGGACAAGCATTTGAGGTTTTCAAATGAAAAATCTAGAAAAAATCAAAAAATTTTCCAGAAAGTTCATTTTGGCCTCGATCAGCTCTCATTTGAAGCGACTCTACAGCAAGAAGAAGGACAATAAAACGTTGGGAAAAATCCAAAATCTGTGCTATTCCAAGATGAAGGTTTGTTTGGTCCTGAATTTATTAATTTGAGCGAGAAAAAGGTTGAATTATCGATTAAAACTCAACTTTCCTTGACCAAATCGACGTGAAAATTAAAAATCCAGAGAAATCGTGGCCCGAGCGTTTTTTGATGAAATTAATAAAGAAGCCCAAGCAAATATTTAAAAACAGGACTCCCGAGCAACCGTGGCCCAAGCTTTTTCAACCAAAAATCCGAAGAAATCGTTTCTCAAACTTTTTTTTTTGATGAAAATAATAAGCAAGCCCAAGCAAATATTTGAAAAACAGGACTCCCGAGCCATCGTGGCCCGAGCTCAAGCGAATATTTCAAAATAAGGGCTCACGAGAAATCGTGGCCCAAGCTTTTTTCAACCAAAAATCCAGAGAAATCGTGGCCCAAGCGTTTTTAATGAAAACAATAAGTAAGCCCAAGCAAATATCTAAAAATCAGGACTCCCGAGCAATCGTGGCCCGAGCGGCACAGCTCGTCTGCATCGACGCCTTCCGGAAAAGATTCTGGCGCGACGCCAAAACGGCCAACGTCATCGCCGAAGCTTGTTTCCACAAGGTTCCCAAGATCCAGGTGATTTTTTGAACCTAGGGGATTATAAATTAATGATTTATCGATCCAAAATGAGGCTTTGAACAAAAAAATCTTAATTTTTTTCATAGTTAAAAAGCTTAAATTTTTGGTTTTTTTGAGGAAAATTAAATATTTTTAAGCTGGCTATCTAATTTCCATCAACTTAATGCATTTCTCTATCGGAATTTAGGAAAAAAAACAATTTCAAAAAACGTCAGAGCGGTCCCTAGAGGGCCGACTTTAAAAGCCCATAAGGCTTCTCTCTAGATACCACTCCGAACCAAAACTCCTATTGGTACCATTTAAATTTCAGCCCTCTAGGGGCCACTTATATGTCTTGTACATTTAAAATCATAACAAAATTGAAAAATCACTATAGGGGCCACTTAAGCTCAGGCGGTTCAGGAGTCCGACCCAAAACCCTATAGGGGCTACCTGAATTTTAGTTCTCGAGGGGACACTTATATGTCTTTTACATCTGAAATCATAACAAAAGGGATATAACACTATAGGGATCATTTCAGGGGCTTAGGAGTCCGTCCCTTCAGGGATCCTTGAATTTCAGCCCTCTAGGAGCCACTAAAGCTTCAGGGGCTTATGTGTCAGACCCAAAACTCTTTTGCTCAGGTAACTGCAATGAAGTTCTTCCTGGGCTCGAAAAACGACGAAGAAGGCGTCAGCGAAGACGAGAGTGACGCAGAAGACGTCGAAGACGACGCCAAAACCTTGAAAGAGGTTATGACGGCGTTCCGACACGCGAAGAAGACCCGAAAACGGGCCAAGGACCTGGAGAAGACCAAGAAAACGATGAGCAAGAAGAAGAAACAGAAGAAAGGTGTCCTGAAACCTCAAAAGAATGAATTTAAACTGCGGATTTGTAGAGGGAAGAAGCCGGGAGTGCAATTTGATGGCAATCCAATCTTTGTACGACCCTCAGGAGTTTGCCGACCGACTGTTCGGCATGTTGGAGTCGAAAAAAGTCGACAAGTTTGAGGTTTTACAAAAATGAAGCGCGCCCGACTAAAAGCTACTTTCGCACGGGGACATGGAAAAGTGTAGCTCACCATTTGAAAATGTTAAGGATCTCTTGAATTTTTTGTTCTTTGGGTTCAGAAAATGCTTGTGGGAGGTTAGGAAGGTCATAGAGTTTAGATTTTTTCAAGTCATCCCTCAAGCTCCGCCCCTAATTAAAAAAATGAAGTGCGCCCGACCAAAAACTACTTTCGCACGGGGAGATGGAAAAGTGTCGCCATTAGAAAATCTTAAGGATTTCTTGAATTTTTCGTTCTGTGTGTTTAGAAAATGCTCGTGGAAGGTTAGGAAGATTATAGATTTTTTTAATTTCAAGTCATCCCTCAAGCTCCGCCCCTAGTTATGCGATAAGCCAATCAGAGAGCGAGCTTTCCAGAGAGGAGGTTTTAAAGACGTCATCGCGCTTTTAAAAAGCAAAATTTGAACAGATTTCAAGTTTCGAATAGCAGAAAAAAGATATTTTTCGGATTTTGAGCTATGAATTGATGAATTTGAAGCTGAAAAAAAAATCTAGAAGCAGAATTGAAGTTAAGGAATATTGATTTTCCATAGGCAAAAGTTCAAAACTTTTCGCATTTTTGAATTTTTTTAAGGTGATCCATAGGCAAAGCCGGAAAGGATGCAAAAAGGCTCCGTAGAAGTGTTCCTTTTTGCTGCCTTTTGGCGCCCTTTCAACAGCTTTTATGCACCATTTTTGCAGCCTCTTCCCTTTCCACCATTTCTTGTGCCTTTATAAATCTATTAAAAATGGAAGGCTCGATAAAGGGACCCATTTTGCTGCCTTTCTGCACCCTTTCTGCAGCCTTTTTGCCGCCTTTCTGCGCCCTTTTTTGAGCCTCTCCCTTTTAGCGACCATTATCCACCATTCGGACTTTACCCGGATAGAAACAAGAAATTTTCTGGGTCCCAAATGATACGAATTTTTTTAAAAAGATTTTAGCATAGATTTGAGATTTTTTCGCCTTTTTAAAGACTCATTTATACTTATTTTTTATAAGAAGAGCGATTTTTCAAACTTTTATTTTTTAGGTCCGCCTGTTCCGAATCGCACTTTGCGCCAGAGTTATCGGTGTTCATCGACTTCATGTTCTCTCGTTTTATTCTTACCTCCACCGTTTTCTTCAGCCCAAACAGAGAGAGGTGAGTTATGGGGAAAGGAAATGGATATTTTTGTCACAAAAGGACGAAAAACGAAATTTAGGATGACAGTTACCGCTCCCAGGGTGTTCTCATAACTTTTCGCTTCTTATTTTCCGTTTTTTGATTAACAAATGCTTCCAAATAACTAAAAATTCATGAGACCAGTTTTTTGACAGTTTTTGAACAAAGTTATACTTTACGATTGAAAGGTCAGCGGCTCAAATGATCATTACTTCTCCAGCTTCAAAGATAACTGGGGAACGTTTTTAGCGCCCGTTTAAACTTTTGATGAAGTTGGACGCTTCAAATGCTTGAAATACCGCTGTTTTGGTATAGTTTGCGTATTTTTCACAATTTGAAGCTCCATAACTCGGAAAAAAGATTATTTCGAGAAACTTTTTTCTTGTTCTGCAATCAGGGGTTCTAAAGTACACTTCAGCAAAGCTTCATCAAAAGTTCAACCGGGGAGTAAAAACCTTCCCTTGTGAGTTCTAAGACAGTGAGCCGAAAATAAGCTTTTTTTCTGAATAAAAAATGCTCTAGAACTTATAAAATTGCTAGAAATCCGGGAACAGAAAATTACTGGCCGAAATTTCAAGCAAATCCCTTAAATTTGAAAGTTTTAGATTTAAAAGTATCTTCAGGTAACGCGAATCCTGCTTTACGCCGCTCAAGCTTGTCACGAACTTGTGCCTCCAGACACTGTGGAACAGTTGCTCCGAGTTATCGCGAACAACTTTGTCAGCGACAGGTGAAGATTTGAAATAACCGGAATTTTGCAAAAAACACTGTTTGAAGTGAAAAAATCCTATTCTCAGTATACGCCTTTTTTAAGTTCTAAATTTTTTCTGAAGCTTTAGAAGTCAATATTTATAAACTCATTTTCTTGACTTGTAAAACTCAGGCGAAGTCGGAAGGGTGGATAATGGTTGCTAAAAAGGAGAGGCCTAAAAAAGGTCCCAGAAAGGCAGCAAAAAGGTAGCAGAAAGGCTGCAGATAGGCCTCAGAAAGGCAGCAAAAAAGGAACATTTTTATGGAGCTTTTTTCCACTTTTTCCGACTTTGCCTATGTAAAATCAAATACTATGAAGACTTAACCAAAATTAATGAATTTAAACCCAAGTTTTCAAAGGGATTTCAATATTTGGATCCCTATTTGAAGTTTTGTGAGACCTTTTGACGTTTTTTTTAAAAAACTTTTTTTCACAAGAAATAGAAGTTTTTTTCTACTTTTTAACAGGTTTTCAATACTTTTTATCCAGGTTATAAATATTTTATTACCCTTTAATTTTTTTAATTTTTCAAATTTTCATAAATTTCATGCTCTGGAAGCTCAAAAATCCCCTTCAAAACATTTTTATCGCCTAAAAATAATAAGATTTTTTTCTAGGAATTCCCCCGAAGCGATGACAGTTGGTATAAATGCGATTCGCGAAATCCTCGCCAATTGTCCTTTTGCGGCGACGGAAGAGCTCCTCAGAGACCTGGCTGAGGTCTTTTGATCAAGAAAAAAATCTTTAAAATGAAAAAAAATTCAGTACAAAACGTACAAGAACAAGAACGTGTCGATGTCGGCGCGGGCGTTGATCACCCTCTTCCGGGCGGTTAATCCCAAACTTCTGGCGAGGAAGGACCGAGGGAAGCCCCAGGGCGAAGACGAGGACAAGGAGTCAGGATTTTTTAGAGTTTTTGATAGATTTTATGCAGGATTTGTAATGTTTGGTTCATATTTTTTCAGAAAAAATTACAATTTATCTTTTTTTTTCCGAGTAAAATGTTATTCTGATTCAATTTTTTTGAGACACACGGAATTTTTGTGAAATATTTAGGTCTCCCTGTAGGGATTTGAAGTATCCTTAAGTGGCCACTTGAAAAAATTCTTCCTTGAAGTCATTTTAACAACAAAAAAATGGTTATTTTTCAAGGGATTTTGTGATTTTTCCGTTTTTTTTCTTGGGAAACGATAATCTTTTTCAAATAAATTTTTGCACAAAAATTTCACTTCTCAAAGGGGCCCCTGGAGGGTACTGAAAATCCCTTTAAGGGAAACCTCGATTTTTTTCAAAGATTTACGTGAAAAATAACAAGGAGAATTTCAAAAATTGAGTCATACTTCATAAAAAAATTGGTAAATTCAATTTTTCTATATTTGAATTGTTTCTGTCGTTTCCGGAAGGTTAAGGAAAAATTCTGTCTTGAAGACAGTTTGACAGAGAAAAAAACTGGATATTTTTTTCAAGGAATATTTTTGATTTTTTTCCATTTTTTTAATTTCTTGGGAAACGATTATCCAGGGTTGGTTAATTGTTGAAATTTGAAAAAAATTCACAAAAAAACCATATAAAAAGAAAAAAATTTGTAGTAAAATCATTCACAGAAGACATTAAAAAAATTAGCAGAAATCAAATTTTTTTGAAGTAAAATCATTTAAAAAAAGGTAAAAAAACAGGTGGTAAATGAAATTTTTGAAGTAAAATTATTTACAGAAGGCACAAAACATGTCGAAATCGAATTTTTTTGTAGAAAAAAATCATCTACAGAAAGTTATAAAACATGTAGGAAATGAAATTTTGAAGAAAAATAGTTCATAGAGGGTAAAAAAAAAATGAAGGAAAGGAAGTTTTGGAGTAAAATTCTTCACAAAAGTCACGAAAAATTTATGAAATAGGCAAATTTGAAGTAAAATCATCTGCAGAAGGCGCAAAAACATGTGTTAATCGAATTTTTGAAGTAAACTTATTCACAGAAGACACAAAAAATATAGAGATCGAAGTTTTGAAATAAATTATCTATAGACAGTATAAAAAAATCGTGTAGAAAATGAAATTTTGAAGGGAACTTTTTCACAAAAGGCACAAAAAACATGTAGGAAATGAAATTTTTAAGTAAAATAGTTCAAAAAAATACACATAAAATGTGCAGATATCGAAATTTTGAAGAAAAATTCTTTATAGAAGGTACAAAATCATGTAGAAATTGAAATTTCGGAGTGAAACTTTTTTTTTCTCCAGGTTCCTCGGTTTTGCCCGACCGACCATCCACGACTACGTGGCCGGCGCCGAAGTTCTCGAGAAAAATCGTCAAGAAAAAGAAGGAAAAGAAGTTGACGAAGACGACAGCGACAGCGACATTTTGGTGTCCGGTTGGACATTCACAAAATTTTCCAGAAGACGTCGGATTTTTCAGACGTCGACACAGACGAAGTGGATACCGACGACGAAGAGCCGGTGGCGAAAAAAATGAGAAAATCTGAAAAAGATGAGGAGGAAGTTGAAGACGAAGAAGATGAGTTTGAAGAAGTTGACGATGAGGTCGGATTCTGAAGACTTTCCGAAGAAGACGTGGATTTTCAGGAGGAGGATGATGATGAGGACGGCTGGGAGGAAGTGAGCGATAACGATGAGGAAGAAGAAGAAGATGAGGAGGAGGAGGAGGAGGAGCTGGAGCAGGGACAGGAAGAAGAAGAGGAGATCGACCCCAAGAAAAAGGCCGAATTCATCAGTTCGGATCGGATTTTGACACAGGTTTCAGTTGTTTTCCTCTTTTTTTCGTTCTTGGAGCATATAGAAACTTTAAAAAGCCTTGAAGCTTCCTTAGGATCTTCTGAGTGGTCCCTTAAGGGCTCCTCTAGGGACAACTCTAGCTCCTCCTATAGGGGTCAATAAAGTTGGCGAAAGTGGTCACTCTAGGGGAGCATTCTAGTGTTCCCTCTATGTATCTTCAACTTCAAAATCTCAACAAAAAAAAAATTTAAAAACCACTATAGGGACCACTCAGACCCAGGACCCGTTAGGGACCACCTAAATTTTTCCCCCTGTAGGAGGCACTTTTTTTCCCTGACCCTCTAGGGACCCCTCTGGCGCTCCTAAGTGGGGCTTAGGAATGATTAAAATTGCAGGAAGAAGCTTCAAAAAAATTTTAGCCTAGAAATTAATAAACATGGAAATCTTTTTCAGAAATAAATTTAGGAAAAGTTTCAGTAACATTTAAAAATTCTAATTTTAAAAAAAGTTAAGATTTATGACCTTTCCTAACAGTTGAGAGTTACTATTAGCAAAGGTGAAATTTTGAATTCGAAGAAAAAAATTATATCGAACACACTAGAAGCTTGAAATCATGATCCTTCTGATCAAAAGAAGGGAAATAGTTAGGGTACAGTTAGGGAAACAAAAAAGGGAAATAACATTGAGCTTTGCAGTGTTTGTGGATTTTCTGGGGATTTTTGAACCATTTCGAAGCTTTTTCATGATTTCCTGAGCTCTGAAGGTTTTTCCAAATAATTCGAGTTGCAATATTTGATAATATTTCCACACAGGTTCATATACATATTGATTGCTTAAATTGTGAGAAAAAAAATATTTCTTTACCCTGAAAAAATGTTTTTCCACAGTTTTTGCTATTCTCAATTCTCAGGAAGAGTTCAAATCGATCCGAGAATATCAGCTCAAGAAGCAGATGGTCGGTGAGAAAAGGCTGAAGAAGTTGATGGGCAAGGCGCGGACCAACGCCGACGAGAGGATTCTGGAGGAGCTGCACGAGAAAATGGAAATGTCAGTGGGGAGAATTGGGAAAAAGTTGTTTTCAAATGATAACTTTTTCTTGTGTAAACAATCCAATTAAGGGTTGATTTCAATTTTTCAGAAAAAAATTGAAAAATTTGCCAGAATGATATTCATTTTTTTGAGAGTTCTTCAGAAAGAAGAGAAGATTATAAAAAAACACAAAAATTAGCGATTTTTGACCGTTTTTCACGATTTTTTGGGTGATAGGGTTAAGATTTTCTCATTTTAGGTATTTCATCATGAAATTCATTCCAGGCTTTTTTAGGAGATAAAATCAAGGTTTTCTTTTTTTTTTCAGAGCCGTTTTCACGATTTTTTTTAGGTCATTAGGTATCGATTTTTAGAGTTATTCTAATAATTAAGTGTTTTTTCTTTTCAGATCCGACTTCTAGGTGATTAGAGGAAAATTTTCTTTTCTTACGTAGTTATAATTTTTTTTTCTAACCTTTTAGAGTCGATTTTCACGAATTTTTAAGTGTTAAGATGAATAATTTACCATTTTCAGGCTGTTTTCTCATGAATTTCATTGCAGGCGAGGCTCCGGAGACGGTCTCCCCCGTCTGAAGGACATTGAGCACTTCCACAAGAAGAAACGGCAAACTAAGGAGGAAAGAATGGCGGACATTGAAGCTGGAAGGGATGAGGACCGAAAGTTTGGAAGGCCTAAGAAAAATGTGAGCTGGAGGAGTTTTTGGCTTTGAAATGGATTTAGAGATTTCTTTCAGTCTTATTAGAGTTTTTAGGCTTTTCTCAAAATATTTGATAATTTCCAGGGCGACCACGTCGGTCGAACCAACCGTGAACTCGCCAAGAAGAAGGTCTTCAACATGGTGAAGAACAAAGTCCGCGGAAAAAATCGCCAAAGATCGTTCCGAGACCAACAGAAAAGCTTGAGGAACTATCTGATGCGGCAGAGTGGCAGAAAACCACAGAATTAATTCAAATTGTTGCTTGTTATTGCTCATGTTAGAGAGTATTTTGTTATCGCTGGTCTTCTTGTTACTAAAATTCCGAATTTTATGAATTTTTTTTATAATGACATCATCAAATTTTTCATTGATTGGTGACGTCATTTATGTAAAATTAGTGACGTCATGAAGATCTTGTCACGAAATTTTTGAAATTTCACCTTTTTGTTGGGACTTGGTCACTTATTTTTCAAATTTTCTGAGTTTGATGACGTCATTTTTAAGATTGTGACGTCATCAACCTGACCCTGGAATTTTTGATGAACTGTCTTTTTTTATCACCTCGAATTCCTTAATGACGTCATCACTACAACTTCTAATTGTCCCGAAGTTTATATTGATTGATGACGTCATTTATATTAAATTCATGACGTCACCAAGAAGATCCTGTCACGAAATTTTCGAAATTTCATCTGTCTGTTGACCTTTGGTCACACATTTTCCAAATTTCCGGATTTCATGACGTCATTTTAAATATTTTTATTGTGACGTCATCAACTGAAGTTTTCGAAAATTCCAATTTTCAGCTTTTTTTTGACCCATTTCTGAATTTTATGACGTCATTTTTGAGATTTTGACTTCACCAACTTGACTCTGGAATTTTCGCCAAACTGTCCTTTGTTATCACCCCAAATTCCTTAATGACGTCATCACCCCAACTTCTAATCTTCCAAATGACGTCATTTATGAGCCCTTTTCGCGTTTTACGTGTCCCTTGTTCCATGTTGTTCGTTCCTCTTTTGTTGATTTTATTGTTCTGTACCCAAAAAAAAGCGATTTTGTTGATAAAATTGAACTTTCAATGAATGGGACACCGCGAGTTTCATTGCCATTTTATCAGTTTTGGAACGAGAAAGCGTTAAAAAATGCGATTCAGATAGGGGCCGATAGCAAGTGATAAAATCACTGGGTTCCGAACATTCTCGGCCCTTTCCGCCTTTTTTCTTTGTGTTTCCTCTTTTTGATGAGATTTTGAAATAGGGGTCCCTTAAGGGATTGCTTACATTATTGATTTTTTAAATTTAATTGCGAAACATCATTTTTTCTAGTCTTTTTACGAGCCAAAAGTAGCCATTTTTGACCACTTCCGGTTTCTCTGCGCTCTCTCTCGTTCACTCACTCTCTTCTCTGCTCTATTGACCTTCCGGTGAGAGAGAGAAGAGAGCGCAGACAGGTCAGAATTCTCTAATTTTTTTGACATATAGAGTAAAAATTTACTGTGAAACAGTTGTAGTGTGAAAAGAAGCGTGTTCTTCTCTGCGCCCTCTCTTCTTTACGCGCTATTTTTCTATTTCTCTGACCTCGCCGGTGAGAGAAAAAGAGAGCGCAGACAGGCAGAAAGAAAGAAATGAAAATATGAAGGCTTTTTTTCTAGAAATGAATAATTTCTATAATTTTGCGACTAGAAGTGCTGTTTTTCACTGCGCCCTCTCATGTTGACGTACTATTTTCCGTTTCTCTGACCTCACCGGTGAGAGAAAAAGAGACGCAGACACTCTTTTCTCTCACCGGAAACCGAAAAGGCGGTAGTTTCGACTCTTAAAGCGTAAAAACAAGGCTTATTAAAGGCGCATGGGAAGGCATTTCTATGGGTCTTGAGACGAATCGCAATTTTTCTGTGCGAGAGCGCCGCAGTGCATGCACACGACACGCGACACTTCACGGAAAAAGTGGGCGGAGCGTCGTCACACGACGTTTCTGTTAGTGGAAGAAACCAGAAACACAGTGGGCGGAGCCAAAATATCCGCCGTTCCCACGTGACGTCATTGGAACAGCAGAGATTTCGGCTCTAAGAATGATATTAAAGGCGCAGGCCGCTGTATTGCCAGAGGTCTTTGAGACGAATCGATTTTTCGCTAAATGAACGCATTTTTCTGTGCAAGAGCGCCGCAGTGCATGCACAAGGCACACTAAACTTGAAAAGTGCGCGGGGCTTTAGGGTCTAGCCGCGGCGAACGGACTATAATTCAAATATACCGTATTTTTAAAAGGTTCAGAAATGTCCGACGAGGTGATCGACCGTTACTCGACCGTGTCATCCACGAGAACTTCCCGGACTTTTGTCGATCCTTTCGAAGAGACCCAAATTCGTCGGTCTTCCATCATCGACGACATCCTGAGCGACCTCCGGGATGTTCGGCATCCGTTTGAGGTTGGATTTCGAAATTTTCTTTCTTACTGGGAACATTTTAGTGGCCATTATAGAGGCTCGCCAAGGACTACTTGACCCTAAAGTGGCCACTAAACCCACATCTATAGTGGCCACTATTCTTCGTTTCAGTGGCCCCTTCAGTAGTTTTTCATCCAGTATTCCTTCCAGTAGCTCTGATAAGTTTCCAACAAACAGATTGGACCAGTTATGTTGATCCATTGACCTCTACAGTGGCCACTAATTTCAAACCCCTTAAGTGGCCACTAATTTGAATACTACAGTGCCCACTAATTTTTAACCCCTTAAGTGGCCACTAATTTGACTACTATAGTGGCCACTAATACTTCAAAACACTATAGTGGCCACATAAAATTTTTTTTCAGTATAGTCTTCCTAAGTGGTTACGAAGCCGCCAGTTATCATTTCGGACGATCCTGAGCCATTTAGGGACCCCTCAAGGGGTGTTTTGATTACTTGGAAAGCCAAGAACGTCCCGGAAAAGCGTGTAGTTGGAAAACTCTGACCTGTCTGCTCCCTCTTATCTCTCACCGTCGAGCCATAGCCTATTCTCCGGCAACTTGTCACGTTATTTTCCGCCTCCGAACTACTGGACCCTTCTTTTCGATGCGCTGATCGTGCGCCTTTAATAAAAAGTCGATTTCAAGCCCTAATTAAAGGCGCAGGCACAGAGGCAGGTCACGCGCATCAGAGGGAAGAGTTCTGTAGCTCGGAGAAGGACAAAAATTGTGAGAAACTGGCGCGGAATGGGCTATATGCTTCATAAACCGTCGGGGAAACGCCAGTTATCATTTTGGACGATCCTGAGCCATTTTGTGATCACTTAAATAGTTTTGTGTTTCCTTGGAAGGCCAGAAGCGTCCCCTATAGTGCAGTCGGGAAAGTCTGACCTGTCTGCGCCCTCTTTTCTCTCTGGCGAAATATAGTCCATTACGTGCCATTTTCTCACGATTTTTGTCCACCTCCGAGCCACGGGACCGTTCCTTCCATGCGCCCGGCCTGTCCCTGGCCATGCGCCTTTAATAGAAAAGAAATTTTAAGGCATAATTAAAGGCGCAGGCACAGAGATGGGTTGCGTGCATCGGAGGGATGGGTTCTGTAGCTGGGAGAAAAATAAAAATCGTGACGAGCTTTCTCGGAATGGGCTATATGCTTCATAAACCGTCCTGGAAACGCCAGTTGTCCTTTCGGACGATCCTGGGCCATTTAGTGACCACTTAAGAGATTTTATGCTTGCTTGGTAGGCCAGAAACGCCCCCCTACAGAGTATTCGGAAAAGTCTGACCTGTCTGCGCCCTCTTCTCTCTCTCGGGCAAGGTGATACAGTTTAATCACGGCTAGCTTGGTGCACAAAGGGGCGTGGCCTGTCTGCGCTCTCCATTAACCCGGCACACTCTCGCTTCTCATCGTGTCAGGACCCTTTTTGTTGGCTCGAATCAGTTGTGAATCAGCTAAACGAGTAAAACAAGCCGTCAATGAAGGAAAGGAGGGCGCAGAGAAGTCAGAAGCTTTTCCAAGTTGTGGAGGACGTTATAGTTGGTAGAGGAAAAAGAGAAGATGTTAATTTCCAGACTCCAAGCCTTCTAAACGGACGTCGTATCTCCCACCCGTCTACTCCTCTCTCAGAACATCATGCGATTTCGCCTTTTTCGAGATTCCGACCCATTTCCAGCTACAACGATGGTTCGGGCGTTGGGGAGGTTGGTTCAGAAGAATTTTGATTGAAAATGGAAGAAATTGGGAAGCAATGATGATGGAAACTTAAAAGCCAGAGTGGTCCCTAGAGGGATTGAGGAACAATAAAAGTCTGTAGCGGACGAAATAGTGCTCACTAGAGAGCTAAAATTTGGAGGGGGAGGGGGAAGAGGAGCCTTTAAAACACTAAGGGTCCCCACAGTGGTCTTTCAAATGCTTGCCCATAGCCACTCACTGAAACCCCTGGATTGGCCCCTTTCGAGCTTTAGTGCGTCCTTCTGGTGTGCGCTAGACTACTTAGAAACTCAAGAGTGGTCCCTATAGGGGTCAGTAATTAAAACAACCCCTTTAGGGGCCAATTTCTTCAGATATTAAAGTCCGAGCACTTCTTTTTTGAGCACTTCTTCCGGTTTTTAGGAATTTTAGAGTGGCCCCTGAAGGGATTAGGAGAGAAGAAGCACCTTTAGCGGACGCGAAAGTGGTCCCTATAGGGGTTAGAAGCGACCTCTATAGGGGCCGAAAAAGGGTTCACTATAGGGGTAAAATTAAAGTACTCCCTAAAGTCCGGTCCCGTAGCCCCTAAACCTCAAGTGGATCCTATAGGGGTCTTTCAAATTCATTCAAAAAACGCTTGTTTATTCATTTTTTCCTATAGAGATGCTTCTTCGCTTAGAGTTCATAACAGAGCATCTCCCCTATAGGGACCACTTTTAATAGCTCGGGGTTGGTAAAGTGGTCCCTAGAGTGGACCTTCCAGCCCCTATGGTCAGTCCTATAGGGAACACTACGGAGAACCCTTAAAGGGCCCTGGAGGGATCACTCTGGCGCTCCTAAGAATAATTAAGGTGATCGACAATGAATCGAAATTCGCGGTCAAACTGGACGTTTCGAGTTACAAGCCGGAGGATTTGAAAATCAGCATCGATGGCCGCGAATTGACCATTGAAGGGAAACACGAATCGAAAAATGAGCACGGATTCAGCCAAAGGTTTCATTTCAATTTACTTGAAATAGGCTCATTTTCCGTTCAGATCTTTTGTGAGACGATTCACCCTGCCCGAGCAGGTCAGCCTGACCGGAGTCAAGTCAGAATTAACTTCTGCCGGTGTTCTGGAGCTGGAAGCTCCGAAAAACCCGCCACAAGTTCAGACCTATCACATCCCTATCACTATTATCGGCAAAGAGCCGGAAACCAATGAATAAATTATTTTTTTTTTCTTTGATCTTGTATTGGAATTTCATGCATATTTCGAAAATTCAAAGTGTTTTCAAAATTAGAAATCTTCGAAAACACGGGGTGAGAACACGTCAAAAAAAAAATTGGCGCGAAAATTCAAATCTCAAATACGCAGCCAAAGACGGTCGAACAAACAAGTTATTAACGTTGAATACTCAGTAAAGTTTGTGACGTAGAATGACGTCATTTTATCCGCAGCGCGCACATACTTTTAGTTGTGTTGCCAAAGTCCGGTGGAGACCGAGGGCGTCGGCACGAGTCAAAGTGACGAGGTGCAGCGTATGTCCGAGGACCGAAAACCCACAAAGATGTCACGGTCAAAAACCGCCAAGTTAAACGCGATGAACACAGTAAACCTGCACGGGTTTATTTCAAAAGGGCAGTAGCGAAACAAATAATGAATGAGGCTGAAATGACAAGCTAACGAAACTCGTATACCTGGGGGAAAACGAGATGATAGGTGTCGGGGGAACGACAATTACCCGAATGAGCGCGGCAGGAGCCTTTGGCTGGCGACGCGTCTCAAACTTGGCTAATTAAACCGGCAAAAATACAACGAAACGATGTGGCCCAAGGCCTGAAAGACGAACAAGGAACGAGAGAAACGAGGAACCAAACAAAACAGAACAGAAAACAAAAAAGAACCTCAAACGGAGAGGCGCCGTTATTTCTAGACCAGGGGCGTGGCTTGCCTCACCGTAACCTTGTGCGGTGGCGCGCACATGCCTACTTTTCCTCAGTCATTTTCTTTATATTTCCTCATTTTTTTTTTTCATTTTCTTTTTCATATTTCTTTTAAGAATTCCCCTTTGATTTTAATATAACTCCTTTTTATTATCTAATTAAACTTTTTAATTTTTCGAATACATGGTTCTTCTGTCTTTAGTATCGTAGACGAATTTCTTGAGGCCGAAAAATCGTTTTTTTAGTTAAAATGAGTGTACGCCATTGCGATTAATTTTTATTTTTCAGGGTTCTCCTGCCTTCCCATAAAGATTTTTTTCAAGTCATAAAAAGTGAATTTCCGTGAAAAAAATGTCCTATTTTTGACAAGTTCAGGCCTTTTTTTCTAGTTTCTTTTGAACACTTTGCGAATGTGTCCAAAGTCCACAGGAAGAGGACTCCAACTATTTGATGAAATCTACATCGTCGACGACTACTTCTTTTGTCGAATTAAAAAGTTGTATAGTTTATTTGCTTTTTATTATCTCCTCGAAGCATAGACCGCTGTGCGAAGTGTAGCTACCGCATGTAAAGATTTCAAAGCCTAAATTCATTTTCAGTAGGAAAGCAGATATGATGATTTTGCAGTTAACACGATCTATTTTGAGATTGGTGTTACGACGGCTTCATTTTCCTAAATTTGAACGAATACCTCTGGTCATGCGCGTCATTTACCTTCATCCCCATGCAAAATCTTAACGCTGTTGAGCGATACTATCTGAATTAAAGAAAATTCCCTAACAAATATTATGTTCAAGACACACTAAAGATAACTGGCTATTCGGGCGTGATATAAAACCTAGTTCGGGAGCGGTACATCGAAAATCACGCAAATATTTAAATATCGTCTCCGCGCGAATCTCGCATTTATCTCGCTTTTTTAACGAACTAGCAAATATTTGAATATTTCCAAATCGCGATTTTGCGCCAAGAAAAATGCGAGGCCGCTTTTTGAGTACTACTTGACAATCCTTCACTGCGTTATAATTCGAGACTAATAATTTTTCATACAGAAAGCTTTCGTCATAATTAGATGCAGACGTCGATGAAAAACACTTGAATCGTTTTCTGTGCTCATCAGTGTGGCTTCCAAAGTAATCGATGCAGGATCAAGAAATGACACTCTTTTTGTGTTCGGCCTGATGCTTCGTTAGCTGATCTTTGTTTGAATAAAAAAAAAATAACATCGATCGCAACTTCGACGTTCTATATAGTCCGTTCACGGCTGATTTGGGACAGCGAACGGGCGGTTTAACTTGCGCGGCGATGGTTGATCATTGTGGCCATATATGCGCCTTTAATAAGAGACTCATTTGGTGAATTATTTCTGTTTCTACTGAACTTTTTTTGTTTACATTCATATCATTGGTTTTTAGATTTTTTTAAATCGATGAAATACAAAATAAAAACAAATAAGCCATTAAATGGGGCTTTTATGAAAGGCGCATGGATATTCGCCATGATCTACTTTCGCCGCGAAAATTAAACCGCCCGTTCGCTGTCCCAAGCCAGCCGTCAACGGGCTATAGTTATAAGAGTTCAGAAAAACCTGTCAAGAAAAATATCTCGGATAAACCCGAGTCTATACGGAAACGCGAACGAAAAAATTTTCACTTCACTATATATAACTCTTACAACATATGGTGACGTGAAAATATTCAACGAGAAGTGGGTAAAGTTGCTAAATTTCGCATATACCCTAAACTTTTGACGCAACTTGTTTTTTTTTTTCGGTTTTTATTGGGTCGCGTCGCCATATAAATTCGAGTTCGTCCGAGATTTTTCGCACGGTAAGTTCTTTCTGTACACTCAACAGTTTTAGGCTGGTAGAATATTCTTAACTCATTTCTAAAGTATGGAATTGCTCAACTCATTGGGATTCCTATACTTGTTACGCGCAGTGTATAATAATTTGAAGAATCCAAAAAAATGTGATTGAAATAGCTGAATTTTTGAATTTGTTTGTCAATTTTCTCTCCATCAACAATTAGAAAACTGATAATTGTGAAGCAATGCTGCTCCACATTTTTTGAAGAGTGGTTTCAAAGAAAATACTTGAGAAGAACCATATCTTCGAAAATTAAGAATTTAATAATAAAACGAGTAACTTTGAAATCGAAGGGGAATACTTAGAAGAAATATGAAAAAAGAAAACGAAAAAAAAAATGAGGAAATATAAAGGAAATGACTGAGGAAAAGTAGGCATGTGCGCGCCACCGCACAAGATTACGGTGAGGCAAGCCACGCCCCTGGTCTAGAAATAACGGCGCCTCAAACGGAGGGACCTCTATGGCCTAAGGCCCATAAAAACAAAACAATAACAACGAGCGAGTGAATTATTTGGCGCTCCCCGCGAGACCAATTGCGGTGGCGCGAAGTGTCGGGAGTGTCCCCTCAAGTGTTGCGTTGGCGCGCTCTTTCCCTGTTGCCGTCGTTTCTGTCCGCTTCCCGTTTCTTTTTTTTTTGTAATTTCTGAAACTTTATCACAATTAGGAATGCCGCGAAAAATGAAAGAAATCTGAAATTTGCGCAAAAAAAAAAACCGAGGATTGTGCGCTCCATTCGACGTCATTCGAGCTTTTTTAGGCGAAAAAAACAAAATATTTATTTTTTTCGATATTTTCGCTTTTTTGTTGATTAATTGCCTAATTTCATAGTTTTTCCGCTTCCCGGAAGATTAAGGCAAGTGTTTCAGGTTGAGAAAAATCCCGTGTTTTTCAAAAGTGATTTCGCGATATTCAAAATACACAGTGTTCCCAAACAGGCGGCAGATGTGGTCATTGGGCGTGGCTGTATGCAATGGGGGCGCGGCTTTTTGCAATAGTGGCGCGACATTGAGAGCCAATTTTTGCGCATTTACTGGATGAAATGTAATGGTTCTCCTTTTTAACATCGCAACATTTCATCATGCTTTGTGAACATGTGCCAAGAGAGGCGGCGCCTGAGGCACTCGCCCTCTCTATTGATTACAACATCACTCTGGCATGGCGCACTGCTAGCGTGCGCCACGAAATAAAGATTCAAGCCGAGTCGCTTAACCTCGCAAAACAAAATAACGCGGAAATGAGGGGAACATTTTTTCCCGCGTTACAGAAAACATAGAGTTGAATAGTGTTTTTCAAGGCCTCCTTGAACTTTTATAGTAGTTTTAATATAGTCCAACGCACAATGAACCTATTGAAAATGGAATCGCTTTTGCCAAAAGATTTATCACACGAAATGCCTTTTTTCAGGACAATTCGTCGCGTGACGTCCTAAAAATGTTTTGAAGGAAAAAACCCATGACGGTTCCCTCAAAAAACGCATTCTGAATATTCTGAAACGAAAAAAGAATCAATTAGCTTCGGCACAAAAATGTATAACTCAAAAAGTTATTTTAGACAACATATGTTTTTGTAAAAACGTCGAAAAAAAATTTTAAAAAAAAAATCTCTAGGCGTTTATCTTAAGAAACTCACTCTGAGCATTTTAAAACAAAAACATGAACCAAGTAGCTTCTGCAAAAAAAGTTAGAGGCTCGCCAAGGATCACTTGGAGAGGACACTGAAGTGGCCACTAAACCCACCTCTATAGTGGCCACTATTTTCCGTTTTAGTGGCCACTTCAGTAGTTTTCCATCCAGTATTCCTTCCAGTAGCTCTGATAAAACAAACAGATTGGACCAGTCATGTTGATTCATTCACCTCTACAGTGGCTACTAATTTGACTACTACAGAGGCCACTAAAACGTCAAAACACTATAGGGACCTCTTAATAATTTGCGAGTCATTTTTTGAATCAATTCAATACTGATCTATACTTGTTGATTTTGTTGATATCAGAATATTAATGAATTTTAAAAAAGGAAAGAATTTTACGTTATGAAAAATAAAATGAATGCGTCCATAGTTCAGAATGACGACCATTTCGCAGACTTCTCTCGAGCCAAGCGCTCGTTTACTTTCATTATAAGCTCTTCTTGGTCAGTTTTTAATTTTTTGTCTTGAAACCTCATTTTCCGGCTCAGAAATGACCAACGAGCACGACTACGAGGACTCGACCAGTGACTCGGGAAAGCAGTCTCAGCACCAAAAGCAGGTTTTTCAACACAGTCTTCATGTGTTTTATAGAAATTTTTCAGAAAAAAACGGCGTCGAATAGGAAAAAGGCGAAGCCGAGGAAGCGTACCGAAGATGAGCGCAAAATATTGAAAGAGAAAAACAAGATTATGCTAGTGAGCAGCTTTTTTTTCGATCAATTATGATTGGTTGATTTGATTTTTTTTTGATTTCGAAGCTCTCCCAATTGCTCCCATGTAACTTAACGGGAAAAAAGCGTACATAACGGAATATTAAAGGCGCATGTTATATGGGTCATGAGACAAATCGATTTCGCATTAAAAAACGCAATTTTTCTGTTTCGTTTTTTTTTGAGTACCAGTAATCTGAAAAATCGTCGATTTTCTTTACTTCAATTTCAAGTTTAAGCCCAGATTTTGAATGTCAAGTCTTAGCTCAAGCTCCTCGCTGAAACTCCGCCCCTATGCGTAGATCAAACCAATCAGAGAGGGACCAACAGCAGCGTTTTTGGGGGCGGAGTTTGCTGTTTGACATTCCAAATCTGAACTATATTACCAGTGAGAAAAGGTGGTATGAAAAGCTGGAAAATCGAAGTTCCGCTAGATTTTGGCCCAATTATTAATACAGTCTTTGTGCCACGACTTGAAATTTCACGGAACGACATTCCGCTGTTCCGCTGCGTGCGTTCGGGAAGCGTCTTTCGAATCTAGGTCACGTTTTCCATTTATTGTTATTACTGTGGGAGCACATGAAAGTAGAGCACTTTGATGAAAGAAAAAAAAAATTCAAAAGCGCGACCAAGGTTCGCAGAGGCGCGCAGCGGACCAGCGGAATGTCGTTTGATGAACTTCAAAGTCGTGGTACACAGCCAATTAAAATAATGCTTTTTTGCAGCTCTTAAGCAAGACATTGCTGAAACATCCGTGGTTCCACGGCCTAGTGATAAGAGATGATATCGAGGGTCTGATTTTCCGAAATCGTGCCTGGATCGTCCGAATGGGCATTAATCGCGGCCTCCGGGTTTTCACCCTAACGACTCGCGTCTCGGACAAAATCATCAACCTGCCCCTGACCTACAGAAATGGCTGTTGGAGCCAGGATTTCAGTGGGAGCAGAGTGGGGTTCCTTAGGAAACGGAAAAAAATCAATAAATCCAGGCGGCCCGAGAACCGTTCGCCAAGCTCTACATGCTGCTCGACAAGCTCTCCGAGTGCTCCAGGATCGAAACTGTAGGAATTTCCAAGGGTTCTGAGAAGTCGGAATTTTTCAGCCGGTCCCACGGCCGCCATACTCGCTGTTCCACAGCAATGTTCATTTGGAGAAGAAACGAGCAAGTGGGTGGAAAATTTAGAAAATATTCGGGGTTTCCGTTTTGATGTGAGAAATTACAATTTTCAGCTGTAACTTACCTAAAAAACAAGAAAAACAACAAAAAAAATTTGGCACGAAAATTGGAATCTTAAATACGCAGCCAAAGCGATCGAACACACAAGTTATTAACGTTGAATACTCAGTGTAATTTGTGACGTAAAATGACGTCATTTTATCCGGAGCGCGCACTTACTTTTTCTTGTAAATTCAGCGCCTCGCTCACCTTCCCACGGCGTTTTTGTTAATGGAAGAAAATGCGAAACCAAAAACTCGGTGGGCGGAGCCAAAATATCAATTCCCACGTGACGTCATAAGAACGGCAGAGCGTAAATAACAGGGCATATTCTGCGCGAAAGCGGCGTAGTGCATGCACACGACACACGACACTTTACGGTGAAGTGTGCGTGGCGTCGTCGAAAAAACTCCGTGTTCCCTCCTCATTAGGACTGCCGTGCCATTATCGCAAGAACTTGTTAACCAGAGAGGGCGTTTTTTTTTGACCGTATATATGTTCTTTCCATAAACTGTAGTGTGTAGAGTGCATGCATTGCGGCGCTCTCGCACATGCCGTGTACAAAGTTGGTTCGTCTCAGGACCCATTAAAAATGCGCCTTTAATATTCCCTTCTGTTTACGCTTGCTCCCCATGGCGTCACATGTCACTAGGTTCCCTTAATGTAGATTTCCACGTTGATTACAAATTTTTGCTCAGTTTTGATGCAAATTGAGGTTGTTACGTCGATTTCATAATGAGATTAGACCCGAAAAATGAAAATTTTTCAGCCGGGGAGTACGGCGAGATTTACAACGCAAAGCTGACGCACTTCGGGAACACGCATACGGTGGCGGTCCGTCGGCTGAGCGGCTGCATTAACAGGGAAATCGGCATGGAATATCTGAGAGAGGCGGCCATGATGCGGGGCGTAACCCATCGCAACGTGTTGCGCATCTACGGAGTCGCCAACCTCGAAGATCCCATCATGATCGTCTATGAAATGGCCGCTGGCGGGAATTTAAAGGTGATTGGGAGCTCATACGGGTTTACCCCGGGCACTACCGCAGAGGTCCCGTGTTAGCCCGGCTAGTTCAACCTTTTTGTATAGAAATTCTGAAACCCGGAGCCCTAGTTGTACTGAAAAGAAATCTCAAAAGTCTACCAGCGGGGCTCATACAGGTTTACCACGGGCACGCCCGCAGAGGTCCCGTGTTAGCCCGGCTAGTGCAACCTCTTTCTATCATAATTCTTAGACCCGAGGAGTCAGTCGGGCTATAAAGAAATCTTAAAAGTTGTACCAGCTAGGTTCATACGGGTTCATCACGGGCACGCCCAAAAGGTCTCGTTGTAGCCCGGATTATTCAACCTGAGACTCTGGTTTCAGGTCTACTTCAAACGGCACCCACAAGCGACTCAAGAACAGCAATTGAAATTGGCAACCGATGTTTGCCGCGGCATGGCCTACCTTCATATGAAGAAGATCGTCCATCGGCAACTCTCGGCCCGAAGTTGCGTCCTCGGCACGAACCAGGACGTCAAGGTCACCAATTTCGGCTTCGCCGTCCACAAACAGCCCGAGACCAAGGAGACCACCATCAATACGGCGCTGATCAAGTGGCTCCCCAGGGAGACGGTCGTCAGGGTAAGAGACCATGTCTTTTTTTCTTGAAGTGAAAAAACGGGGTTCGATTTTCACTAACAGAAACGTCGGTGCCCCCTGCGTTTAACTCACGGTGCACCCTGCTTTAAACTCTCGGGACACCCTGCGGTGAACTCTGGGTGCACCCCCCTTTTTTTAGAAAGATGGCGGGTGCACACCCTGCTTTAAACTCTCGGTGCCCCTGCGTTTAACTTTCGGTGCACCTCCCCCTCTTGTCGTTTTTGCTTTTTAATTCCTATTAGGATACTTATTTCTCATTCCATAAGGCTTCTCTAACGAAAGTAGCGGTGCACCGTGCGTTGGACTTTCGGTGCACCCCCCTTCCCGCCGTTTCGCTACAATTTTTTATTAGGATACTTATTCAGAAAGGCTTTTCTAACGATAGTGGCGGTGCACCCTGCGTTTTTTAACTCTCGGTGCACCCACCCTTTCTTCTCGCCGTTTCGCTTTAATTTCCTATACACCCGCCCCCCTTGTTTAAAAAGATGACGTCACTTTTTTTGCGTTCCAATGACCTACCCGCCTTTGAGGACCAAACGTGTAGTTGATCAAGTTGAAAGAATGGTCTCACGGTTTTTCGCCTCGTTATTCTATCGGTATATGATCTAGTAGGGTCATGACGAGCTCAGAATGTAGCCTACTTGAGTTTTATATCTGTATGTTCGGTCACAAGGAACCAAATATTTATACAGTACCGCTCAAAAAGTCTATTAAGTTTTTGGTTTTTTTGGGGATATCTCAGCGAGTACTTATCCGATTTTTTTATAACTTTCAGGGATAATGTAAAATATACTTTGAAACATATACGGTATACAAAGACTTGTCCGCAATGACTGTGACGCGTTTTTAGGCATTTTTTTATTGAATTCCATTTTTTTGTTTTTTTATGCTTTAATTTTTTTATTTATTTTTTTATTAAATTTTTTTAAAATTAATAATGTTGCCATATGATTTTTTTCATGTTTTTCAGACATGGGAAGAACCTTTGGAAATAAGAATTTGACTGATAACGACAAAAGAGCCATCGTTGTGGGTCGTCAAAATGGACTTACCATGATGACGTTGGCAGGAATGTTCGGCGTGACAAAGGCGGGCATTTCTCAGTTCCTAAAGCGTCAGAAAGCTCAAGATGGCTCTACTAACAGCCAACGCACTGGAAGACCACGTGTCACTGATCATAATGACGATAGGAACATTTTGAAGACGTCTAGAACCAATCCAAGACTCACCGCCCCTGCGATCAGACGGGAAGTTTTCTTGAATTCGCCATCTCCGCCATCCGTCTCGACAGTGAAACGACGTCTGAATGCTGCTGGAATCATGGGAAGACGTCCAGTGAAGAAACCGCTGATTTCTGAAAAGAATCGAGCCGCCAGGGTGAAGTGGGCGAAGGAGCATCTCAACTGGACCCGTCAAGACTGGAACAAGATTCTGTCGTCCGACGAAAGCAAGTTCCTCCTCTTCGGGAGTGACGGAATTCAGTGGGTTCGTAGACCAATTGGGTCCAGATATCATCCGAAATACCAATTACCCACCGTGAAACATGGTGGAGGTTCCTGCATGGTGTGGGGCGCCTTCTCTGGAAGTGGCATCGGACCGCTTCATCGCGTGAACGGCATCATGGACAAGCACGTCTACAAAGACATTCTCCAGAACCAGATGTTGCCGCACTTGAGAGCCATGGGCCGTGGGAGTGTTTATCAACAGGATAACGATCCCAAGCACACTTCACTGTTCGTCAAGGTGAGAAAATTGACAAGTAATTCGTATGGTTTTTGAAACTCAGGACTGGTTCAAGAGCCGTCGGGTCAATGTCATGGGGTGGCCAAGTCAATCTCTGGACCTGAACCCGATCGAACATCTCTGGGAAGAGTTGGAGCGACGTTGTGCCAACAAAAGAGCCAAGAATTGCAACGAGAAGTTTGCTCAACTGCTGTCTGAATGGAATCAGATCCCCATGTCTACCATCGACACTTTGCTCAATTCTATGCAGAGAAGATGCCAGGCAGTGATTGACGCCAGGGGCTTCGCAACCAAGAACTAGGTCCCGAATATTATTTTTAACAATGTTTTGTGTTGATAAAAAAATTTTTTTGTTGAGCTATGATTTTTTTAATTGAAAATAGCAAAAAAATTCGATTTTTTTCGAAAATTCGTTTTTTTCTCGAAAAAAATTATTATTCTTTGAGCTAGCAACTTGAAATTTTTGCCAGAACACGTATGTCTCTCTCAGAAAAACTATGAAAAAAATTTGAATAAATCGCACTTCAAAAAAATTTATCCCCAAAAAAACCAAAAACTTAATAGACTTTTTGAGCGGTACTGTATTTAAGGGCGTATTTTCGGAAAAGTCGGACGTTTGGTCATACTCCGTGACCCTGTGGGAAATCTACACAAGATGCGCGACTGAGCCATTGATTGGCTTGACCAATCGGGAAGCCGCTCTTTTCATCAAGGTTCCGGAACGGTTCTGAACTTGCGAATCGGTTTTTTCAGAAGGAGGAATACCCGATAAAACCGCCGAAAGAGGCGCCGGATGCCATCTACCGTGCCATGATGCAGTGCTTCGCGAGGGTTTACAAGTTTTTCTTGAGCCGATTTCGGCCCAGATTCGGAATCAGCGTGAAAAACGGAGCTTGGTTCCGTTCAAAAATCTCTTCATGAGCTATAGTATGTGTGCCATGCCTTGAAATTTCACGGAACGACATTCCGCAGTTCCGCTGCGTGCGTTCGCGAAGCGTTTACGTTTTCAAATGATTTTTATTGCTGTGGGAGCACATGAGAGTGAAGTACCTTGATAAAAGAAAAGAAAATTGAAAGCTCGACCAAGGTTTGCAAAGACGCGCAGCGTCACAGCGAAATGTCGTTTGCTGAAATTCCAAGTCGTGGTAAACAGACTATACAGCGTCATTCCACAAATGGTTCCTGTTTCAGAAGCCTGCTGAACGACCAACCTTCCTGGAACTTCTGACGATCCTGAGTCCGACGGAGAAAACGGTCTGCGACGCCGTCGACAAACGGCCGCCGGTCGTGACAAGCCAACCGCCGCCTCCTCCTGTCAGCCAAGCTCCCGAGAAAGAAGACGACGTGATGGACAAGATTTCGATGATCGACGGTGACGCCCTCGCCAAGACTCAGACCGAAAGCGTCGTCGGCGAGGTGACGACCGAACAGCCGCCGGCCCTCCAAGCGGTCCCCACCGAAGCGCCGGACACGAAGAACTCTCTTCATCAGCCTCCGCCACCGGCTAACCTCACGCCGGCCGAATGCGCCCCGCCACCACCGGCCAACACGGCAGAAGCTCTCAAGCCGTCTGAGAAACCGCCAACTGTCGAGGCTAGGTCGCCGACGGGAGGTGAGGACATAATAAAGTCACGACTTGAAAGGCGATATGGGTGGATTCGTAAGAGTGATGCGTTGCGTATGCGTCGCGGCTTTTGGCGGGAAGTTTGAATTTGAACGCAAAAAATGGGTTTCATTCATTCAACTAGTGAGCCAAACCATAAATAAAAAAAAATCATCCAGAAAAAAGAAAATTTTTTGAACAACCCCAAAAAAGAGTAGGTTTTGTCCACAAGTGACGTCATCAAAAAACGGAGATATGACGTCATAATTAACATTTAAGAAAGAGAGATTTATGATTTATGATAGAGAAAGAGATTCAAGTAGAGGAGGGTTTATTGAAAACTGTACAATACCATGGCTTCACTTATCATATTCCTGCAGGTCAGCCCGCTCCCGTGGCTGTCCCTCCTCCGGCCAACTCGGCCGACGTCGTCAAACAGGGTCCGCCTCCGCAACTTCCAGCCCCACTTCCGACCGGCAACTCTGCCAAAGCCGTCAAGGACGCCCGTACTCCCAAAAAACCGCCGCCCCACACCGCCGACGTCCTCAAAGGCCCGCCGCCGCCCTCCGAGGAACCCGACCTCCTCGAAGCCGCCAACTCCACGGCGCCCAAGCCGTCGATGAAGGTCGTCAAGCCGCCGTCGCGAGGCAAGAAGTCGACGTCGAAGCGCGACGAGGACGTCGCCTTCGTCGACGAGAAGAAGTCCTCGACGGAGCTCCCCGAACTTCCCGACCTCCTGTCGCTCTTCGACATGCCCCCGGCCTACACCATGAACTTTCCCGGCAACAACAAGAAGAAGCGACCTTGATTTTGAGGTTTGTTCCGGCTCTGTCAAAAAATTATGGTGGCTTTTTTCAGAACCCTCCTTCTTTTTTTTTTGAAGCACAAGAACATTTTCAACGTTTTTTCGATAAATGGTCGATGATCTTTTGTGTTGCTTTTCTTGTGTGTTAAGCTTCGATTTGATTTTGAAATATCAGATTTCGAAGTTCAATTTTTAAATTATTTCATTCACCAAGAAAAATTGAAATTTCACTGAACGACATTCCGTTGTTCCGCTGCGTGCGATCGCGAAGCGTTTTCGTTTTTGCGAATCTCGGTCGCTTTTAAATTTTTTTTATTTGAAGTTTTCTCTATTATCATATTTGCCAAATGCTTGTGCATAGCCTACAATAAATATTTAACAAAAATGAAGAACGATTTTAAAAAAATTGTTGGAAAAACGTTCGACTTTCATTTGTTTTTAATGAAACAGTTCATTCACCAGCCATGATTATCATGGCACAAAGAACAAATAAAAAATGAATTGAATAGTGAAATATTCAATTAAAAGAAAAAATAGAAAGCGCGACCAAGTTTCGCAAAGGCAAATACGTTTTCACGGTCATGCGCAGCGGAGTGTCGTTCTGTGACATTTTTAGTTTTCTTTTCTCAGGAAAGATTTTGTAATCCTGAGAGTTGGCGGTAGGCTCCCTGAAGCCTAAAAAAAAGTTTTTCTGAGCTTTTTTTTTAGCAGCTCCTTTTTTTGAATTGAGAAAAAAAAATCAGGAAATTCTATATAAAAAGTTGAGAAACAACTGGCCGTCTAGTAGCTCTGTTTATATTTTTTAAACTTGATTTATAATATTTTTATCACGTTTTAAAACGGTTTTTTTTTATGTTTATCCACAATTATGTTACATTTTCTGACTTTTTTTTTCCTTGTATGAAGAAATAAAGTGTTTAGTTCAACTTGAAATTCAAAAAACGAGAAACGTTTGAGTTTCTCCTTCATTTCTTATCCCACGTTCGTCCCGAACTTCTCCGACCATTTCTTCTAGGTATATCCTATTCTTTTCTGAAATTGTCCAGTCTATTTTGTTGAGCGAGGGTAATCAGACCTCGAAAACTACCAAAAAGGGCTTTCATTAGTAACGCCAGAGTGGTCCCTATAGGGGCAACCTTAGGGCCCTTGAAGGTCCCCTCTAGGGACCACTTTACCTCCCCTTAAAAGGGTACTGAAACTTGCAAAGGCGGCCCACAAAGTGGTCATTATAGGGGAGAAAGCGTTATTGTTATGAATTTTTAAAGAACCCTATAGTGACCACATAAATTTGACCCCCGTAGGAGTTGACCCTAGTCCCTATAGGGGCCACTCTGGCGTCCTGTTCGTCTCGGAAAATTCTCGAATGATCCTTCAAGAAGCTCAGCGAGGATTTTGAAAAAAAACTATGAGTATGAAATTTTTTGAAATTTTTAAAGGCGCAGAAGAGATTGTAAAAAAGGTCCTGAAGCGAAAAAGACATTTTTCTTGTTTTTGAACAGAATGGACTATAACATTTTCATTTCAGTTATGGAAGAGGATGGTTCGCGAAGCGATAAATCCAACAAGATTCGTAAGGCGATAAAGGTTCCTTATACAAAATAAAACTATTTTTTATGAACTATTTAAGAAAAAAGCAACATTCTGGTCATCGAAATCGAAACAACAAACGAACAAATTATCACCCGATGGCAAAAATTCGGGCGGTGTGGATCGGCTGGCAATCGAACACAACAAGCGGATGAGTGTGGGACTTTTTTTGCCAGTTTTTGGCAGTTTTCATCGTTTTTCTTCTAAGAAAATCTACAAAATCATACTTGAAAAACTTATATATTTTTTGAATATAGCTGGAAGTTCTTTTGCACAGGCAAAATCGGAAGAACGGGAAAAAGGCTCCTTTTTTGCCGCCTTTTTGCGCCATTTTTTCAACCCTTTTGCACCATTTTTGCTGCCTCTCCCCTTTTTCCACCATTTCTTGAGCCTTCGAAATCCCAGAAAGATGGAAGGCTCGATAAAGGGACTCTTTTTGGGCCTTTTTGCGGCCTTTTTGCGACCTTTTTGCAGCGTTTTCGCAGCCTTTTTGCAGCCTTTTCGCAGCCTTTTTGCAGCCTTCTTGCTGCTTTTCTGTTGTCTTTTTGCGGCATTTTTGCAGCCTTTCTGCATCCTTTTTGCAGCCTTTTTGCAGCCTTTTTGCAGCTTTTCTGTTGCCTTTTTGCGGCCTTTTTGCAGCCTTTCTGCAACCTTTTTCGAGCCTTCCCTTTTTAGCGGCTATTCTCCACCGTTCCGACTTTGCCTGTGGTCAAATTATACTGGGATTCTTTTTTACTGCTTCAAAAATTGATTTTTTGAATTTTTCCTGAATAGAAGAAAAAGTACTGGATTTTTATTGGTCGAAATGGTCGGAAAAGGCTCCATAGAAAATTTCCCTATTTGCTGCCTTTTTGGGTTATTTTAACGGCAATTATGCACCATTTTTGCTGTCTCTCCCATTCTTCACCATTTCTTGAGCCTTAAAAATCCCAGGAAAAATGGAAGGCTCGATAAAGGGACTCTATTTGCAGCTTTTTTGCAGCCTTTTTGCAGCCTTTTTGCAGCCTTTTCGCAGCCTTTTTGCAGCCTTTTCGCGGCCTTTTTGCAGCCTTCTTGCTGATTTTCTGTTGCCTTTTTGCGGCATTTTTGCAGTCTTTCTGCATCCTTTTTGCAGCCTTTTTGCAGCCTTTTTGCAGCCTTTTTGCGGCCTTTTTGCAGCCTTTCTGCAACCTTTTTCGAGCCTTCCCTTTTTAGCGGCTATTCTCCACCGTTCGGACTTTGCCTGTGGTCAAATTATACTGGGATTCTTTTTTACTGCTTCAAAAATTGATTTTTTGAATTTTTCTCCAATATTTATTGGTATAAGTGTAAATTGAAATATTGAAAAAAAGTGTTCTTTGATCAGATTTTTGGTAAACTGGAAGAAAATTTGCTTGAAGGAGAACGTCAGGGGACTATGTCACCCTCTAGGGGCCACTTATGTGAGCTTTAGTGGCCCCTATAGGGGAGATGAAGTGGTCCCAAGATAGGAGCCCTAAAGGGTCTCTAAGGATGCCCCTATAGGGACCACTCTGAAGTTCCAGAGTATACCTCAGTTCCTGCTCGAACTTTATGATAACTATTTTTTGAAAACGCAAATTTTAGTTGATCAGTCGCACACTGCTCCGCTACCCCTGGTACCACGGATTGGTACCAAAAAATGAAGTTGAACTGCTTGTTCCGGTTCGATTCTTCAAGCTAAAATTTGTGCAAAGAACACTTTTTTCAGCGGAATCGCGACTGGTACGTCAGGATTTCCAGCGAGAAGGGCTTCCGTCTGTTCTGCCTTACCACCAGAGCCGTTGACAAAGTCGTCAATGTCCAACTTTTCTTTGAGAAACAGTGCTGGACCTACCAACCGCCGTGGAGTAAGGTGACGATGAAAAAAGTGAAAAAAATTATTTTTTGTAAACTCCGTTTTTCGCGACGTGAAAGGCCGGGACTTCTCTGCGCTTTCCTTATCTCTCGACGTCTCTCTCATGTTTACGTGCTTTTTCCATGTTTTTCTGACCCCGGTGAGAGAACAGAGAGACGCAGACACTCGAGAAGTTTCAAGTCGCGGCGAATGGACTATACAATTTTGTAGAGATCTAGACAATGAAATATGATTTTTTTGAACTAAAAACTAAAGTTAAACGAAAAAAAAGGGAAATGAAAACTTTTAGAGATCGTTAGAACCTAGTAAGCGTGTGAAATTGAGAGGTTGCCGGAAAATTCCGCTCCTGTACCCTGCGTAAGCCGGAAGTGCGGAAAACGGGTGCGAAAAGCCCGCTAAAAGAGTTCAGTTTTGCGGCCTTTATTCAGCCTTCCATTCTTGGTGGGCTAAAAAGCTTCGAAAAAGGGTGAAGAAAGGGTGCTGAAAGTCTCGGCCATTGATTATTTCCGGTTACTGTAGCACATTTTGGTGCATACACAGTCACTGGTGAAGATTATTCTCAATTTAAAACTTTTTGTGGCTTTCAAAAGGGTCCAAAAAGGGTCGATAATGGCCGATGAAAGGACGGAAGAAGGCTGTAAAAAGGAAACCGTTTAGGAACAATTAATGGACCCCTTTTGCACCCATAATGGACGTTCAAAGGGCCCGTAAAGGGTCCTTGCGAACTTGTCTATGTAGGCCGTCTTTCGAGTGTCTGCGTCTCTCTGTCCCCTCACCGACGAGGTCAGAGAAACGTGAAAATAGCGCGGCAACATGAGAGAGTTGACGAGAGACGAGGAGGGCGCAGAGAAAACTTTTCGCGCATTTGAAAAAGCTTGCTCTTGGTTGGGCCCGACTTGGAGCGACTTGCGCGAAAACTAGTCAAACCTCTAGGTGTCATTAGCCATTCCAAGTTCGACCACGGCTTTCTCGGATTTAAAATGATGCTTAAAATGTTTGTTTTTTGGAATCTATGAATCAAACAGGAGTGACAAGGGAGCTGAGATTCTCAGAAGAATAAAAAAAAACTTTTTCAGTCCCGAGATTGGTACCCGAAACTCCATAACCTCATCGACAAGTTTACCTGCAATTCGCGGATTGAAACGGTACAAAAAAATAAAATATTTATGGAAGAAGATTTTCAGCCGGTGCTACGGGGACAACACCATATCCTTCACGCCAACATCGTCGTGACTCAGAAAAAAGGAGGTCCTGACAATTTTGAATTCTGTAGATACTGAATCGTTGAACTCAACGGAGAAGTTCAAAAAAATATCAGTTTTAGCCGGCCAATTCGGCGACGTCTACCGAGCGATGCTGCACCCATCCACCAGCCCCAAAGACCATTGGATCCAGTGTTCCGTCCAGAAGGCAAGAGGCGCGATGTCGCCCGAGCAGGCCACGAAAGACTTCCGCGAGGCAATGCTACTCCGCGGCATCGTCCATCCGAACCTCGCCACGATCCACGGCATCGCCGACCTCGAAGATCCCGTCATGGTCGTCTATGAGCTGGTCCGAGGCGGGTATATCAAGGTTTGTGACGCTAAGCATGACTGCCAAGTCCTGCGCAAGTTGCTCTGTCTTTGGGGACCATCGCATATTTCTGGGCGCGATATCGCGTTTCTCTCGCGCTCAAAAAATAAATTGAAAGTTTCAAAAACGCGATACCACTGCATTTACAAAGCAGCACTTTTTCGAGGTCTTTAATGTATCGACAGGACTATTTTCTAATAAAGATGACTGCCTAGTCCGGCGCGATAGGAAAGCGTTGACAAACTCGCAAACATGTCGCTCTGTCATCGCGTGGTTCTCGCGTATTTCTAGGCGCGATATCGCTTTTCTCCCGCACTCAAACATTGTTTGAATGGGAGGTTGCTGAGAAAGGAGCGATATCGCGTCGAGCGAGGAAAATTCAAGACGATCTCTCCTCTCGCATTTTCCAAGCGCGACATCGCTTTTCTCTCGCACACAAAAATTTTCCAAGTGTGAGGTCGAGCTGAGCAAAAAACGATATCGCGCCGTGGTGAATTCCGGCATTTACTAAGCGCAAAATCGCACTTCTCTCGCACTCAAAAAGTATCCAAATGGGAGAGAAAAGAGCGATATTGTGCCGCAGAAAATGCAAGACCGGCGCAGCGAAAAATTAGCACTTTTGCGATATCGCCTTCAGTAAAGATGAATGCTTAGTCTGGCGCGAGAGAAAAGCGTTTACAAAAAAATCTCTCCTCTCGCATTCCCAATACGCGATATCGCATTTGTCTCGCATTCATAAAGTTCGAGGTCGCGCTGAGCAAAAAGCGATATCGCGCCGTGGTGAATTCCGGCATTTACTAAGCGCGACATCGCATTTATCCCGCACTCAAAAAATGTCCAAATGGAAGGTCGCGCTGAGAAAAAAGTGGTATCGCGTTGCGGAAAACGCAAGACAAGCGCAGCTGAAAAGCAGCACTTTTGCGATGTCGTCAATCTAGTTTTCCTTGTTGAAGGGGTCAAAAAAAATTCAGTAACGTTTTCGAAATTGTATGATATCCATCCTGAACCTTCGTAGCAGTTCTGAAAAATTAAAAAATCAACAGATACGAACAAAAAGACGTGATTATTCGAATCTTCAGAACTATCTGTCCCGACATCCGTCATGTGCCATGGAACAACTGATTTCGTATTGCGCCGACGCCGCATCCGGGATGGCTCATTTGGCCAGTAGAAATGTACTTTTTCCTTTCACTTTAGATGGATAAAATTTGTTGATACCATTATTCAGATTGTGTTCCGGGACTTGGCCGCCCGAAATTGTCTTCTTTCGGACACGGGCGCTCTGAAAATCTCCAACTTTAGCATGGCTCTCAACAACAAGAATGTCCAACGGGAAGCCCGCCTTCCTACCGCAATCGTCAAGTGGATGTCCCCGGAAACATTGACCAAGGTTTTTCAGGATACCGCGACGCGACCGCAACGCTTCTAAAAACAACTCTAGAGTAGGCCCTAGAGGGGCTAGGGAAAATTAACAGCCCCTATAGGGGACCAAATAGTGATCCCTATGGTGATTCGAGGTCTGTATTTTAAGCCACTTAAGCTTAAGTGGTCCCAATGGGGGTATTTTAATTTTTTTTTTTCAATGGGCGTATAAGAACCATCAGAATGCTTTCCTAGAGTGGTAACGTTTACAAACCCCTATAGGGTTAGGTAAAGTGGTCACTAGAGGGGGATCTTGAAGGACTCGTAAGCTTGTCCCTACAGGGACCACTCTGGCGTTCCTAATCAAGATATTTTGTGAGTTCACCGCCGTAACTTGGAATAACGGAAAACTTCGTATTTGAACTTCTTTTTAGTATACCTGTAAACCAACTTTTACGGTTTTTGAGCTGAAATTTGTAAAGGACAGAATGAAAATCCATTGCGTGGGGCTCCTGTATCATTCACAGGCTTTTCAGGGTATCTTCAACGAAAAGACGGACGTTTGGTCGTTCGGCGTACTCGTTTGGGAGATTTTGCATCGTTGCTCCAGTGAACCTCTGCCCCTTCTGGCCAACAGGGAAGCGGCGAACGCTATCGCGGTTAGTCTGAGCCATCGAAAAAAAAGGGTCCTGACACGAAAAGAAAAGAGACCACGCCCTCTTAGCCTCCCAAGCTAGCCGTGAATCGGCTATATCTATCATCACTAGATTATTTCAAATTATGTAATTTTTTGAGTCATATTTATCGCAACAGACATCGTAAACGCTTTCACGGTTTTATCTTGGCCAAAATACCGTATACCTTTGGATTGAAGGTCTTGAAGCGAAGCACGCAGAAACGCGTAGGTCTTGAAGCGAAACACACCAAAAAGCTTGGTGTACTGTGGCTTTTTCAGTTTTTTTAATTCTGGCGAGTTTGCGCGGGATGTTGTTTCACTTCAAATGTCACACACTGTTGAACTTCCTATAGTGTACAGATTTTGAATTTCAAGTCATAGCTCAAGCTTCGCCCATAATGACGCCATAAACCAATCAAAGAGCGAGCCACCCACAGAGAGTTCTCGAATGACGTCATTGGACTTGACAATTGAAACTTGAGCCGACCATATCAATTTTTTTCTAATTTTTATCACTTTTTCAAATTTTTCAGAAAGGAAATGTGACGCTACGGGCGCCGAAAGAGGCACCGGAACTCATTGAAAATACGATGACGATGTGTTTGAACCGGGTGAGGATGACAATTTTTTTAATTCGAAATTTATAGATATCTCTGTAGAAAAAATCCAGAAGAACGGTATTTTTATGGAATTTTTCATTCAAATCCGATTAATTTCATCGACTTAAAACGGCAATTAGTTCTCATTTTCATACAAAATCCGTGAAAAGTTTTAAATTGGCTGCAAAAAAACACTTTTCGCCAACTCAGTCAAAGTCGGAATGGTGGATAATGGCCGCTGAAAGGGAAAGGCTCAAAAAAGGCTGTAGAAAGGTTGCAAAAAGGCTGCAAAAAGACAGCAGAAAGGCTGCGAAAAGGCTGCAAAAAGGCTGCAAAAAGGCTGCAAAAAAGCTGCAAATAGAGTCCCTTTATCGAGCCTTCCATTTTTCCTGGGATTTTTAAGGCTCAAGAAATGGTGAAAAATGGGAGAGACAGCATAAATGGTGCATAATTGCCGTTAAAATGGCCCAAAAAGGCAGCAAATAGGGAAATTTTCTATGGAGCCTTTTCCGACCATTTCGACCAATAAAAATCCAGTACTTTTTCTTCTATTCAGGACCCCGAGAAGCGACCAACGTTTGCCGATATTCTGAGCTCCCTCCGACCTGACGACACCTTCAATCTCCTGAACCTCACATGTCAAACCCCGCCGGTCGCAATCAATTCCTGTCGCACGGCGGCGATCTCTCCAAAAAGTCTGATGGTGGCAGTCCAGCCGTCTCCATCGACGACGACGTCTCCGTCGATGATGACGGCCCTGACGACTCCCTCGCCAGTCGCCACGACGCCAGCCATACCAAGCCCCAAGGCGACAACGCCGACGAACGTCGGTCCGCCTCTGCAGAAGAAAGACTCCGATCCCAAGCAGCGTCCGACCAAGGAGAAGACGATCAACGACAGTGTCCTGGGCGCCTCCCCGCTACCCCCGACGACGCCGACGAACGTCGGTCCGCCTCTGCTGAAGAAAGACTCCGATCCAAAGCAGCGTCCGACCAAGGAGAAGACGATCAACGACAGTGTCCTGGGCGCGCTACCTCCACCCTCGCCCAAGGTCAAGCCGAAGCCACCGCCGGTGAAAGCGCCAGCGAGAAAGCCGGAGGAAGACGACGACGAGTCGTACGACAGCGTCGAGGAGAACGACAACAAGTCCGTCTCCCTGTACACTGAGGATACGGATGTCGAGTCGGCCTTGCCCGTTGATCGCCCTCGGAGGAAGCCCTGATTGATTTGTGGGTTTTCTTTTTCGGTGTGTAACCATAGCTCCGTTTTCGAGAACTTTTGGAAAGGTCATGGTTTTGGGGGGAGGGGGGGGGGATTCTTAGGAACTCCAGAGTGGCCCCTCTAGAGGTTAGGAAAGAAAAGAACCCTCTAGGGGCCTAAGAGTGGTCCATATAGGGGTTCAAAGTCTAACCCTTAGCCCCTAAAGCTCAAGTGGACCCTATAGGGGTCTTTCAATTTCACTCAAAAAACCCTTATTTTTTCCGTTTTTCTCATAGAAATCTTCGCTTCATAACAATTATCGACTAGCATGCCCCTATAGGGACCACTTTTTCAAGCTTTATTGGTCCCTATAAGGGTTGGTAAAGTGGCCTAAGTTCAGCTTTTATTTCAGTTAGAGGGTTGATAGACTAATTAGTAACGTCATTAGGAAGCTAGAAGTTTTATCACGCTTCTAGAATTTTTTCGGGGGTTTTAATATTTTTAGGATCTTTATTATGTGTGAGAAGGTGTTGAATGATGAATAACTTTTGTAAGATTTTTGAAATTTAATGACTTTTTCGGGCTTTTATAGCGTTATCAAGGTCCTAGCGAAGTTTTTTTAGGTCCAAGATTTTTTTGACATCAATATTCAGCTTGTAAGCCAACTAACTTTTCAGCATCAAGAAAATATGATTATTTTCAGTCTTTTTTTCAGCATCAAGAAAATATGATTATTTTCAGAGCCTCCCTGGTCGACGATGACGCAATTTTCTTCCAATTAATTTCAAAAGCCAATTATCCTGCATGTTTTCTGGTCCATAAATCAAGTTGTTTCTCTCTAGAATTTTTATTTTTCTCAAATTTCTTTGTGCATGGATTCTGGATGTGTTGGAACGGTGTCGAAAGCTTCGCTCATTTGCTTCAGAGAGGGTGGTCGACAGGAGCTGAGGCTCTGGAATCGGATCGTGTCGTAGTAGTTGATGTCGAGGTGGCCGATGATGTCGTGACGGTGGAGGCGTCGGCCTGAAGTCTTTTTTTTGGAATTGGGAAAATTTGAGGGCTCTACGGCCACGTGGAAGTTTGCAACGTGTGGAGGTTCAAAAAAACCGGGCGAGGCCCTTTTTTTGGAGTCTGAAAGGTGCAAGGGCTTCAGAGCGAGGTGAGAGAACTCGGAAAAAATGGCCCAGGGAAAAAATTTCACTCTGCTCCCCAAGTTCGCATTCAGAATGGCTCAATGCGTCGCGGTCACGCTGCGGCTCGACTCAGAAGCTCGACGCTTACAGTTCGTTTTGAAGTCTGACGCGCGCAAGCCGCTTTTGGTCGGTTCATGCTCCTAAAACTTCAGTTATAATCTTTGAAAAATGTTCGTTAAATCATCTATTTCTAAGTTTGCAACGTCAGGAAGTTCAAAAAAAAAAACCGATCGAGGCTTTTTTTCTGGATTCCATCGGTCTTGGTCAAGTCTTTGGACCTTCTGGTCGCATTTAGAATGGCTCGACGCGTCGCGGTCGCGCTGCGGCTCGACTCAGAAGCTCGACGCTTACAGTTCAAGTGTCATGTTTTGAATGCCGACGCGCGCAAGCCGCTTTTGGTCGGTTTATGCTCCTAAAACGTTATAATCTTCGAAAAATGTTCGTTAAATCATCTATTTCTAAGTTTGCAACGTCAGGAAGTTCAAAAAAAAAACCGATCGAGGCCTTTTTCAGAATTTAACCGTCCTTGTTCAAGTTTTTGCATTTTCTGGTCGCATTTAAAATGACTCGACGCGTCGCGGTCGAGAAGTACTGGATTTTTATTGGCAAACTAAGTTCTGAGTAGGTTTTTGATGATTTTAGGCGATATTAGGGTTCAAAAAGGCTTCTGAGAACTTTAAGACGAACCTTTATAAAAAAGAGCCTTTCCGACAAGGGATTTATCGTGAATCGCTGAACAGCCAGCCACTTCGGCCCAAATTTTCTCGACCCGGTCTTTTTTGCTGACTACTATCGGTAGTGCCACGCCGCGGTCGTTCTGAAGAAGGTTGGTTTTTATGTGAAAAGTCAGATTTTTGGTTTAGAGATCCAGAAAAAAAACATTTCAGAGAGGCATCGGTTTGAGGCTTTTTGAATTAAAAATAAGGATATTTTCCAAATTTCAAGTGTAAAATTGAGATTAGAGAGGTTTAGTTCGAGGTTTTTTTGTACTTCAAAAATTATCTAGAAAGTCCTTGGAACCTTATTTTTTTGACTAGATGTACCCTCTTGGGAGCTCAATAAATCACGGCGTTTTTTTGGATTTTTCCCGTAAAGTTTAGTGTGTCTTATGCATACACCGCGCCGCTCTGGCAAACGTCGCGTTCAACTTAATTTTCGCGAAATTCAAAATCATATCTAAATTTCTGAAATTTAGTTATATTTTTCACTCTCTGGTGGCTATTTTGAATTTCGCGAAATTAGTTTCAACGCGGCATGTGTTTTAAAACAAAACAAAAACAGAAGAATCGCGTTTTTTTAAATGAGGGATAGATTCGTCTCATGACCCATTGAATGCGCCTTTAATATTTCCTGTTGTTTACTCGTTTTTCCCATGACATCACATCGGAACGGCGGAGGTTTTGACCACGGTTTTGCATTTTCTTCCACTAACAAATCGCCGTGTGAAGTTAGAATAATTTGTTGAAATTTTCGATTTTCGTGCCTTTCTGTAGGGACAGCTGTCTCATCGGCTGTAAAATCTATCTTTTAAAAGTTTATTTTTCCCATATTTTTGATTTTAGAGCCTTTAAATACATTTCAGATGACCAAACCTTGATATAAACCAGCATAGTGTCCAGGTTGACCGACATTTTGGGCAGCAAATGAAATGTTTTGCTTCGAGACAAGAAAAAAAACGTCTTTATCACAGTTGCACTTTGTATTTATACATGTAGGAGAGTTGAAAAACACCATCTTATCGGTCAGACGTCGGCGGCCAAGTTCTGCGCGGCTAAATCGACGGCTTTGGGCTCAGTTTGCGTGAAATCGGGCTCGCTGAGCTGCTTTGGCGGCAGCGGATTGTGAGGCTTTAGGGATTGGAGCTTAATCGTGTCGTAGTGCTGGATCCCGACCTCGCCGACGACGTCGTTCCGCTCCAGGCGACGTCCTGAACGTTTTATTTTTATTTTTTGGTCTCCTTAGAATTGGAATTCATTTCACTTTCTGGTTGGGAATTTCCTGAAAATTGGCCAGATCTTTCTTGGGTGTACCAGAAGCCAATACTGAAAATCTCAACCTGCAAAACTCCCTAGTTTTTGAGAAATAACGACTCAAAGTTTCAAAATTGCCTATTTTAACGGATTCTGAAGGTTTTCCTTGACTTTAAGGCGTCTTTTCTCAAAAACTAGAGAGTTATGCAAGTTAAAACTTTCAGAATGTTCATCTGGTATATCCAAAAAGAATTTGGCCAGTTTTCAAGAAAATCCGAACCCCAAAGTGAAATGGCCTCCCTTGCCAGAAGTTCAATATTTTATTGATTTTTCCTAATTTTTCTTATGATCAAAGCACGTAAAAAAATTTAAAAAAAAAGCTTCTTGAGATTTCGTTAGCCATGATCGCATGTGGAATGGCTCAAAGCGTCGCGTAAAAACAGTTAGCTATACCAACTATTTTTTTATACAATTTCCCGTACTTGATCATAATTTTTTCAATAATTTCGAATAAAAAAGCAAACCTCGATTAAATAATGCCTTGAAGCATAAGGATCCTTCATGAAGAGACGAACAACCGGCCATTTCGGACCATATTAATTCGACGCGGTCGGTTTTTTTGATATACATTGGTAAGGTGACACCTCGGTCGTTCTGAATTGGTTGGTAAAGTGGTTAGAAGGCTTGGATGAGGATAAAAGGGTCGCTGGATCGTATCCTGGCCCCATTTACTTATAAAATTCGCCCTTTTTATCATTTTCAAAGACAAAAACTAAATTATTCAATAAAATGAGAGAATAAATTAAATAACCAAGCTTCTTCAATCAATAAAAATTTTCAAAACCATTAAAAAAAAAAATGAAAAAACCCAAACCTTTATGTAGACAATCATATTTTCCAAATCGGTCGACATATTTCCGAGAAACTTCCCCTAAATAGGGACTTTCAATAAGGAAGTAGAAAAAAGACCAACAGCGAATGTTTATAAATAACGTTTTTTCAAGAATCAAAATGTTATCACCACATTCTTGCCGTCTTTTCCAATACATAATACACCATTCACTCAATAATTGATAAGTAGAAAACAGGGGAAAACCTCGTGGTTGGTTTTGAAATTACACGGTCTTTTTTTTGGTGGGACAATAGCGTTGTTTGTTTGTTTTGTTGAAACTCGGTGGAACGTGTCTTATTTTATACCAAAGTTAAACAGATTGTACTGATGGAGAAATGAGAAAAATCAATAAAGGAAGCATGATTGTGCTCAAACTGTTGGTTTTTCATCATTATCTCAAAATTTGAATTTGATTATCCCGCCAAATTATGAACCAAGCCTATAAAAGTCCTTTTTTCATTGTATTTAATATTTCTGGTGTGTTTTCTGTATTAATTTCCGAGTTATTCATTCAATAAAGTGAGAACGTTCTTTTTAAACGTTCCGACACTCCGTCGTTCGCGCGTAAACACCGGAGTGACGTCACGAGACTGCTGCGTCGCGTGATTTTCGGAGCAATGTTGCGCGCCGGAGACTCTTTTTCGGCGCCATTTGAATTTGGGTTTCGAAAAATAACCACTTTTTGTTTTCTTTTCTCGTTTCTTGTGTTATCTTGTTGTTGTAATTGATTTTCTGCTCGGAGAATGCATGACAAATGGGGCGAGAGAGAAAAATTGCTCAGGGACTTTTCATTCCGAGCACATGACTTGTTTTTGTCCAATTTTCCCTGAAGTTTGAGCTCAAATTTCCTTTCAATAAACTTTACGGCTCGGGTTATGGATTGAAAAGGAACTTACGAGTAACTAAACTGTTGAAAGAAGTTAGGAAAGTTTAAAAATTCGAAAAAATTTATTTTTTTTTGATTTGATAATAAAATTTTAATTAAGTTTTTTTTTTCCAGCAAACATTTACTTTGTTCTTTGATCAAGCATTCTCCGAGTTTATATCATGTTCTTGTTTTCAAACTATTAGCAATTCTTCAAAAAGTTATGGAATTTCAAAAAAGTACAAATACAAAATACAACAGTTGTTTTGCCTCCATTTTATTTCGAAAAAAAAAACTTTTCAGCTCTCACAGAAAGTGATATTTTTTGTATTTCAATAATGCTTTTGATTCTCGGTAAAATAGGAACAAGAAAAACATTACAATAAGTGCATTTTGAACAACAGGGAAGCCGCAAAAAAATACACTTTGAAACTTTGGAAAAAGCTTTTTCAAATATATTTTTGAGTGATTTTTTTTCTACTGATTTTTTGCCTACTTCTTTGAGTTATAGCATTAAGAAGGCTGATAAAGTATTTGTGAAGAAGATATTTCGAGATTTTAAGTTTTATTTTTTAGGAGATTCCATGCTCCTTTAAAATTATGAGCCATGATTTTCTAAGAGCTTATCCAAACATTTTTGTGGATGGGAGAAAACGGGACTTGCTGCGAAACCGAAATCATCACTATTTCAGAGCAACATTATATAGTTTGCGTTTTGAAGCATTTTCCGTTGTTCAGTTGATCTTAATCGCCTACGAGTTGAATTAATGTCGCGTTCGATATAGAAATGTTTTGTTTTTAAAATAAGATAGCATCTGAGCTTCTCTATTGCGTAATAATCTGAGAAAACGGAACTTTCTTCAAAGTTTAAATTAGCACTGTTTCAAAGCAAATTTGGCACGTCAATGAGCACTTTTTCGCGTTTTGAAATATTTTCCATAACGCGAATCGGAAGTGTCGGGAAATTTCTAGTAATCACTTTAGTGGCGTCTGCACTTTTAAGTGATCCCTAGAAACGTCCTGTTTGAGTTATCATGTTCCGATCATTTTCATTTTGCGCTTCTTTAATTTTAACGAGTTGAGTTTGTGTCGCGTTTGAAAAAAATGTTTTATTCTGAAATTATGAGCGAAGATTTTTTAATAGTATCTGAACCTCTTCATTGCGTATTGATTTGAGAAAACGGAACTTGCTTCAAAATGCTCCGAAATTAAAATCAGCACTGTTTCGGAGAAAATTTGGCACGTCAATAAGCACTTTTTCGCGTTTTGTCACATATTACGTTTCTAATTTGATCCCCGGACCTTAGTATAGGTTATTCCGTGCCAGCTTGTCACAATTTTCGGTTCCCTACGAGCTAGGGAATCATTCCGTTCGAAGCCCGCGTCTTTTATTTGGCCTAAAATTTCCGTTCTATTAAAGACGCAGGCACGCATCGAAGGGAATGGTTCTGTAGCTCAGAGCAATATGAAAATCGTGACAAGTTGGCGCGGAACGAGCTCAAACGGGTCTAGTGACCGCTTAAGCAGCGTTCGCACTCTTAAGTGATCCCTAGAAACTTCCGAATAACTTTTCTCTCTCATTATTTCGTTGATTCTGTACGCGTTTGATAAATGATTGATTATTTATGTTGTTTCAGAAACTGGGAAATCTCTGAGCCCCGCGGGTTTCTTTTCATTGTGTGAGTGAGTGAGAGAGTGAGTGTGTGCGAGCGTGATTTAATACAACAAGAACAACAACGACGACAATCAACGGGAGACAGCCGGAAGAAAAAAAAAACTTTCTTTTCCTGAAATTAATTCGAGGAGAGGTGTAGCAACACGATAAAAATCAAACAATCAAAAATGGCATCGACGGCGACAATCTCAATGCTTGAAGAGGCTAAAGCCCAGTTCATCCATGGCGAAAAGCTCAATGTTCAGCTCCTTGACCAGGTTCGAATTTGCTCCATTTTCGTTTTTGTATGAAATTTGAGCAGTTTATTGGAGATTTTTGTATAACTTAAGACAATAATTTCATGGTTCGAGGGACTTTTTTTTTTATCATTTACCTAGTCGTATTTTACGTTTTTTTTTTTTAAAGCGTAGTTTATTTCTAGTTTTGCTAGGGTTGATTGAGCAGTTTCTTGAAAGCTTTTGAGTAATCTAAGTTCATTTTCGACGTAATTTTAATAATTCTATGATTCATAGTTGAATTTTGCGATTCTTTTTTAAGCGTAGTTTATTTCCAGTTTTTAGTGATATCTTTGCAGTTTTCTGACGCCCTTTGGTTTGCTTAAGTTAAGTTTTGACGCCTATTTGATGTTTTTATGATTCAAAGACTTCAATAATTTTCCTAGTTTTTTCTCGTAAATTGAAAAGTTGGATTTCTCGTTTTAATAGAAAGATCCGTCTATTTTTGGGTTTTGAGACATTTTCAAGCGGTTTCTTGAAAGCTTTTGTATAATTTAAGTTCATTTTCGACGTAATTTCAATAATTTCATGACTCAAGAACCTTTTTTTCATTTTCCTAGCTTATCCCGGTTATATAGGTGATTTCAAAAGCTGGATTTTACGATTTCTCGGAAACGATTTTTAAAAATAGTTTTTGAGTCAAATTTGGGCAGTTTCTTGAAGACTTATGTATAATTTTAGTGCAGCTTTGACGCAATTTCTATAATTTTAAGCATCAAGAACTTTTCAATAAGTTTCCCACCTCTTTTTTTAGTAGTTTAAAAGGTTGGACTTCATTCTTTTTTTAGGTAGCTCATTTTTTACCATTTTCATCTTTCAGCCATCATTTTTTTGGAGCTTCTACAAACTTTTCAATTATTATTTAAGCTTTCTAAGATTAAAAAACAAAAGAAGTTTTGCCCTAACCTATTTTTTAGTATGTTTATTTTTATTTTTACTTATATCTACTTCTAGTATTTTGGAGAGCCTTTTGAACCCTGTGAAGATTTTTCAAAGAAGTTTTGAAAGCCGTGGAATTTTATAAGATGTAAGATGTTTGCAAGCTTTTTGTAAGATATTTTATAGTTCAGTATAGTTTTGAGGCTCATAAGTGTTTTTTCAATGTTTGACTATGACTTTAAATTAGTTTTTAGAAGAATTTATCATGAATTTTTGAGGGCTCTGAACATTTTTGAGCCATTTCGAGGTTAAAATCTCAAGAAAAGAACTATTTTTTCAGGTCGTGAACCTCATGAACACAGCGACTGGCGAAGATCAACGCAGAGCGAATCAAGTTCTTGTCGATCTCAAAGAAGATCCGAATGCCTGGACAAAAGTAAAAAGATTTGGAGAATAAATTAAAAAAGTAATTTTAGGTCGACGCAATCTTGGAATGTTCGTCCCTGAACGAATCCAAGTACTTTGGACTCCAAATTCTGGAGGGCGTCATTCAGAAAAAGTTTATTTTTTGAAGGGAATGGGATTTCGTTCAGTTTTTATTGATTTGCCTTGTTCAAAGTCTGTTTTTATGATGTCGGGAAAATTGGGTCCTGCAATGATTTGTGAATTTTACCCGCGAAACTTCGATATTTTGAAATTTTTTGGGCTTTTCCAACAAAATTTGAATTTATCGTGAAGTGCTCAATTTTTCTAAGGGCTCCCGAAATTCCAATTTCGCGAATAACTCGTCAATTTTGAAATCCCCGAAATCAACCAGAAAACGGCATTAATTCCAACTTTATTTAACTAAAAAAATTTAGGTTTTTGTTCATTTCAGTGTTTTTTTATGCCGTTTAAAAAAATTGGGTCCTGCAACGATTTGTCGATTTTACGCGCGAAACTCTGATTTTTTTAAATTTGTTCGGGTTTTTTTAAACAATAATTTCAAATTTTCGTTGAAGAACCCAATTCCGATTTTTCTATCGGTTCCCGAAATTCAAATTTCTCGAATTAAGCGACAATTTTGAAACCCCCAAAATTAACCAGGACACGGCATTCAGTCTGTATTTTTATGCCGCTGAAAAAAATTTGGGTCCTGCAACGATTTGTGAATTTTACGCGCGAAACTCTGATTTTTGAAGTTACTTGGGCATTTTTCAAAGAAAATTTCAAATTTTTTAACGGTTCCCGAAATTCGAATTTTGCGACATACGCTTCAATTTTGAGATTCCTAAAATCACTCTGAACATGGCCTTGATTCCACCTTAATTTGATCAGAAATTCAAGTAAATCTCGCCAATTTCCAGATGGAAATCACTGCCCAACATCCAACGCGAAGGAATCAAGTCGTTCATCGTCAACATGATGCTCAAATTGAGCTCCTCCCACGTGGAGATGCAGCTGAACGCCTTGTTGCTCCACAAATTGAACCTGGTCTTGGTTCAGGTGTGCATTTTTCGGAATTCTACTGGATTTTAACTCGTTGAACTTGATGGAAACTGAAAAATGATGCAATTTTTGAAAAAAAACTGAAAAATTGTAGGATAATTCGAACTAAATTTGCCTTTTTCTTGTAAATTATAACGTTTACTTGGTTCAGGTGGGGATTTAAGAAAGAAATTTTGAGGTTTCATGAGGTTTTAACTTGTTGGACTTGATGGGAACTGTGAAATGATGCAATTTTTGGAAAAAAGGAAAATTTTGAAACGGGTTTTCAGTGGTATAATTCATGAAAAATCGATCATTATTCAATTTTTTATGTAATTTTCGACCTTTCCCTGTCGAAATTGATGGAAAACCGAGAAATGTTGCAATTTTTAAGAAGAATGACTAATTTTGGAGCTTTATTTCAGTGGTAAGTGTTAAAAAATGTTAATGATTTGACAGTTTTCGGGTGATTTTTCGCTCTAAGGATATTTCGAACTAAATTTGCCCTTTTTCTTGTAAATTTTAACGTTTACTTGGTTCAGATGTCCCTTTTCGGAAAGATTTTCGGAATTTTATAGGATTTTAACTTGTTGAACTTGATGGGAACTGTAAAATGATGCAATTTTTGAAGAAATTGTATGAAAATTTAATTAAGATTCGACTTTTTCGTGTAATTTTCAACGTTAAAAAAAAACTCTTGGTTCAGATGTCCCTTTTCGGAAAGATTTTTCGAAATTTTTATAAGATTTTTAACTTGTTGAACTAGATGTAATATGAAAAATGATGCAATTTTTGAGATATAATGCGAAATTTTATGATAATTCGATCAAAATTTGCCTCTTTTTTTTTCGTAATTGTTCACTTTTTAACTGGTTGAACTTGATGAAAATCAAGAAATGATGCAAGGACAATTTGAGGGAAAGACAATTTTCGGAACGATTTTGCAGTGGTAATATTTGTGAAAATTCAATCATTTGACGGTTTTGAGTGATTTTCAACATCTGAGTGGTTCAAGTGTTGAATTTGAGAAGCATTTTGAACCTTCATAAGATTTTAACTCGTTGAACTTGATGGGAACTGGAAAATGATGCAATTTTAAAGGGAAGGGCAATGTTTGGAACGATTTTTTAGGGATAGTTCTTGGGAAAATTCAATCATTTGAAGGTTTTATGTGATTTATAACCGTGTAATGGTTAAGGTGTAAATTTTGGGATGTAATTTTGAACTTTATAAGATCTTAACTCGTTGAACTTGATGGGAACTGGAAAATGATGCAATTTTCGAGAAAAACTGAAAAATTTTATGATGATTCGATCAAATTTTGCCTTATTTTTCGTAATTGATTACTTTTTAACTCGTTGAACTTGATGAAAACTGTAAAATGATGCAAGATTAAACTTTTGAAGGATCCATGAGTTCTCTGTTGTTCAATAATTTGTTCAGATTGTGAAGCAAGACTGGCCGAAGAACTGGCCGACGTTCATCACGGACATCGTCGAGTCGTCGAAGAGCAACGAGACGGTCTGCGTCAACAACATGAACATTCTCAGCTTGCTCAGGTCCTCGATTTGAGCATTTTTGAGACGCTTTTCATGTCTTGTTCTGTAATTTGGAAACTCTCGCGTTATTCGTTCAAAATGATATCGCGAAAAAGGCAAAATTAGGAATTCCAGAGTTGTGCCTACAGAAATGAGGGGCCGAAAAAGTGGTCCCTATAGGGTTAAAATCAAGGTGGTTCCTGAAAGGGTTCAAGGTCTGACCCCTTAGCCCCTAAACCTCAAGTGGACCCTACAGGGGACTTTCAGTTTCCTTCAAAAAAGGATTTTTCATTCAGTTTTTATCATGTAAATGATTCCACGCTCAGACTTGATAACAATTATCGACCAGCCTGTCCCCTATAGGGACCACTTTTGCAAACTTTGGCGGTCCCTATTGAGGTTGGTAAAGTGGTCCCCAGAGGGGACCCTCCAAGAACACTTAAGGTTGCCCCTATAGGGACCACTCTGGAGTCCCCTAGTCCGGAAGCCGCACAATGATTTTTCGCGGTGTGTAGATTTTTACGGCGACTTTTTCACGCGAATTTGAAGTTTTTGTTGAGTTCGAATTTTGCCCATTTCGTGAAGTCATTTTAAACGAACGCGTCAATTTTGAAATGCCCGAAATCAATATGAACACGGCATCACACCCAGGGATTTTTCGAACTTAAAACCTTTTAATTTTCTGAGTTTTGTTGATTTTTTTTGCTGGATTTTCCTTGATTTTATTGGTTTTCTAGTTTTTCAATAGGTAGTTGAAGCGCATTTTTTAGTTCTAACCCTTTCGAAAATTGATTTTGAGCTTGAACTTCTTATTTTAAAACAAGAAAATAAGAATTTTGAGGTTTATTTTTCCACGATTTTTTTCTAAAAATTTTAGGCCCACATATTTTTGGCAAAAACATTTTTTTCATCATGAAAGTCAAAAGTTTTGTGGATCGAGATGAAAAAAACTTATGAAAATGAGGATATTTCTTCGATTTTCAGCGAAGAAGTGTTCGATTTCGGCGCCCAGAACCTGACCCAGGCCAAGGAACAGTACCTGAAACAGCAGTTCTGCGGCCAATTCCAAGAAGTCTTCACCCTTTGCCTGACTATTTTGGTAAAGAGTATAAATTAAAAAAATTAAATATGATTTTGCAGGAGAAATGCCCGAGCAACAGCATGGTCCAGGCCACTTTGAAGACCCTCCATCGCTTTTTGACCTGGATCCCGGTCGGATACGTCTTCGAGACGAATATCACCGAGATTTTGAGCGAAAATGTTGGTCGATCTGTGGGGGAAATGATCTAAAAACATATTTATGGGCCTTAAAACATGATCAAAAAGGGATTTTAACACAACTTTCAGTGGAAATGTTGGTGGCTCTGTAAGAAAAATGGTCTAAAAAAATTAGTGAAAATTTAGGTGGATTTGTGGGTTAAATGATCTGGAAATTTTTTTTTATTTATGAGCTTTAAAAAATTATCAAGAGGGTTATTATTAGAATTTTCAGTGAGTATATAGGTAAATCTTTAGAAAAAAAAGATATCTAGAAAGTTATTTATGGCGCTCAAAACATGATCAAAAAGGGATTTTAACACAACTTTCAGTGGAAATGTTGGTGGATCTGATGGAAAAAAAAATTATGGGTCCTAGGGTTTTGTTAGGGTTATTAACAGAGCTTTCAGCGGGAATATAGGTGGATCGAGGGAAAAAATTGATCTGGAAAATTATTAATGGTGCTCAAAAAATGATCAAGAGGGTTATAGTCTGTGTGACATGACTTGATATTTCACCGAACGACATTCCGCTGTTCGGCTAGGTGCGTTTGCGAAGCGTCTTTGCGAGCCTCGGTCTCGCTTTGAACTGGTTCTCATTTCTGATAGGTGGGATGTTCCACTAGGAAAATTTGTTGGTCGAGTTCTTAAATAAAATGAAAATTTAAAGGCACGCAGCGGAACAGCGGAATGTTGGATATTTTTTTAATCTCGAAAAACTAATATTTAAATCATTTTTTTGAAGAGATTAGAGGGGAAGTTTTGGTATTTTTTTCGTGGAAAAATCTATTATGAGGACTTTCTGGGAAAATGATCTAAGCAAGAAAAAATTCTGCCTCCAAACCATATCTAGATGGAGGATTTAAACTGAGCTTTTAAGTGGAACTTTCGATATTTTTCGTCGAAAAAATAATCTATTAATAGAACTTCGAGTGGAAAAGTTGGTACTTTTCGTAAAAAAATCAAGGAATTTTTTTGGTTTTTAAAAGAAAAAAATCATTATGTTTATAAATTGAAAGTTTTTGAACTTTCGAGATCATTCTTGATCTTATGAGCTTTGAAAAAAATAAACAATATTTTTTTCTCCAGTTCCTCTCGCTGGAAGTCTACCGCGTGGTGACCCTCCAATGCCTGACGGAAATCTCGCAAATCGCCGTCGAACACTCGGATCGAGTTTATTCCAGCAAACTCATCAACATGTTCGTCGCCACCATGAAGGAGGTGGGAATCCGGGAAAAATTTAGGGATTTTCAGAAAATTTGAAAAATGCAGATTTTTTTATGCTGAAAAATCGGCGAAAGTAGTCATTCGTCTATATGAATATTCAAAGAACTTTCAAAAAAAAGAAAAAAAATACAAGGTTCCAGTATTTTTAGTTAGCAACATTTTTGAGTAAGTTCAAGTGAGATTTTTGAAAAAAAGCGGTTTTTCAGCACAAATTTTGTTTATATGAGAAGTGAGGTATGAAAATTATAAAATATCCCGGTTTTTCGAGGGCTCGATACCGTTGGAAAAAAAGTAATGAAAAATCTAGCGAAACGGGCCTTTTTGAGGCTTTTTTTAAACGAAAAATTGAATGTTTTTTTGAAAATTTGAGGTCGATTTTTTAAAATTCACATCAAAAAAAATATTTTTTTAGGGAATGATCATGAAAATAACTTGTTGGAAAAAGTAGAAAAAAATAGTCTTTTTGATATTTTTTTGGGGCCGATTTCATTAAAAAAATTTGGAATTTTTCCCCGTCTGATACTTTCTGGACTGTCTTATGGTTCATTAAAAAAATTCCAGGGAACTTTAAAAAAATTCTAAAATCTTTTTGTTGGTAAAAGGTCGATTTTTTTGCAGATGGATAATCAGTTAGAAAGTGAGAAATTAGTTTTTGCGGAAAATGAAAGTTTCTTTTGTCTTAGGCTTCCGAGCCGTCTTCTGGTTCATGGAAAAAAATTACGGTGAATTAAAAAAAATTCTAAAAAAATCTTTGTTAAGAAAAAGGCCGATATTTCCTTTTTTCCATTTGAATAACTGGTTGGAAAGGTAGTGAAATAGGCTTTTTTTAATAATTTTGAGGCCTATTTTGTTAAAAATTAGGAATTTTAGCCGTCTGATACTTCCAGAACCGTCTTCTGGTGCATGGAAGAAATTCCAGTTGTTGGAAAAAGAGAAAAATAAACCATTTTGAGGCTATATTTTGCGAAAAATGGAAAATTCGCTGTCTTGAGCTTTCTGAACTGTCTTCTGGTACATGAAAAAAAGATCCAGAGAACTTTTTTTAAAAATTCAAAAAAATTTTTTTGTCAAGAAAAAAAGGCCGATATTTGCAGATAAGTCGCTTGGTGGAACCCAGCGCGGACCTTCAGAAAGCCTACAAAGTGGGAACCGATCAGGACCAGAAGTTCATCAGCAGCTTGGCCATGTTCCTGGTCGCTTTCCTCAAAGAACACGCGGCTCTGATCGAGGTGCCCGAAAAATCGTTCCCGGAAAAAGGAAGTTGATTTTGGCAGGTCACTGACCCGAACAGGAACAAAACTCTCTACGAGGTTCACAACTATGCGATGGAGCTGTTGCTCAAAATCAGCTTGGTCGACGACATCGAAGTCTTCAAGGTGATTTGGGGCGAATTTTCGGCTTTGATTCCATGTAAAATGATTTTCACATGTAGTTTTTGAAGAAAAATTTTTTTTTCAGGATACTTTTTCAATATAAACGAGAAAATTCGGATCTGAATCCATGTAAAATGATTTTAAGTATGATCTTTTCGGGGGTTTTTTGAAAAAGAAATTCCTATATCAGAAGATTTTCGGTCTTTGAACTGTAAAATTAGAGGAAAGACCTCTTTTTTGGAAATTGAGTAATATTAACCGAGGAATTCGGCTTCGGATCCATATCAAATGATTTTTAGGCAGATGTTTACATGCGATTTTTGAAAAAAAAAAAGCGTGTATTTGAAATTTTCCAAGTTTTTGATGGTGATTAGGGCAAATTTCGGATCTGAATCCATGTGAAATGATCTTTAAGTCGTCGGTTTTCAAAAAAAAAACAAGTGACATCTGAACCCTGAAATTCGGATAAGCTTCCAATTTTTGTTTTCCAAGATCAATTTTTGTAAAGTTGCCATTGATTCCTATGATAACAGAGCCCAAATATCTGAGGTTTCTCTTATATTTTTTTGAAAAAAATTTCGTTTTTATGACCTTTTTTTATGGAAAAAAAGCGTTCTTAGTTTTTAGAAAGTGTTCTCAGAAAAATTACTTCATGGAAAAGTCGAAAAATAAACCTTCAAACTAATTTTTTTTTGTCTGCAGACGTGCCTGGACTGCTGGTGCTGGCTGACGTCGGAACTCTACCGCATCTGTCCCTTCACCGGCCCGCCGCTGACTTTCGGGATGCTGGCCCTGTCGCCGTCCTACAACAACCCCCGTCGGATCCTCTACAAGGGACACTTGTCGCGTCTCAGATCCATCATGATCTCCCGCATGGCCAAGCCCGAGGAAGTCCTAGTCGTCGAGAACGAACAGGGCGAGGTAATCGGAAACCTGGAAATAATGAGCTTTGAGGGATCACTATAGGGATCTAGGTAGCCCGAGAATTCCCTGTAGTTGAGAACAAGCAGGGCGAGGTAATGATGGGGCTAACTAAAGAAACTTTAGAACTAATGATCCCTAAGTGATCATTTGAATGATCTAAGTGGTCACTCGAGTGGCCCGAAGATTCTTGGAGTTAAGAATGAACAGGGCGAGGTAAAGAACATCTGGAATACATGAGCTTTGAGGGATCACTATAGGGATCTAACCGGCTCGAAGAATTCCCTGTAGGTAAAAATGAACAGGGCAAGGTAATCGTAGGGCTGAGAGAAAAGAAAATCTGGGAAAAATGAGCTCTAAGGGATCACTATAGAGATCTAAGTGACCCGAAGAATTCCCTGTAGTTCAGAATGAACAGGGCGGGGTGATCGTAGGACTGAAAAAAAAAACGTTAAGGAAATGAGCGTCAACTGATCACTATAGGGATCAAAGTGGCCCGAAAATTTACCTGTAGTTCAGAATGAACAGGGCAAGGTAAAGAACATCTAGAAAAATATGAGCTTAAAGTGGTCACTTTATTGCTTCATAGAATTTCTGGTCGTCCAGAATCGGATAAGGTAGTTATGTGCTTCAAAAAAAAAGAAAAACATGCAAAAAAAAAATGATCCTTAAGGGATCACTAGAAAGATCAAAGTAGTCACTCAAGTGGCCCGAAGAATTCTTTGTAGTTGAGAATGAACAGGGCGGGGTAATTCATGTACTGAGAGAAAAGAAAATCTGGAATCAATGAGATTTGAGGGATCACTATAGGGATCTAAGTGACCAAAGAACTCCCTGTAGTTGCGAACAAGCAGGACGAGATAATCATAGGGCTGAGAAAAAAAAAACCTTGCAAAAATGAGCTTTAAGTGATCACTAATGCCTTATGTTCTTGAAAAGGAAAGAAAAACTGAGCTTTAATTGATCACTATATGGATCTAAGGGGCCACTAGAGTGGCCCGAAAAATTTCGAAAAAAGAAAATTTAGAAATAATGAGCTCTAAGGGATCACTATGAGGATCTAAATGGTTTATCGAAAATCCGAAAAAAAGTTTAAAGCGCACGAAGAAACTCTTGAAGTCCCATTCTTTGACGATTTACATGATTTCCACTTTAATGACCACTTATATCTTTCAATCGATCACTTAAAGTGGTAATGCTTGAAAAAGTAATCATGGGCTTGGAAAAAATAAGCTTCGAATAATTATCTTTTTTAGCGTAATCCATCTAAAATCACTTGCTGCAGTTTTTGAAAGACGAAAAACAATTTCCAGGTGGTCCGCGAGATCGTCAAGGACACGGATTCGGTGACGCTGTACCGCAACATGCGTGAAACTCTCGTCTTCCTGACGCATTTGGACACTCGGGACACCGAAGAGAAAATGACCGACCGATTGGCTACTCAGGTAATGGGAAAAGTCGTTTTTTGAACTATTTTCTATCTTGTTGTTCAATAATTTATGGTTTCATCTCCATTTTTAAATGTTAAACATGGCTTTTTCCGATTTTTGAGACGTTTTTCAAGAGTTTTATGTTAATCTTTAGCATTAAAATCGACTTTCTTCTCATTTTTTCGTGTCTGGAGAGAAAATTGAGATTTTCTCATAAACTTTGTGGATTTTGAATTGAATTTATTGAGTTCTATGTGTTTCCAGGTGACTGGAGACGAGTTCTCGTGGAAAAATCTGAACACCCTTTGCTGGGCGGTCGGATCGATCTCCGGAACGATGACCGAGGAAGACGAGAAGCGATTCTTGGTTTTGGTCATCCGAGGTGCGAAAAATGAAAAAGAAAGAAGTTATGAGCGTTTCTCCAGACCTTCTCGGCCTCTGCGAGCAAAAACGCGGAAAAGACAACAAGGCGGTGATCGCCTCGAACATCATGTACGTCGTCGGACAGTATCCGCGGTTCCTCAGGGCTCATTGGAAGTTCCTCCGCACGGTAAGGCGCTGAAAAATGGGGAAAATTTGTGGAAAAAGTGATGACAAAGTTGATTATTTTTTCTTCGTTTAAATCACGTAGCTAAAGAGAAATTTATAAGGGAAAGTAAATGAGATGAAGCAGAGGGAAAATTTAGAGCACAAAGCTTTGAAACGTTGCAAAGTTTAAACATTCAGAAATGATTTAGAAAAGAAGAAATTGAGGAAGTTTTATTGATTTAGTTGCGCGCGGTAAAAGCAAAAAAATAATGACAAAAATCTTCCGGAAAATTGAAGATGGAAGCTTGGTAGAGCTGCAAATAAGATCTTTGGAAAAGTTTGTAGGAAAGAAGAGGTCTTCAATTGATTTGCGATTGGTAGATGAGAAAAAGCGAAAATCAGTCGAGAAATCGAAGAAAAAAGAAAATCTGGAAACGTTGCTCATTTGATTTTTTGGAGTTTGAGTATCTCAATATGATTGTCCTCTTACTATAACAAAAGTTGCGGTGCATCCCGCGTCGAACCCTCGGTGCACCCCGCAGTGTAACCAGGGGTGTACCCCGTTTAGCTTGAAACGCCTTTTAAGGTACTTATTCCGTACACGTTTTCGAAAAGGTTCATTTTCCAATATAACTATTTTCTACTGTTTCACCCTGGGGCTTACGGTAGCTCAAAAAAAACTTTATTTTTGCCCCAGGGGTCCCGGGTCTGACCCGAAAACATCAAAGAAAAGTTCACTTTCTTCGGGGTACACCCTCATTTTTGTACGTAGCAAAAGAAAACTCAAGAAGAGTGTGAATTTTTTTTTGCGCGATGAGGCGTTAACACATAAAAAGCTGAGATAAGGAAACAAATTTGTCAAAATGTCGAAAAAACTGAAAGTTGATCTTTCAAAGGTCACATTTGGCCTCTCACGCTTTTCGATTTGCAATTTGAAAAATTTTGATCGATTTTGCTGAGTTTTTCGTTTGTAGGTGATCAACAAGCTGTTCGAGTTCATGCACGAGTCGCACGAAGGCGTCCAAGACATGGCCTGCGACACTTTCATCAAGATCGCCATCAAGTGCAGACGTCATTTTGTCATTGTTCGCGTTTCATTACATTTTGTTTGTATTGGTTTTCTGTTGTTTTTCTGATTTTTTTGGCGAAAAATCGAGCCTTTTTCCAGCTTCAAAACGGCGAGAAACGTCCGTTCATCGAAGAAATGTTGGTCAACCTCAGCGGAATCATCTGCGATTTGACACAGCCTCAGGTATTTTTTGAAAAACACCTTTTAATGTAAATCAATGACTTGGGAATGTGGAAAAAAGGTTTTGCGATTTGAAAAAATGGTTGAAAATTCTCGATTTTAATCATAATACTTTTTGGAAGACATATGAGACGATTTTCAGGCCTTTTTTTTATAATTTTCTGAAAAATAGTTATTTTTTAGTATGGATCTTTCTATTGGCAGTAAGTTTTTACTCGATTTCAACTCATAAAAATAAAGGAAAATCTCTAATTTACGCTTGACTTTGGCGAAAGTAGTTTTTGAGTCGGGTGCGCCTTGAAAAAAACTTATCTGGACCCTCGAGCCATTCCAAGTGCGGCCATGAACTTCAAGAGTAGTATAGATTATTTTCCCATGTTCGAACTGATTCAAAAAATGCTAAGCGATCAAGAAAAGTTTCTAGGTTTTGATAAGGCTTTTTGGAATGTATTTTAGAAAATTTTTATGCTTCCCCATTCAATTTTTGTTACGTAGAAGTCCGAAAAAAATAGCCTCAAAATTTTCTTGACAGAAAAAATGACAAACTGTTGATTTTTAAAGAATATTTATGACTTTTTATGGACCTTTCCATTCATTTCAACTTATAAAAACAAAAGAAAGGGTCTAATTTTTGCTTGACTTTGGCGAAAGTAGTTTTGAGTCGGGGTGCGCCTTGAAACAACTTATTTTGACCCCCGAGCCATTTCAAGTGCGGCCATGAACTTCAAGAGTAGTATCGATTACCCCGAATTGATTAAAGACCTCACATAGATCATTAAAAAAAAACGAAAATTTGAAGGTGCACGTGTTCTACGAAGCCGTCGGCCACATCATCTCGGCCCAAGTCGACCCGAACCTTCAAGAACCTCTGATCGAGCAACTCATGTCCCTGCCCAACCATTCTTGGGACGAAATCATCGCCAGCGCCGCCAACGACGACAAGACCTTGACCGAACTCGATGTTCGTATTGACTAAGAAAAAAAGGATTATTCAAAGATTTTCAAAGAGCTGCTTAGAAAGTTAGAGCAGAAGCGAGAGGGAATTTCTTACATTTTATCGATGACTTGAAGCTGTTTTTAGCCTGATTTGTTACAAAAAACTTGTTTTATTTCACCTTCTGTGTCTAGTATCGTATTCTCCATTCAGTTGTGAAGTCAAAATGAGCAAAATGTCGAAAACTGGTACTTTTTGAAAGTGTTTCGAAAGAGCTTCATAGAAAAATTTAAAAAAAATTGGTTTCTGAAGATGCATCTAGTAGTTTCAAACTTCGGGATAACGAAAAATCAGTTTCGAGTGTCCTTTTTTGTCATTTTCAAAGTTAGAAACTTGAAATTTTTGGAAAATTTGAAGGGATAAATTATCGGGAAAGTGTCAGGTTTGAAAAAACCGAATTTTCAATCTTTTCGCTGCCTAAAAAAACAGAAGCCTTTAGAGTGATTTTTTTGGTCAGAATTTTTGCAGTTTTTTGATATTTTTTTAAATCAATTTTTGGTTTTTATAGGTCATTCCGCGCTAGCTTGTCACGTTTTAATTTCCGCCAAATGGTCAGGTCAAATTTAACTAACTTTCGCTTCAAGACCTTTGTTTCTTGCCGTTATAAAAGCAGAAATTTGATCTAATTTGGTATACGGTCTTTTTGGCGGGAAGAAAAACATGACAAGCTGGCGCGGAATAGGCTATAGACCATGTTTTAGTGTCTTTTTGTCCGTAGTATCATTTTATTCAAGCACTTTGAAAAAGATACACTTTGCAAAAATAATGCCCCAATTTTCTATGCTTCCCCCGAAAAATTCCAGTGCTTTCCAGACGATCCGCAGCCTTCTGAACATCCTGAAGTCGAACGTCGCCGCGTGCAAATCCATCGGAAACGCGTTCGTCAGCCAGCTTTCGAGGATTTACTCCGACGTCCTGTCGATCTATCGGTGGGTTTCTGGGGGTCCCAAAATGGAAAACGGCTGCAAAATGACCGCTAAAAGGGTTCCGTTTTGCGGCCTTTATTGAGTCTTTCTTTCTTGGTGGGCTAAAAGCCTCAAAAAAGGGTGAAGAAAGGGTCAAAAACTATTCCGATTCAGCCTCCTGTCGGAACGAGTTTCGGTGGCGGTCAGTGGCAACGGCGAGGAGGTCCTGAAGATGCCCCTCATCAAGTCGATGCGAGCCTGCAAACGCGAGATTCTGATCCTCGTCTCCAGCTGGGTCTCCAAGAGCAACAGCGGAGAGGTGAGGAGTAGAGTTCTCAAAACCGAACGTTCAAAAAATGACCGTTTGAAAAAAATGAACTTTTTCATTTTTCGATAGTTTAGGATATATCATTTTTCAAACGTTCAACCAGAAAAGTTCGAAAATCGTTTTCTTATAATAATGAACGTTTGCTTTTTCACATAAAAACGGACGTTCGTTTTTTTGAACGAACTGTTTTTGAAATGGAAAATGAACGTTCACTTTTTGAACGAACTTTTTCACGAGCGAAAAAAATGAACGTTCATTTTTTTGAACGAACTTTTTGAAAATGAAAAATGAACGTTCATTTTTTTGAACGAACTTTTTACGAAATGAAAAAAATGAACGTTCATTTTTTTGAACGAACTTTTTACGAACGAAAAAAATGAACGTTCATTTTTTTGAACGAACTTTTTTTAAAATGAAAAAAATGAACGTTCATTTTTTTGAACGAACTTTTTTTAAAATGAAAAAAATGAACGTTCGTTTTTGAACGAACTTTTTACGAACGAAAAAAATGAACGTTCATTTTTGAACGAACTTTTTAAAATGAAAAAAATGAACGTTCATTTTTTTGAACGAACTTTTTAAAATGAAAAAAATGAACGTTCGTTTTTTTGAACGAACTTTTTACGAACGAAAAAAATGAACGTTCATTTTTGAACGAACTTTTTACGAACGAAAAATGAACGTTCATTTTTTTGAACGAACTTTTTAAAATGAAAAAAATGAACGTTCGTTTTTTTGAACGAACTTTTTACGAACGAAAAAAATGAACGTTCATTTTTTTGAACGAACTTTTTACGAACGAAAAATGAACGTTCATTTTTTGAACGAACTTTTTACGAACGAAAAATGAACGTTCATTTTTTGAACGAACTTTTTTAAAATGAAAAATGAACGTTCGTTTTTTGAACGAACTTTTTACGAACGAAAAATGAACGTTCATTTTTTGAACGAACTTTTTAAAATGAAAAATGAACGTTCGTTTTTTGAACGAACTTTTTACGAACGAAAAATGAACGTTCATTTTTTGAACGAACTTTTTACGAACGAAAAATGAACGTTCATTTTTTGAACGAACTTTTTTAAAATGAAAAATGAACGTTCGTTTTTTGAACGAACTTTTTACGAACGAAAAATGAACGTTCATTTTTTGAACGAACTTTTTACGAACGAAAAATGAACGTTCATTTTTTGAACGAACTTTTTACGAACGAAAAATGAACGTTCATTTTTTGAACGAACTTTTTAAAATGAAAAACGAACGTCCGTTTTTTTGAACGAACTTTTTACGAACGAAAAAAATGAACGTTCATTTTTTTGAACGAACTTTTTAAAATGAAAAAAATGAACGTCCGTTTTTTGAACGAACTTTTTACGAACGAAAAATGAACGTTCATTTTTTGAACGAACTTTTTACGAACGAAAAATGAACGTTCATTTTTTGAACGAACTTTTTTAAAATGAAAAACGAACGTCCGTTTTTTGAACGAACTTTTTACGAACGAAAAATGAACGTTCATTTTTTGAACGAACTTTTTGGAAATGAAAAATGAACGTTCATTTTTTGAACGAACTTTTTGAAAATGAAAAATGAACGTTCATTTTTTGAACGAACTTTTTGAAAATGAAAAATGAACGTTCATTTTTTGAACGAACTTTTTTACGAACGGAAAATGAACGTTCATTTTGGTTGAACGTTCAAAAGCAAACTTGAACCAAAAGTTTGGTTTCAACATTTGTTCGAAAATGTTTGGTCGAACGTTCGTTCGAACGTTTGGTTTTGAGAACTCTAGTGAGGAGTTTAGCAAAAAAAAAAAAATGGGTTCAGTTTGGGATGTTCTCGAAATTCGCGCCCTTGAGATAAGATTTTTAAGCACTGTTTAATAGAAAAAATGGTTGTCAGTCCATTTTTTGAACAATTCGATGAATTTTTTAAAGGCGCAGGGGAAAAAAGGCTTTTCGCTTCGAGACCTCTATGCTCCTTTAAATAGTAGGTCTCGAAGCGAAAATAAAATTTTCCTTTTTTGACTTTAGTAAGATGAAAGGAGCTCGATAAATAGCGGTAAAAAAGAACGGATTTTTTTTCCGGACCAGGACCTTTTTGAAAATTTTTGTATGCTCCTTTAAATTATACGAAAATGGACATTTTTTTGCCAAATTTTTTTCGAAATTCAATATATCATTTTTTTCTAATAAGTTTTTTTAGTGAAAATGACTTTTTCGAGTAGTTTCTTTCAAGAAATTGGTCCATGCTGCTTTAAACGTATTAGTAAGAATTTTGAAAATATTGAAATTTGAAAAATTATTTTTTTTTTCTTTAGTTTGTACTGAAAATGGTTTTGTTGAGTAGTAAGTTTCTTGAAATTAGTCTTTTTTCGTTTCTAGGACTGCAGGAACTTCAAGGCCTAATTTTTTTCTCGATCTCCTTGATCTCCTCTATCGATTGAAACTAACTACAGGTCATTAAATCATTTTTTTAACTAAAAAGCAGGTTTTTTTCGCGTCTTTTTCAATACAATTTTTTTATGTTTGTAAGTTCTGAAAATGTGAAAATACAATTTAATTTGCAAAAATTTTTTTCAAATTACTTTTTTTCAACTTTTTCTTCATCTCGGGCAGACTTCTGATGCATGGAATCGATCTATGCTCCTTTAAAAGTCTCACCACGAATTTTGGAATATACTGTACTTCAATAAGTCATTTTTCTCATCATTTTGAGCTGAAAACGGCTTTTTTGTCTAACAATGCTCCTTTAAAAGTATCGCCTCGAATTTTGGAATATACTGTACGTCATTTTTCTCATTAGTTTGTAGGGACCACCTTGATTCTACCCCTATAGGGACCACCTTTTTCGGCCCCCTAACCCCGATAGGGACCACTCAAATTCCTAAGTACTGTATAAATTATATTTCTCTTCAGTTCGTCCTGGAAAACATCGTGCCGCTGCTGTTCGACGCCGTCCTCTTCGACTACCAAAGAAATGTCCCGTCGGCCCGCGAACCCAAGGTCCTCTCCCTGCTGAGCATCATCGTCACCAAGCTCGGGGTATCCAACCAGGCCGTTTGCCTTGACCTTGCCTTTTGTCAGCCTCTGATCAACAAGGAAGTGCCGACGATCCTCGACGCCGTCTTCGACTGCACCCTGCAGATGATCAACAAGGACTTGGAGGTGAATCGGGAGGGGCAAAATCTGGTTATCTGAGGCTTATTTTGAGCTATGATAGCTTTGACGCGGTAAAATTCAGGAAAATGAGCCATGAGATAGAAAATTCGAAAAATTCCCCCCACCAAGCCAATATTTGACTGGGGGTTTTTTCTTCTGGAATCCAGTGCAAATTGGGGGCGATTCTGAGAATCTTCAAGGATTCCCTTCCCCCTCATTTAAAGCTTTAGCCCCCCACACAAGCCAAATTTCGACTAGGGGTGGAGGCTTTTTTCTTAGTCTTCAAGGCTCACCCCCACAGGTTATAGTCTCCACCTTCAAAAAAATTCCCCCTTCCTTCCCTACCAAGCCGCCTGGGAAGATTAATTTTTCTAAGACCCCCCGTTAAAAGCTTTTTGCCCCCCACACAAGCCGAATTTCGACTAGGGATCGAGGCTTTTTTTCTTAGTCTTCAAAGATCGCCTCCCAGGTTAAAGCCTCCACTTTCAAACAATCCCCCCATCAAGCCAAATTTTTAACTGGGGGACTATTTCTTAATCTAGAACCCCCCCCCCCCCTTATCAGGCCAAATTTCGACGGGAGGGGGTGGGGGGTAGGATGTTTTCTTTATTAGAACCTCCCCCCAGAACAGCTTTCCAAGGGGAATCGGCTTTTGGATACTTGCGCTCTAGAGATTTTCACTTAAAATAAACATTTTAGCCGTTAGTTATCACTTATCTTGCTTTAAATCGAAAAATATTTATTCCATTTTCAGGCCTACCCCGAACACCGGACCAACTTCTTCCAACTGGTCCTCTCCTTGATCCAGGAAAGCTTCACGGTCTTTCTGAACATGCCGACGGAGCAGCTGAAGCACGTCCTCGACTCGGTCGTTTGGGCCTTCCAGCACTCGATGAGAAACGTCGCCGAGATTGGTAAAATATTCTGACTTCGATTTTTGAAGATTCGGAAAAATTACTATGTTTTGAGATTGTGATGAAATTTTCAGAAAAAACTATGATATTTTTTTCCTCTTCAATTCAGTCTAATTCCAGGTCTCGACATCCTGAAGGAGATGCTGAGCAAAGTGGCGGAGATGCCCGGCGAACGGTCCCAGGCCTTCTACACCGAACACTACATGTTGATTTTGCAACACGTTTTGGCCGTCGTCTGCGACAGCAGCCAGGTCCATGTCGCTGGTGAGTTTCAGGGGTTATGTTGGGAAAAAAGGTAGGAAATATTGCGTAAATCATTTGAAACAAGCCTAGAATAGGGAGATGTCGACAGGACGCCCCGAGGCGCCGCAAAACAATCTGCTTGGGAACTTTTTTTACCCCCGGTTGAACTTTTGCTGAAACTTTGCTAAAGTGTCCTTCAAGACCTCCTGATCCCAAAAAAAGAAAAAAAATTCTCGCAATAGATCTTGTTTCCGAATTATGGAGCTTCAAAGTGTGCAAAATACGCAAGTTAGGCCAAAAAAGCGCAATTTCAAGCTTTTGAAGCGTCCTAACTTGAAAACGAGATCTATTGCGAGAAATTTTCTTTTTGTTCTGGAATCAGGGGGTCCTGAAGTAAACTTTAGCAACGTTTCAGCAGAATTCCAACCGGGGGGCGCAAAAAAACGTTCCCTAGTGAAAACAAGAGTAAAAATGAAGAAAAAGCGAGAAAAAGCTGGGGAAAAAATCAAGAAAAAGAGGCTCTAAAAGGAAAGGTCGCCCCGGGTCAACCCGCAAAGTTGAAAATGACAAATTAATGAAAAATCAAGAAAAATAGGCTCTTTTGTAAAGATTACCGCTTTCCGGGTCGTGTCGCCCCGAACCAACCCGTCCCATCAGAAGCTCTGATAAAATAAACAGCTGCGTAAAGCTTACCGAATTCAGCAAGAATTGGGTTGAAAGAGTGCTCCACGGACAACGTGTAGGACTATTTTCATGTTCATCTCTTTTCTGACTGTTAAAATCAGATGGCCAGTAGTCAAAATTTTGGTAAGAAGGCATGACTATACATGGGCAAGTAAGGAACCCAAAAAGCCCGGGAGGATGATTTGAATAACCAAAGTTTCGAAAAATACGATTGAAAAGTAATTTTTGAACAGCCGGAGGTAGTAATGACAAAATGAAGCTGAATTGAACACCACGGAGGTAGTACCGACTTTAATTTAGCTTGGGAGGTAGCCTCTTAAGAAATGTTGGACTATTTATGGAGATGACCCGTGGAGCGCACTTTCAAACCGCAATGCAGAATATTGAATATTGAATATTTATTTATTTTTGGAACATTCGTCGGCACGATCTTTATCTTTGGCTGACTCCCACGGCTTTTTTTTTTTGCGCGACTCAGAATATCGTTTTAATGCGGCTTTACAATAGAACAAGTTCGTAAAAAAAAGGTTCTCGACGTGTTTTTTTCCTATTTTTAACGCTCAAAAATAGTTTACGTGCGATTTTATGCGGAAGAATGTGTTCAGGTAAAACAGATAAAGGAAAAAATTGTATGGTAAAGCTCAAATTTTCATATTTCTCCACTCTTTTTTGTAATTTTAACAGCCGAAACTTGAGCCGAAAACTTGAAAAAGCGTCCTTTTTTCCGGTTTTTTAAGCCTCTGTTTCGATTTCCTTGGTTTTTCCTTTTGAAAGTTGATTTTTTTCACGATTTTTCAGTTGAAATGGCTCCTCCTCTTTCCAATAAAATTGATGATCAAGTTAAAAAAATTTTTCTAGGCCTCACCTACTACGCCGAAGTTCTGTGCTCGTTGTTCCGTGCTCCTGAATTCTCGATCCAGGTTTTCAGATTGACATGAAAATCAATTTTCGAACAAATATGTACTTGAGGTGCCCCTGAACAAGGAAAATCCAAGCCAGAGCAACATCGACTACGTGTACGGCTACATTTCCGATCAATTCGCCATGCATTTCAAGAATTTGTCGGCGTCAGTACTTGTTCTATAAGAAATTATCTTGTATTGTGTTGATTTTTTGATTTTCTAGGGATTTTAGGCGTTTTTGTGCAGTGGTCTTGTGTGGAAGTTATTGATTTTCTGAGAATTTTCGAGAAAAAGTGTATCAGTTCAAGATTTTGAGAGAAGAGTTCGAAGTATGTCCCGCAAAATTGAAAAATATCTCTCACTCTCCAAAATTAAATTATCTTTTTCACTCTATGACCGGTAGGCTTCGAAAAAAGGGTCCTGACACGATAAGAAAAGAGATACTGCTCGGTTCGTGGAGAGCGCAGACAGGCCACGCCCCTTTTCGTCCCAAGCTGGACGTGGATAGGCTATTTTTGATTCATTTTGAATTTAGATTACAAAAAAGGAGAAAAAAATAAAGTTTTATAGAGGAAAAGCTCATCTTCCCGATTTCAGTGATCAGATCCGCGTCATCACCAAGGGATTCTTCAGCTTCAACACGGAGACCGGCTTGATGAGAAACCATCTTCGCGATTTCCTCGTCCAGTTGAAGGTAAATCCTCGATTTCCCCTAGGGCGATCTTCTGGTACATTTTTTCTCGTGGGATGTAGGAAAATGGACAGGTTGAGGTCTCGGGGACCTTCATTTAGTAGTTTTAAGAGTTTCTGAGGCAAAAATTAGAGATTTATAGGGAGTAAAATATAAATTTATTCTATTGTAAGAACAAAAGCGCCTGTAGTTGGTTAATAGCTGGCTTGAGCCGTCGAAAAATGGGTCCTGACACGATAGAAAAACAGACAGTGCTTGGTTGATGGAGAGCGCAGAAAGGGCACGTCCTAAGCTAGTCTTCAGCTTTTCTGCAGTTTTTTAGGACGAGTCTGAGCCATTCAGTGATCACTTTAGTAGTGTTAGTGCCCCATGAAAATTGCCTCAAAATAGAAAAGTTGTACATAAAGCGTACAAGAAACTGCAAACCCTTTTTGACCCATCTCGGCTTTTTTGAAGGAGCTCAGAAGGAACACCTGTAAAGATGACACGCTAAAAAGATCCTTAGAAATGACCAAGGAGGTTTCTGAGCATTTCAAGTTATCACTTAAGGGTTCCCAACCCCTAAAAGGGTCACTAGAAACGGATAGTCTCGGTGGGACCTGAAAAAAAGGAGAGGGACTTGGCAAAAAAAACGAGAAAAAGGGGGGTTGGCAAAAAAACTTTTTAAAAAACAAAAATTCATTTTGTAAAGTTCAATTGTATGGCAGAAGCGATTTTTTTCTGAGTCAAAAGTGATCGGAAAAAAATTCGGATTCAGCACCATCGAACTAGACTAATTGGGGGCTTGGCATTGAGTAAGGAGAGGGGGAGGACTTGGCTGTCGCCAGTTATCCCATGGATGGCTCAGAATCGTCTGGGGTGTACCCAGGGGCCCGAGAATGGACACCTCAGCTTTCAGAAACGATTGATTTTAGAAAAAATTATTTCTAAGCTGCTTTTCTGTGCACTCAGATTTCTATAATTAAAAAAATCGTCCGTTTTTGTTAAGAAACTGGAAATTCTGAACCATGAAAACTCATTATTCCGATTCCAGGAGACGACCGGCGAAGACCCGTCGGACCTTTTCCTGGAAGAACGCGAGGCGGAGATCCAGGCGGCGCAGGAGAGAAAGAAGTGCATCCCAGGCATGATGAATCCCAATGATTTGCCCGACGAAGACGACATGAAGTGAAAAGAAAGCGTCCTGTTTATCAATTGTCTCTATTTTTCTTTTTTTGACTAATCGCAGTTGAGTTAACCTTCGAAACCTACTTATTTTTCCTTTTTTTCTCTTGTTCCCCCCACGCTCACTTGTTCGTTCTATTTGTTTTTTTTTTCTGTTTGATTTGGTTTTTGGTCGGGTTTTGAGGGTTTTTTTTCCGCCGTAAGGTTCTAGTGAAGCTACAGTATCCTTTTTTAAGGCTTTTTGAAGTTTTTTGACGCTGATAAGGTCTTTTTGCGACAGGAAAATGATGTGAAGCTTTCAAATAAGTACAAAAGTTACAGTACCCCTTTTTGAGGATTTTCTTTGTCCCTTAAGAGGTCTTTTGTGACTGGAAATTACTGTGAAGCTTTTAAAAGTGGTACAAAAGTTACAGTACCCCTTTTTGAGGATTTTCTTTGTCCCTTAAGAGGTCTTTTGTGACTGGAAATTACTGTGAAGCTTTCAAAAGTGGTACAAAAGTTACAGTAACCCTTTTTGAGGCTTTTTTGTCCCTTAAGAGGTCTTTTTGTGACTGGAAAATACTGTGCAACTCTTAAAAATGGTACAAAAGTTACAGTAACCTCTTTGAGGAATTTTCGTCCCTAAAGAGATCTTTTTTTGACTGAAAAGTGCTGTGAAACTCTCAAAAATAGTACAAAAGTTACAGTATCTCTTTTTGAGAAATTTTTGTAGTAAAAAAAAAGTTGATTTTTTTTTTGGTTAGAAACAAACTATTGGAACCTTTTCAAAAAAGATCTTTTCGGTTCATTTCAAGCTTCTTCTATCAAAGGAAAAGCTCCGTTACAGTATTCTTGCAATAGGTTACGGTATTTCTTTTTTCGAGCCCAAAAACTTCAAATTTCTGTCTTTTTTGACGGAAATCTTCACGCTTTCTAAACCTCAAAACCTTGCCAAAACCACATTTTAATTGTTATTTCGTCGTTTATCAACCAATTTTTTTCTTGACCCCACCATAAATATACCGATACGCGTTCCTTCAAATTTAAACCGAAGTTTCTTGTTTTTTTCTCGATTTTTTTATTTCTACGGGAAACGCAATCCAGTGGTTCTCAATAATTCCTCCTGTTTCCCGTGGCTCGTTTTATTTCCTTTATTTTATTTATTTAAAAAAATTCCTTCTTGTTCCTTTTTGTTGTTAAGTTGATTTTTCCTAAATATAACATTCAGAAAATGTTGGAAATCTGCGTTCGGTCCCGATCTCTCTGTTTTTATTACTCTTTTGACTCTTTTCGGTATTGTTTTCTTAACATTTAACCTGTATGTATACCAATTTCTCTTCACGTTCAACTGTGTGAATGTTAATTTCAATAAAAACGATGTGAGGAATCGATTTATTCGTAAATGAGACAAAAAGCGAAAGCCCCGTGGTTTTTTTTTGTGTTCGGATTATTTTTTTCAGGGTTTTTGGGATTACTGTAAGCTTTTTGTGTGCAGTAACCATCGAACTTGGCAGAAACATTTTTTTGCGATAATTTGATAATTTTCCCAATTTTTGATGTTTCAAAACTTTCAAAAATAGTCCGTAATGCTTTATTTGGTATCCTACAGTAACCTTAATGCTTACTGTAGGCTCCCAAATCCCTACAGTAACCTTGAAACTTACTGTAGGGATTTTTAAAGCAAGAAAATTCTCAGAAACGGTTCTTGAGCGAAATTAATCTAATGGTTGGAATTTTAGGTTACTGTACTCTGTTCAAATTGAACCTACAGTAATCCCAACCCTCAAATTTTCAATTACTTTCAAAGCTACAGTAAGATAAAAATCGAAAAAATTAGGAAAACCCTGTTCTTGGAAAATGCGATGAAATAACTAGAAAATAATTGAATCTACAGTATACACTTTTCATTAGAATTACGGTATTCATGTTCCTACAGTAGGATGGGTTTTGAAAAATCAGTACAATTGATGAAATTCAGAACACTGTCACCTAAAGGACCTTTCACGACTCAAAATCAGGTTTTTTTCAAAAAAAATGTACAGTAATCCTCGCTACAGTATGACGCAGCATTTGGATTTGTCGGAGGCCGGCGGCGTCGTGTCGTCCGTGTCGACGGAGCCGCGCGGCATCAGATTTCCGGACGACGGCTGGGTTATGACCACTTTCGGAGGCCTCCGAAGTTCCTGAACGACTTAGTTGAGTGGCGAGTGGGCTTGGTTAACATGATAGATGACGCAGGTTCAAATCTTTAACATGGCGAACTTTTTTGCCAATTAATTTTAACTTTTTTAGTGCATTTTGAAACGCTTTCACGGTAGTTGTTTTTTTTTTCTAGGCTGTTTGAGATTATTTTAAACTCTGGTTCAGTGGTTAAATGACTTGATTTGTGAATGAGAAGTTGCAGGTTCAAATTCTCGGCTTTTTAAGTTTTTGCAAATATTTTTCCGTTGAAATTTGTTGATAAATGTCTTTAGTTTTTTTTTTGGATAAGTTCTAAATTATACAGAGCTTTTGTGTTCATTGGCTCAGTGGTTAGATTATTTGATTAGAGATTTATGGGTTGCAGGTTCGGTCCCTCTCCCCGTTTTTGCCATTTTTTTTTGCTATTTCATGGAATTCCACTATGATATTGAGCACACTAGGAGCAGTATGTTTTAAGAAAAGTTATCGAAATCTTCAAAATTGTAAATTTTCTATTTTTTTGCTTTTTGTCCATGGAGCGCACAATCCCGAGGTTTTACAAGCATTTTTTCAGCCGAAATTTCCAAACCTAGAAAAAAAAAACTCACAGAGGGCAGTGGCTCGGCGACTTTTGGCTGTGGCATTTCTCCAATTTCGCTTCAAATCTTCCGTTTTCCTCGCATTTCAAGCTTCATTGAGCGATTTGAACATTTTTGGTGTCTGAAAATGGTAGAAGTTTTAAGAAAATGGTTGGAAATTCATTGAAAACGTGAGAATATTAGAAAAGTGGAAAAGGGAGATCCTTCAAAAATTAATTTTCATTGGGAATTTTCAAAAAAACTGCATGAAATGGATGTTCAAGACTTCAAGTAGAAAAAATATGAGATACTGGAAATCTTAGAAATTTGGGCAGAAGTTGATATAAGATCCAAAAATTGGTGTGAAATCTGGAAATTTGAAAAACCCTACAAGGAAAGGTAGTACCCGAACGCTTTTTTTGAAGATAATCCTCAAATTTTTTTCTCATTTTTTTATCATTTTTTTCTTGAATTTATAAGGGGCTAATATATTTTTTTGTTGGAAAGACTGTTAAATCTAGGATTTCTTTTTAAGGTGTTTCGAAAAAAAAGCTTGAATTTTTCAGAAAAAAAGGAGCAAAAAAATAAAAAAACGATTATTTTTGAAAAGACTGTCGAATCTTGTAAAATAGTTGGGCAAAGTTAGAATGCTGGATAAAGGGCGCTAATAAGGAGAAGCTTAAAAAGGCTGTAGAAGAGCAGCAAAAAGGATGAAAAAAGACTGCCAAAAGGCTGCAAAAAGGCTGCAAAAAGGCTGTAGAAAGGCAGCAAAAAGGGTGCAAAAAGGGTGCAGAAAGGCTGTAAAAAGGGTGCAAAAAGGATGCATAAAGGCTGTAGAAAGGCAGCAAAAAGGCTGTACAAAGGCAGCAAAAAGGGAGCAAAAAGGCAGCAAAAAGGCTGCAAAATGGGTCCCTTTATCAAGTCTTCCATTTTTTCTGGGAATTAAAGGCTCAAGAAATGGTGGAAAAAGGGAGAGGCAGCAAAAATGGTGCAGAATAGCCGATGAAATGGTGAAAAAAGGCAGCAAGAAGAGTGCAGAAAGGCTGTAGAAAGGCAGCAAAAAGGCTGTAGAAAGGCAGCAAAAAGGGAGCAAAAAGGCAGCAAAAAGGCTGCAAAAAGGTAGCAAAAAGGTCGCAAAAAGGCAGCAAAAAGGAGCCTTTTTCAACCTGAAAGGATTTTTAAAGCTTTCTGTTGAGCAAATAGCCTTGAAGTTTTCAAAAATAAAGAAAAGTTGAAAAAAAAGAGAAAAAGAGCCATGATTAGGATTTTTTTTTTTCGAAAAGACTCTGTCAAATCGGAAAATATTTTTTGCTGGTTTTCCGAAAAACTGAAGCCTTTCTTGTTGATTTTTTGGAAAAACCTTGAAGCCGTCGAGAAAAAGAAGACAAGAGAAGGAAAAGAGCCATGATGATGGCAGTGATTGAGCCTGAGTGCCGCGAGGCTCTTTTGGTTGCCCAAAAAATTGCCCCCCATGTGACTCCTCTCCTTCTCCGCTCCATATTTATTGCCTTTTTCCTCTTCTTTTCCCCTCGTTTTTATTGGCTTCAGCCCCAATTTCGGGCACTGGTGTAGTGGTAAATGATGGGTTGGTTTTTTGAGATGGGCGGCGCCGACAAAATGGCCGCCAAAAGCTGGGATTTGTGCGCTCTATGGATAAACTTGAGGGGCTGGGAAAATGGAATTTATTTGAACTTTTGCGATTTTAGGATGAAAAGAAATACGGAAAAAACAGTAAAATTTCATCATTTTGAGAAAAACAATTTTTATCAACATAATATTTTGCACTCCCCACTAGGGAGTAATTTTACTCAAAACTTCAGAATTTGCTGAAAAATAGCCAAACTGTTATTGAAAAGATTATATTGATATCCTGTAAGTTTCAACTTGTAAAACTTTCTAGCTTTCAAGAATTGAAGCTTCAAAGTTCGAAAAAAACGACTTGAAAATCAAAAAAAATTTCGAAAAATTGTATGTTGAAAATATTGTGAATTTTTGAATAGGAAAGCAATTTTAACAAGTTTTTCTATGGCTTTTTTTCAAAGTTATATTCAAAATGAATTATTAAAAAAATAATACAGAAGTTCTGAAATAAAGCGGCCAACGAAATGACCTCAAAATAATCGAAATTTTGCACTTTTTTGTTAATTTCCGTCATAATTCCCTTCAAAATAACGAAAAATAACGAAAAAAGAGAAAGAAAAGAAGAATTGAACCCGAAGGAAGAATATAAAGGGAATGGCTGAGTGGAAACCGGATATGCTGAGTATTT